GCGCGCGCGCCGCGCGCATGTAACGCGCGCGCCTTATTTCGCGCGTAACGCGCGCGCGCGTAACGCGTTATAACGCGCGCGCGTAACGCGCGCGCGCGCGTAACCCGCGCGCGTCACGCGCGCGCGCGCGTTACAGTTTTTGCACCTTAGAAAGATGAAAAATTATAGCTTAATAATAGATTTTTTTTGATCGAAAAAATACCGGGCAATCCTTTTCAACCGCGTCGCTTTTGGAGACACTGTTCTTCTTGAGGCCGTACTATGTCTGGTGCTTGTCGGTTGGAATGGGAGATAATGACTTCTGTGGTTGTCATTCGAGTTGCTTGGGACAAAAAGGACTCAAATGAAGATTTGACTTTCTGAAGATGTCATTATGTTGGGGAGTGAAAGCGTAAGCGAAATGACAACATTCAAGAAGCACCGCGCATGCACTGCGCTGCTTCGATCATAGGACTAGATTTGCCAACAACTATCCTCAAAACTTCAAGTAGCGTCCACAAACCATAGGAATGGAGTACTCGACGTATTGCATTCATCCGTTGCCGTCGCTACAGCAATCGTTTAACATCGATAGAGACTTCTTGTTCCAGAAGTCCCGCATTTTTAGCATTACTACATAATTCAGAACACAATAACCTAATAACCTATAATCAAAAAGCAACATTTACTTTACTACAACACAATAACCTATCAAAAAGATTAAGATGTTGGCATACTATCTTTTGTGGTTGGTTATCCTAAGCGTCTTCTTTGCATGCGTGGCGGTGATGTGCAAGAACAGTCGCTACGCGCGGAAGCGGGATTACGCTAATCTCGGTTCCTTCGCCGCTGACACAGATTTGTAGTCCTCGAGCGGATCTGTTTTAACTTGAAGATGCTTGTTTGACGGTGTGGCAGGATGAGTGGCGAACTGTTCTGGAATAACCTACGAGTGTGGAAGAAGAGGAGGAGAAAATCATGCAATGAATCGGGTGGAAAAAGAGCAGGCGCTCGGGAGGTTAGGCTCGCGACGATGATACTGTTAAGGACCACGGATCTAGTACTCGAGATTTGAGTTACTTCTGCTACTGCATCCTCGAAACCTCTCTAAATCTATTACTCTTGCACCTCGTGTTTCTCCTTTCCGGCGTCGCTGCAAAGTGTAGCTATGAAAAAGTCCTGTTACCAGAAGAGTGGGAGCATGTCGAGTACTACGCGTCTTTTTTGGATAAGACCGTTCTACCGACACAACATCGGAAAGTTTGCTTCGGATGGTACTCGCGGCTGGCGCAAGTTATGAGTCTTCTGTTTGGCGTAATAGAGGAAAGATATTAAGTGGCGCCCAGGCCCAGGATATTAGGTCTCAAGAAGTTAGTTGCAATTTCAGACTGTAGATGCAGTACAAACTTCCTTCAGCTAAGAACTTCAATCATGCTTTCCCCTTCTAACCTCCAAGGTCTCTGTTTGCTCAGCGCTTCTGATGAGCAGCTAGGTGGAAAGAAGGAGTGGTACAAACGAATGATTGCGACGATCTTTGTCAATTCTCTACCACATCTCGAAAAGGCTCTTGGGAGCGATGAAGTGCTGAGCGCCTACAAGATTCTGAACTTACTTTATGCATGACCACAACAACTGCTCGTGCTATTTCTTGTACCTTAGGCTTGCTTTCTTGCCTTTTGCTCTTCAAAAGTTCATCTTCCGGATCCGGCGATGTAACGAGTTCTTGTTGCGATGACTTTTCACTCCGTTTTCGAAGAAAGTGAAAGTTTTTTCTAATTTACAGCTGGTGATGACGAGTCTCTGCTGCAGTGGGTGAAGCCGACAATTCCTCTTCTCTATGGTTTGCCACCATTCGAACGCAACGAAGCCGATGCGTGCTCTCTTCCTCTTACAGCCACAAAAACCTTCACATCAGAATGCGACAAAAAGATCTATGTCTACGACAATGACATCATCCGCAAGTACACGCGAATCCGCATCAGCACCACTGCTGGCCAGGAAGGGATTGAACCGCTTTTGCATCGCTGGCTTGAGAACTCGGCGTGTAGGACACTTGACCCAGAAGAGGCAGACTTCTTTTTTGTTCCATTTTACCACAACGGTTTCCAACGCGAAGCCTACGACCCGCCACTGGAGGACTCGACCGAAATCATGCGGGAAGCTTATTATGGCTGAGGTTTCTTTTCATTCGTACTCGGATGATTGATATTCGTCTTCGACTTCGTCACAAGGAGGACTATGTGTACTAACTACTACTAGTAGAAGGCCTCGTCTGTCGTGATTATAGTACTTCTATCTTCTAGTACCATGACCATCTAAATCTTGACCATCTAATTTCCCCACGAATTAATCCCAAGCCTTGAGTATTTCGATAGTTTTCGACGACGCGATCACATTTTTTTGTTTGCGCATGAATTTTGGGGTGCTAGAGAGCTGTGGCACAGAGATCATGCGTCGAAAGCTATATTGTTGGTAGTGGAAAGCAATCCTCTGGACATGAAACTGTCTCCGTCCGACGACATGTTTTTGCAGCGTGAACAAGGACAGGTGTTCGCACGAGGTCGTGTTGGGCAATTGGAAGTAGATGTGGATTCAAAATCGTGTAGTACTAGTACTAGTACAGGAGAAGGCGCTTGTAACATCGATGATCATGGTGGAACGAAGAAAGGTACGGGGAATGCAGAGGACAGCAGAATGGACGTGGCCGAAGTAGAGGAAGCTTTTTTCTCGGAATCTTTTTCTCCTTCCAAAGGAGCTCAGAGTGGCAATACGACATCTAGACCTCCTTCTTACTACACGGAGCACTGCTTGGACTGCTTTGATGACAGGAAAGATCAAATTTTACCACAACACATTGACCACTTTGCGATTCAGAAGTTTTCGCACCACAATCGGCCTTACCACGAGCGAGAGCATCTCTATTGCTTCCGCGGCTCCTTGCAACACAGGCTGTACGACGAAACAACAACGAAGTACCCATTTCAAGACGTTTCCGCAGGTGAAATCCGCGCAACGATACTCAAATGGGCGAAAAATTTATGGAATTGTTATTGTTGTTGCTTCGCCACGCTTTACTAGGAATGTCCTCGCAATTGCTGATCATGCTGTTTGTCTCACTTTTAACGAGTCAAAAGGCATAGTAAACATGCCAAAGCCCCACCGTAGTCATCAGACCCTGCATCTAGATTTTAAGTATTCACATCTCCTCCCCGTTTTCTTCTTCTAACTGCTCCCAAAGGGAGCATCGGCGGACATTTGACTCCTGTGGTCGAGTACTACAAAAGGATGGGGAATTGCAAGTTTTGTTTGATTCCCAAGGGCGTCGGTTTCACGAATGGACGGCTGTTTGAGAGCTTCTTCTCCGGGTGCATTCCAGTTCTGCTTTCCGATGCGCTGCGATTGCCGTTTGAGAAGACGGTTTTGGAGTGGGACAACAATCTCGCGATACGTTTTCCAACCAAACATATGGAGCATTTGCCGAAGTTGCTGGAATTACTGGATTCCTCAGATGGGAAGGAGAAGGTGAACAAGGATGTTGTAGGTCATCGACATACAACAGGCGATGAAGTAGATGCACATGCAGACGTCGTCGATACAGCAGACCCTGACACAGACACAGAGAACAGTGTCGCTAAGTGGCCGTCCTCTGTGAAAGCTTTGTGGATTGCAAATCGTGGTCGCGTGTCGAGCTTTGTGGATAGTCTAGAGAAAGCTTCGTGTTGGATCAACTACTATTCTCAAGATCCGGGTTGTTCTCCGTATCAAGGAATGCTGTTAGGTTTGCGAAGGAACAGGATTCGTTTGCAACGAGACTAGTTGAAGGAAAAGTGGTCATGTGTTTTGACTGTACACTTTACGAAAAAAGATGATCAAAGGGTCGAAGTGGATATGGTGAATTATATACGACCAAGAAGCGAGTTTGCTTCTAAGAAGTACAACAAGAAAGATGTCACTATCCTTGTTTCACTCCGCTCGTCTTTCAATGAGGAAAGTTCAGAGAAGCGCCACACGAACAAGGCGACTCAAAACGGGCTTCGACGGATAACGACTGCTCTGTTCTGGCAGCTGAGAGGCTTTGCTGCAAATCATTTAACAGGGCTACGGTGCAGCGTCGCACTGTTAGTTTAAAGCTCCTGCGCGGAAGAGAGCTGCGTTGATTAGTACATCAATTCAAAATGGTCTATTTGGTATTGGTTGTGTCTTGTATCTGTTCAAAAAGGAGGCCAGCTCGGTAATCTGTGGTGCATACCTGACAGAGTGAGTAGGGAGGAGAGCTTTAGGCGGATGCAAGAATGGAAACCCAGCAGAAGAAAGTGTGCAAAATCTGGTTCACATACCACCTACAATCGGGCGTCGAACAGGTTTCCCGCTTCTACCCCAAATACCCCACGAAAAAAGCAAAGGAGCGAGCCCGTCCTGTAGACTCGAATTGATTACAACGGTCTAGCAGATCTTGGAATTGGAAATTGCAGTTTCAACTAAGTTTCCGTAGAAGTAGACTAAGGAAAGAAAAATTAGTAGGCAGGTCCGGCAACTGATTTGTCTTTACAAACGGAGAACGGCATTGCTGGAGACACCGTAGCGAAAAACACACCCCCCGGTGTGATGTCACTTCTGCCTCCGCCGCCAGGTGTGGAGCAGCTGGGCGGACCTCCTCCCCTAAGAACAATTGGCTTGCCTTCATCAGCAGACATCATGGATCCAGCAGTGTCGAACGCAGTGTCAATATCGGCACTGCCTGTTGGGGCGGCATCAATGGAGATGAATCCCGCAACCACTACAACAGGTGCACAGGAGAACCAAACAGTTGTTGTTGATGTAGTAGAAGGAGGAGAGTCGACTGAGACTGTGACTGGAGCAGTAGTTAAGGCTGTAGCTAATACATCTTTGGACGCATGATCCTTGAAACTACGCATGGACGAGAAGTATGAGGCTGTAGCAAATACATCTTTGGACGCATGATCCTTGAAACTACGTATGGACGAGAAGTATCCTAAGGAAATGCTCCGTCTCTTACTTTTTAAGGATGGACTTGAAAGATGAATTGCGGACAGCTCTAAAGTAGGCTCCTCAGCAACGGATACAACTGGAGGCGATCAGCGAAATAAAAACGGTCTACCAAAAGCTGCAACTGCAACTCTCTCTTCCAGCAGCACGGTCGTGACTACGGCTGGTGCAAATGAGAAGACGACGAATGCTCCTCCGACAAGCACAAAAAAGGAGGTAAGAGATAACCTCGTTGCTTGCGCTTTTGCGATTGCTGCTGTGATCCTAATCTTTCCGGTGACGATTATAGCTTTCCTTGCCTACATGCTACTAGATGGAAAGGCGGACTTCGAGGCTTGTGTCAATTATTAAGGCGCAATTTGTGCTTTTTTTAGACTTAAAGGCATCAACATAGACTGTAGAAAGGAGATGTAAGTATTTAGATAAAAGAACTCCTTTGTTTCTTCCCTCTAAGATTTCGTCGCGATGGGTTTTGGTTGTGTTTTTGCGTTTGCAACCTGCCCGCTTTGGTTTCCGGTTTTAGCTCTCTACATCTGTTGTTGCTCTGGCGCCTCACAGGAGAAAAATGTAGGCAATGGTGCAGCTGCGGTTGCTAGAACTGCTGCTGCCGGAGCTGACTCATCAACAACTATTAAGGCTTGAGAAAATCCATCTTCCCCAGCATCTTGTAGCTCTCTTTTATTTTGAAGGGAAAACGGGCACGAACAAGATGGTCACCGAGATGGATCTCTGCAAGGTCTAAAACTAGCGGCATACAAGTCGAGCTGAGTGTGAAGAACAAAAGCGCGACAACAGCTACGGGAAATGGTAGCTTCGCGCGATCATCAGCTGGCTCTACAGCACAACAGCCACCACAAATGAACTTCCAAACTCTATCAGACCCAGTAGCTGCTCGAAGTGTCGCAGGTCGGACTATAAAAACTCTTTTATGACTAATTAATTTCTACTAGGCGAGGTGACTCTGACCGACAGTGAAACTGTCTACCTGCTCCCTAATATGGTATACCAGTGAGGAAAATCTCGTTACCTTGTTTTCCGTTCATCGTGAATCCAATTTCACCCATCCAAATCGATCCTCCAGCCTTTCTCTCTTCTAATACCTGCGAGCAGTAGAAGAATGGAGAATCAATCGACGACTGGTGGACGTGGTGGTAGTGCGGGAGGGAAGACAAGTGTCGGGGCTCCGAAACGATCGATGTCCTTCGTGGAGCGGACGAGCTCGAGTCAAGCGATTATCACGAAAGGACTGCAAAAAGGCGCCAAGCTTGTAGCGTCGCGCAGCAGTAGTATCGTCATGTACACGGAGGTGGACTAGACATTATTTCACTAGCAAAATCAATGACGGCGAAAAACTTTACACATTTCTTGGAGCACCATCAATGTCAAGCTGAAGCAACGAACTACTGGCCACGGACTTACCACGACTAAGTAATTGCGCCAGTCTTTCTCGTGCCAAAAAATACGAAGAAGAAGTCGCCTTCTTTGAAAGTCACTTATCAGGAAACACAATGTCAGAAGCCACGGCATTATTCGTGTCATCGATGAACGTTAAAAGTGAACGTGAGCGGATTGAAGAGCGGTTTGTTGTGGTTAAGATGAGAACTCGAACGAGTAGCGAATGAAAATTTTGAGAGTAACGAGAGATGAAGATGAAGACGAGTAGAAGCATTACGGAATAACCACGACAGGAGAAATCAACAGGGCTGTCAATTTGATCGGTCAACAAGATTTTCTTCGAAGAGAATTTAGGCCTGGTGGTGTAAGCAACGGCAAATCGGTGCAAAATAGTCTTCAATGATTGCAAAATGTGGTTCATCAAATTTGTAAAGCACCCGAGGCTCCTGTACATGTTGAGAGCACCCGAGCAAGGAGTGAAGATGGAGAGAGATCATCTGTACACGAAGTACCTGAAGATGGTAAGATCTTTACCTGTTCCATGCAACAACCCCCTTTTCCATTCCCCACACCTGCTCCTCGTATCACCCTTTGTCCTAACAATTTACCACGTGCAAGAAGCACAACTCTCACTCCATTTTCATTTTCAGATGATAGCCAATTAATTCTGCCTAAGGTTAAAGTTAATGAGACCCCCAACTGAACATAGATATTAGATAAACCTACAATCTAGTCCTCCCATCATAGTCAGGACCTTACGTAGGGAACGTCCGGAGGGACACTGTGGTGAAAGATGCACATCAACAGGTTTGCTCTTTTTATACTTAAGAAGGAGTAGGTGTAGGTGTAGGTGCAGTAGCAGCACAGACTCAGGCTCTCAACATGACTGCGCAGACGTCGCTTTCTCAACGGAAGCCGGTCACGAAAGAGGATGGTGTGGTCACGAAAGAGGATGTGACAGGCAGTGGGGGACGAGAAAATGCAGGCGAACAGCCAGAGCATCCATTTGTGAGTCCGCGCACTTCTCCCAGGGCGGAAACGGTTGAAAGCTATGTGGACGCTGACACGTCGAGCGAGGGTTTTCGTACGCCACGGGGAGCGGTGGAGGTCGAAAAAAGAAATACTGCGTTCGAGAATGGATCATGTGCCAGAGAGGGTGATATCGAGGCTGACAACGAAGTTCGGGCCGAACATTCTTGCTCCAAGACGAGTAGCGCTGCAGATGATCAAGTAGACGCGGAGCGGATCAGGAGTCACCAGGACCCTCAAGTCGAAGGAGGTTCGATTTCGACTAGAGTACGCATGCGCAAGCAGCTTTTACCGACAGACTTTGTAACAGTGTTTCTGCCGGATGGTTCCGTCTTGCGGGAAAAGCTGGCGGTTTCGCGACCAAGCTCGCTGGCTGTGGAACTACCTGAAGATACAACTGCCGGTGGAGGATCTACGGAGACGAATAATTCGCCTTCTTCATTTAGTGATCAACATTATAGTAAACCTAAACAAGAACTACAAGTAGAAGCTACAGCTAGTTCATCTTCAACGTCTGGCCGCTTGTGTCTTCGAAACCTGAGTGCTGAGGCGGCATGTGCTGGTTTACTCGAGATCTCTGCTGGAACAGAGCAACGGCAAAGCCCGTCGCATCTTGTAGGTGGAGACGACATATCCCGCGAGGATGACGAACAAGTACTTGGACTTCCAGGTAGTCGCCGTGCTGACAGAGAATCCTCGAATGTCAAGGTGCTAACGTGTGGGAGTTGCATGTCGAATGACATTGTTGTCCGTGGTCTTGGCATCGTTTCTACGCATTGTGAATTCCGTTTTTCTACAGCGCAGGATGGCAACGAAGTGTTGACAGTGAGTCTCGACAATGGCTTTCCGGGACGAGTCACTGTGAACGGGTCCCGCGTGCCGCTGTTTAGTTCTGAAGTTTTGCAGCCTGGAGATCGAGTGGTGCTAGGCTACTCCGTCTTTCTCGAAGTAGTGTCATCAGGACAACTAGTACTACAGACGGGTGAAAAAGAAGATATCCTTGACAGAGTCACACAACGAGCACAAGTGCAATCATCTGCCCTAACTTTTGAGCTACAAGGACAACTACAGTTTCCTGCATTAAGTACGATGAGTAGTAAAGATTCTACTTCAAGTAGCAATGTGCATCAAAATCTTGGCCCTGCAAGAGGACTCCAGCACATCACCCTGAACTACGGCAGCAACGTGTTATCCTCGCGAGAGCAAAGTAGGGGACGACGAACAGCCTCATTAGATAATCGAGCGGATCGTATCAGGGAACAGCGTGAAATGTGGAGAGCGCGGGCTTTTTCTACTGGCCGTTTTCTGAGTGGTGATAAAACTCTCCAGCTTCCGGATCGTATGCGTCACCGTATAATCGCTGACCGTATAGGTGGACGAGAAGAAAGCAGAGAAAGGAGCTTTTTTCATCTTTCAGGTTCAACACATGGACATGCACAGGATCCTTCGATGACATTGCTAGGAACATCGGGTACCAGTGCGGATTCGTCGTCGTGCTCATCGTCTGCGGTAGACTCGGTGGTTTCGGGGAGCTGTGCAGGTCTGACGCTCGGAGTACCTCGTGGCCCGACTGTTAGAGGTAAGTTTAAGCAAGCTCGACGAGAACTGTGGCAGAGCTCCTCGGCAGAGCAGTTGGACTTGGTCGTGGAGGCTTCGAGTACGCTGTCTTCAAAATCTTCATCCAAGCAGCAGGAGCATGAGAAGCAGATAAGCGGACCAAGTTCACCGGAAGATCACCTTCTTCAACATGAGAGGAGCCATCAGCATCTAGCATCGCAAGAAAGCATTGAGATTGCATCTTTTGGGAGATTGTCCTCCGCTCAACACCACGAAGTCGAGAATCGCAAACGGTACATTGCACGAAGGCTAATCCCTCTGGTCGAGGAGGGCAACCAAATACTGCAGGAGTTGCATGTACGCGAAGCCATTTTGCCGCAACTGCGGATAACGACAGTTAAGGCCTAAGTAACTTTCATTGGTCATCGCTGTTGGTCTCTGACAGCAAAGAGGAGACTCCCTGAGAGAACAGGGGAAAACTAAGGGAAAAGGGGGAAGCTCTGTAAGCGTAAGGGGCCTGGTCCCTTCCGCATCAGCGACCAACGATGAGTGTCGGCCTTTAAGACAGTAGGAGAAGAATCGTGCGACATGGCAATCGTTCAGGTTCCAGCAGTCGATCCACTGTTGCGACAGCACTGTCGCAGTTCTTCTCTCGATTCCGTTTTCAGTTTTGGGGGTTGTGGTGAAAGTCAACATCAGCTCCCTTGTGGTGTGCCAACACCCTCGATGAGTCTAATGTCGGATGTCGAGCAGCACTCTCCTGCTTTTCCCTCCTCTGAATCAAGAGCAGCGTCGCTGCAGCAGAATACTGAGCAGGGTCCAGCTTCAAGCAGTATTAAGGGTAGGTTAAAGGTGCTTTTGATTTTGTTACCGTTTGTTATGGCTTTCCTAAGGGCGGGGACAGCCATAACAAGCGGAAGAACCCACGAACACCAAAGACCTACCTCTAACAGTAGCGTTTTTCAGACAGACACCAACACCAAGAACAAGAGTATTGATGTCCTCTTCTCCGTTGACAGTGCGAAGCGATTCGAGAAGGACCTACTTGTTTCGTTGCGCACATTGCATGAACGAGTAGTCTTGCGGAATCTCGCTTTGATGTTCAACGATGGCACAACATCACTCGTTGAACAAGTAGATCAAATTTTGAAGGATTTTGCTGGAACAACTGCATGTGATCCACCTTCTTTTAGAAGTGCTGCGACTTCATCTTGCAACTTTCCACCTGGTCGTGCGACTGGTAATGGAGATGGAGCTCGTACTCGTACGAGTGACCCTACTGATCAGGTTCAGGACTCCACTTTCTTCAAGGTAACAACGAACACGACGGCTGTGGCTGACGCTTTCAGTTCGACTCTTGTCGTGAGTGTAGATGGCGAGCAGGCAGTAGTTAAGCCTACTTGTAGGATGAGTCCTCCAGCGAAACTACAACAAGTGCCTCTGGACAGGACAAGTAGGTTTGGTTTTTGCTCGTCTTCGTCGTCCGAGGAAGAGCAGACGCAGCCTCTAGGGCAGCCACGACGTGAGCTTGAAGATGTCACTAGGACACCAGAGAAGACGAAGTCGCTGCAGACATCAACATCTCCAAATGCTGCTCGGGATTCTAAGAAGAATATGCTGACTTCTAGTTGTACAGAAGGAGAAGGAGACGCCCCCACAGAAGGAGAAGGAGAGAATAACAAGAAAAGCGATCATAGTCATAACATCTACGGTCGTGCTAATTCCATTGCGGTTACGCCGATGTTTCCTCGACTGGCACCAGGTGAAAGGATGCTTTCTCCTACTGCCGAAGAGGAAGGCCACTGTCCGACGACCCCTCTGTCGGTGAAAACACGGATAGAGGATCGATTGTCGTGGTCAGTGCAGACCGTGGAGGTGGATGAGGCGGCGGTTCGCGATGCATTAGACCATGATGGTTCATCCGGTTGTTCAGTAGTTGACAAAAGCAGGGTGGTTCCAGTTCAACCAGGATCGCCGACATTTTTCTGTGTGCAAGATGTTCCAATACCGGAGACGAGCAATGATGGCGAGGATGTCATTCACGAGAAAAAGATGCTCTACCTGCAACGAGACAGCGCACTTCCTCCTGAGGAGGAGCAGGGAGATTTGTTTCTGACACCAGAGGTGGAGATGAACGCCGTAGAGCATGAGGAGAAAATGCAAGATGAGGTGGACAAGCAGGACAATGTGGAAGATAATTCTGGTAAGTTTGCAGACGCGAAGAATGAGGGTGTTACAACTGGATTGCGCAAAGCAGTACATGGTTCTTCACCACTTGATCGGAAAATGAAATCATCATCTTCACCTCTAGATAAGGTTGTAGAGAAGAAGCGTCCTCTAAATGGACAAAGACGTAGTCCTGGTGAAAAGCTTCTGCTTGTGCGATCTACTGGTCGGCGAAATACGGGCTCGCCTTTGATAGCTACAGGAGGACAAGCGTCGAAGTCAAAAATCCCATCACCACCACGACCGAAGAAGAAAGCTGGTGGTGCTTCTCCCTCACCCGGTGGCGTTCAGGTGGTGTCGACGAGGCCTGGTGTGAGGACTTCAACGTTACTGACCTCGCCGAATAGTACATTGCTGAAGTCGCCAGCCAAGATCAATAGTGCGCCGCCTCTTCAAGTAGCAGCTGGTGAGGCAAACAAGCGTGGTGTTGACGTAGCACACAGTTCAAGTTCAGGAGGAGCGAATTTGTCGAAGACGAGGATTGGAAACACGTCAACGGATCAAGCAGTCGCGAGACCACCTCAGCCTCCGCGAGTAGGTGTTCAGAAAAGTGTTTCGCCGCAACGCAAAGGCCTTCCTTCTACGTCTCCGTCAGGCGTTCCCCAACGCATCTCTCCACTCCGGAAGTTGGCCGTTGCAAGGGAAGCGAAAGCCGGAGCACCCAGAGAGTCCTGCGTGCGTCATTCGCCTTCTAGTGCAGGGCAAAGGAAAGCAGGTACACCAGCACCAGGTCGTGGCGTGTATTGTCTAGATGACACAACATCTTCAAGTTGTCCACCAGTTGTAGATGGCCAGAAGTTGCCTACAGCCGAGGCTCACCATGAGGAGGCAGCGCCAAATACAACGGACACTTCTGCAGGCCTGTCTTCACAGCTGATGCCTGCGCCACGTATGTTGAATGTTTCTGATGTGCATGACGTTCCTCCGGAAGATGGTGCACAACTAGAAGTAGCTAAACAAGAAGCATCGCCAGGTGATGATCATTTTCATGACGTAGAAGACCAGGACGTACAATCCAATGCGCATCACAGCGCACTCACACAACTGCAGGATGGACAAGAAGATGGTACCACAGGCACTTCTGTGACGACTGCGTCGAGCCAGCAGCTGCCTTTGATGGTCTCATGTTTTTACGGTGAAAGCATGATATCGCGAAGTAGCTGGGCTCCAGCGGACGAAGATCGATCTCCAGTTCGTAGAAGCACCGATGCAACGACGATGCGGCGACGTTTTTCTACGACAGAGCAGCAACGTTCAGGGAGGATCAGCGTGCGACGGGATCGCAACTACGGTGTCTCACCTTCAGCGCAGTTTAGGGCGGCACAGGAGAGGTTTGAGAGCGAGTCTCGAAACTTTTCTTCAGCAACCAGTGGCCAACATCCAGGAGGAGATGATGATGAAGAAGAAGACGGTACTAGCGACCAGACAAGCGGTAGAGGAGGTACGACGTTCCATGATGCTGTTCACCCTGAGAACGGTCCTTCACTGTTCGATACTGATACAGAGCATTACGATCCGCATACGGGAGAGCATCATGTAGGACGAAATGGTGGAAGCAGTGCAGCATCTAGTTCGCCGAGAAGCAGCAGCACTAAAAATGGAAGTACTAGCGTTAATGGTGGTGTTTTTAGAAACGGCAACGTCGAGTATCACCAAGGACCACGTGCTAGTGCGTCTTACCATCTCGACCGACTACTCGGTGCACACCATTCTTCTCTCTATGCTCCTCGCGAAATCACACCAAGGGACGAGCAGAATTTGACTGAGCACATTCGCAGTATTCAGGAAGTGAACGCGTCAGAAAACGCAGAGCATTATGCGTACATGGGTCTCCTAGATGGTGAGCAGAGCTCGAAATGTTCGTCCCCGCGAATGTCACTGAACGGAGCCTCGAGTCCGAGTGGCGCGTTGAGTCCAAAGAGTGGCGCGCTGAGTCCCAAAAGCGGCGCGTTGAGTCCCAAAAGCGGTGCATTGAGTCCACGAGGGAGGTCAAATCGAAGCTCTCGAAATACGTCGAAACAGTCGTCCGCAGTGACGTTCCGGGATCATCACGATCATCATGGCGACCATGCGAATGGACGAGAGGGGCATTATCATGGCCTTGGCCACCATCACCACAATGGTCGTCATAACCATCCGCATCGAGACATGCTCGAAAGCTTTCAAGCGGAGAGGCAGTACTTGTTATGGTCATGCTGGATTATAATCCTTTCAGTTCCACCAGTAGCTTGTCTGACGACAACAGCCGGTAGATTGAATGATGATGCAGGCAACTACTTACAACAGGAGTTGAAGTTGATGATAGATCAGGTTGCGAAGTTCAAACCTTGATACAAGTCGTTTTTGAAATTTGAAGTGTTCACAGATATCGACCGAGGAACATTTTTCTTTTTCAGCTCACAATAGACAATCACTCTAAGTCTCATCCAAATCGGTGCGGATCGCTATTGCCGCATTGGATACGGTTTCGGGAACTTAGGTCGCACAGTCGTTACTGTTAGAACGGAGAGCCAAGACGTCCTCACTTTTATCGACGACCCGATGACGCGACACCATGCGACGGCAGGATCCGGGAGTAGTTCGCATCGGCCACATCGCGAAGCACACGGTCTGCGCACTGATCTGACGCAACATCGCTTGCTAGTAGACGACCAGTACCCAACGTACGAGCATTTGTTGCCGGACTTTATGACCGGGAACATGAACAAACAAGCTGGTGTTGGTAGTGTTAGCGGCAGTGGTCCTTACAACAATTTTCCTGTTGGATCGCCACTTCCGACTAACCTTCTGGCAGGAGGTTCCATTCCCACAGCACCGGAGGGCAGCCCACGGACGAGCAGAAGCATTGGCATGGCAGCGCTGATGCAAGGACGCGCTGCTGGTGGGACCAGAGCCGGAGACCAAGACAGTTCGGCGTTGAATGACAAGTTTTTCTTCTTTCGCGAGCCGGAGCCTGGAGGTTTTAATGGTGATCAAGGTGCATCATCGACTCAGCAGCATCATAGCCACCACCATGGTCCCGAACATGCGCATCTTCATCATGCTCACCACCATGGTCATTATCATCACGGCCACCATACTTTAGAAAGCCACACAGGAGGACCTCGAGAAATGTACGGTGCAGGTGCTTCTTCGATTGTCTATGTCAATCTCGGCAAAGGGTACACGACTAGATCTGTTGATGCTAATACAGCCGGGCAACCGGGGGCAGCGGCACCCGAGGAACCCGCTTTAGACGGCGTTCCTGGCAACAACGCCGCTTCTCGTGATTCGCGATCAAGCCGTCAGTTTGTGTCGACGACTAGTGACATTGAAAAGCAAAATACAAATACAGCCACTTCTTCTTCTACAACGGTCCGTGTAAGCGAGGATGTGGCGGTTTGTCTCGGTCTGGCGACCCCGTGGGACAATGAGCACACGCATGTGAAAAACATGATATGCGTTGCGCATTCTGGGGAGATCCGTGAGGCGTGGCAGAAGAGTTCTGAAGAATTTTTAGTTGAGTCGGATCTCATGGTTGAGGCCGGCGCACAATCGCGGCTGCTCACTGCTCGAGGCGAAGCTGTAGCTTTTTTGGAAGAACGAGAAAAAGAAAATGGAGTTGGAGATGACGATTATCCAGATGAAGGCGCTGGTACAACTACTTCGCGGACTAGAAAGTTGTTGGTTCCTCGTCTCGAAGATAGAGAACACGTAAGTTTGTGGAATCATCAACGGATGGTTGAAGCCGTGGTCGTGCGCACAGAGCACCACACTAGGCATGAAAATTTCAAGCATGGAGCTGGCAAGCATGTTGTGGATGAAAATGGGAACTTAGTTGTGATGCCGAATACGAATGGTAGTCAAGAGAAGACAACCACAACGACAACAAAAACCTCTTCTTCCTCTCGTGTTTTGGTGATGCGCGATTGTGAACCGGAAAACCCATTCGACTTTGCACGTGGGAAACCAGGAGTGCTCGGAAAGTTCAAGACAAATGCAGAAAGTAACAAAGTCGAAGGAGTTCGGTATGAAGGTTTATTTGCCTCTGGAGGAAATAGTGCCAGTGGTCCTGGTGGTGCTTCTAGCCCTCCAATGGAGGGGGCAGGTGCTGCCGCAGCGGCAGCCTTTCGAAAAGCTGGTGGCGGACGTCCAAACCGATGGCTGCAAGCGAAGTCGCTTCTTGCTGGCAGGGCGTCGTCGCCGGATGACGGAGCAGCAGCACAAACAGGGGGAAGTCGAGCGGGTCTGAAGAATGTCGTAGCTACAGCTGTTGCCGAGGCAAGGAAAGTGTTCCTAAAACCGAAGCGATGGGACAGCATTGACGTCACTGCCGATAAAGACAAAGACGAGAGCGCGAGCGCCAAGGTCGTGTCTCCACCTAGTCCTTCTCCAAGGCGTAGTAGTAAATCAGTTGTAGCTTTTACAGATGCAAATGAGGGTAGTAGACCAAGCACAACATCTGCAGGACCAGGAGGCCCGAATAAGCCACCTGCCTACGTGGCACCAAAACGGTTTTCTACAAGGCCCAGTTCCATGTTTGAAGATGCAGTGTCTACTCCTGAAGACGAAGGAGCTGCACAACGAGGAGATGGACAAGCAAACAGCAAAGATGACGAGAATCTAATACCAGAGGATGGAGGAGGGCAGCAGACGTTTCATTTCATGGAGTACGAACCTGAGTCCTCTTCGGGTGAAGAAGGTTCAGCGTCGACTTCATCGTCTTCGGACGAGAAGGGAAAGGATGGCGCAGCAGCGTCACAACAAACGGGGTCACCACAACGGCCAACTGCAGAAGCTGCAGAACTACAACGCGGGATGATACTTGGTCGTGGAAATTCGCAGATTTTGCCTCGGCTTCAGTTGCCAAATAGTCCAAGTCGTGGGCTTGGAGGTATTTTAGGACAGACAGGCGGAGGCGGCAGAACAAATATTGGCGCGCCTCTGACTGCACGCGGCATTATGTCTCCAGGAATTTCAAACATTCCATCTCCCGGAAATAGTTCACCAGCAGCTACCGCAGCAGCATCGTCATCTAAAAACCCAAAACGAAGCAGCTCTACCATCACCTCGCCTAGTGGAAAAACGAGGAAAATACGACATCACCATCACCCGCACCACCAAAAGAAGATGATGAAGAAGGCAGAGACCGCATTCCGCGAAAGTCATTCCGTATCCGACAATATCATTAATCTAGTGGAGTCTGCGCGAAACTCTACTGCGGGATCCCGATCAGTATCTCCTGATGAAGCCCGGGGTGTTCCTAGAGGAGATCTTCAGGTTGACGAGGGTGCCAAAAACGAAGACAAAACTCCTGATGACAATATCGAGGAAGATGAGGAAGACGAAGATAGCAGAGGTGAGTATGCGACAAGTTCGAGTGATACTCCGACGGACGAGAAAACGAAGCGATTTAGTCGAAGTGCGACCGCTTCTGTGCAGAGTAACGCGATGAAAAATCAGAAAAACTACAAGAACAAGTCAGGAACTCTTTATCCAGGTCGTGACCATACGGTTGCTAGTAAGAAGAACAGTTTCCCCATCGTTGGTGTGAAGAGCATGATGATGCGTGCATCCCAGCAAGGCGTGCGGCCAGAAGACTGTGCGCCGTTAATCGAACTACCGCAATGGCAGATGCTGAAGCTAGCTGAAAAACCGCAATTGAAGGACGCTCTAGTTGGCCACAGTCTACATGACACTCTGCGGGAATTCAGCAATCGAGGTCGCGCCAGTGTAGCTGGCATGTCAAAGACGAGCAACGATGTCAAAGACGATCTTCATGGAGAAGACGGAACTACCAGACAAGACGGCGTTGATCAAGCGACGACGAAAGCATCAAAGCAAGCTACAGGTTCGAATACGTCACCAGGCAGTTGTCCATCCGGTAGCCCAGCAACTCGTAGGTTGAAGTCTTCTGGCAGCACTTTCCTCAGCCCACCGCGTCGATCTACTGCTTCTAAACTGAAGATCAAGAGTCCAGACACGATTTTTTTTCCGGAAAAGTTTTTGCAGAGCATTGACGTTTTCCTGGAGCAAAATGCAGTAGCCGACCCGGAAGAAGTGCGGGACGGGCTGTTGTGGGAGCATTTCATCGAGTCGATGGAAGATGAGCTGATTCGGACAACAGGGTCGCCCACTCGCAGTCCGCGGAGGTCTGCCGCAGCCGCGATTGTGCATCGCAGCAATCAGGAACACAAATCAATCTCCAGAAGTTGGAGTTGGCGTGGCAGCACTAGCACAGGCGACGAACAAACTCCTAGTGCAGCTGCAGGACGTAAAGGCGGTGAAGCGGATAATGTCGGTGCGAGAAGTGGAAACATAAGTGCTACAGCCCACAGAAATCTTCAGCAGACGCCGGCATCTTCTACTTCTAACGGCAGGAGCAGTACAAATACGTCACTGATGGAGCAGAAGCCACACTTCCAACATCGCATGCGCGGTTCAGAGATGGGGACGACTTACATCATTATCGACGCGAGTGTTAGCTTCGGTCCCAACTCAACGAGTACGTTTTTGAAAACGCCGACAGCGTTCGTCTACCCACGGAATGGCTCGACTCAAGCCGTGCAACTGGTTCCGAGAACTACTGGTGCTACAACATGCGGAGTTGGCAGTACCCACTTTTATCAACACCACTCGACAAGCGGTCAAAAACTTTCTTCTAGCCAATTGCAATTGTTTGAGTCATCGACCTCTCAACTAGGCCTAGGCGGCAGCAGTAAGGGGTCTCTATCTTCTCAACTCAATCCTGCGCAGGATCATCAACAACTACGGCTTCACATTGTGCCAGTTCCGAAGGTGTTGAATTGGTCGTCAGTGCGGTTGTTTGCTGAAAAATTGTTGATCGAGAACATGTTGCGCGATTGCGAAGATCGGAAACTGCGGAAAAAAGCCAGAAAGAAATCCGAAATGCAAGAACGCAAGAAGATGCTCAGGGTTACGCCGCAGAGTGCACCTAGCGGTGGTTCGCAAACTAATGCCTCGACATCTGGTGCACTAGGAACTACCGCACAGCATCATTCAGGTTCCGTCTCACATCCAGATGCAGCGCAGAAGCAATTGCCTGTTTACGTCGCCACATCTGGAAATCCGCGTGATCATTTGCGTCTGAATGCGGGCAGAATGCTACGGGAGAGTTTGCGGAAGGGTGCTGCGGAGCAAGACCTTGCTTTCAGGGCTGGTCTAAAGATGTTGTCGAAAGATGGGAAGCCGATTAATAGCGTACCTGGAGGTATAATAGTAGAAGCTGTTCCTGGTAGAAGCGGTGGCTCGAAAAAGACGACATCATCGCCTGGGGCCGATTCAGCCGCAACTACAGCAGGACTTCTGTATGAGGCTGAACTGCTGAGTTACGGTCTTGCCGCTAAGAGCATCGGCTTCGTTCCGAAAGGATCGGAGTTTGTGTCAAATCCGCATCGAGAACATCTTCTGCCAGATAGTGATGACCATGTTGGGAGCTCGTCCAGCAATAACCAGTACTGCCGTGCAGAGCCCGCTGCTTGGTCGCCAGGCAGTCCTGGAGGGCGTAGTCGGACTCCGGGCGGAGGACAGAAGGGCGGGAGATCACTTAGCATGCCACCGGGTCTGCATGTAGATGTGGAGGCACTGCAACAAGTTTCTCTGCCGCATCGAGGAGTTTTAGTTGGCAAAAATAGTGCGCATGCCCTTGTTGGTCGGTTTCCACCTAGCTCGCAAGGCCGTGGTAGACGAGCAGTCTCTTCAGCATCCGCTGCTGCGGCAAATAAGCGAGCAGTGAGCGGTGGTATTTACAGTAGCTCGAGCACGTTGCATGGACCAGCTGAGAACAGGTTTGACGACACAAACTTGCGAACTCCACATGGTTTGGCTTTGCAGTTGCCACAGACGGCTCCACTGATGACGTTGCATAGTACGATGATTCGAGCACACCTGAGCAGGTCACCGCCGAAGACGATGAACCAATTTTATGCTTGCTGCTTCTTCATATGTGAAAAGTTCTTACATACTCTTTCTTACAGTTTAAATAATGCAACCAGTTCCAATTGTTCCAATTTTTCAAGACGGAATCTCCACAACTGCATCTTTCTTTTCTTAGCCGGAAATGACTGTACATAGTCATAGCAATTTTTCGATTCTAAGAAACAGCTACAATTCCCGGAGTAGGTGATTTAGGACGCAAGTCGAGATCCCAGAGTAAGCCTGGAAGCCCACACGAGTACTCTACTGCAGCCGCAGCGAATAGTACAACTTCTACTGGTCCATCAGGCGGACTTCCGAGCGGAGGATTGATATCAGCACCTCCTACTGCTCCTGGCGGTTTCTTGCGTCCGCCTTCTGCTTTTACAGGGCTGGGCGATCATGGGACGAAGGGAGGACCTTTGTATGCTGGCGGAGCGTTGTCTTCATCATCTAGTCATCCCCGGGGTGCTGCCTCGGTTTTGCCGCATCACATCAAGCAATTGACGAATCTGCGATCGCCGCGAATGCTTGGTGAAGTGTCTTTGGCGCCGTCACTTTCAGTTGGACAGCTTGCTACGGTGGCATCTTCTGCAGCACCTGCACCTTCTTCAGGAGTTCCTGAAGTACAGGTAGGACCACTAGGAGTAGCTCCAGGAGGAACTGCCACAGAAACATCGGGGATTGGGTATCCGCTACCCCCGCGTGGCCCGAACAGCCCACATGGTGCAGCCGGATCTTCGCGAGTTTCCTCGAAGAACAGTGGAGGACAAACACAAGTTCAACTGCCTCCACAGTTGCCAGCTTCTACACCTAGTAAAGTAGCGACGGATAAGCATCATCAGCATTTTGCGGACCAATTCGACTGGATTTTTGAGAAGCAAAAGCAAGCAGGTCTGGATGTCTCGCGTCGTCTGCGGGAGCACGACGGTTTCGTGCGCCAACAAGCAGCTGAGCTCTTGCATGAGCAGGCCCTGAGCAGTAGAGAGGCGAAGTTGGTGGCGGAACAGCAGGCGAAAGCCTTAGCGCAGAAACAGCGGAAGCGGGAAGCGGAACAACAGCAAGCCGCAAAACTTCAAGAAGCAAGACAGGCAGTAATGGAAGTCGGGAACTGCGTTAATCAAGAAGTCGAATCAGCACCACTAACAATAACATCGAATAGCCGGGCCGGAGTAGATCATGGAGGTGAAGATAGGAGACCATTAATATCAAATGGCCGGGCCGCTGGAGATGGAGGTGAAGATAGGAGACCATTAAGTAGATCAATTGGGGTCGAAGGCAATTCCGGCTCGTCCACTAGTGCTGCATATACCCCTCCGAAATTCGTAGCTCAATCGAATGCAGAAAAGCAGAGGTATGGATTTATCCAATTCACAAATCGACGCACTAAGCAAATCCTTTTTGACCCTGCGGAAGGTGGAGTCATGGCTTCACTGGCCGCTTCAGCACCTATTCCAGCGCCACCGACCTCTCATCACGCATACATCACAACTGCATCCAAAGAGTCCTTGTCGACAGGCCAAGTGGCAAGGAAGGCAAACAAGAACCCGTTAGTTGCAAAAGCCAGTGATTTGCGCGCATTCTTGAGTACTCCACCGCCTGCTTTGCCGAGTACGGGCCCAGGCACTGAGCCCAGTGTGATTCACGATAGTGCGAATAAGATCAACAAGATACTGTCGGGAGAACAAGTTCCGAGTGGTCTCACGGCAGAGAAGGTCGGGAAGTTTCACATGCCTGGATTGGTGGATGTGAAGAAGACGATCGAAAAAGTTCAACAAGACCGAAGCAACGAAAAACAAGATGTTCGTACGAGAGCGCGACGGCGATCGAGCATAGAAAGGCACGAAGCTGCGGCTGTCGCTGCGACGGAGCGGATCCGGGCATCGAGGAGAGAGTCAAAAATCAAGCTAGAAGATGAAGCAGCAGCAGAGGAAAAAGGAGGTGCGCCATTTAGTTCGTATTCTTATGGTGCAGGTGGCACGTCGACGTCAGGTGGAAATAGAGCATCGAGCAGAACACCACGACCGCGCAATGTGGAACTCGAGCGCGATCCTGTGCAGCAACAACGCGGATTGATAAGTCCAGCTCGTCCTTCCAAGGGTCCCAGGCCTGGCGACTGGCGTAAAAAGCCAGAAATAAAGGTTGCATCAGCATCCTCTCCACCGAAGACTCTTCTTGGAGTGGACACACCAAGGTTGAAGTTAGTCCCACAGTTGGGACAGATAGCTGGTAGTCCGGGTCTAGTAAGCGATGGTGGAGGTACTTCAGTTGATGGAGCCGGCACATCGTTTCTGTTTGCACCAGAGAGTCGTGGAACATCGAAGCCGGCACCTTTGCGGTACTTCTCCGTGATGGACACGAAGAAGAGCTACGAAGCAGGCGGAGGATGTAATTCACCGACCAGATCGAGAAGTGCGTCACCTAAAATTAAGGATCATCATTGGTAGAGTGTTGGTTTTCATTATGCAGAGCGAAGTGGTGTCGTCCCACGTTTCCGCACTTGACAAAGTCAGCATAATGAAAAACTACAACCTACTTTCGCTAAGAAGAACAGAAATTACCTGACGCTGCTGAGTCGGACACCTCTCGATTCTCATTCCGGAGCAGGGAATGATAGTGTATTAGGTTCTTCGCCTAGAAGCACAGCATCGACCTTTATTCGTCCTCTAGGAAAGAAGAAAAGTGGTCGTCCCGAGTGGGTAAATCCGATGTCGACACGAAAGTCGGTTTCATCTTGGGCGCAGATTCCGGTCAACGTCCTCGATTCTCCAGATGGCTTGGCCGATGCGAATTTGCGATTGCCCATTCCAGGACCCTCAACATCTCGAGGCTCCTCTCCCACGAGGAGTTCCAGAATGCCAAATAGAAGTAGTCCTGGTGCCAGAAGCTGCTCTTCTCGAAGAGGAGGTGGGTCTACGACACCGAGAAGTGCACGTTCACGAAGCCAGCATAATCTTCATCAACCTTGCGGTCAAGACGATGCTGTAGAGCAACATGATGGCCAGTGTACTTTCGGCGCCTCCTCCCCTTCGCGTAGTTCCTCTTCTCAGCAGAAAGCGAGACCAAAAGCCAAGCCTTTTCACTACGACTCGAGCAGCGGAGCTTACACAGCAGAGTACTACGATGCGACGCATCAGCAGCACGTTCTAGAACGGTGCTATCCGAATGGTATCCCCGAAGAGCAGAGACGACTGGAGGCAGAGCTCTCCACCGTAGAAGCAGACATGGCCAATCTGCGGAAGAAGCTGGTGCGCCGTGAGCAAGAAACCCTGAAAAGGCTGGAGGAGATCAATAGGGTGGGGCCTTCACCTGCAGAGAAAAGAAAAGCCAAGTTTTACGCGCGAATGGCATCGCCAAAGAAACGGGGGGTTCCTGTGGGTATGGTGGCGAAAACTGCACTAAAATCGAAGGACAACAACACGTGGAAGCTTGTCGGGCCTACATCCGGCGGGTTTTCGTTTTATTCATCTGAATCCTTGACGACAGCTCCAGAGGACAGTGCACGTCTTGGATTTGGTACTAGCAGTCTCCAGTCCTCTCCTGTCATCTCATCGAAGAGAACGATGCGAAATGGAGATTGTAGTAGTGCCAAAAAGCCGAAGAAGAGTCCGAAGAAAGACAGGGTAGAAGATAACCCAACGAGTAGCACTAGGGATTTTAGTAGGTGCACCACATCAGAAGAACTAGAACACACAGGTCGAGATCAGGAGCTCAATTTAGGCGACGCTCGGGCAGAAGATGAAGATAGAGATACTAACCTCTATGAAGACGTCGTGGAGCGAACCTCTAGTGCTGAACAGCACGAAGTGCAAGAGAGCGACCAAGGTAGCGATTCCGCCTTTTTGAGTGCGTCTTCATCGTCTAGCGCGTTTTCGTTCTCGCCGGGAAAAATCGGGAATACTTCGCAACGAGTTTTAGCATCGCGAGTAGCAGCGAAGAGGAGCTCAACAGGTAATATCTTGCGCATGAACGTCGTTCTTCCCGGACACCAGCAACAGGCTCTACTTCTAGGTGGACTAAAAAACACCTCCAAAACTTCTAGTACACGACGTGCTCGGTCCGTCTCGCAGGGTGCTCCGTTGTCACCAGTGTGGGAAGAGGGACGGAGCAATAGTTTGGACAACAACAAGAGGGCAAGTCCGAAAAAGCGGCTGTCGGGTAAAGCAGCTACAATGATGTTCTATCCGGAACATCAGATGATGCTGGGAAGTAGTACGCTCAGCTCATCTGCAGGAGTAGTTCTTGAAGGGGCGGCTGGTGTGGGAGGTGGTACAACTAGTATCTCTTCGTGTAGTGCGGCTGGTGTGGGAGGTGGTACAACTAGTATCTCTTCGTGTAGTGCTGGAGATAGTAAGACAGTAGAAGTACGAGAAAATGATGATGTGCAGCACAGGAGTACATCTCAAATCAACAGGCACCTGATCTTCGAGCCACTCGGTACTTGTGAAGACGTGATAGTAATCAAGGAAGAGGAAGTAGAGCTGGAAGATGCTGACGGAGAAGAAGTGGCGCCACAATTAAGAAGTGTGGCAGATCATGCTGGTCCAGTTCCGCTTCCTCCTCAACAGGATCAAGTCGGCACTTTATCTTCATCTTCCTCAGCTTCAACTCCAACAGCAAGTCAGAACAGTTCTAGTGACAGAACTAGGGCCAGAACAGCGGCTCCGGCAAAGGTGTTTTCGGAACAGCGTTTGGTGTCTTCGGATAGCGCAAACATGATAAACATGACTGGTCAACGTCAAGTTCGACCGGCCTCTGCGACAAGATCGACTTCGTCAAAGGTGTCGACTGAAGTTTTGCCATGTTCCGCAACGCAGGTGAAGATTGTGAGGCAACCAACTACAAGTACAAGTGCAACGTCTTTGACAAAAGAACCAAATAGAAGTGCTCTACAGGAGCTTGTGCAGCCTCGTGGACCATCGAGTAGAATTGTAACCGCGCAACAGCAACCACAGCAGAACCGAGGTCGACGATTGAACAAACCGCCTGCGCAGCCTCAGTCACAGCAAAGTGTGCGTCTTCATAATCCACCAACCACAACTACAACTACAGCAAATCGTGGGATGTTGCATCAAATTTTCGCGTCACGTCGGCAGCGGAAAACTGACGTTGCGCCGACAATAGCAGTCAGGACGACGCGGGGATCTAGCTTGCGAAGAGATATCGGGCAGGAACGTCGCCTGTCAGCGAGCGTGGATGGAGGTGCGTTTTGTTTTCCACAATTTCGATCACAGGTTTGTAGGATTCAGCACGGGTGGAGAAGACCTGTTTTAGTTCTGTTTAGTTTTTTCATGCAAAATCTGCACGTTTCTTGATGAAAAACAACATCACAACGAAAACCAAATTTGAGTCTTCAACACCCTTTCTCAGATCTACTTCTCCGCTCGCAACCGAGTACCGGGCAGAGTTGAGAACGAGGACGGTCCGGGGGAGAAAGGGTGCCATTCTGTAGTTTTGATGCGTAGTTTAGATAAATTTCACATATCTACAAGAACTCATTACGACTTACAGAGATTTTATCAAGATAGCTACAAGTACAAGTACAACCACACGTGATTACAGATTTTGGTTCGCACTATAAATAGAATTAGTAACTGGATGAATACAGGTATTTTTTGGTCTCCACTAGATCAACAAAAATTCAGTATTGATTGATCATACCACAAGCACGACATAACATTAACAAAGATAATCGTACTCCGTGCACTACACAAACAGAAAGTCCTCATGTCAAGCTAGTATCGGAATCGGCATGATAATGTACCAAGTAGATTTTGATGATGAATGGAGTTAGCGCTAGTTCATGTTTTTAAGCATAGCATTGAAAATGTATCAACAAGTACAGAAAACCAAGAGAACCTAGTTCGTGAAAGACATTGCGCATACACAACTTAAGTTATTGCTCTGAATTCTGCGAGGGGGGTCCGTTCTCATTTACGTTATCTATCAATCACATAGCAATAACATTCAGTAAACCTCTGATGTCAGGGGACGAAGCACAGCGATTCACATGGTGGTTTTGCCAAGTTCAAGTAGGAGATATTCCTTTTGCATTAAGTATTCTCCGTCTAATGCATGAACAAGTAATTCAAATTCTTAACTTTCTTAACGCTTCTGATAGCAGCTTCGTATTCTCAAAGTGAAGGACTAACATAATCATTTAAAAAACATTATCTAAACAGTACTTGGTGTTGTATCAATCTGTATCGATTCTCATTTCCTGTCCCTTATTGTGCGTAGTTCCAAGAACAAGAACAAGAATGATCCTTAATGTTTGTAGTAAGTTGTGCAAACTTTGAAAAATGTAACTGTGTTTTAGAAATTATCAGCTTGCTACCGTGTTTGGACCAACATCCCCGAAGTAAAACGACCTGCATGATGGATCGATCCTCATTGATAAAAAGCCCTCTTGGAAGATTTCATACTTATGAACTCTACTTATTCGCGGTCAGCGTGTCTACGTGTTTCAATTTTCACATTGGTTTGGTCGTCCTGTCCCTCGTAGGTACGCCGACAGGAGGAGTTTGGTGTTGCGAAGGTAAGTTTTCGAGCGCGTTTGCATCTTGGTAGCTATCCATCCATCGGAAGAAAAGCTTGGCAGTTTTCAACGACTCGAATTTGACGGGGACAGCGAGGTAGAAGAAGAAACAGAATCTTAATCTTTCACTGATTGATTAATAACCGACCAGAAAAATATAAATAAGAATCTACTCAAAGATGAGTGTTCCTCTTTTGCGGCACGCTGTACCTCGTTCCGAGCAGCAATGCCGTGCGGCGATATTCGTTGGCAAGAGGCGCCGTCCGCGAACCACGACAGCGCGACTTTGCGTAAACGGATCGCATCAACACCGTACTTTTTCAGCAGAAAGTGCGGCTCCGTTTCTAGTCCGTCACGCACAGATGCAGAGGACGAACCGCTCGATGGCTGGCGGATATGTAGCGCTGAAGGAACCAGCAGCTTCTTCTGCAGAGGCTAACGTGCGTATTGCGTTGGGTCACGACATCGGAGTCAAGACAGAGCCAGTGTCAGAGAGTGTAGCTCCTCATGCTAGTCAGCAAAGTGACCAGAAGAAGCGTTTACCTCTCCGCGCCGGCTGTCCCTGGATCCCTTCTGCAGAGAGCGTTCCTGACTCTGTCGCTTTACTCGATAACAAGGATTTTCGGAGCAGCAGTCCAGTTTTGCTCAATTTGAAAAATGATTCGAGAGCAGCTGCTACAACGGGAAATCAGACGAGCGGTCAGCAGGAGCCGCGTTCAACACCACCAGAGCAGGACGTGATTTCCGAGATGCGTTCTGCAATTGATGCGCGGTTGCATGTCTCTGGCGGGATCCTTTTTCAGGATGTGACTCTTCCTACCGGCTTGTCTTTTCGCGAAGCAACTTCTCGTCTTGGCTACGCGCCGATCAACACGTATGCTGGAGGTGCGGCATTACGCAACGAAGCCGACGACGATGTTGGAGAAATTTCTTCAACACCTTGCGCAGTAGATTCTTCCTCTCCAGGCGTCGTGAATGCTTCTCCTGTACCTGACGTGATTGCCAAGATCTTCACCGCTTCGGAGGAGCTCGCCGAGGTAGTGCTCGAACCGCATCAGGAAGCCTCCTACATGCCGACGTTTCCTGCGAAGTTTTTCCTGTACTGTGATTTTCCTGCCAAAGAGGGAGGCGAATCTGCTGTCACCGACATGAGGGCCGTCACTGCGGAGCTGTTCGCGAGAGCACCAGACTTCATGCGAAAAATCGAGCAGCTTGGAGTGCGGTACATCTTCCGGATGGGCGCAGACGCGGGAGCTTACTACAGTTGGCCGAAGCAGCTCGAAACCGAATCGAAAATGGAGGTCGCAAAACTCCTGAAAACACGGTACACGAGTGCAAATCTCGACCACGATTTGCAGATCAAATGGTGTACAGACGCTACGGGGAGAGGACTTGTGCTGGAGGGCACAAAAAGCGATGATGAGCTTGAATTTTCCTACACTTGTCCTGCGTTTGTGCGGCATCATGTCACCGGGGAGCGACTTTTCTTCAACCAGGCTGCTGTGTTGCATGGGAGTTACTTCGCATATCACCCCGATTGGAAGGTCGTGCAAGAAGAACAACAGGGAAGAACTACACCTGTTACAACGGCGGACCCGGATATAAACAGAACAAGTAACAAGAATTAAGGCTCAGCTTTCAATGGTCATTGGGGTTGGTCACTGAGATCGAAGAAGCGACCCCTTTGGAGAACAGGGGAAAAGGAAGGGAAAGGAGAGACCTTTGAAGGGGGTCTCTTGCGTTCAGCATCAGTGACCATTGAATGCTGAGCTTTAAAAGAAGTACATTCGTGTCTCTGAAGCCGATGCTTCGGCTCAGTGGGCGCCGTTCGACAGCTGTTTCGGCAATGGAGAGCCCTTCTTGCAGGCAGACATGGATTTGGTTCGCGCTATTGTTTGGGAGAACACCAAAGCAGTGAAGCTGAAAGAGGGAGATTTGCTGGTCTTGGACAACTTGCTTTGTGCTCACGGTCGGTTTGCTTGGAACGGTGCTAAGTACGATCGTCGCTTGCAGGTATCGTTGGCAGAAGCAAGAGGTTGGATGTCGGAAACGTCGGATTTTGAACATCTACAACTTCTTGCTTCATCTACTTCTTCGACTCCTCCTGCATCTTCTAAATCTAGTGGTACTAGCACAACGATTTCGCCGCATGCCCAATTGGAGGCCTTAGAAGCATTGGGGATGGGCGCTGTGGCGGCACCGAACTACACGACGACTGAGCAGGGAAGCGTGACTGCCGAGAAGTTGTTTTCTCAACTTTCGGACTACAACGGTTTGATCGTATTCACTAAGAACGAGAACGATACGGATACCTTCCTCGTGGGCGCATTGAAGGAGCAGGAGGACAAAGCTGCTTCTACTTCATCTTCTGGAGAAAAGAAGATGAAGAATTACGATCACATGCTAGCCTTGCGCTGCGATTCTAAGGACGGGGCGACCCTGCGAGTAACTTCTATGCGGCATTTGACCCAAGCGGTTTTGGCGAGAGCCGCGGTTGACAGTAAAGACAAGGATCCTTTGATCGTTCACCCGGACGGCATTGATTCACTGCTTATGTGTCCCAAGGACAACACCACTCAAGCAGCGAACTTGGTTGAGCAGTCTCCGTGGGCGCTTGTGAATCCGAGCTGCGCGGCAGCAGTTGCGGCGCAAGACTGGGGAAACACGCGCATGCTGAAACTGAATGAGGGCGATGTTGTGCTCATTGACCGATTTCTGGCAGATGTTGAAATAGTCGGCGATAATGCAGCAAGAACTAGTGTGGTATACGATGGCACGTCTCTTCTATCTGCCTCATGCTCAGATGCGACCAGCAAAGAGAGCCCTCTTCTTTCAACTGACTCTACATCAAGTACTAACCATCTCCTTTGGAGTCAGCAAGCGAAAAAGTCACACGACTGGGAGCTGCGACAGCGCTCATCGCCTAAAAACTACGTGCATAGCTTTTCGATTCTGACGCCACTGGAAAAAGACATTGCTCTCAAGGACGATATGGTTGCAGCGCACAAACTGATTTCGCATTTTGATATGGACGAGCTCGTCTGGAACCACATATCGGCGCGCTCATTTGCACGACCACACCGCTTCTTTATTTCCAATGGGGACAAGATTTATGATGGTGAAGATTCTAGTGCTATCTATGTCAGAGTAGTTTATAGCACGCATGGTGCATGGAGTAGCATGCAGTGCATGGAGCGCAGAGCTTTAAGGGGCGCAAGAAGCTCCCCCTTTAGCTCCATGCTACTCCATGTGATCCATGCACTCCATGCCGTGCGAGCCGTGAAACCTTATCAATTTCTCTGCTATGTATACCTCCTTCCGAGTTCGCTTACTTATTTGGTTCTGCTGTCTTTGTCTACTCCACCTTGAAGTTTTGCTTTTTGTCTTTACAATAGGGAGCAGCTCAACAACAGCAACACCTTCGTCCTTTCTGCTCCCTTCCTCTTGTCTACTTACTCCCTTCCTATCAATTCTTTCATACTCTGTTCACGACAATGACTCCACGAGATATGGTGTTGGACGGCCAGGGGTCGAATAAGACGGGTCATGTCATCCACTCTGCCGTGTATCAGGCGAGGCCAGATGTTGCGGCTGTCGTGCATGCGCATTCTCCCGCTGTTGTGGCTGTATGTTGCCTCAAAAATGGACTGGAGTTATGACGAATAACCAAAAAGTCGTAGTCCTTGCTCATCATCTGGTCTTTCTTTTTCCTAGTTAGGTCTGCACCACCCCAAATATAAGTAGAAGGAACAAGATGGTAGTACTAGTCTCACTGCTCGAGTACTACAACTACAACACTGTGTTGTCGCAACAACACAACAACTGTGTCTCCTCATCCCCCTCTAAACACATTGCTAGACCAGCGTGGCGGTGCGCATCTTGGCAAAATCGTTTACTACGATTGGCAAGGCATTAGTGATTCGGCCGGCGAGTGCAGATCCATTATGGATTGTGCGGCCGTGTCTGGGGACAATGTGAACACAATTTTGATGCGACATCACGGCGCGCTGGTCCTCGGGAGAAATGTTCGAGAGGTATTGGATGATTTCTTTGTTGGACTCGTTTTACATTTCCCTGTAGGGGTACTACAAATCAGCGGTGGGCAACAGATGAAACTTGCTCGTTTCTTATGAAAAATAACCCCGGTTATTAAGCTGAATAAGGTTATTCTCGAATTAGTACTATTACAGGCCTTCGTAAACTATTTCTATTTGGAACGTGTTTGCCAGACGTGGCTGGAAGTCGCTTCTACTGGCCTGGAAATGGAATGGCCGAATTTAGATGTGGCTCGCCAAAGTGCCGCTTTCTTCGACTACCCCGAATATCGTCCAGGAAATAAGGAGTGGCAGCCGCTCCTCGACTATCTGGCGTTAAAGGAAAAAGGTGGCGCTGGAGGTTTAACGGGCGGAAAAAAGTAAACCACGTCTAAAAGTTTTCTTCTTCTTGCATATTACCTTTAACGATTTGCAAAATTAAGGATATAACTACAATTAGATGGGCTTCCTGCATCATACTACGCGTACTAAAATTTTGTACTTGATGACATGAGCAGGCTCCACCTCTTTTATCTTTCGTCCTCATCGTCGTACTACACGAGGAGATAAAATGAAGAGCATATTATATTTCCGTGTCTACTTTGCAGTATTTTTGTTAACTGGTTTTAATACATCTTCCCACCAAAAAATGCGCTTAAGCATAAACATGATTCGTCTCTTCTTAGTTTCCTAGTGCAGGGCTAGTTCTCTGTCTTTAATTAATCACCGTCTAACTCTTCTCTCTTCTTAGTATTACTTAGTTTCTTATCCTTTGTTGATAAAATGCCGTCCCCTTTCGCGGATCGTCATACGAGGCTTTTGTAATTGTGCAAGAATAAATGCACTAATTTTAACGCCAACAGCTTTGATGAAGGTGAAGCACCTAAAAGTTTTGACCGTCCTGTTGCAACCTAGATATAGATAGATTCATATCGACATAAATAGTCGTGTTCTGACACAAAATGAACGACGTAGAGATTCTTAGAAGATACACCAAAGAACTCTGAAAAAATTCTAAAAAAAATTCTAGCACTAGCTATCCAACCAACATCAGAATGAAGAAGTGATGGCATTCCGTCATTCCTTCTCCAGAGGACCCTCGTGTTGATATCGGGGAAGATCATTCGAATTCTAAACCCACCACAAGCTCAAGCACAACTTTGAATAAAAAATAAGTGACAAGACAGAGCAAGACTAAATAGACCTAGAACTACATCAACAAACTGCCTACTCTACTGCTTCTGTTTCATTGAATCAATCGACACCGTGGTGGTCAACATAAATTTCTATTTCGTGAGTCTCGCTTCGGCTTCTGTTCACATGATCAACCCCGTGATCATCACGATCAGCTAGATCACTGCTTGTCCCATGCGCGTGCGATTTAGCAGGTGCTTTCTCAGTAAAAAAAGAGACGATTCTTGATCCTGATGAAAAATGAGAGTGTCATAAGTCGTAAGTAGTATAGATCACAACAAAAAAGATGAGTGGAGACCCTCCAGCAGATCAAGGATCGAAACTGAAAAACAATAAGGGCATGCAGATCTCAAGACGAAGATCATCCTCATTTATCCGTAATCCATATTGTCAGTACTGAACAACGCATTGGTCGAAAATTACAACTATCAACATAACAGGACGACACTTCTAGGAGCTGCACGGGGGTTCATAGCTAAATAGAAGTTTTTGCAAAAGCAAAAAATTCGTGACTCCGAACAGCGCACTTAATTGGGAGTCTTCAATGCTCCCCTCAGCTCGCGACCATGCAACATTTTTAGTCTTATTTTTTGTTGATAGATACAAACAAGAGAACCCTTGATGTTCTAGAGGACCTACCTACCCCTACCTCCACACCCCATTTAAACCCAACGACCGCAAAGACTGAAGCGACGCTTACTACTTTATCCCATGATTGTTTTTAGACGGTTTTATTTCTCAGTAGAACGCCCATATCCCGCGCTCGTCTACGAGTTATCTTGATCTTCGCAGCTTGACAAGAAACACCGAGGAGTAAAGGAAAAGTTTCCAACCAGCAGAGAAGAACAAAAATGGTCGACGTTCTTCCAGGCAGTGCTGCGACACCATCATGTTCGAGCACAAGCATACCAACCATTGGCGACAACTCGAGCTCTTCATCGAATAGTACAGCTTATTGTTCTGCTCAAGAAGGAGGAGCAGGCGCAGGAGATGTAGGTGGATCATGTGCTGGGACGACCACTAGGAAGAGGCCACGTGGCCGAAGTAGGAGTCCTGAGATGACGCATTATGCTAGGGATCCCTTGAACCCTTGGCCTATATTTCCAATGAACCTGACGCCTGATCAGTATCAGTCGCGGGTCTTGCGTGCTGCGGTGGCGAACCTGCCACAGCTTCATCTCGATTTTTACGCTTGGGACGATAAAAAACCGCGACAAAACATAGCGACTGCGAGTGCGGGGTCGGGGGCCCGAAGTCGAGCGGGCAGCATGTCATCGCCTGATCCTGGTACTTTCGTGCTACTATCTTGTCAAGAGCCAAGAATTATTGGAATATGATCCACCATGATATCCAATGACCTTGAATTCTTTTGAATGATTCCGTTTCCTGTTCCAGTTTCAAAGAATATATTTCCTGTTGAGTACAATTACATTATAGACCACATTCCTTTTCCTCCACTTCGTCTTCGAAACATCAAACAACAGCACCACATCCCGTCGTTGAGCTAGGGGAGCAGATGTTGATAGATAAGAAGCTGTTTGACGATTTGTCTGTATGGCAGCGACGACCAGGATGGAAGGGTATGTTCATTATGTGTCTGAAAGTCGAAAATCACAATGGCCAAGTCGAAGAGGATTTTCCGAAGCTACGAGAGCACGTCACGCCTGCAAATAGAGCAGACTGGGAGAAGAAAAGGCAGGTATGGATACTTGAGAACAAACTATGTTCATGTTGGCTTGTGTAATGATGTTGGACTATCTTCAATGAAGTTGAAGATGAAATCAGTATCAAGTGCTTGTTTAGGATTTGGATTAGGATCATATTATCTATCAACAATGTACCATTATTCACAAAAATTCGACTGGTGACTTTTTATTTGATGCAACATCAAAATCAAATCTGTCTTCACAGAGTTCTCGCCTCATGTGTATTGGCGCGGCGACCGTTTATTGGGAGTTCTGCGGCGACACGGACTATCCAGGTGCGCTGGAAAGCGAGCGGATGCCCGTTCCTAGTATTTGCGTTCCCTACTTCGGAACCATATTCGGCCTGCGCGGGATGAAAGTTGGCGAAATTCTAGTTCACTACATGCTTGAGGTCTTCTCCAAAACATTGTGGTCGCGAGCGGATCACCAATTGCGGTACAACGAGATCAGTACGAGTTCGCAGAGGAGTCAAACGTATTCGATTCAGAGGAAAACGGGTGGACGCGGAACTCGACGCGTGTGTGAAGTCTACTTGCCAGCGACGAAAAAAGCAGTTCCATTTTGGACGAAAATGGGAGGACAACTCGTCGAGGTGCTGGACCAAGGGGACGGGCCGAGCGCACTGACGATGCCACCATCCGGAGCAGAGCAAAGTGGAGGTGCCGGATCATCTTCAGTTGGTGGTGCTGGGGGTGCATCCATGATGTTGCCTCCCGGGAGTGGTGGAGTTGCAGGCGCTCTCAACGGAGCTACAGCAATCCAATTAGCACGCGCTGGTAGCGTCACTCCCGGAATAGGCGCATTCAATCCCGCCCTCGGTGGTAAGGGCTCCTTTCGTCCAGCTAAAATGCATGGAAATAAGAAGCTCGCTGGTGGTCCGCCTAAACCTCGGGCGCCGCCATTCAGCAAGGGCGCCGCGCCTTCACCTTCGTTCTTGCCGCCAGCAAATGGCGCATCTGGTGCAGCAGCAGCAGGCAGCACAGGAGCTATAACTGCGGCTGCTGGAGGTGGAGGCTCCTGTACAAGTTTGGCTTCGTCAAGCGCGACGATGGGCACGCGAGGAGGCAGCTCGGGGCAACAGCGAGAGCACATCTGCGCGAACACTGTCGTTGACGAGATGTGGTGCTTTTCACAGGGGACCACGAGTTTGTACTACATCGACTACCAGGAGATTTTAGAGCGAAAACGAGTGACGAATCTCCCCTCAGCGCAGCAACTGAACGCGCAGTGGAGGCTAGCCCAGAGTTTCGAGATGCTGAGACGGAGCGGAACCCCCATGCTCAATTTTACGCCGTCCAAGCTGTTGTCGAACGCGCTCTCAAGAGGAAAAGAGTTACCCTACACCTTTACAAGAAAAAGCACTGGAGGAAGTGGAGGCGGTCTTCTAGGAGGAGGTGGACCAACATCAAGTGCTTCATCTTCTAGTACAACAACTCCAACTGCTTTCTCCAACATCGTCAACAACTCGTCGGCTACCTCCACTACGCCCTCAGGTGTAGCTGGTCAAGCTCAAGCCAGTGTTTTCTCAACAGATGGGACTTCCACGGCTGGTCCTGCAGGTACAACTTTTTTATTGCCTGGAGAAGGAAGTACTAGTACGACTTGTTTCGGTGTGGCTTCTGGAGGTGCGGTCACGCCTTGGTCAGGTTCCGCGATTCCTACTTGGTCTGGATCGGTGACTCCTAATCCACTAGGTGATAAGAATGCTGCCACTACATCAGCTGGCGGAGGCACAGGACAGCTCACGCCGTTTCCAGGGATGGGCAATGACGTAAAAATCGGTGGACCACCAGCTGCAGGCGAAAATAATAGTGCTAGTTGTACTGGTCCAGGTGCAGGTGAACAAACAGGAGGTGTCATCTCCAATGCGGGTTGTTCCTCTTCTTCCTCGTCCCCGCCTCTGGGACCAACAGGGACGCCTTCCTCCCCCTCTCGGCAGCCAGTTCTGGATCTAGAACCCATTGCCCTGGGTGCGCAGATGCGTTTGGGCGTCGTCTTCTCGCCTGCTGATGTCAAGACCGCGATAAATGGGTGGTCGCTCTTGCACGAAACCGCCCAGATGGAACGAAGAGATGCGGACCTGATCACGCAAGCACTTTTGAAGCGAAAGATTGACCCGAACGTGGTCGACCAAGAGTGGAGGCAAACGCCAATGTTCTACGCTGCGAACATGAATAAATGCGACGTACTACTTATTGTCCTACAAGAACTGTTCTTTCATCTGCTAGTTGTTGATGTACTTGTACACATTCATAATGGGTATTCCTAGTATGAAAATTCATGAGTAAAGATTTTACTAGAAACAGTATCATGGCATCAACTTAGATTCCTTATCTTCTTATACGCAGAATCAATGAATACGTCGCATACAAATACTCGTCTTTCAACATCACATGTTGATCTTCACAAACCACAAATCCTTTCACCAAAACACCTGCACAGATCATCGTGATGATGATTCAGCACGGCGCTAAGCCACGGCACATGGATAGCAATGGGCAGCCCGCGTTATTCTATGCTGCCAAGCATAACGCGATCGATGTCGCGAAAATGTTTGTGGAGGAATTCAATGTGCCAAAGAATTTGCGGGATTCGATGCGCAGAACGGCTTACTACTATGCGGAGAAAGCAGACGTCAATGGCTCGCACGCGCAAATCAAAGATTATCTGCGACTAGAAGGACCAGCAGCACAGGGAACAACGACGACGGCTACAGCAACTTCTGGTGGAGGCGCGGGGGCACCAGCTTCCCAACCTACTGGGGACATCAAGGATAATCCGTCGAGTTCTTCAGGAGCCGAGGGGGAGGCTTCTGTAGCCTCTGAAGACGGTGGAGACAAATCGGTTCCAGTCAAGATACAACGTGGCGCGGGAAGAAAAACCAGATCAGCAAGGCAAGGTACAGGAGGTGTCCAATAGAATCAATTACAGGAGCACGTTTCTACGTGATGATTCTTCTTGCCCAAGAGTACATGATGATGGTGAAATTGCCAAGAATCTATGTAAGTAGTTGTGTGCTACAACAGAGTGTCGACGTCCATGTGACTATAGATATTAATATCAGGCAGGTGGGATACTGGTACTGATACTATCGATGTACAGCAGGAGAATGAAAACTCTACGACCTCTCATCTTACCCATTTCTTATGTTACGAGTCATCAGATGTTGTGAGGTGAGACTCATCTGGAGACGACCCCTTCTTGAGGGGACGACTGCTCGGACCCCATTCATTTCTTCTTGAGCAAGACAATGCTAAGATAACATGCTTGGCGAGACCCCTGTGAGGGTCAAATTTATTCGCAAAATATATAACGAGGAGTTTGATCTTCACCAAAGAATTTGTCCAATCTAAAATTTTATGGTTCTTCGAACTTCTCGTCGTTGTTGATCATACGACACTTTCTGGTAATAAGTTGGAGGTCGTGTTCATCTTTCCTTTCCATTGGCGAATCTGACTTTCCGTATACAACTAGTTGAAGTTGCCTATAGTTGCTACAGTTGAATGGTCATACAGTTGAAGAATGGTCAACATCTGTTCGAAGCGAAAAGATCAATCTAAAAATGACGAAGACGAGGAAGAGGAAGTTCACATCTGGTCCACCCTTACGTCGTCCGCTAATAGTGCAAGATGGAGATCTGCTTTAAACAGGTTTGGATTTCTATGACGCTCTTCAGGCAGTCTGCACTGAACTTTGTGCGAGATTAATTGTATTGTATTGTCTGAGTGTGATAGTTTGTCTAAGTTGTCGATGAAGCCAACTCGTAAGCGTTTCTCCTTTTTTGAAAAGTCGCAAAATCGGACGGTTCATCAGCAAGCACGCCGTTTGCTTCATGGAAGATTTACGCGGAGCATACTCTTTAAGCAGTTGTTGGCATTGGCAAGCCAATAAAAGCAAAAAGAAGAGACCCAAAGATGAATTGAGATGAATCATTACAACTTACGTTGAGTTGTAGTTCGCCTCGACGTTACTACGTTGAGTTGTAGCTCGCCTCGACGTTACTGCAACAAAATAAAGATTTCTCAGGAGAGACAGTGGTTAAGTCCGAGCCGAGTAGTATCGTCATTGCGCCGAGGACCGAGCTGTTCGTACTACGCGCATCTACTCTCTCAGAAGTTTCTTTTCTGAAAAACGTCTCGAAGCCTGACGCACTGAAATGTTGTGGTCACTAGTTCTTTTGATGCGCAGAAGTGCATACTGAACCTGAAGAAGATCCGCACAGAAATGGCGCCATGCAGTTCCACCATGTTCATCTCTCAGAATTTCTGTTTTACCCTTCGTGAGTGAAGCAAATACTACTTTAAGATTCTTTATTCTTGTTCAGCAGTGTATTATCTTCATCAATTTCAAGAACAAGGAGAAAATAATTTCAATCTCTGGAAATAGCAAGGAGACGCATGATGAAGCATAGGACTGATGGGAATTGGAGTGTGCGAGCTATGGCTTTTTGCCTAGGCTGTGCGCAGAAAAAGTACTATGTTTCTGAGAACGTCTCGTCATGATCATCTTCTGTCGTGAATGAATGATAAATGCGACATCCATGTTGTTGAGAAAGCATGATAACCTCATTATCATGCGCCGCAACAATTCTATTAATTACTTGATTTAGCAGGTCTGTGGTCACGAAGAAATTTCTGTCATCCGAGAGGTGTGTTAATATGCCACACACAGATCCTATATAGCGTAGTCAACCCAAGGCTGCATCTGCAATGCAAAAAAAAACCGTCTGTCGTTTGAGGATACTATATCTGTCTCTTCGCCGAGGACTATGTATACAACATTAGGAGTGATGCTGAGCCGTGGTTGTCATGAAGATTGTGCTGGAAGCCAGAGACAGAGCTACCTAATAAATATGTCATAAGTTTTGCAGCCGCATCTGCTTTCATCATAGTTGTCAATGATAATAAATGAACAACAATCGCCAGCATCTGTTGATGGAGTTTCCCCGCTGTCTTCCCCCATTTGTCGCAAATATTTTTGTTTTTTCGAGTGCTTTTTACCTCCTCCCCCGAAGATAGGTTGCTCCCATCGTAATATTGAAGTAGATGTAGATCGATAGTAGTATTTGTGATACCTCCTGATCGATAGACTTTTTCTGGTACTAGTTTCCTTTTGAAAATATTGATTCTAGGTCCACAACTCACTCACTCTCCCGTGTATTTACATTGCGGCTCTTGTTCTTTTTATTGCCGCCCATAGATAATCATCCTCGTCCACCTCAACCTCTCCACCCAGAAGATCATTCGTTTTCGTGAATGACACCTTCAAAAAAATGGTGTTCCCTTCATCGTGGTCTTTGGATCCAAGAGGCGGGTCTCTATCCTTCCTTTTGCATGCGTGCTCTCTATCCTTCTTCGGAGGATCGGTGCTAAGTGTAGTGAGTGCACCTCCCGTGATATCTGCATCCGCTTCCCGATCCTCGTCATCCACCCTGATCGAATTGCAACAACAACAGTACCAACAACATGGTCATGGGCATCAGTCGGGTCCGCCTCAGAGTCCATTGGGTCGATTTTGGACTCGTAACCCCGAAGATTATTGGGGTCCGATGTGCGTTAGATCTGTCCCTGTCAATTAAGGGTTTGCGAATTACATCCCTCACAACTACCATTCTTGGCCCCTTTTCAAGTGGAAAATACGCCAAGGATGTTCCGAGGAATGCAATTCGGTAACCTTTAAGTAAACCACAGAATGGAGAAGTGGCAATTGCACGAATTACTCGGCGAAGATGCTGCAGTGGTGCGAAAAAAGGTGAGGCAAGTCCAAGGGGAGATACGCATTCAATTAACCACGGATGCAGCAAAGGGGAAACAGAACGTTGAGAATTATCTGAAGAACTACCTGAATTTAGGCGGTCCTCCGACTGCAGGAGGTGCGCCCTCTCTAACGCCAAGAAGTAGTGCTTCTGGTGCTGGCGGAAAGGCTGTTGCCCAGCCGAAAGCGAATGCGGCATCTTCCTCATTTGTTTCCGTCGACGTCGACGCTTCAGGGACTTTATCCAATTTACAGTTCCTCGATATGGATGGTAATGATGAACCTACAGCTACAGCTGCTGGACGACCTCGTTTGGAATTGGTGGACGATGAAATCGACGTGCGAATGTCAGCTTCCTTCCTTTCCGAAAAGCAGGGTTCTTCTTTTAATACACCTCCGACGATCTCGACTTCTAGTTCATTCGCCCAACAACAACAACAAAATACTGCTAATGCTGCTCCTGGTTCTCCACTTGTTTCGCAACCTACTGCTCAATCACGACCTGATGGGGGAGAAGGACGTGAAGTGGTCGGGTATTTCTATGCCTTGTATCCGGATCCAGGACACCTAGTGAAGTCGGATGTGTATGGCAGTCTGTATCCTGACGGGTGCTTGAAGGTGCCGATCAAAACTTACGGAGATTTAGAAAAAGCTATGCGGGATCAAAAGGTAGATTGTCTTTATTTTCAACTTTGGCTAACTATGACCTCCACAACTTATCAATAAGTTTGATCTTGATGTAGATGTTTCGTTTTCGTATTTGAATATCACTTGTCTCGTCTTCATCTTGCGTCTTTTTGTCTTGAACATCAACTTCCTAGTGGATCATGCGTTAAGAATCTCTTCAACATTAAATCATGAGTCCCTCGTTCTTCACCTTGTTGTTTTTGACATCACAATCACTTAGCAGGGTGGATTCCTTCCCGGTGGCTTCTATGGACGAGGTTAATTCATGGTCATCCTCTACCTGTACCTGTAATTACTGTTTCTTCATCACAATCACTCAGGGTGGTTTCTTACCCGGTGGGTCCTACGGCTGGGGAATGGCGACTGATCCGCCAGACAGTATCCCTATCAAAAATGCTTACTGGTTAAGCAGAGGCAGTCGTGTTGTGAAGTCTGGCGCGAGTGCGAACCTTGCTGTAATGGTTCACCGCGATATGGAAATCGGATCGAGTGGAGTTGCCAATGGGCTCAGAGCACGACTAGTGAACTTGAAAACGGATGCTTACAGCGAGGAAAGCGTCGTGTGCTTCATCTTAAACATTATCCTGATCACCGGTATTGTGGTCTGCATGCTAGTGCTGCTGGCGACGGTCTTCTGCCTGGGTCACAGAAGCGAGGAGGAATCGCCATCCGATGACGAACTTTTCGACGATAAAGAGGAGTGAAGTAGTTCGACGATGAAGAGGAGTGAAGTAGATCTTAAAAAGTATAAGATCTTGTCTTGGTGATGGTGGATCTTGAAACTGGAGGAAGGGAAGAGGATTTCAGCTGGTGTGCTGAATGGGTTGTAACAACTATGTGCAGTTTTACTAGATTGACTTTCTTCACTAGCTCACCTAGAAGGAGACTCGAATTTGATGTAAATTTCTTTTGTAGGGAGGCACGAAGATACTTGTTCTACATTTTCACTACAGGTCGGAGTCGGATGAAATTAGGCAACAGTGTGTGCAAGTTGTACTGAGTACTATTTTTTTAAGATGATATGTAAATTGTAAATAAAGTGTAGGTGTAATTATACAACACAAATAATTTATGATCGAAACAAGTGACAACTGATGCAAGCACGACGAATGAGACGATCAAAATCGAATCCTTGCATGCATCAAATGATTGCATGAGTATAATGAAAATAGGGGGACGAAATGCATGAATTCAAATCGAAGATGATACCCGCACATCATCAACTTGCGAACGATGACAGACGCTAAACATGCGGACCTCCCACGCACATTCTCTGAGACCGGGAGCTGCAGTTATGGACAAGATGAAAATACAAATACTGCATTCTTTGTGGAAGAACAAGATGGAGGGAACAAGATGGAGGTTGATTTTAACTACGGGAAGTGCTTGTTGTTCTGCCCTCCTTGTTCTTGAGGAAATTCAGATTGTTATGGTGGGTCTCGCAGTCGGTTATTTTTCCTGGAGCACTGGAGCTGCAGGAGCTGATATTAACATCAACATCAAGTTCAAGATGTAAAAGTCAAGTTTTTTTCCAGGCAGTTTCATCAATGTTGGGTGGATTCGAATATTGAGCGAACACCAGGATCCTATCACATGATCAGCACTTCTTTCTGGAACTCCACAAAACTTCTTAATCATGGTACGACCACGATAATTGGTGCACAATCATCGCCCGTTGGCGATCAGGAGGACATATTCATACATGATTTATCCATTGTAATGAAGATGAACTACCGGCACCGACACAAAAATTGTCATCAGAAGTCAGTATTTTTATGATGTTTCCGTTCTTCATGTTCATCTATTATGTACAACTACTTTTGTTCACTACGACCACGTTGACCTTCATTTGAGTATACATTAAAGGAGAGTCGTTTACGTACAGAGGACCCTGAAAATGATGAATCTTAAACGTGAGCGTAGTGCCAGCGAGGAGGCGACAGACCACGAGCTTAAGAAGCTGAAGGAGGAGCTCACTTGTTCCGGAGCAGTAGGACAGGAGCTTCCGAATTTCTTAGGCCAAAATCTTATGAACAAACGGACACGCTTGTGGAGGAGGTCAAAATTTGGGGAAATTTAGGGGATATTATGGCTCCCTAATTTTCCCTAAAATTCGTATGTGGGTTTACGCGTGTCCGTTTGTTTCTAAAAATCACGACAGAAGTGGAAGTGCCTCTTCTGGCTTGGGAAGTGCAGGAAGTGGCAAAATCATCACCACAACGCCAGTGGCAAATGGCAGTGGGGGTCCGAATCATGTTCATAGCATCATGGAAACGGGGGCGATCGCTGGAGCTGGAAGTATGAACGTATCAGAAAATGTCTCCACAACGTCAAGTAGAAATGCAACCGTTGCTGATGGTGTTGGAGATAAGCAGCAAATGCCGACAAGCGCAGGTAGTGCTGGACGTGAACAAGACCAGAATGGAAAAATAAGCGTCGAAGGTGGTAACCACGGCGAAAGGGCAAAGGAGACTCCTCGTGTAGGCGGTGCCTCTAGCTCATCTTCCACAAGTGCGCTCGTTGAGATCGACGAGACAAATGAGGAGTTGCTAGCTCAAGTCACTGTGCCGCCAAACCCCTTTGGGGAAACGACTGAGACCCCACGTGCTGCGGAAAGTGCTTTTGGTGTTGGCTCGTTCTTCCTTCCAAGTAAGCGGGAACAAGCAGGTACTGGTGAGAAGTTGGGCTTGGGATCGTCTTCTGCAGTTGGTCTACTTGGTATTTCTTCTGGGCCTGCTCCTGATTCAACTCCGTCTACTGTGGCATCAGGCCTGGACACGAAGCCTGCAGGCGGACTCTTTTCAACATCTGCGTCCACCGGGACATTTGGCTCATTTGGGTCTGGTAAAGATACCGTGGTGACCAACTTCTTTATTGGTTTATATGCATGTGCTTTCATAGCCACAGTGGTGAAATTGCAACTGTCTGGCTTCCTCCCATGTGATTGCAATTTTTGTTGTCCTGTCTCGTGAACATAAGTAAGTGTAAGTGTTATACTAAAAAGAAAAACTTGGTTATACTTCTGAAACATAGCAGGTACCTCTAGTTCGTCAACGGGTGGCTTTTTGTCGTCACTAGGGAAGCACACTGGTGGATTTGCCGCACTTTCCGCATCGTTAAAGAGTGCAGGACAAGACGGTACTGGTACATCACAGACGAGTACAGGTGGATGGGGCACGATGTCCTCTTTTCTCAAACCGCAGTCAACATTTTTTGGGGCAAAGCCTCCAAGTGAACAAGCTGCGACAGGAGGCGGTCTGTTTTTCAAGCTGAGTCCTAGTACAACCCCCTCAGCACCAGGCGCTGCTGTTGCACCGTTATTCTCGACAAGTTGTAGCGGAACATCAACTAAAAGTTCTAATGCTAGTCGTGTTACAACCACAACCAGCTTCTTGTTCGCAAACGCGAGTGCGAGTCCCGGGGTCGTGCCCGCTCCTTCATCGTCGCTTTCTTCGAACACCGGAAGTACTCCAGGTAGCACAATATTTTCAGGTCCAGAGGAAACACATGAGCAGGATTCAACATCAAATGCGGCGATTTCTAAGACTAGAGTGCCTCCAGCCACGCTAAAGCAGGCGCGTGAGATTGCGGCTAGAATCACTAATTCTGTTGGGTCTGTAGGGGCTCCTCCGTCGAAGGAACACGTGTTATTCGAGGCGCCATGTAAGGCTTTCGAACTCCGGAGGCAGGTACTTATGGTTTTCTTGGTCTTCTGATACTGATTTTTATGAAATGCACTCCGTAACCGTAGTTGTTGAACTTGCAAAGACGTTTATTGTAGTTTTCACGAACTTTTACTTTTGGGAACAAATATGAATGAATGTAATACTTCGCGATTGACGAGGACTGTGACACTCATATGAACTCTCTCAGACCTCTGAAGAGAGGCAACAAGCAGCGGCGACGAAGGAGAAAGCTGCACCAGAAGGCACGACGACGTTGTCCTGGAAGCAGAGGACTGACATTGGACTTCTCTGTCTGACGCTGCACGAGGAGAACAAGATGGCTGCGGGAACAGCGTCATCGTCGAGCGCTGATAGTATTAAGACTTCCCTCCGGAGATTTCCCATTTTGGAAAGCATCTTGAACCTCTCGCGCAAGGGGGAATCGGGTCCAAGATGCATCTCAAAATGGGGGATAATTCCCGGAACAAGGTCTAATGATACCCTTGCTGCGCAACCGTCAGAAGCAGGTAGTAGCTCGTCACCTCTTCGACTCGCGGTTCGTCAAAAAGGATCGCTGCGGCTAGTCTTGAATACACCGATATTGCTGCCAGAGGGTCGTGCTTCATCTGAGCCTTCTACTGCGCCAGCTGCTTCGAATCCAAAAGAATCAAAAACGGGAGAAGCATCTGATTCTGAAGCAACAGCTTCTTCATCTTGTGGTACAACTAAGAATGACAAAACTTCTTCCTCCTCTTCCTCACACAACATTAATAGAGTTGGTAGCAATTCGGTTTCTTTCCTGGGGATTGGCGAGGAGGACGGAAAAGCAGTCCCTGCTTTCTATCGCTTGAACCTGATGGGTAATGAGAAGCGGGAAGCCTTCATCACGATGCTGGAGACGGTTATTGCGGAATTGAAAAGATGACGACTTCTGAGAAGCTGCTATCTGAATGTGATTTCTGACAACATGATCAAACCACGATTTAACAAACGTTTTTTTATCAGATTTTGCTAATCATGTTGGAGGCTTCCTCCACCAGAGAAACCCCGTCCCCCATCCTTTCGGGGAGCCCCCATCCTTTAAATATAATTGTGAATGTTTTCAAAATGACCATCACCTGTGGATCCTTCAAGAAGATTGCGACAGCAGGACTCTTCTCGGTAGCAGGAGTCTTCTCCGAAGTGAGTAGAGTGCGCAGTGAGAGCGATATTGACAAACAGGAGGAGTTGTTAGCGTACAATCAAACTAGTTCTTGGAACAAGAGGTTGGGTAGAAAAAAAGAGGTTCAGTGAAGTTCTTAAGATGAGCGAGTTACTGACTGAAATATTAAGAGAGTCTTCACCACATTCCTCTTCTTTCAGTACCTCCCTTAGTTTCAGTAGTTCCTCACTTATTCCAGTTTATCGAATAGTTTGTAGGAGGGTCAAGGCAGCAGGATGAGATGATTTGTTGAAAAGCCACATTTTTGATAAAGACCGCAACGAGGCTTTTCGCCTCCTGGTCGGCCAACAAGATGGTGGGACTCTCATCCGCAACTGCTGTCCTTCTTGCTTGCTCTGCTCAGACAGCATCTGCGCTGCATCTCAAAACTACATCTTCTTTGAAGAAGGCCACGACAAAAAAATCGAAAGCGCGTATTTCTTCCAGAAGCCAGCGTCAACGCCTCACACTCACCAGTAAAAAAAGTCATCAAGAACCGTGGCTTTACGGCAGTGGAGATGCGCTGACACTGGGTGCTTTGCACCCGAAGGTCGTAGAGATTTGCGAGTCCGCAGTCCGGAAAGCAGAAGGGACGCAGTGCTCAGACCTCGACTTGGTGCCGGATTATGTGGTACAACTCCCATTAGCATTACTAGCAGTTCTTGAAGTAGTACTTCTTTGTGGAGGTACTGCTTCTACTACAACAAGATCATACCTACTTTCAATTTGTAGCTCTACTATGAACAAAAATTGCAGGAATTTATATATTCATCTCGTCACTCGTCACTCAACCCCAACAACAGTCCTCCAGCGCTTACCATGCTTGCTTAGACGACTGGGAAGGGGTCCATGGACTAGCATCGGATTGCGAAAAGCACCACACGAAAATCGACTCCCCTTGTGGAAAAGCCTGTCTTTACAAGGGATTGAGGGCTTTGGCTGCGAAGCATGGTAAGCACAGCTAAATAATTGACTAGTACGCATCATTTGCAAGAAGAATTGGAAGGGCTGCAATCAGGACCTTGAGATCATGAAACCTTAATTTTGCTGCGTTCTCCTTCATCTCCAGTACGCGGATTATAATCTGTCTTTGCCATTCACTTTCTTTCACATCCCACCTTCGACAACCCCAGCATCCATCATCTCAGGTTCCGTTTCCGAGTTGCTGAAATGGGGTGTCACCGACTTCAGTTTGTGGAATCAACTCGTAGCACTCGCGAAGCCTTCCGCTGACGGTCTTTCCGAAGAGGAACTCGCAACTGTGTTTCTGAAGTGCTCCGACGGCGGCGACCACACTGTTCTGCCCATTCCGCGAGTCCGCAACATCTTTGCTTGTCTAGATGGCAACGAAGATGCTCGCTTAGATGGAGCAGAATTGACACAGCCAGGAATGTGCTTCCGATCCTGCTTGACCGCGAAAGAGCCTGCTGGCCATTTGGAGCTGATCCCAGATGATGCAGATGTGACAGATGTGCTGTCTCTGTGGCTGGCTGACGGTGAAGGCGCTGCGAGACAGTTCAAGACCATGTTGGGTCCCACCGACAACAATTGCCTAGACGGCGTAGATGGGCCTTGTGAGGGCTGCGAGAGCTACCACATCGATTTCAACCCGATGGCGAAGCGGGAAGAGCACGAGTCGGCTGAAATTATGGGACGATACCTTTAGATCCACGGAGCTAGGATGGCATCTTCGATCTTTGCCTTGAATATCAACGACAATAACTACATCATACACAACATTTAAATTTCGACTTAAGACAATGATCTCCTCGTTTATAATATTTCTTCTACTAACATTCCTCGTTGGGATGAATCCGGAGACCTCCTCGAAGAATGCAAGGCTTATCACGAAAGATGTGAGCCCCATTTTTCGGATTTTGAGGAGACTGTGGGTGCGGTTGTTGGCAGTCACATGGCTGCTGGAGAAAGTCCGGCTGCTGACGCCAGCTTTCACGCCGTATCAGAGGAAGAATGTACAGACCCTTTCCGTCGACAGTATTGTATGGGCGTTGAGCGACTGACGGAAACGCATGTGAGCGAGTGCACCAGCTACTACGGAAAGTGCTGTGCGAATTTTATGGCATGAATGATGACATAACTACTAGTTGTAGAAACCGTAAATTGAATATTTTTGATTACATCAGATTATTTTTTGATTGACTATTTTTGATTACTGCTTACATGCAAAGCAACAGATTCTTAAAACGACAATTCTCGTCTCCTACTCTCCATGTCAATCTCTAAGAACTTAATGGGCACAGGTGCTCCGGGTGCGAACGAGTTTCACCTCGAAGACTGCAAGCCGTGTGAGAAGGAATCGGAGTGTCCTGCAGTTCAGGGCTCCGTTTTCGACATGGTACATGCCAGTGCAGACCAAGGTGGTTGCTTTGTGCCAGCTGAGAAGGATGAGATGGCTGCTGTGGGTGCAGTAGCAGGTAGTGCAACTACGACTCCTGCCACCGCTCGTCCCTCGATGCATCTCGACTACCAGAGACTTGCGTTCTGTGCGGGTGTCTTCGAACGCGCGCGTTACGACATGATCGAGAGTGGAAAGCTAGACCCACATGATGCGACAACAGTTCCTGACGACGTTGGTGCCGAAGTTCATCCTGGTTTGGTACAGACCGTAGCTATGAGCGACTCGAAGAAGCGTTTGGCAGTCTTCCCTTCAGAGGAATTAACACGGTCAACAGCAGAGTTGGATGCTTTGGTTGCAGATTTTCAAGCCACGACAGCGGGAGCAAAAGAAGTGAAGAGTTACGGATTAGTTACTCGTCATACTCTGGTATTTCTAAGATTCATTTGCATGTTCAACCCGAAATATGTAGGGATCTCCCGCGAATTTTCATGCTACTTCGCGAAATTTCGGAATTCGTGTTCAACATTGTTGATGTCATACATCATGTATCAACACCTGTAGTACTTACGCCCTTGTTCTTCAGTTTGGAGTTTTCTTGCATGCCTGCTACAAAACTGGTACAGATTATTATCGATGAGGGTATCATGAACATGAATCTGCTCTAGATCATCTTCAGCATCAGCTCGCTCCTCTAAGCCACAACTCCGTTCGTTTCGCTGTTGCAGACCTTCGAACGCAAACGCCATCTTCGAAGACATCAGCAAATGCAGATGCTGGGACGCAGGCAAAGAATGAGGCAAGGGCCACCCGCAGGAAGTGTGAGTGGTGCAGGCTCTCGCGCGAAGGAGCCCCTTCCGTTGGTACCCGTAGGAGACGAGACTTCTCCGATGAACCTGTCCCCAGACCAACAGGCTGCTGCTGCTTCAGCACCAGTGCATGTGATCGAAGTGCGAGAAACTTACGGCAAACTAACAATCTCTTTCTCTATCTTCTCTTAAGATGCCATCACCATTTTGTCTACTTGTACTTCAATTATGTTGAATTGTCTGTATTTCAGAGCCAGAGACTTATTTTCAAATGACGGATATAGGATTAGGATTTAGGATACATAGCAATAGCTGCAGGACCAGCGAAGCTTCCTTCTAATCTCCCAACTACCCAGCTCATGCGCCACATCCACCGCGCGCTTTGAATGCAGACTTAGCACATGCACCAGGTGCTGTCCCTGCTATGCAGGCAGGCGACTACGATCCGACTGTCTATGAAGACCCTATCCGAGAGCCAAGGTGTCCGACCGAGACATTTAGGGAGAAGCGAACTGGAGAGATGAAAGTCATCCGCAATGAGGAGTACTACAATTAAGGCATTGACAGATACAAATTCATGCTCCGGCAGATAGCTTTCTTGTTGCTCTTGTAGAATAGAAAATGAGGACAACAAGAATGCTCCTGAGAGTGGATTTCTGTTGGTTCTAAGACACGAAATTTTGTGCCTGGATGCAGGAAGTAGCGAAACCGAGTGAGGGGTGGGACTTAGGCCACTTTGTGGACCCAGCGACGAAGCAATTCGCGAACTCGCAATTTTTGCCAGACAGCACATGCTCGCCGGAAGTGGTGATCAAGTTAAGATTTCGCTGTTTGGAAGTTGCACTGGGCAGGAAGGTAGAAGTTTTTCGTGACACACTTCAGATGATTTCTTCGTTACTACATCACCCATCATCCTCGGAGGCGAGCATGTGCCCGTGAGGCTCGCTGGGAAGGATTCACAACCTAACCTAACCTCACTGTCCTGCACGGCACCTCCATTCCCACTCTAATCGGCGGCCACACCGATCGCATCCAGCGATCTGAATTTGACGATGACAATGTGCAGAACTGTCTGCGGGCACATGAGCTGTGCCTCGAGTCCGGTGAGCCTGGTAGCGTAAGCTGTGGTTACGTCGAATCCGACGTCTGCATGGATGTCGATTTTCCGGAACCGAAGTTGCCGGCGACACCACCCAGTGTCGATCTTGCGGATAGCCCGAAGAAGGTTGTAGTTGGTTATGGCATTGTGGGGTACTGGAATTGGCATTCGTAGCATGTTGTGATATCACTTCTTCAACATCACCCCTTACTTAGCATCATTTCGCCTTCTAAAAATTCTCAGCAGGAGCTGCAAAAGCAGACCCAATGCCAGAACCTGCATCAACTGGATCCATCCCGGCTGCAACTGGCGAGGCAGGCGAAGCTATTCCGCTCGGCACCGGTGCTGACCTTCCTGGCGGAAAGGCACAGGAGATGAGACCCCCGCCTCCTACTGGGACCGAAAATGCTGCACCACCAGCACCAAAGGCAGCAGCTACAGCAGCTACTGGTAGCGTAGCTCCTGCGAAAGGAAAGGCAGCTTTGGGAATCGTCACTCCGGAGACAGTGGCAGCACCGATCACAGCAACCCTGATGCAGGGTCTGGAGAGTATGGAGAAAACGGGCAAACGCCGTGTGGTCTTCAAGGTCACGGTGGAAGAGGAGTAACTTAACGAGAACACACTGCTGGAACTGTTTTGTCCTACCATTCGGCTAGTAGCACTAAATGGGACACCATGATGATGAATCTGCTCATAGAAGTCGCGGATTCAATGACGGACTCAACGCGGGGTGGAGAGCACATATTATAGATAAACAGTTCTGCTTTTTTCCAACATTTATGTTGAATACGGCCAACATGCATGTGCATTGGAATTTATGACGAATGAATGGTAATTCGGAGAAGGCGAAATTTTGCCCATGAGTGGGTGCATTGCAGTAGATAGTATAAGAATTGCACAGACCAGATGTACGTATTTTTTCCGGATTTAACTGTTGATGCTTGCTTCAGAATACAATGTACCATAGCAGGAGGAGCATTTGGTAAGACAAGGGCGTGCCTTTGGTCGTCATGAAAACAAGTAACTCATCGTCGTCGGAGTGTTATAAAATAGAAATGATCGTATGATTTCGCTCGCTTTATACCACAAGAGCAGACATGTTGTCGTGTTGTAGGAAATTCGTTCGTCGAAAGAGGTGTCTTGTGAAAGAACGATTGAAAATAGCTGTGTCAATTCTACAATAAGCTGTGGATGAGGTAGTCGAAGATTGATATCGGCAAAGGTACCCACACCCACTAGGTCGAAAAAGTGATTGCATGGTTTAACATAAATGTCATAGAGAAAAAATGTGCTCTGGGTTTAGATCCACCTCTTTTCATCTTCATCAGACTGCACTCAAATTCAATCGATTCATAGTTTTGAAGTTTCTTGTAGGAGAGATAGAGATACAAGAATTAGATACTGATCCACGCATGTGCAGGATTTCTCTAATACAAATATCGTTGTCATGACAACAATGAGAGGTCAGAAAGCCCGAGCGTGGTGACCCTGCTGCACTAGGGACGACGCGAAGGGGGAACTAAACTCGTCCGCGCACGAGGTCTACGTACAAGAATCTTCTGGTTTGCGCGGACTACGAATTAGCCACGTTACCTTGCTCGGCGTCTTTGATCGCTGACTGAAGCTCGTCTATCCCGAGAAAGAACCTAGTACTCCGGATTTTCTTGCTGTGCCTGCGTACAGCAATCCGTATCCGTCGAAAATGTCCGATCATCCTACAAAGGGCGACGCCAAATTAGGCGACGATATCGACGCGTCGAAAAAGAGGAAATTCGAGAAGCTCAAGCAGGGGAAGCTGGATGCTGAGAAGTATTTTCGGATCGCCAATTTTTTCATGGTGCTTGGAAAAAGAACTTGTATTGATCTAGCATATAAAATGACGATGATCTTCTCTTCTTCTCGAGCAAGCGAACGAACACAGCACCATATGAAAAATAAACATCCTACACACCCTCAGAGGACAATAATTGTTCGAAGTAAAAAGAACAGTTATATCTCCTCTACTCACATTCTTGATTAATTTTGGTTGGAGCAACATCAAGAACAGTCTCAATCTCTCCATTCCCACTAGGCAATACGGCTTCGATAAGTCGATCGAGGACTATGATGAGAAAGATATGAAAGACGACAAATACAAGAGCAAACTGAAGAGCAAAAAGGAAAATGATCCTAAAATCCTCAAAAATGAGAAGGATTTGAAGGATAAGGACAAGCTCAAGGACAAGGACAAGATGAAGGACAAGCTCAAGGACAAAGACAAGCTCAAGGACAAGGACCTGAAAGACAAAGACAAGAAAGACAAGGAGAAGGTACTACAGTATATCCAGCAAGCTTTACGTAGTCCACCTATTGATACAGTCCACCTATAATTGGTATTCGTATTGGTTCTGCTTTTCTTATGCGCTTTGAAGTAACATCTGTTGACAACTGGTACAGTGTAGCCTGTTGACATAGTTACCCTCACCCTGGCGACCTGGCATATCTATTTCCTCAGTTCCATCTCCTCATTGTCATTCCTACCACAGGACTTGAAATACAAGGACAAGATGGACAAGCAGAAGCAAAAGTCCAAGGATAAGGGAGAGAAGGATAAGGACAAGAAAAAAGAGAAGCTTGTGAAGGAGGAGAAGTTGAAAGGTGGAAAGGGATACATAAGAAATAGGTCAAAACGGGCAGGAATCATATTCCCAGTTGTCAAAGTACACAGGGAGTTGAAGGTATTATCTTAGTTTGCATAGCCTGATTTTTTTTGACCGCAAAATACACTTCGCAGATGAATGTCCGGCAATGACCACTATACACTTAACATCTAGTCGCGTAACATCGAGTAATCTCTCACGCCGTTCCACTCCCACTATGCATACATCTCTTCAACACAGGGAATGATACCGAACAAAAACCGAGTAAACCAGCAGTGCTCAGTTTATTTGGCAGCGGTAATGGAATATGTGATGGCAGAGTTGCTCGAGATCGCAGGAAACACAGCAAAAAATAACAAGAATTATGGCTAAATGAAGTTTGTTTTTGTTAGGAGCCCTTCGACTAGGTTTAGGTGTAAGTAGGAAATGGTAATAAGTAGATGAACTACAAGAAGTAGATGATTGAAGAGAGACTCTACATCACCATCGGAAGACAACTAACATCCATATCATGTTGTAACGCTGATTTCTCAATATTGAACGCCCTTTCCTTGTCCCTGAGCACCCTCAACTCTCACCCGTTGCGTTCCCCCTCTAATCCACGAAGCGAATCAATCCACGGCATTTGATGCTTTCCATAAAGCAGGACGACGAGTTGAATACGCTGATTCGAGCAACAATTGCAGGTGGCGGCGTCCTCCCAAGTAAGCATATTCCAACTAGTTCCGAACTTAGGGCACCGCAGCGAGCCCCGGCGCAGCAGTCAATGTTCCCACCTGGCCAGGGGAGAGTAGATGGTACAAGAAATCCAAATTTTTAGAATTTGCATGCTTTTCAATTACCAATTTCCAATTATCTTCTATAATCTGCCAAGAACTCTGCTTCATGTTGATGTTCATATGTCGTACTATCAATCAAATTCATTAGCAGCAGCCACTTATTCATATTCGTGTATCACAATTATTTCCAAATGATCCTCCACTACAGTTTTCGACGAGGGTGAGGTCGAAGATGAACCAAAAGGAAAAAAGCCGAAGAAGCAGGTATCCTTAAGGCTTTACCTAATGCATCTTTGGACATCACATCCTTGATGAAATGTATGGACGAGGAGTATCTACCTAAGGGACCACTGCTTATACTCCCCCATACCTTTCTTTTTCAAGGAAGATGCACTTGAAAGAGGCATCACGGACAGCTCTAACATCCTTTGCGGGTGTGCCGTTCCAGCAACCGAATTTGTTCGCGCCACAAGTTGGCACACCTGGAACGTTTGGCTCTGCTATGGGAACACCAGGAACTTTTGTTAAGGCTGGAGTTGCTAGTGCTAGTACAACTACTTACCTCTACTCTTATGAAAAGAAGATCTGTTATCATTTTTATCATACTTTTCTACCTCAGAGACTTATGATAATGATAACAAATTTTTGTTTCGTTTAATTTTCGAACATCTCGAAGGAAGTCTGTGGGTGTGGTCGTCATCTGATGTACAAGATGAACTGACTCTATTTTTATTTGGTGTAATGATGTTGATCGATGATGAATCTTCTTGTCTTCTATGTATGTTCAGATGAAGGTGCCGCTTGCTCTAAGCTCCGCGCCGGTTTCATGGGTGGTGTGCCATCACATTTGGGCGTCCCGTCAGTTACACCGAACTTCTTCGCAGCAGGAGCCGGCGGTCTTGCAGTCGGCGAACAGAAAAAGAAGAAGAAGGTTGCTGGTAAGATGCAGCTTCCAGCGGGTTTCGGACAGTGATGAAGCTGTTTTGTTGCAGGACCAAAACAATTTTGAGAAGCGGGTTTCGGACAGTGATGAAGCTGTTTTGTTGGAGGAAGTAGCAAAAGTGGCCTTGGTTCTTGCGATCCCGTGAGCACGCATTCCATGATGTTGATATTCGGGTTCATCATCGCTGACATCGTGTTCACCTAGAAGTCCAAGATCTTCATAATCATTGTTTTTGTGCAACTTTGACAAGCTCAGAAACTGACTCAATTCGTTAGTACTATTCTATTACTAGAGGATAAGGTTAGAAAAAGACAGACAGTATCATCTATGTTGTTTAGTATCACTAGTTCATTTTTCGAAAATGAACATCAGTAACTCCGATTACATTCAAATTTGATAACGCCGAAAACCAAACAAATAGGTAGACAAATGTATTAACCTATATAGAGCTAAACTCTCAGAGGTCTAAGTACCTCGTGGAGTTTGCAGGGAAAAACAAAGATTCGCAGCAAATTTTGCAGAAATTCGTCGGATTTAAGAAAATGATTTACAGCGCAAATATAAAAGAAATGAAGATCTCAATCGATTTCTCTATGTGCTACTGTTACACAGTAGCAGGCGCTTAATGCGCTCCCTGGTGTCTTGCTCATTACAGCGTCTAGCTACTCCAAAACTATGTCTCCGTGGTGGAGTCTACAGGGGCATTTTCTAAATGCCATTTCCCAGTATAAACAGCATCTTCCAATATAGACAGCATTTCCCAAATGCCATCTCCCAGTTCATGACGGTTATCAAGGAGATACAAATGACTATCTACTCTTGTCATCAAATGACCGGGGTTAGTAACCGTGATGTGCTCAGAGGAGGTCATAAAGAAACGGTTTATCGTACTATTTCCATGGCTCCCACGTGTGCAAATTCAGCTAATGGGCTAGATAACGTACGACGTGCCGGTTCCCACCACGTTGTACGTAAAAAAGAAAGGCATGACTATTGTACTTGTTCTCTTCCTCAATTAAGAATTACTACGACCTACTCGCTTCTGACGAGTCTTCCACGGATACTTCTTAGACTCATCGATCACGACCCACAAAGAATTCAACGCCCCCCGAAATCAATACCCCTTTCGCGCATCTATTTTGTGAAAGAACCACAAAAAGAATGAGTTGCAAAATATATCTGTAATCGTGTTCTTTGTTCCGCAGCTAAGTATAACGAACAATGAATATGAAACATAGCAAAAGAAAATGCGCACAAAAAAAGTGTTTGAGCCTGCCAGCGAATTCTCGGGTCTAATGTGCGACCGTCAGTGTTCTCTACCACGTTTGCAACGGCAAGCCTGCTTGAATGAAGGTCCTCTTCCTGAATGAAGTGAACGATAGGTGTTGAAGAATGAAATTGAAACTCTCTTCTATCACGATCTCAAGGTGAGAGAAAAGAGCGAGTGACCACTCAATCCTAGACCTAGTAGATGTGCATTTTTGCTGGTAGGTGTCTAGCAACCGCAAATGAAATTCGATCCTCGCAGCTGCGCTCTGGCTTTAGCGAGTTTTAGTTTTTGTAACTTAGGATTAGGTGATTAGCGGACCTTTTCCTGCATCCGCTTATAGCTACAGTTTTTGCGTGATTTTTATGGCAATTTCGCGAGAAGTTGTGAATCTATAGATTATGAAATTAAATGGAAAGCTTTTCTTGTTGATTGTAGTACGTTGTTATAATACATAGGTTTAACCACACTATCTAAGGAACCCAGGTCGTGAGGAACATAACACCATCGAATGTTTTGTTTCTAAAGATTTCACTTCTGTCCGGCAGATTACACAAATTTTCTGAAGTTTTGGCACAAAGAGTCATTTAGTCACTCACCAATTATCCAAGAAGTATCGTTGGCGTTTACTCAAACTTTTGATGGAATCTAGATTTAAATGGATTCACGGCCAAGTATTTGATGGAGATCTCAAGTAAATATGCTTGATAGTACAGAGACCTAGTATGAGGAAATGCCTTGGCGATTTCGTTGTGGTTGCAAAAGCGAAGCTGTTACAACGAGACTTCTAAGAAGGGCGCCAACCTCATGGTGATCGCTGTAATAGCAGAATAGAAACCTGTCACAATAAAGCGGTCGTGAACGCACACCCTCGACCACACACACGATACACGTGGGTCGCAACGTAGAGAGAACGTCGCACGCCTTAGACGATTGCAAGCTAAGCAGAATTTTATGTGCAATCGTCGATGGTCACACGTCTTTGGTTGACGAGACCAAGCTAACAACGAGGATTTTAGCTGATCAATTAGGCAAGCGGCCTCACTGCACTTGAAACAGGTTCGCGGCAAGATGATGGAGCTTAGCGCGAAGACGAGTAAACCGTTGCAGATCGTGCACGTGGATCTGCATAGCAATGAGGTTCGGGTAAATCAGGAGAACTTGAAGGTTATCAGCGATAACCTCAAAAATGCGAAGGTGGAGCGAATTAGCGTCGTCTCAGTGATGGGAGCGTATCGAACAGGAAAGAGCTTCCTGCTCGACCTTTTTCTTTATGGCAAAGAAAAATCATGTTAATGGAAATGATCCGTAGATGAGAAAAACGAAGAATCTCATGGGGAGCTTCTGCTGAGCTCCCAGCTAATCATCATTTTGTTCTAGGTAAGCACGTATTTGACTTACAAGCAAAGTGAAATACGTTTTCATCTTCTAATTCAAACGATACCTTGAATATGGCGAGACAAATCCGGAGGGTGCACCAGCGGGAACGGAAGACACCTCGCGAGCCAGCACGAGTTCATTATGAGACGAGATAACGAAGATCAACCTTTTTATCAATCGAACAACTGGAAAAGTGGCATTAAATCATGACGGTCACGCAGCCCACTTCTAGTGTGACTTTCGTTTATCCAACGTCGAGAATCATTCTTGCTCCTTTCTGCTTTCCCAAAGATTTATTTCACCAATTTTAATTCTTTTTTCCACTTCCCCCTCCTCCCCTACTGCTTCTCTCTCTCTCTAAGCCCTTCTTCTTCCTTAGCAGGAGCACCACCTGACGATCGAGAGACTGGAAAGCCATTCGAAGTTCCAGCTTGGATGCGATCAGCGGGCAAGCTTAGCGAAGCCTCAGACGGCACGACGCCAAGAGACGGCATCCCTGCCAAGCACTCACCACGAGGCTTCAGTTGGAGAGGAGGTGCGAATAGGTGCACCGAAGGAATGTGGATCTGGCCAGTGCCGTTTGTGAAAACTGTGACGGTAATAGATACTTTCTGGCCAGTGCCGTTTGTGAAAACTGTGACGGTAATAAGTACTTTGAAAATTGGATGTAGTGACGCGGGCGCGGCCTGCAGCATTATGCAGAATAAGTTGTGTAAATCTTTCTATTTCATCATCCCATCAAATCACGTGGTTTGATGGACATGATCAATCTCTTAAATCAGGTAACCGAAAACGTTTCATCAAATGAAGATGAGGAAGTTTTCGTGAAGAGGAAAGTGAAGGTTGGCTTGCTGATCATGGATACCCAGGGCGCCTTCGATAGTCAGACCACGAAGCAACAGAGTGCTACTATTTTCGGCCTCACAACAGCACTATCGTCAAAACAGCTGTACAACATTCAAGGACGGATCGGTTCGGACACTGTCGAGCATATGCACTACTTTGCCGAAATGGCTGTGGCAGCAAGTAGGCAAGGGTAAACATTGTTCTTAATTATGATTATGTCAAGATGATGGTTTCATTCGTGTTTGCATCAGATGTCCCTTCTGCAGAGCCACTAGACGTAAATTGAGTTGAATGTTGCTGGTAGTTGTTGCTTGTCAAGTTCATACGAAGGTTGATGAAGAAGATCGACAATTGAAATCACTCCTCTTCGATCAACACAGGCAAGCACCCGGCGAAAAGAAGGCAGACCAACCATTCCAGTATTTGGAGATGGTTGTCCGAGATTGGCCCTCGTTTGACGACGAGACGTGGGATGATGACGGCTTGTGCAAGACATATGGCGTCAGAAAAAAGCCAGAAGACAGGTGGTCTGTAGACCTCTGCGAAAAGCAAATGCAGTGGCACCTGGATCAGCATTTTGGTACTGAGGAGATCTCTTTGCAGGATGCTGATAATCTTATGTGACTGAACTACAGTTCAATTTCGAGAGCGGGAGATTTTGAGAACAAGTAGAACTAACATGCTATAAATTTTCTCATTTTGTTCCATTTCCTTCCCCTGCCAGGTAACGTCTTCTAAAATATAGTAGAAGATAGTCATGTAGTAATTGAATTGGAATCGGTATGTCAGTCTTTACGCGGGTGGTCAACCCCCTTTTCACCCACGCGTCCTCCTTGGGGCGATCTGCTAAAGCTTGCGGCCCCACCAAATGTGGAGGCGAAGCGGCGGCATCCTCTCCTATCCTATCCTATCCTATCCTATCCTATCCTATCCTATCCTATCCTATCCTATCCTATCCTAATCAATGTTCCATGTTATGAAATTTTCTCATTTTATTCCATTTCCTTCCCCTGCCAGGTCCCGACGTTAAAGACCGGGAGAGTATCGATACTCTCTATGAGATGTTCGGGGAAGTCAAGTCGTGGCTCTATCCAGCGCCAGGATTGAAGGTACTTACATACTGATATAATTTGAACATGTTTCATCTCGTTCGTAACGGGCAGCTCGAATGGAATGGTATCAACCATTATAATTCTTCTGTGTCTACTCGTTCTCGTACACGTTTACCCAGATAAAGGTCAAATTCAAATAAAGGTTTGCATTCCCATTCCGCTTCCCACAGGTCTCCGAAAGTAAAAAGCGAAGGTGGGATGGCACATTAGAGGAAATTGACGAGGATTTTGTGCGGTTTGTGGATCTTCATTGCCGCAGAACTTTCGGTGACATCCGAACACAGCGAGTCTTCGGTGTGGATCTCTCACCAGATACTTTTGCTGATGTTGTCGAGACACTGGTTGGCGCTTTTCAGGGTATGGAGGTGTCCCAAATGAGCATGGTCGAAGCCATTGGGAAAGCAAAGAATCTAGTCTCAAAGGACGAAGCATCAAATTATGGCTTGTCGACCTATAGTAGAAGATAGGCATGTAGTAATTGAATTTGAAAGTCATGTAGTAATTGAATTTGAAAGTCATGTAGTAATTGAATTTGAAAGTCATGTAGTAATTGAATTTGAATTGGTAATGGTATGTCTTTATGAAAAATCAATGGTTTTCTACCACGCGACGTACTTCTCGTCTTACAGAGAGAAATATTTATGACGTAGCGACTACAACTTCATAGTGCTTTGCATGTTCCTCTCTCTAAGCGCTAGTCTACAAGAAGGACATGGATAAAGTCTTGGCTGCGGTTTCAGCAACGACAGGCAAAGATCCGGAGGAGCTACAAAAGGAGCATACGAAAGCTTGGAAAAAGGCGATGGAAGTATCTATTACAAAATATTTAAACTTAAATAGTTGGTTTTGACTATCATTCTACTGGCAAGGCTATTCCTTGTCCTTAATTGATCGCAAAAATCTAGTCCTCTCATCACTATATTAAGTTCTACATTGTGAACGCTGTAGGATGAAAATGAATTGTCCTTCTCCTTCTGCTCCTCCCTCTGAGCACCGTTTTGCGTCGTTTTGCATCAATCAAGCAATCACTTAGCTGTTTCTTTCTCCAGTTCTACGACCATTCTGCCACTTTCGGCGCCGTGGAGGAAATCGCTTCCTCCAAAGAAATGCTGCTTGGAGAGATCGACTCCCTTTGGGCGAGTTATCAGGAGGATAATAAGCGAAGAATGGAGAAGGCGTTGACTTCATTTGCAGGCCTTGTTTGCATTGCGGTTTCATCGTTCGTCATAGACAAGATGTCAGACTACACCTGCGATTGGTGGTCAGATACGTGCCAGCAAATGTCAAAGATGCTTGTCATGTTCTACACAGCCGTCATCGGAGTGGTGGTTTGGCAGGTATACTTGGCAACTTGTCAGTTAGATAGATGATGAGCTTGGTTTTCTGTCGTTTGATGACAGTGAGAACCAAAGTAATATCCAATAGTTTTTGTTTCTGACTCATCTTTAAAAGCTGCAACGAACATATTTCCCTCTACGACAACGAATTTCTCTCTACCTCCCTCCAAGACACCACTTTATTCTTCAAAATACACATGAACAGGCTTACAAGCTAATGCAGACCCGTGGACAGGCTGCTGTTGGAATCGCACTGATCGAGCTCGGAAAGCAATGTGTTGTGATTTCGCACAATTGTAGTGACAAAGTGGTCTTCTATGCGAAGAACGTGGATACTCTCAAAAAAGACGCGTCCAAGGCATACGAATTTGTGCAAAAACAGTACGTCCAACCACTGTTGTTGGATGGTGCTGCAGCTGCGAGGAGTGCTTCACCAGCGAAAGCGAAATCCAAAGGAAATAGTCCGAAAAGTAAGAAGAACGAGTAAGAAGTCTAAGGTGGAGGCGTTGCTCTTGGTCTAGCAGGGTTAGACGCTAAGTCGATAAGTCCTTTAATGTCGGAAGTGGTCGAATTTTCCTCCTTCGTAGCGTCCGGTCATTGACGGAGGAATCGTTTTGTTTCACCCTCCTCTCTGTTTTTTTTATCTCCCACGAACGGCGCAGAGGCTCTTCGATGAAGGCTGCAGTAGACCTGGGAGCTCCCGATTCGGAGTCTGCGAAGAAGGATCCCGATGAAGACCAATCTTCCACCCCCTGATCTGATCCCTGCCTCTGGAAATAATAGCTCAGGCATGAACAAATAACATGTACATGATTCAACCAACATGAAGGTTCAACACGAGTACTTCAAAAATGAATATCGACATTTAATGTACTTAACCCCAACCACCGGTGAGGCAGGACATTGCTGATGCGTTTTGTTAAAATGGCGGATCTGCGCATGCGCTTGTGCAGGTGTTCAACGTAGCGCATGATCATGAGTTTTTGTAGGATATCTTGGCTGCTCCTGTTCCAACGGTCATTCAGAATAATGGCATTAGGAACGCACAGATGACATCCTGTTGGACCCCACCTTCACTCCTCCTAATCCTGAAGGTGGACAGCTCCTATCCCAAAGGTGGGCAGCTATAATTTGGTGGCGTCCCTGCTTCTCTTGTGCCGCGTAGAGTATCATAAGATTGTATTTCCATGATGAACTCGGACTCGCTGAAAAAGTTGTTAAAACGAAATAGTTGTTAAGACGAACAAAAAGAGAAAAAGCCTCCACGATACTTCAGCGTTTGTGCTCTGATAAGCTAGGGCCGCGTTGAATACAAGATCATTATACTGGTCCAGATAATATAGCTAAGTACGCTAAGTACTTAATTATGCAGCACCAAGTCCTCGTGTTCGAATGCGGCCACGACTTGTTTTGCATCCGGGGGAAAAGCACGCTGACGATTCATAAAGTTGACGGATGAAGGTTTAGCTTCAGTTCAGATCCGCGTGTCTCAACGATGTCTTAACGACGTTTGTGTCCAATTTCGGTGTATGACGCTTGGAGAGATGAGTCGCTCAATATCCTCCTCAATATCCTCTTGCTGCAGCTAAGCAGTAAATGATGATTTCTAGTCGTCGAAATATGTTGTCTCATGAGAAGAGCAATTATGAGGATAATTCTTTATAGAGAAATACATAGAAAATGTTGATGGAAGTCGCCTTTTTCGAAGGGGCAGTGGTTGGATGCAGAGAGTCGATGTAACCTTACTCGCTGGCAGAGGTCGACTTTTAACTTCGACGCAATCAACATTAACATAAAACTGATAACGGGAAGTAGATAAAAATGCCGGAAATGCCGTCGAGTCTTGAGTTAAGGAAGCATTGGATCATTGATTGGTGTAATTGTGCTGTGTGAGTACTTCATCTTCGAGATGACTGATGTTGGACAATCATTTTGTCCCCATAATTTTCTAACTCAACGTGGAGGTGGTGTAGGAAATATTGACGAACGGCGCTTTCCGAGCCCTGAAAAAGGGGAGATGAAAGACAAATTAGCTTTCACAGAAAACAAGCTGAGAAACCTGGAGGAGAAACACATGAAACTCTGGGATGAGCATCGAAAGCTTCAAGTCGAGCACACTCGAATTATTATGGATGTGATTTTGCTTTTGCTTATTAGGATCTTCATTAGAGTAGACAGTGAAAGCACCAGTCTCCTTCATGTTATAGCCTAGTCGCAATACAACTGACTTCTCGAAAGGACATTACATGAAACGACATGATTACATCTCTTACTCTTTCGATTTTCTAACTCGAGCGACCTGATTAAAGTGTACAAGCAGAGGAGTGACATTCTGAAACCTTTCTATCTGGGGGTGAAGGACCTTGTATCCGGTGTGTACCGATCAGAGCTCTTCCACCCGCCTGGCTCGCAGACCTCGAGTAGAAAAGGAGCAACGAGGGGAAAAGATAAAGAGTCCGCGGATCCAAAGAAGAAAGGAAAGTTGACTGCAGATTATGAGTGGAAGTGGAGCTAAACACTACATCCCACATAGTGCATTGTACAAGAAGGCCAATATGGATGGAAATTGAAATTCATGATGTTCTCGCGTTTCTTTTTGATTGAAGATACATATTTCTACTGTAGTTGCAGTTTCTATACCGCTTATAATTAGGGAAATTCTTATCTCGTTAAGATTTGCAGACGCGGCCGACGACAGACGGTGGAGATAAACTTCTACAAGAGGCTGCAAGAGTCCTGCAACAAACTGCTGTCAGTTCAGCCACCTCTTCTCGTGCAAGTGGAGATGCAGACCCTGCAGAAGAAGCCGCTGCTTCGAAAGGTGAAGATGGGTCGAAAACGAGTGACGCATACCCAGAACAACAGTTGTTTGACGCTACTCCGGGACACCCAGAACAACAGTTGTTTGACGCTACTCCGGGACACCCAGAACAACAGTTGTTTGACGCTACTCCGGGACACCAAGAACAACAGTTGTTTGACGCTACTCCGGCATTTATTGCGACGAATCTGGAGGCTACTGCGATTGACATGAGTCAGACTCCAGTGTTTGCGGTAGAGCAACTGCTCGCTCCTGCTATCGAGCCTTGCAGCTCTCAGTCGGAAAAGAAGCCTTCAGCACACGAGGCAGACAAGAACACGAAGAAAGCTGCAGGGAGCAACCTCCAAGAAGTACTAGAGGGTACAGCCAGCACCGCAGATGACAAGATCGAGGAACAGCGAGGAGCAGGACGAGATGCAGGAGGGATATTGCGCGCGAGCAAGAAGACGAACTGTGTTGGTCCATCGGATGGTGACGGAGGTGGTGCTGCACCTGATCGAGGCGGGAGTTCGTCATCTGCGGCAAATGGATCCACAGCGGGAGCGGGCGCTTCCCAGCATATTAAAGGTGGCAAAGCTAACATCTCTTCTAAGGACGTGACTGTGAATAAAGGAGATGGACACGTCAACGTGAGGCGGCAACAAGTGCAGCCACCTACTGGTCACGCTCGACAACCTTCGACACCTAGGCACCGCACTGGTGCAGCAAAAGCAGGCGCACCTGCATCTACACCAGGAGGAAAGCGTGGAAAACGCCAACAGAATGGATCCGAGCTGCAACACACTGCATCTTCAGCTTTACACCAGCAGCAGAAGCAGAATCATGTGGCCGCGAAGGGAGCTAAAAAAGGCACGGTGAATGCTGGAGATGCAAGTTCGGGGGAAGGCGGAAAGGGTAAGACTGGGCAAAAGTTGCTATTGCCTCCCACGGCGTCGCGCAAAAATCCGCCGCCTGGCAAAAGCGGTGACAACAGAAGAGGCGCAAGCGGTGCCCGACAACGGCCAGCAAGCGTGCCTCGAGGTCGACCTCCCTCCTTTCAGCCAGATATTATGGCCGCATGATGGGTTCTCCAACTCAATCTAAGTTAACCGAACAAAGCAAGTTCTTCAGGTTGACTCATGAATAGAAGACCACTAGAGTGACGGTAGTTGGGGTCAGTTCTTGCTCTTCATCTAAAGATCAGGCGAAGCAGAGTGGTGCTACCAGCACGAGCACGGCTGATAACGTCGCCAGGTCGTCTTCCAGTGTGACGGTGGCAGGAGCGGCGGGAGCTTTATTTTCTAAGGTAAGCGGGTTGCCTCGCGGCGAAGGGGTCTTATTGCCAGGCCAACGCGGCAAAGCAACGGCTAGTAAGGCAGTGTTAGGAGCAACCGAAGCGGCAAACGGCAAGGGCAGCAAAGGCGGTGCATCCATTGAATTGACTACGGTGTCAAAGGCAGCATCCCGCGGAGGTATTTGCGGTTCAGAGCACATCCAACATTCGACTTCGAGCTCCAATGCGCCGCGAAGTGACCAGATTCATCCCGGGGCAAGTGTGCAGCCGAAAGCCCCTGTTAATGAAACGACGTCTAAGCCTGCTAATAGTACGAACACTTCTGAAGGCGGACTCTTCCTCTGGGAAAGCGATGCCGATGGCGAAATAAACAGTGGAAAAACTAGTAAGGACCACTCCCATGCAACTTCCACAGGAGCTTCTAGTTCTACGGCGTCGTCGGCGTGCAGTAGCAATGTGATCAAAAGTCAAAATGTAGTGAACGAAATAGCCACCACGTCGTCATCGCCAGCACACGTGACCGCGTCTCCTGCCGCAGCGACAAAAAATGAGACTAAGCGATCGCCAGCACACGTGACCGCGTCTCCTGCCGCAGCGACAAAGAGTGAGACTGAGCGATCGCCAGCACACGTGACCGCGTCTCCTGCGACAAAGAGTGAGACTAAGCGATCGCCAGCACACGTGACCGCGTCTCCTGCGACAAAGAGTGAGACTAAGCGATCGCCAGCACACGTGACCGCGTCTCCTGCGACAAAGAGTGAGACTAAGCGATCGCCAGCACACGTGACCGCGTCTCCTGCGACAAAGAGTGAGACTAAGCGTCGACCTAGGAGCCAATCCATGAGCGTACGCGCTTATCCTCCTTCCAAGGCAAAGAAGACGGGCGCGAGCGCAGAAACAGCTGCGATCCTGACGAAAGCAACTTCATTCTTATGGCCCCAAATCGCTGTCGCAATGGCAATGTTTATTTCCTCTGCTTCTTAAGTTGTACTACATATACCTGTAGTAGATCATTCTCCACAACATCACGGTGCAGGGCATCTTCAGCGTAGAAGTACTGTTATAACTTTTGACTTATGTTGTATAGATGCTGCACAACATCACTACCTTCTAGCCCTAATCTTGGCAAGGTCGTTGAGTAAAGTATCCTCCTCGTCCTCTTCCTCCTCCTCGGCAGCTGTTGCAGAAGGTGGTAAAAAAGACGATGTGGTGAACGGCGTAAAATCAGGACTTGGAGAAAGTGCCCTCGCAAGCGATAAGGGGGACAACGATGGCACGACAGCAGGTAAGGAAGCGCTTCCTTCCGCTTCTCCCATAGTCGAGAAGCGCCCTGGCGATGCTGTCACCTCGGCAGATTCGAGTGCAAGCGGTTTAGTGGGAGAAACAGATCTAAAAGATCTTGCGGAGGAAAAGTCCTTGAAACGACAAACGGATCTAAAAGATCTTGCGGAGGAAAAGTCCTTGAAACGACAAACGGATTTAAAAGATCTTTCGGAGGAAAAGTCCTTGAAACGACAACGAGAGGAAGAGGATGCACACAACGGCGCAGATGGGATCGATGAAACTGGTGGAAAGGACAATACGAAGTGTGCCAAAGTTGAGGGAGCCGAAGATGAAGCAGGCGAGGAAGCTGCAGCTGCTGAGGCTTCACCAATCAAACCCCCTTGCTCGAACACCAATGGCGGAGAAGAAGTGGAGGCTGACCAGCAAGCAGCATCTTGTTCCTCGACGGATCCTCAAGCACGACAGGCAGTTGCAGCTTCGACGAAAGCAGAGGCAAGCACGGGAGGAAAAGCCTCGTCAGAGCAAATGACAGAAGAAGAGGCGGAACGGAAGAAGAATTTCGACGAGCTCCTCAGTCAAAAAGTGTGGGCTCCGTCTGAAACGGCTGACGCAAAGCTCCTTGCGGGCGAAGTCGAAAATGCGCCGGGCATAGCTCGCACTACTTATGGCTCGATACAAGTAGTGCTAGGCTAGGCTTGATCTTCATCCTTTTCGTGTCATACCATTACCAAAAATCTTTTAGAGAGCTGACTGAGATGGCTCGATACAAGTAGTGCTAGCTGCTAGGCTTAATCTTTGCCTTTTCGTGTCATACCATTACCAAAAATCTTCTAGTGAGCTGATTGAGATGGCTCGATATAAGTAGTGCTAGCTGCTAGGCTTAATCTTTATCCTGTTCGTGTCATACCATTACCAAAAATCTTCTAGTGAGGTGACTGAGGAGGCAATGAAACCGCAATCATCAGCCATGCGCTCTCATCTCTAACTTCACCTGTACAAGCAAGCCAAAGGGGTCCAAATAAATTCGCTGGATTATCGGAGTTTTAAGCTTCAAATCCGTGGCTTGATGCTGGAGCGCGAAACTTTTGCCATCCCTGCTTCTGACTTGCGTGCGCACATTGCGGAGAATAGCAGCGATGGGGGTGCAAATCTGCTGCCGAAAATGTCGGCATGCTTACTAGAAATGGTTACGTGTGATCTCGTTCGATTCGTTGATAAGCGGGGTAACAATGTGAACGCCAAAGCAGGGAACAAGGGGCAGACTATTGAGTTAGTGAACGTGAACAGAACTGCGACTACCAACGGCGCCAACAATGAAGCAGAAGGAGGGGAGAAAATTAGTGCGGCTTCCGAGGAGAAGAGTAATGTTGCTGACGGAGCTATTAACCAGGACGGACCGGCTGCTAATCAGGATGGATCTCTGCCTGACCAGATCCAGAGCGGAGCTACGTTTATGCAGAGCGTAGCTACGTCGAACCAGAGCGAAGCTACGTCTAACCCGAGTGGAGCTACGTCTAACAAGGACGTTGCTCCTAACCCGGGCGCACAATAGTTCGTGATGGGTTGTGAGCACGAAAGACAATCAACATCGGCCTATAAAGCGGAGTCCGGTATGATTGACGGCGAATAATTTGTGATGAATGGGAACCGGAACATTTCAACTTGAACTTATATTATCCCCACTCGAATATGATGTATGAAGATCATTAACAAGAACGTCGTACCCCGTGAGGATGAGTCCTGAGGATTTGTTTCCTCTTGCAGATAGATTTTCACGACCCGCCCATTCAATTGCGCTTCCAAGAAGAGCGTTTCTGTCCTCTGACCGATGATTCTTTTCCCCAGTAGAAAGCTTCCAAGATCACCTGAAAATACCAGCCCTTGCAGGGCTATCTTCCTATGAAAAACTAGAAACCTTCAACGCATGAAGATGAACATGATTTGAGTGTTTATACGATCTTCCGTTTCATTCGGTTCAAGGATCCTGCAGATCGTGCCCAACAAAAAAGAGATCACTTTCTCATAGCGATGACTTTTTGGGTTCCGCTTGGCACATTCTAGACAACAGACACATCTGGGAGAATCCTTTTCTGTATTGTTGTCACCGTGTTTAAATCGGCTATGACAAACGGATTTCTCCCTAGAAAGACTCCATAGCAACCATTAAAGCAGGCCGACGTCGTGTTAACCTTATTCAGTTTTTGAGTTTGGTGGACCTATCGTCGACGTCTGTGTCGGAGGGGGCTGACAAGCTACGTGATCAGTGATCATACAGCAACATGAACATGGTGGACATCGCGTTGAAGAGATCAAATGAGTCTGTGATCTGATGATGAAGTCCCGATTCTGCGTCAATGCCTCATCGTTCCTCTCGACATTTTGTTTCACTGCAGGCTCAGTAGTTCTTTTCATCTGCGCCTGTAGCTGTACTTATTTCTAGTTTGTTCCTGTCTCTTGGTCTGCTGAAAGATTCTTGACGTTCGCTGCTTATGATAATAAATTTGAATAGTTTGATGTTCATCTAGATCTAGTAGGATTCCCACTGAAGACAAACATGGCTCTTGAATCAGTCAGCGTTTCTGCCGTGGGCGGCGACCTCCCTATGGAGACAACTCGGGACGAAGCCGCGACTGTCATTGTGGGCTCGTCGCCTTCGTGCGGCTCTTCCGCAAAGATGACGAGCGTTTTTGCAGAATCATCGCCATCGACGTGCCCGTCGACGAGCGCGTCTTTATCTGCAGATTCACCAGTTACAACTGACAACTCCGGAAACTACAGCGACACAGCCACGCCATCGACCACGACGCCCGTTTCGTCACTCGCTTCCGCACTCACAGTCGTTGTCGTCACGTCTCCGGTGAAGAGCAATCCGAATACTGAAATGATCGATCAAGTGCTCTACAGTTTTCATCGACTGTGTCCCGAATTTCTAGGCGAGGGAGGGAAGATCGTCGTCGCATGTGACGGGTACAAATGTGTCACGGATCAAGAAGAGGGAGGAACTGGAAAGGAGCATGACGAGACGAAGCGGTGCTACGGTACGATCTCAGAGGGGCAAGCGAGCAGGTACGATGAATTTGTCGAGACGTGGAGAAGGCGCGCAGAGAATGTCGAATCTGCTAGGGCTAGTGCGGCGAGCGGTGCGATAGAAAGACTCGCGAGCAGGCCATCGTCACGACCTGACAGTCCAGATCGTCAAAGCGCGTCGCCGAAGACCGATGAAGCAGCCCTCTGCTCAAGACCTGTTTCAGCGTGGGGCAGTCAAATTGAGAACTTGTCCGTCATCGGCGGTCAGCGTGGAGCGCATTTGGGCTTCGCCCATACACTGAAGGCGGCACTCGATGAGTGCGTGACGACGCCGTTGGTCATGGTTTTGCCTCATGATGTAAAATTCAGCGACGACTTCGACGGAAGTAAAATTCGGAGAGCGGCAGCGGAAATTCTTCTAGAAGAGCAGAGGAGAGGTTGGATTTCCCGAGAGGAGGGAAAGTCATCAGATCATCATGAACTTCTCGATCTCGATTCTGCGTCTGCAACCGCTCGTCCGCTCTACATCGGTTTTCTGAGTGGGCGGACTATGAATCTACAGCAGCGCTTTTGGGAAAAAGCGAAAGTGAAACTGGAAGTTGCGCATCCACAGGCGGCGCCAGAAAATCCTCCGACTCCAAGTGTTGACAAGTTACTTGGCGCGGACACGGATACCAGCTTCCCTCTTCTCCCGCTTCCCCTGTGGAAAGAAAACCCACACATCGCGAGTGTCCGACAGTATCGTGAGCTTGTCTTCAGCGGGAAAATCCGGCGGATCAGGAAAGGTCAGTTCATCGAAGAAACGGTTGGACAAGGAATGATCGAAAGCATGTCATCCTCATCCAGGAGAACATCGTCTGACGGGGAAAAGCGAGGGAAGCGAGCGACGCCGAAAAGTGCTGCGATGCCGACGACGAGTTCGACTTCTAAAACCGCTGCCGCTGCTACTGCTTCTCCTAGAACGAACTCCTCTAAAACTGCTGCCCCTGCTGCTGTTACGATTTCTCCTACAGCGAAGTCCTCACATCATCAAGACGACACTCCTCACCCTCGTCAGCATTCGCAATCTATTCCCATTGACCCTCTAGCCTTACACCGCGAAGAGTATGGAACGTACTTGCTGTATGACGGTTGCTCAGCGACTGCCCACCTCGATGGACGATGCTATCTACCTGTAGAAGAATTAAGGGTAGGTTAAAGGTGCTTTTCTTACCGCTTTTTATGCCTCTCTCCCTTAGGATGGGAAAGGCATAAAAAGCGGGGGAACCCGCGAGCACCAAAAGCCTACCTCTAAAAGAACGCTTGAAGATGGGATGGAAGGTTGCCCGTGATGCGCAATTGGTTTCGGAGATGGAGGCTGCTGGGTGGTGCGAGTGATGTCATTCTGAAAGGCGTTGGGAATCGACTTTTGTACAGCTGCTTCTAACGTCGAAGTAAGGGTGAAGACTCGCGGACAGTTCCATGCGTATCATGCATCAAATGCACCTCTTTACCCATTCCTTGAAAACAAATGCCTCTCAAATATCACGAAACGTCGCTGATTGCATATGCAAAGATGAGAATTATGCTGACTCTCCATATTGGAGCTCCAGATGATCATTTCAACCCACTCTACTCCTCCTACGGAACAAAGACACAAGGTTGTTCGGGAGTTCGAGCAAAGCATAGCTATCGGTAACTCTTAGTGCGGGTCCACTTTGATTCGCATTCTTTAGTTAACTGTTCGCCATGATGTGAAAGGAAGAGAAAATTTAGAGTTATCATGATGAAGGAAGAGAAAATCGAAATCTTCATGCCGGAGCTGTAGTTGAGAGTTGAGGGGGGAGGGTGTCACAAGTGAGCGGCCAAGGTGAATCGTGACAGAGAGTTTTTACAGAGCGTTCAAATTGATGTTGCAAAAGCATGGTGGTTTCTCGGCGTGACTGAATTGCGTGTGTAGAATGACGCTATCGCGGGACAGGATGCGGGTCAAGCTGGACGGTCCGCCTTTCCGGCGTGACAGCGGCACTGTATCTGCATGCGCGAACCACGATTCGGCAGAAGAGGATAAAACCGTGGCAGCAGATCGTCGGTGGAGTATTGCGCTCCAGGATGAACGACTCTCCGATATACCGAGGATAAATGCAAACGGTCGCAGCATAACCCCCCCGCTCTGTCGTTCCAAAGGTAAATCTTGCTTCGGCCGCCTTCACAAGATCTTCATCACGATTTGCTGCGCGACTTTGTTCGTTTCTGCTTTCGAAGAAGAATTGCGGTACCGCGGTCCACCGAAGGGCCTGGAGGAGGCGGTCTTTGCTCCGTACAAGCTAAGGGTTGGGCGTAGCAATTGCCACTTTTATTGTCTACCTTGATGTGCAGGTGCAAGACGACGATCAAAAATTTCCTTTTCTGTCGAAGAACATCTAAATGGTGAAAATGATTACTTTACAACTCTTTACCTTTTTTTCTCTCCAAATCAAAATTCGAATTCCCAAGTAACAGCGAGCTCCAGCTCGACTTCCATCTAAGTCTAGATCTGGATGATATCGACTGTAGCAGCATGCACATCGAGTTGCCAGACGAGACATGGAACGAAATGCTGCGAATCATCATGGAGAAAGAACAAGGGGAGCCGGTTCCGGAAGTCGTGCGCGACTCGCAGAAAAAAGCGACTCACCATGCAGCGCAGAAAGGCGAAGGAAAAGGTCGAAGCAGTAGTTCTAAAAGAGAAGGCAGATTACTGCGGTATTTTCGTCTGAAAAAAGGTAGAGATAAGCTGCCACTAGTTCTTGACGCAGAGCTGGTCAACTCCGGCTCGGAGCATCTGAACGACGATCCGGCTTTGCATCAGCATTTGCATGCCACCGTTTTTGAAGAGGTTTTGGAAAAGGAAGAAGAATCGGGCGGAAATGGAGCAAGGCGTCGGCGATCACGCAGGCTTCCAGCGCTCTCCTACTGGCGGTATCTGAACCTGAGCGGAGACTCGCAACTGATCCTTGAATACATGCACCGCCTAGTCCCGCGCGCCGGTTCAGGAAAAGCCAGCCTCGAACTAGGCAGAGACCTGAAGTCGAGTTGGCGGAACGGCTTGAAGAGGCGACTCGGGATCCTAAAGGAGGAGCGAGAAGCTACAGGAGCCAGAGTCGATCCGGACATGCATGCGGAAGAATATCTAGTTCAATGTCCGATGCCGGGTTTGCAACAAGCGCTGCTAGATGCTGGCTGCGTCGTTGGAGCATTGTTATGAAATGCAGGAGAAAACTTTCAATTTCTATGAGCTTCTGAAATAACTGTGCTTCAACATCAGTGTTCGAGAAAATTGAATTCATCGAAAGATAAAGAATTCATCAAACATCAAACAGCACCACAAACAACGAACAAGGATCTCCCCTTCATGACTAGCGATCGCAGCGTATAAAGTCTTGTGCATGTCTCAGCTCGCGAACCTTTTTCTCTCGCCGAAGCACCGATTCGCGGCAAATAGCAATCGCGCGGTGATGACTGAGCAGATGAACTTCTTGCACATGATCTATCCGTACGCTGAATACTTGCAGCTTCCCCCTGAGGATATGACGAATCTTGCTGTCACCTTCGTCCGCACCGACGTTTTCAAGAGCTTTTACGCAGAACCGCTGCTGCTCGATCTTCCTGCTGATCATTACGGAGTAGAAAATATTGCTGCAGCTGATGGAAGCAAGACTGGATTTCTCAAGGCGTTCTTGGAACGTACACTGGACCACAGGCAAACGGGTGAAGCAGGTGAAGCGGCTTTGCGGGGAATGCAAGAACTGCTGCAAATGTCACTGTCAAATCTCGACTCTCTATGGAGGAAGATCAACTCTCAGCATCAGCAGCTTCCATCGAGCAGTCTCTCCATGATTACGTCTCCTGTAAAAACTAGTAGTACAACACCTACAGCACCCAGTCAAGCTCAAGACCAAGAAGAGGAGGAGCAAGAAACTCGTCCCCCGCGCCCTCCACCTGTGAAGATACGGCTCGAAGTCCTCCTTGCTTCGAAGTGGCGTGTTTCGCGCGTTCTCGCGATGGTCGAGCACTTGACGCACGATTTAGTTCCTCACAACAAGGAGTCCAGAGACTCGCAAGTGCTGCACTTCTTCACGGGTGGACAGGGCTTTCTGGGTATCGGTGGAGAATACGAGCAAAGAGCGCAGGAGAGGCAAACTGAGTTGGAGTCGCTTGTCTCGGAGCTTGCGGAGATAGTTGAATTAAGTCGCGGACCACAAAACAACGTACAGATGCGAGTGGACACCTTAAAGACTAGCACGACAACCGGCGATAGCGAAGGCGCAGATACATCTTCGCAGAGCTCGAAGAGTTAAGTCTATAATTGTCACTACAAATACAAAATAAGTCTTAGTTTGACTTAGGAAGAGTAAGTTTCCTGAATTCTAAGGCCAATGAGATTATTTTCAAGAAGGTTCATGCAACATCTTCACCGATTTCATCAGGTACTGCTCTGCTGCACCCCTCTCCACGACACTGATCTTCTTCTAAGACGAAACCGCCAGTCCCCAGCTCGCCGCCAACATCATCACGGAGCCCGGTGACTTCTTTCCTCACATGACGCTCGCTGATTTTCACGTCGGACGCCACTTCGTGGATCGATATTTGGAGCTAGGCAACTGGACGAATTCAGTGATGCCGATGAGAGCAGAGGAGATGATCCTACGAGCCTATGCATGGCAGAGCCGTTTACTCCCGAAGGTGCGGAGTGTATGGCCAGCACTGCTGAGGCAGATCGAGATTGGCGGAACGCTGGTAGTAGAAGAGGAGAGGGCGGTCGGTGCAGGTGGTGCAGAAGTTGTCGCCGGACCGAAGGCAGCAGCGCAAATGGGTGAAAATACAACAAATTTCGCTGCATCACAGGCTATCTCGGTGTCAGAATCCGACTCAATCAAGCAGAGTCACAACCTAACCAGCACTTCTGTCGATGCGAATGCGGACGACGATGATGGTCAAAAACATGACAGTAAAAATGAGAAGAAGAAAAGGAGAGCCAAGAGCAGCAGCGAGATCCGCGCATGGTTTCTCCTTTTGTGGATCGTGGGCGCCATCACCGTGCAGCTCGGCAGCGGGCACAACGGCGATTACGAAAGCCTTGGCCCCGCCTTTGACCGCATCCTCGCGCAGCTTCCGCTTTCAGGATTGCTTCTGTCGAAGCTGAATCTTTTTGCCGGCATTGCCTTTGTGGAAATCCTCACGTGGCATCGGTTTGGCTGGGTACGTGGCATCTGGTACGAAGACCTTGTAAAACCAGAACCCTGGCTGGATTTGGCGCAGAATATGGTTGCGAAATTTTCTTCGACTTCAGACGGTTCGACAACAACATCAGGATCAGATGGATCAGGACTCTACCTTAGCGACAGCGATCACGTGAAATTGTGGCGAGAGATTCATCGGGAAACGGCAACACGGGTGTTTGACCAGCATCAATCGAGGGTGCAAGTGTACTATGCAGCGCGGCGTGAGAAGTACATGATAAACAAGGTAAATAGCCTCGAGGACGCAGTAGAGCAGGACTCAGGCGCAGGGAACGAGTTTCCAGAGCAGGAACAAGCTCCTCAATTGCCTTTCCTCCCAAATCGTCGAACTTTGCAGCTGCGTTTGGAGCACATTTTTCTCCTGCAGTATATCGATCATTTTCTTCGCGGAAGCAACTTCATACGAGGACGCCACGTGTTGTACTTTTCCTTCGCGTTTGGGGACTTCGCTAGCGCTGGAGCGGCAAGGTCGTTTCTGCATCATCTGATGAAGAGTGGCGTGACACATTACATCATGATCTTCGAGGCACCTTATACCGCAGATTTGCGCGACTCATTGGATGTGCCGTTAGAACCAGTTCCAGGGTACAACGAGTGTCGGCGAATTCAGAAGCGGTTGCGTGATGAGAGGAGTATGGCAACATGATGTAGTATTTGATACTGTCACATGAAAGCGACTGATACTATGCTTCTTTCTACTTTGTTGGCAGGATTTTCGTAAAGACCCTCAAGCTTTGATTCTTTTGATAACGTTCCTTCTTTTTATCCCTATTTCTTGCCCCTCACCCACTATCCGTCCCTCTCTTCCTTCACTCCTGAAGCTGGCGGAACGCAGTCAAGCCTGAACCTGCTCTGCTTGACTTTGTCGCTTGACAATTCGTCGTGGATGCCCATTGACAATGCAATGATGGGCAAGAATTTGCCTGCGTTGTTGCTGATGCGACTAGGTATTTTTTCGCTACTTTTCTTTTTAGAGTGCACGACACATGATCGATATGGACTGATGGTGTCGTGTGCCGGACACTTTCTACTTCTACTTTGTTGCGTCCAATTTCCTTTACTTCAAATTCGAAAATTAAACCCCAATCATCGTTCCAATCTCCGCGGCCAGGCGTCGATTTTGTTGTCACGGACATGGATATTCTTTACTTGCGTGATCCTACAGTCTACTTGCTACGAGCGGCGTATGGGACGTTGGGAGTTGACTGGGGACACACGATCCGCGGTGGCGTCTATGCCGATCCGGACTATGCGCAATCTCTAGACCTGTTTTTAGCGGTGGAGAGCTCTCACGGACTAGCGAATCACGACGAGCGAGTGCTTGCACAGTGGAAAGCCTTGGACCAGCAGCAGCAGGAGTTTTCCAGCACTTCCAAAAAAACGTCAATGACTTCTTCAGGTAAAACTAAAAGTCCGAACATCTTCAATGGACCTATGTTCAAGGACCCGAGTTTCCCCTATGCGAGCGATTTCGTCATTAGCGAGCACTGGGAGTCGGCTAGTGTGAATAACGGATTCTTCCTTGTCCGAAGCAGCCGCAAATCGATCACCACGATGCTGCATTACCTTCGATGGATGCATCACTTGCCATTTGGACACGATCAGAACGGGTTCGACGCCTGGGTCTGCTACGTCGAAAAGGATGAGCCATGCACAGCTAGTCTATCGGGAAACCGAAATCGGACGCTCTCAGGACTTGGGAATGTCGCACGTTCTACCTCAACATCATCCTATCCTTCCTCCTCTGCCAGTTCCTTTTCGAAGAAACGCGCACCGTCCTTCTCTCGAACGTGTCCGCAGGTGTTTAGCTTGAGTCAGAATCTCTTTGCTTCTGGATCGGGCTTTATTGGTGATACAGAGGTGTTTACGCCATACATCTTCCACTTGACGGGAACGAATTTGCCACGAAAAATCAAGAGGATTAGCACGCTGTTATCGTCGACTGCTGATCCCAACGAGCCAGTGAACGCTAACTGGCGTCCGTTTTTGAATTATGCTTGTCGTCTTTGAAGCTGAAGAATTTGAATCAAAAGGTTCTAATAGATACATAGTACACACTCGTCAATGTAATATGAGATATTCTTCTTCATCCGAATCATTTTCACAATTGCTCTATCACACTGACCACAACCGTATTTAAATTTCTAATGGCAAGAAGTGGAGCAGCACACCGCCAATACATTACACGGAAAATTTACGCCCGAAGCAGAGAGGATACGATATGCACCCATGCGGACAGTTTTATTGCATGATAATGCTGACGGTCCAACCTCAGCTGGTCTTACTTTCCTCGCCACCAAACAAATCCGGCGCCTCCTTCACGAGCTTCTCTTTTCCGACTCTGCTGGTAGTCTTTTACCAAAGAAGTCGGCGAAAATGACAGCGTTAAGGCAGGGCTGGGAAAACTGCAGGAATGTTCAGGGCTTTGACACCAGCGAGACTGCGAATTCAGGACCACGACTACCAAGTATTACTGGAGGGCTTCAGTGATGCTTACATATTTATAAATATATATGGCATCGTTGTATCTCTACGGGCACTACTAACAGTGTCATCAGGGATCAACACATACATAGTAGTAGTACTGCGTTGTCATTGCCATATTGTGTAGACCCATGTGAATGACGAGAAAAGAAGGGAGTAGGAGCCGGAGGTTTTCTCGACAACGTCTTCTCTATCACAGTTTTCTGCGCAACAGGTTTCGTGTGTGAATCTTAGATGTAACGGGGGTTATTGTTGTGCAAGAATCTGCAGAAAAAATGCATGCGTGACAAACAAATTCGTGATTGACGGAAAAGGGGATTTGCTATCTCTGTTTTGAGAATTTTCAGCTGATCTGGACATTTCGATATTTCTTAGGTGTCCATCAGTAGGAGCATCGTGTAGTAAATACTTCAACTTCCATGACATGATGTTTATGCAATTACTTTTTTATTTTTTTAGATACGTATCTGACTGCGGCAGTATATTACTTGCTGTTCAGTTTCCTTTGCTCCCGGCCTCCTTTTCACATCCGCGGCGCCCTTGTATCTCCATCAGAATCATGGAAATTGACCGCCTCCTGGTCCTTCGCAGCCATTACGTATGTTCTTCCTTTCAACGAGCACAATGTTGTTCAGCATCATGCAATGATTCATAAAATACATGCCAATATCAACAACTTGTTCCTGATGATCATATCAACACTGCGGTTTCTGACGCTATCGTCCTTAGAAGCAAGTGCTCATTCATTATCATTCTTCATCTACATTTTTTGTTCTTCATCATCACAGCATAATCGCTATCGCTTCACTTCTTCAATCATCCAGATTTACCTGATGATTGCCACATGGAGGTAACGTTGCGGATTGATGGGAAAACTGTCCTGTTCATTTTCATCTTAACATTTAATCAGCAGACGAGGGTTTTAGTTTTCCAATCTATTCTTGAAGACAAGCGGACAAGCACACGCAGGGACGCAGGGACCAAGCCTAGTGTTGTCCTGCAGCAGTAGGCGAGTATTACAAGCTATTGAGACGCAGGTAGCAACAAAAAAAAAATCGTGGAGGCCCTCTGAATGAATGAAGTGTGAGATAACCGAAGATAAAAAAGGGAACGTTTTAAGGCATTTCAAGACACAGGCACAAAAAATGAAATTCAAATTGGTGTGCACGCAATACCAAAAACAAAATTGAGGATAAAGACGCAAGATATTAGGACGCAATCCTTTTGGTTAGAAAAAGCTACGGACAATCGCCGTGACAGTTGTAGCACCGCCTCCCAGGAGGTCCAAAATCAAAGATGAACCTGTATGAGGAGCTCGCGGCTGACCTTGGGCAGCGGCGGAAGCAGGAGCAGTCGCTTATCGGTGCGATGCTGTTTGTGCTGTCGGGCATGCTGCTTTATCTACTCCTGACGTCGCTTTACTATCTGGCGAAAAGCTAGTAAGATATACTGAATCGAAAAGAACGTCCTGGTGGTACAACAAGCTTCATTGTTTCGTTTTGTGTTCGATGTTGATGCCTGGGTGGATCGTCTACACAGCACAGCATTGGCATTGTTTCACACTCACTTCTAAGAAGCATCGATCCCCGAAAGCTATTCCAACACCTGCTCATTCCAACAATCTTGTTCATTTAGATATTCCGTTTCCGATGAATGTCCACAAGATTGTACAGGATGCTTTCGCACCAAGATTGTTTCGAACGATTTCCCCATTCTGGTCCCACTCCAAGAATGATTGCGACCGTGAAGGCTGAAGGTGGTGATTACCATTTATTTTTATGCTTGATAGAAAAGAAGATTGATACTGCGAACGAGTCTCGGAGGAGCTACACATATTTGCATCCTTCATAAAGAATCAAAGGAAGATTGACTTTGACGCGAGTCATCGGAATTCTAGCTGGAAGATGTCGTTTTGCAGATGTGGCCAGTCAGGTACTTATTCAACAATGGAGGAACTAAAGGTGTTCACGATCTACCTGGATCCGCCTTTGGTCACTTTTGAAGAAGTTTCTGTCAGACTCATCCGCCTTTGGTCACTTTTGAAGAAGTTTCAGTCAGAGTCTGGCAGCCGTTCTAGACCATTCATGACTTTCGCAGGTGATGAAGTAGTCGCTCCCAGGATAGTGTAGGAAGTCGGATGAAAACGGAAGCGGAACTATTAAATACTTCTTGACTCTAGAAGAATAGACGAGCCGTTAAGATACACAATCACAAAAATGTCGTCGTTCTTGCACCTGCGACGGCCGCTCTGTCGGGGATATGGGAGGCAACTTATTCTAGGGAGCAGGCCTGCTGGTCGGTACGTCACAACCAGCACAAGTGCGGCTTCCCGAGTGGCTCCGATTCTTAACGAGATGCAAGGAGGATCTAGCGCATCTTCATCATCGTCAAGAAAAACGGATATTCCTGCAAGCGCGGCTTTGTCTTCAGCAGGAGGTGGGACGAAAGCGGCCAATGTCGAGATCGGAGAAGCATCGGGACCATCAAGTAAACTTGATGGTCAGTCAATAACTACGGCAGCAGAAGGAGCGTCAGCGGCACAGGAAAGTCCGCCTACTTCGACAGTTAATGCATCCCCGAGTACGCCATCTGCGTCATCATCGTCCAGTACCGCCGCAACCGATCCCAGCAGTAGCACAGCAGGAGGAACAGCTACGAATGGGGCGAGTGGGGAGCAGGCGGCTTCCAGCTCGACAACTTCATCGACTGAGGAGCCAAGCAAATACGATAGTTGGTTTTTCCTGTCGAAAGCAATGGGGACGGTCCTAAGCGGATTTCTGCTTTATTAAGGCACAAATTAGTATTTGATTCTGCTTCTCCTCTGCTCTTCGTGATGAAACTTCATCTCAATCACATATGAACAGACCATCCGCATAAATAGATTCCCCTCTCTATTCCCGTCTCTAATTCCTTTACCTCTACAAAGCAGATTGGTCAATAAAGCGGGCGGAGGTGCTTTTTATCAACTGGTTGAGGACGTGGCCACTCTATCCACCCCCGTCGCCATCAGTCGCGCACTTGAACGCAAATATGGTAGAGTCGCCACGGCTGCAGCAGGAAACCCAAGCTGCGCTGCAGGCATGGTTCCTCAAGAAGGACAATTCGCTAGCAAAAGGTAACCGTGTAGATTTATTTCCCTTTCCAAAAGATGGAAGTATTCTAACGACTTTTGGTTAATTTGGAACTCACGTAGATGTTTTAAGTGCATTCATCAGCATGTGCAGGTCATCAACGACATCAACAGACATTTCTTTTCTCGACCTCTTCGACACCAGGCATCACGCGAGATGAAGTTCTGATCTTCTTAGAGGAGGAGTTGAAGATTACCCGCGACTCCGACCGTATATGCCGGAGCTTTTTGCGGCGTGCTGGCGATGGCGAGAAGAGCGAAGAGAAGTGTCGGCATATAGGCGTCGGCTTAGAAGAATTCCTTCATTTTGTCGTGAAAATACTGGAGAGCAACGAAAAGATGGATGCGAATCGACCGAAGCTTCAAGCAGAGGAGGAGATCTGTAAGACCCTGGCTGCTGGCTCTTTGCTTGGGAACCGGCCTGGCGGATTCTTCTCCGGCTTCGGAGCACTAAGCGTGCCTCAAGGCGAAGTTTCCGATTCAGCTGCCGCGACATCGACCGAAGCTGCATCCGGTGGGATGGGAAACTCAGTTTTCTCAAGTACTTCTAGTTCAGGTGATGGTGGATCGAGGACGTTTGCTTCAGCTTCAGCCGAACCTGTCTCCCTAGATTTAGATACGTTACAGCTTGAGAGGTCGCGTCTGATCGAGATGGTAGATTCTTTCGAAGGCCGACGACTGACACCTGCGCAAGAGAGGCAACATAGGCAGCAACGCACTGAGTTACGCAAGATCGAAGAAGAGATTGCGGCGAGGGAAAGATGATCGCTTTGCGAGCTAAACTTCCTACTTCTACGCAAATTTTCAGCACCTGTTATTTGCATTGGGTGGCAGCCATTGTCATACCACACTCTGAACATCTCCAATTGTGTCGTCCCGTTATTATCGTTCCTCACCTTCTTCTTGTTTTTGTCATCTACGCACGCACAGAAGTATTTTAACGGTAGACCTCCATACGCTTATTTCAAATTTCGTAGTCACATCAGTTTTTCTGAGAGTCGACTATGAACAGCCATAGATTTTTGTATTTCTTTTTTTACTGTCGTTGTCGGTCGGTATCATGCTCTTCGACGTGTTGATTCCTCCAAGTGTGACTCGGTCGCTGTCGCTAATAGTCGCTTGTTTTCGGTCATGCAGAAATCGGTATGAGGTTTTTTGGTTATGGCATTTTGTGCTGGTGTCGACATGTGACTTGGTCGTATCGAATTTTGTTTCATCGATTTCATAGGCTTCGTTATAGACTTTCCTTACCTTCATGAGCTAACTACAATAAACTCGGTGACCACTGTCTGTCATCTCAATCAATAAGTATGCACCTCCGGACCGACGGTATTTCTATATCGAGTCAGGACTCCTCTTGTGCGGCTTTCCTGCCTCACGCTCGCCTCACCCTCCCCCACACACTTACCCCTCGTATCACTCGATCTAGGTATGCTTCTACTAATGCGTGCAACAACATTTGAGCTGATCTTTTTTACAAAGAACTTCGTTCGTCTTTATTATCTTCTATCACTCAGTCTTCCACAAAATCCAAAAAGAAGGTTAGGTTTTTTTGAGAGGACCATAATTAACGGTCAAGTCTTAGTCTTTTTTTCAAGAAGTAACAGTAAGTATGAAGTGAGTGAGTAAATAAGTAATATCGTGGGTGTATGAGCTTGAGCATCAGTATCATGCCAAGTAGTGGTATTACGTGTAGTTGCTGAACTAGTTTTTTTTTTCCGTTGTTCGTTGGTAAAAATGGTATCTGCTAGGTACATTCTCAGTAAATCTTTGTAAGTATGTATTTTTTTTCCAAGAAAGTATCTATCTAAATGTACGCTAACTCCGCTATTTGTATTTTTTCATTCTCGTCGTGATGAAAACTGACAAATCTTTCACGAAAACTATTTTCCACCTCCTGATCAACGTTTTTACTTATTTCTATCATGTCATCCTCGTGTGGTGTTCGTGTCCAATCGTTCGATGCGCGGACGAACGTAGACGCAGCACGTCTTCCGCCAGAGCTGGACGGCACCAAGCTTTTCGATTTTACAGAGCTGAATCGATTGCAATCCGTTATTCGCAACGAGGTTTTCAGGAATGTTGATTGCTCGGCGGCAAGAAGAGACGGCGCAATCTCCTCGAGAGCTTCACTATCATCTACTGGCACGAGCACGACACAAGGACAAGCCCGACAGCAGCATGTCATCCTCGAGGCGCCACCGTCGAGCGGGAAGCATTCCGTATTCGAGATGCTCATGCTGCTCGGCAACAACAAGCGCACATTGTATGTGGCACCCTCAGTGGCATTTCGCGATGCCTATGCGGTTCGATTAGCAAGACTAGCGACTACTTACGCGGTCAGCTGGAGTCAACATTCGAAAATCCGATACTATGCGGTTGGCGACAAAAGGCTATCGGCCCTCGAGGAGTGCGGATGCATGCTGCGGCACAACCTTGAGAGCGGCGAGTTGGAGGAAACAGGTATAATAATCGCTGTTGTAAGTAAAACGTTGATCGAGTAGATGATCATAAACTCTGTGTATTCTCGAGCACCATACCACAGCAATTTTTGCTTGGTGAAGCTAGTAAAAGTAAGGTAGAACTACAATAATGTACCATGATGAAGAAATTAATACACAGGTTCGAACCGCTCCGCTTCATCAAGCTTTGACCTCGAGGCCGCGTGTGCGGCCACAGCCATAGTCGGTCTCGCCGAGGACGTGTTGCAGGCTGCCACTCATGCACCGCAGATTCTCGCTGGAGTCGAGCTAGTTTGCCTCGACCATCCGACATTGGCGGATGGATCTGCCCTGGTATCGCCAAGCGTCGAGGCGTTGGTCTGCTTGCTGAAGACTTTAATTCGCCCGCAGTCAAATGGATGTGTGGGTGGAGATCAACACTCGAAGGATGAAGCCGCATCTAGTGGCGCGGCGTCGACGCAGGTCGGGCGACTCCGGAAAGGAGGTGTGGTGACAACATCGAATGTCGCAACATCTTCCAAAACACGAAATAACGGATCGCTTCGTTTTTTGATCCTGACTTCGCCAATTGAGAACATCGAGATACTCGGCAAGTGGCTCGCAGCTTCTACAGCGCACAGTGGTTCATCGCCAGCCACAACTAGCAGTGGCACTTCATCTTTTCATCAAGAAGCGCCAAACGTGGACATTCTCCGTTTTGACCGAAGTTTTGCCGTCAAAGAGTGGTCCGAGTCTACCGTTTCCACTGTGCCGATTAATGAGCAGAACCGAAACGACACGTTGAAGCGATATCTTGACATAACGACGAATTCGGCGGATAAATCGCTCATCGTCTTCACCGGTTACTCGAGTCGTGTGACAGAAGACATCGCACAATTCTTTCGGAGCGAGGTTTCGGGGTATAACTCGAATGCGAGTAGATCAGGCGGGTTCCTTGGCGACAACGATATCACCTCCACCAGGGACACAGATCAGAGTGCTACGGATCCGTTTTTAGGTAAGGCGTCGGCGCGCAGTCTCTTAGCCGGTCCGTCTGGGGAATACTGTTGCGATCCAGATAATGTGGCTGAAGTCAATGATCGGCGTTTACGCGAGTTTTTACTGGCGGGAATCGCAGTTTTGCATCGCGAACTCTACTCGGCGCGAGATATCGATACCGTGCTGACTTTCGTGCGGCAAAAAAAAGCGCGCGTTGTTGTCGCCGAAAGCTTTTTTGCCTCGTACGCGCAAAGGATCGCTGAAAAATCAGATGGCGAAGAGGATGAAGACGATGTTCCAGAAGACGCTGACCAAGTGCTGGACCGACGAAAATGCCGGTCCAGAGAAAGCGTTCGAACGAGTGACACCCTAACGTATTCCCTTTCCGCCGATACTGTCGTTGTTTGCGGCCTGCACAAATACGGCAACCTCGATGGATTAGACGGGAGCTTTTTGCCTGTTGGTGTGCAAAACCGCCTTTCGCCGTACGAAATCCTGGAGATGCAGAACTGCGCGCGACTGTCTTCCGAGCGACCTCCGACTGTGCGCTTTCTCTGCTTTCCAGATCAGATGGGCTATGCACATGCAGTGCTCCACGGAAACCTACGTGCTGGGTCGGGAGTTGCGAACCGCATCATGCATGGATCTTCTACATCTGCAACGGTCACGGAGGTTGTCGGCACAAAGGGGAAATGTAAAGGAAAAGACTTCGGTTTTCACAACGGAAAGGGTCAGCAGGTTCAAAGCTCTCAGTGCGATCCCGCTGGCAGTGCTACACCAGCAAAAGGCGGTCTCAATCTCCAACAGCTCCTCGATTTGGCACTGCTCGATCGCTTCCTTTGGCCGGCTGTCCTTCATGGTTTCGCTTCAACGCAACAAGATCTAATTACCTTGCTAAGAGGATCCTTTTTCTTCACAACTTTTGCCAGTGAACCGATGAGTTTTCAGAAGCTTTTCGCGAAGGAGAAGAGTAACCCATTGCAGAATGCTGTTCCAGATGTCGAGGGAGCTCTTTCGCTGATTGTCTCTCGCCTTATCGCGAAGTGGCAGAAGGAGAAACTTCTGAAAAAGCCATCAAGTGCCACAGGTACTGCGGCTGGAGCCAATGCACCAGACTCCAGTATCGTCTTGAGCAATACCGGTTCCGGTAGTGCAGCTCCCGGCCACTCGACTTCTTCAGCGGAGCTGCAGGTCGGGCATTCTCCTTTCCTTCGGAAATATTGTGTGCAGTTTCCGGAGCTCCATCCAAGCTCCATCGTGCGCTTGATTGAGTTGGTTGTCAAAAAAGCCGCGAACCAGCCGGAGGCGATCCTGCGTTCACTAGCAGTGTTACCGGAGTTTGAGCTTTGCGCCCCGTCACGCGACAAATCGGATGTGCACGCCGTGCGGTGTTTGGAGTACGATGCGGATCTGTTTTTCTTGCCCGCGACCAATAAAGCATTGCAGCAGCTCGTGTGCAGCGGGGCTTCGAGTAACTTGGTTGAAGGCTGCGCTGGCGCTGCAACCTCAGCAAGCACCATCGGTTCTTCTGCATCTGCCGAGAAGCGTGCGCGGAAAGTCTTTGCGCTGTTTATGGATCATCTCGCTGACTTCAAAGACCAACGAGAGAGCAGTCGAAGTGTCCACCTGCGCAAAGACAGCTACAAGACCGTCAAAATCGCGCAAGTCTTGCTGAAGGATATCTTGCAGCCGCTGGCCCTTGAGTGTCAGGATGGCTGCGCGCTTCTGAACGTCCTGCGACTACAACGCAGCTTCGAACAAGGGCAGTATCACATTGCGCAAAATCACCTGCTACGGCAGTTTCTGACCTCCCCATCCGAATACCAACAGGACCGCTTGCACGTAGCGCATTGGGATGGATTGCTCCAAATTCTCGATACTCTGCATCTCGGTACGATGCCTGAGTTGCAGGCGTTTTTCGAGCACGTGCTTGCGGTTTTGTGGAAGGAGAACCACAGTGAGCTGCGTCCTCCACAGGAAATCGAAGCAGACGCGATAGAGGGCGTCGCGCGCGCCCTAGCGTCTCACATTCCGGCGACGCACGGCAAGCTGTCGCAAAGTCTCGGATGCCTTGCCCACGCACTGGTCTCGGCTCAGTTTTACCTGCGCGTTGTTCCTGCCGGAGAAGGCCTGGAACCAGATTCAGAAGATGAAGAAACGAACAAGGTGGAAGGAGCAGCTCTTGCTATTGAAGACCAGGAAAATACGGCTCCGGTTCCGGAAATCTTTGCTGGTGACACTGATCTTCAAAATGCTGAACAACAAAGTGTAGAGGCGACATCAACTGCGATAGAAATTGATGAAGAACAAGAAAATGATGAAGAAGAAAAGACTACAGCAGGAGCTTCGTCAGACCCTGTAGGAGGCAGTGCATCTTCAACTAGCGCAGCTTCGTTTCTGTCCTCGATTAATTTTGGAAGCACATCGAAGGTTGGAGCATTGAGTAACAAACGTCCAGCAGGTCCTGCAAGGCGATTGTTGCCGGGAGCAGCGCGAAGACTGAATCCTCAAGGAGGAGTCGCTGGGAAGGCGGTAGTGGCGAAGTCTACTAGTGTTGCCAAACCAGCTACCGCGACCGTTGCCTCAACAGCGAATGCCGCGGTTGCCTCTACGACTGCCAAAAGGCAGGTGAAGATTAACGGGAAACCAAATGCAACAGGGGTGCGGCCTTTAATTCAAACGAATACCGCGAAAGGCATAGCAGCAGCAAAGGCTTCAGCAATCGCTACGTCGAAAACGACATCAAAGACTAATATCAAGAACAAAACTACGACAAGCACGAAAAATCGCAAAAAGGGAGACGTTCTTCCGCCAAATTCCGTCGACGTGTATCTAGAGTCCGCAGGTTTACATCTTTCTAGCAGGACTGAAGAAATTGCAGAGCGCATTTACACGGAGAATCTATTCGCGAGATTCAATGCTGGGATAAGTGATCCTACGCAGCATAGAAAACCTTTAACGTCAAGCACATCTTCATCTGCTGAGATTTCCGCATCCATCAGGAACGCAGTAGCCAATAAAAATAGAAATCGCGCTTCAGCGTCAGGCTTAGACGACACCAACATTCTGGGGTCGCAGTTTGTTTCTGCCCAGAAGTCATGTGTCTTGTTTCCAGCACTTTGCGCAAACGCTTCGTCATCGTCACTTGCGGTAGGAACAAGTCGAGCACAATACAGAGCTCCACCGGCCGCGGGTCCGAGCTTCTATCCAAGTGCGCGTGACAGAGTTCCCGACGATCCTGTTAGGTATTTCCAGCGCTTGCTGCAGCCCAAGGACTTCTTGCTACTGGCGTTCACTGATGTTGGCGGTCTAGTTTATTGCTCCACTTTGGACAAGATTTTACAACAAAACGGAGGGTCAACAGATGAAGAACAACAACAAAAAAGTGGTAACGTGAAAGTTCGGCTTTGTTACAAGAAGGGTTTGACGATCCATTTGGTGCACATGAGGTTTCACGGCCTAGATTGCAGCTTGCGGGTGAAGAAGCCTGCTGGGTCCGAGTTCATCCCCCAGCGTTGTGTGGAACACTTTTTCCGGCAAGTGCATCGCGAAGAGATAGTAGACCCTCGTCGCGACGCAAACTTTCTCGGTGGTGTTGCGACTTCTGGTTATTTCGGCGGCGGGTCATGCAGTGGTGCGTTTGCTGGAGGCTACAGTGGGTTGACCGAAAAGCAGAAGAAGGTGAGATCTGCAGGACTCTTTTTACCTGGAGGGAGCGGCACTTCGAGTGCGATAGCACCAGATACTTCTTCTAGTAAAAGTGTTGGTAAGGGCATGAACTCCAACTCAAATAACCGAAGTAGCGCAGTGAATCATACTTTTCAGTCTGTTCTTTCGTCGACTCAGCAATCAGATGCTGGGGGGCTTTTTCTGCCTCCTTCGCGAGGTGGGAAGTTTGGAACATTTGGAAAACCGGGGTCCACTGACACCGACGGATTTGGATCTTCTTTCAAGGGCAAAGGCCGGAGTAGCTACAACAAGGGTAAGAATCAATATCAAGAGAAACCCAACATCTTCGCTGGCACAGATTTCGTATCTTCATCTTCTACTGCAGGAGGCAGAGCCGCCGAAGTCCAGAAAGAAGATGATGAAGTGCCATACTTGCCGTGTGGACTCCGCGCGTACACCAAGTCGCCAGCAAGTAAGTACGATATGAGCAAGAACAAGTCGAGTAGCAAAGAGTCTCAGGCACAGAGGACAGGCGCATTGTATGAAGAACTAAAGGAGATGAATGAAGGACGACGGCCGAACTGCCACTGCGGTGTGCCAGCAAAAGAGTGTTTCATGAAAAAACAAGGTCGCTATTTCTGGGGATGTTCGAAGGGACCACGACAGGTAGGTGGCTGCGGGTTCTTCCAGCAGTGGTTTGGGCAGTATGGATCGAAGCCGACAGCAGAAAGCGGTGGCAACGCGGCTCCACGAACTTCGAACTCGCGATCTCAATCCCTCGATACGAGGAACAGCAGAGCAACAATACCTACTATGTTGAAAACAGGAATAGCCACTCCTATTTCTGCAACATTTCAGCAACCATTGGTAGCAGGGACATCAAAAAGCGGGGCTTCCACGGAGAAAAGCAATGTCGCGCCGGTCCCGGTCAATGCGAATATGCCAACTGTTCCTTCCACTTTTGCGGGCACTTTTGGAGGCTTTTCGAACACCATCGCCACATCTTTCACAGGAGGAGGCGGATTTGGGTTTGGTGCTCCATCTTCTTCTGCGACCACCAACTTAGCGGATCCAGTCGGTTCAGGTTTGAAGGGAGTCCAGCCCGTACTCCCCAACACGACCACGTCGAATGGCTTCGTCATCGGATCCTCGAATATACCACCAGGCACTGCCTCTAGTCATCAAACTGGATTTTCTGGTAGAACCGCTGGCTCATCAAGGCCGGCTGGGTTCGGTGCTTCCATCGGTGGATTCGAAGCTTTCGCTCCTTCTGCATCTTCTTCCTTCGGCACTTTCGGAGGGCTGCCTTCAGGACTCGGCTTTGGTCCGAACGCGCCAGCTCAGACTGCTTCCACTGCAGCTTTTGGGGGAGGCGGAACCGATCGGATGAAAACAGCTGGCGTCGCAGACCTAAATCCAGGCACGGGGAATACTGCAGGAGTGGTTTCTTCCGGATTCACAATGAGCAATTTCGGTTCCCTGGCGTCGACTGCTGCTCTACATCAACCTCAAGAGAAGGCACAGGTAGAAGCTGTCTCTTCGGTTCCTCCAGTCTCGGTTACAATGCCATTCGGTGGCTCTAAGTTGGAGGAGCATGTTTCTACCTCTTCGGCGTCATCACGGGCACACCCTGGGGCCACAGCTCTAGCCGCAGGACCACGACAACCTGCAGCCTCAGCAGCACACCGACAATCTCAGACGCCAGTTTCTGAAAACCAGAAGCAGCTTCGTGAAGGCGTTGCGCCTCCTCCTCAACCAGATGCAGGAGTTGCCATTGACGACGGAACCTCCGGGCAAGGGTGCTCAGCTTCTTCAGGTGACGACATCGAGCTGTCTGAGGAGCGAGAGGACGATTCTCCAGCAACAAAGCGAGTGAAACGTGCGCGTGCGACTCTCTTTGACGCGCTATGGAAGGGCGGGGAAGAAGACGGTGCTCAGAGCGAGAAGGAATCCAACACAGGTACTGATACTGTCGGCAGTGCATTTCCGGGAGTCACCTCAGCAAAGCCAGTTGACTACGATAGTGCTCTCGGCAAGGGAGCTGAAGGAGGTAAAGTTAAAGTCCCCCAACAACACCTGGACCAGGTTGACGAAGGTCCACTTTCCACGAGAGCTGCGCCTTGGATGGATCTGCCGAATACCAATGTCACAACCTCTTCCACCGACGGTAGTGGTTGGACACTAACGTCCCTCGAGCTCGATGGTGCTCCTTGTGAAGACTCGAAGGTTGCGCCTCCAGTTTGTAGAGTTGCAGCAGTTGCTCCTTGCGACTCGAAGCCTGCACCTCCAGTTCCTAGAGTTGCAGCAGTTGTTCCAAACGACGATTTTGCAGAAGTGATGCACGACCATCAGCCACGACTAAAACGACCCGCAGGTGGGGATGTCAATGGTCCTCTTCGTGGGCGGAAAAGGACGAAGCAGGATTCTTCAGTAGAAGAAGATCAAAATAAGGGGAATCCGTTTTCGCAACCCGATCTCGACTCGAATCGAGAGATGAGGACGGCAGAACGTAAGGCAGCGGAGGCGGTGCTCACGGTGCTCGAGAATGCAGGAAATTATGACAGGAGCCCTGAAAACGGCCAGCCCAGTAAGAAGAAAGGGAATGTTGACCCATTTTTTGAGCAGAGGAGAACGAGTAAGCAAGGAAAGGGGAATGGTAAGAGCGACGGCGGAGGTGTGAAGAAAAGTGTGTTTGATTGGCGGCAGACGTCGATGTGGCAGTATCCAGAGCTTCGACGACGTGGTGACTTGCGGGAACTAGAGGCGTTAGGAGCTGCAGCACCTACGCCAGGAACAAACTTTCAAATAAACAGCAATAACAACAGCAACTACAGAGTCAGAGTCGACTCCACGTTTCAACAATCATGTTCCGCAGAGCAGACGAATATTTTAGACTCATCAACATCTCTTCAGGGAGGACATACATTGCAGGATCGGTTACCGCTTTGTTTCTGCAACCAGCCGTGTGCCTTTCCGTTTCCGATCCGGAAAGCTGGCGAAAATCAGGGAAAGCTGCTCTACAAGTGCGCTGCTGCAGCCACGGCATCTTCCTCTAAGAATAACAAGAACAAGTCATCGTCTGCCTCTGCTTTTGGTGCTGGATCTTCATCAGGATTTCCCGAGTCCGCAGGATTTGTTCGTGGTAAGTCTTGTCATTACCTCAATATGGTCGCTCCGGAGAAGACTGAAGTGCCAAAAAAGTACCGTCCTGACTGGGATATCGAGGGTCTGGAAGTACCTGTGTGCAATTGCGACAAACCCTGTGTTTGGCACGAAACGCGCAATCAGGGAGTGCTGAAAACGAGCAAAGCGGATTCCGTTGCTGGGATTCGATTGCCCTGTCCACGTTTGTTTTGGAAATGCGCTAATCGAAGATGCGACTTCTTCAGATGGGTCGACAACGTAGTAATGCACGACGACGGACTGAAAAGTAACCTCCAACGACTTACAGAAGGACTAGCTGTGAAAGATCAGTCAGCTATGTCCAGCTCTGCTCTGGGTTTGGCTTCAGGACCAGCAGCCTCTTGCTCATCTTCATCAACGAGTGGCTCTTCGATGTATGCGAGTTATTCTTCGCACGCGGGGGAACGACAGCCAGCACTTCCGAAGACTTCTTCAACATCGAGTTCCGCCGCTTCTTTGATCGAGCTTCTCAAAAAGGCGAGGGAAAAGCGCAAAGCAGCAGAGGGCCAAGTAGGAGACCTCCACCAAAAGAATTCTTCCGCAGTGGTCGATCCATTTGCGGCTCTCGGCCCACGAGCAAAGCGACAAAGCGTTGCTCCCGCAACTTCGAGGAGGCTCGAGCGTAGCGAGTTTGGTGCAAGGACAGCGTACTCTACTGCGTCTTTTAGCTGTGCTTCAGCGATGAACGTTCGGGGTGAAGATGATGCTATGCATGGACACGGATACAGTTTTGCAGTATCAACAAGGGAGTCGTTTGATACTTCAGCTGTTGCAGCTGCCTCTGCGTTCCCGACCTCCAGCACTGCTGAAGGACCATCATCGAGTTCTCAGAATCACTTCTATGCCGACGCGAACTCTGCGAGAGAAGCACATCGTAATTCGGGTCCATCTTCTTTGCCAGGGTCAGAACCTCCTTCGGCTCAATACTGTCGCGATCTTTTGAACGGTTCAAGGAACGCGCAGAGGACGAGCTTCGCGGAATCAGTGCATGCAGCACTACCAGCTGCGTTAGAAACATTAATTGTGTCTCAAACAAGTCAAGCTTCTTATCTTGAACAACGTCCAAAGCCACCCACAGTCCAGCTGACGAAAGATGCAGCGACGGGTCGTTTGTGCTATCCGGTTGCTCCAGTGCGTCGCTCGCTATCGAAACCGGAACCAGGATCGGCAGCTGTGCCAACATGTCGTGTTGGTGTGAATAGTGCGGCGATATCAGGCGTACCGTCCTTTGTTGACAGGGAAGGTTCGATTAAGAACGTAGTTGCACCGGAGAAATTCCGAATACGGTTACAGGATCCAAATGCTGCGCGTGACGGAGCCCCGCCAAACAAGTTTTCTCGGAAAGGCGAGCGCACGACTGCGATGTCCTCCAACCAGCAATTCCATTATCCACGTGATGATGGACCGCTACGCCAGCATTTTGATGGACGAAAGACTCTTCAGTCGCAGAATATTCCAGCCCTTCTTCAACAAGGGATCGTGAGCCAAGAGCATGTGGGTCTGCGTCCCTGCCCCACCAGTAAGGATGACGGGACTTCGGGCCCAAGGCTCTTGAATCGTCATGATAGCATGAGAAGCCATCTATCAAAGGAAAATCTATACTCCTTCTCCAAAACCTTAATTTTTGTCCGCAGACGTAGACGTAGAAAGACAAGATATTCTTCAATTCCAGCAGGTCTTCTCGATCCGGTGCCCAGAGCTTCGATCCAGCCAACTATTTTAACTAGCTACTTAACTATCTAGTTTAAGCCATAACTTGCGTGCCCAAGTGCAGGATGCCACAAAAATTAAGGTTTTGGAGAAGGAGTATAGATTTTCCTTTGATACCATCAGCAGAAGAATTATCTCTCCCATAACGATGACCATAAAAGAACCTCTACGTCACTGCAGGCTCAACGAGAACCGGAACACCGCGAACTGCAGCAATCGTCGTTGTCTATGAGTCCGAGCCAGAGTTCACTTTTGTCGCCTCTACCACGGGCCAGTCAACTTCAAGTTGATGGTGAAGATCAGGCACTAGAAATCGAGCCAGACGCGCCACCGCCGGCTGTGGTTCGCCAACAAGACCACGCTGGACTCGACTGCAATGATCCTGGATTCACTGCTGCAGACGATGATGACGTCGAGTACTCTGAGAACTACGACGACCCTGATAATGCTAAAAACAAGGCCGATAAAGGAGCACTGCTTGACGGAGAGGAAAATGAGGCGAAGAATAGCAAGATAGAGCACGAGCAGGAGGGAGAAAGCGGAGACGATCGAAAGGAAAACGTTGTCGCGGAGCAGGATGAGCAAGGCGCTATGGATTTCCAGGGAGAGGTGGCGACCTCAGCCAGCTCTTTAGGCAACAAGGCGGCTCAGCAGCAAGTTCAAGTTGTAGAACCTGCGAAACCTCCGGTGCAAAGTACTCGTTCCCCTTACTTGCCCTCATGGCTCCATCGGCCAGAAGTGTATCCTCTAGAAAGATATTACGGCCGCTACGAGATCTATGACGGCAAGAAGCTGCTGAACTTTTGGCACCTGATGCCAGACGACCAAAGGGCGATCGCAGAAGATTTTCCAGGCCATCGTTGGTGTCGGACAGATGTCTTGCCGCATTCGCAGAAGGCTCATTACTACGACACATTCAAGTGCAATCTGGAAGAGCTGTTTTGTCGGAGCGAGAAGGACGCTGCTAGCAATAACGTGGATTTTGACGAAGGAGAGGACGACAAAAAGAATCCTCGCAGCTGTGGACCGAACAACAAGAGACCACTAGGGGATATTAGTTTTGGGTCAAGCATTCGGCGTCTCAAGAAGAGGTTCGATCCAGGATCCGCGATGTCATCCAAAAATTCAGAGCTGGATGCGGAGGAGCACACTCCCCGACCGATTCACAACTCAGCTAAGCTCGTCTCAAACACGGCCTCCACGCGAGATACCGTTTTTACTCCAAGTCCGTCGCGGAAGCGCCGTCGCGCAGCCTCGTCGGAAGAGAATCAAGATGGTGAGGGAAAAGCGCTAGATCATGGTGTCAAAAAAATCGAGTGCATCACCACCGGTGGTAGCACCACTTCATCTTCATCTGCAGCAGGTGTTGTTGTCGCCCAACGCTCAGTGTTCACAGGAAACGATCGCCTTCAGGAAGACTGGCAAAAAGACAACCATCCATCCGGTCAACCATCATGGAATCCTAATCGTAACCGTCCTCTTCTTTCAGGAAAGGAAGCCGAGGCTCTTCGCTGGTTGCGGAGTCAGATTCGCACACACATGTGGCTTATCGAAAAGCGAGAAATTGACAAAGTACTTGCACGTGTTGTAGATTGTTTGGAATTGCATGGTTTCGACAATCGAGTACCCGTCCAAGTGCGAGTAGCAAACACACCACCACAAGAGCTTCTTTCAATATTCGTTGGTGACGGTGACTGTGATTCCGTTGAGCAGCAGCAGAAAAGAAGAAGTGCAACAACAACTGGAGCAGATGTGATTGAGAATGGAGCAAGACGCACCCTCGCTCGAGACGTCTGGCAGAAACGTGACGTGTTGCGCATCGCCCTAGAAAGCTATGCCGGAGAAAGCGAAAATATCAATAGCAGTGTCGGAAAACAACCGCCAGCGCACCTAACGACCGCAGGCGCATCCACAGCTAGTGGTGACAGCGAAGAACACCTGAAGAGGTGGGCAATCACGGCTGTGTTCGGTGTTGAGCGTAGAGCGAATGCGACCAATATTGGTGGACATTCTAGTCGAGGAGCTCCTCCGGAACAAAACAAGAATAACCCCATTTCTAGGTCCAATTGTTTCCAGCAATCGCACACTGCTGCGATGGACAATGCGAGGTCGTCATCGCATTTCTCCTCTCGTTGCCAACAAGGTGCGCAACTTCTCGCACAGAACGATTCTGTAGTGCGTTCTGGTGCTGCGCCTGCGTTGGTTCCGACCTCTGCTACGTCTGGCATTATAGCTTTGTCTACCAACAGCAATCTTCATAGCGGAATGACTTCTTCTACTAGGTCTTCACTCATAAGCCAGAGGATCCCCGCAGCAGCTGGATGTTCCAACAACGCAGTCAATTCGTCCACAGCTACAGATATAGCCACCTTCAGTACTACGTCGCAGCAAAAGACGCAAGACAATCGTTACGCTCTCCTCCGGAAGCGAAACGAACTGACACGACCTCTTTGCACGTGTGGGTTAAAGAGTGCATCGATGTACCGCGCGAAGACGGACGAATACTTCTGGTGCTGTCGAAAGAACACATGCGGATTTTCGCAGGCGTGGGTAATGGATGACTCTGGAGTGTACGGAACATCTGCATCGACTGGAGTTGAAACGAAATTGACCACACAATGCCGTGGTAATAATCCGGAGGACAATAATGCCGCGTTTGAAATGAAGAAGTTTTCACATCCAGTGTGTCCTTGCAATCTTGCCGCGAGGATGGCTCGTGGGAAGACGGGAATTTTTTGGCGGTGCGGATCACGCGATAGAACCCCGAGTTGTAACTGGCGGATGCGTTTGGAAGATGTACCTGGGACTAGCAGCAAGTCGTCGCCGGCTTCAAAGCGTCAACGATTTTAGTCTGGAGCAGGGTGCATTACTTGGTGTGTCTTCGACTTCGTCCTCCTATTTCTATTCCGGGTGCGTAATCGTAAACAGAAGGGTAATACTGATAATATCCATCGAGGTTCACCTGCGCTGGGCTGTGACGGTCAAATGGAAAAAACAAAGCGCTCATCTTCATGTACTTCTACTAGACAACATGGAGTAACGCTGGCTGGTGAACTGCGCTAAGTAAGATGGAACTGCGCTTGCAGTAGGGCTGTAACTCATGGAAGCAAGGCAGCTTGACGTATGAAGAGGGAATAGGGCCTTGAAATTTACTCCTGAAAATCTAGCCTAGGCCTCAGAGCTCAGGATGTAGATTCTGAAATGAGGAAAATGCATGACTTGGTTTCTGAATGGGATTTATCATTTGTGGACGAGGTAAGTAGAAACAATTCCAAGAACCAACTAGATAAAATTTCCATCTGAGTTTTGCAGAACTATTTTTATTAGATGATGGGGTTTGGAAAAATGAAGAAGTAGAGTAAGTTGTTTTCGATTATATACTGCAAAAGCAAACAGTCATGATCCTCTGCATGTACTACATGTATATTAGTCAATGTATGAGATCCTTAATGATCCTTGAGATTCTTCATCTCCAGAATTTCTGATTTCTTTGGTATTGAACTTGCCAGGACTACAACTTTGCTGAAGAGGGCATGGAGTGGACCATCGTGTCTATCCTTTACTTCATTATTTACGTTGCTTGTGATGGAGTCTGACGCAAAATAGATTGAAAATTTTTCTGCATCCAGTACAGGAGAGCTGATGTTGGATTGATGAAGACTACACGACCTTGATTCTTCGCGTTTCAATTAAGAACACCGATGCGGGGTACTCACTAGTTTCGGGTACTTATTGTTGCACGTACTGCATGTCTGGTCTGCTCATCCAATTCGAACGAAGAGAGCGCGTGATGAAATTGGCGGAATAATTCCCTCCACTTGCGAATAATTCTGGAAGTCTGTCCTATGAGGGCTTTCCTTATTAACCCTTCTCTTGGTCGTCTAAGATGGATACGAGAGTTGCAGTTGAAGCAAACGATGTCAGATTCAGCAAACAAGAAAGCAGATGTTTTGTAGTTTTTATCTATTAGCTTGTTCTGTGATGATCTTACCAGCTAATTGATAAAAACTTGCCGTTGTTGATGTTCTTTCGCTGCAATAAATAAAATGCTAAATGTTGCTTTGTCATTGTCTGATCGTGGAATATTAATAGACTGAGCAAGATTGAGTGATTTGGAAGACTGGGGTTGTTTTAGCGCTACAAGAGGTATGTCTATGTAGCAGTATATTCTGGCATATGTAGACTCTGAGTTTCAGAGTTAGTCATACATCCGGGAAAAATGGCGGAGCGCGACATCTTGTCATTCGGTCTGGGGACTCAGAAGACGCCAGACGACCTCGCTAACTACACCAGAAAGCTCAAAAAATCAGAGAAACTTTCAGCAGAAGACCTACTTGACGAACAAAATTTTATCGGACAGACTTTTGATATGAAGCGACAAATAGTGGCGTGTATGCGACATGGCACAACCGAGGTCGAGGATAAGGTGCAGAACATTGGCGACGACGACGACGAGGTTCAGGGAAGCGAGAGCGACGACGACGCTAGTGAAGATGAACAGATGGAGTGCGACGACGGTGAAGGTGAAGCCGGGGAATCCAATGGCGGCGACAGTTACGATGAAGCAGAAGTACACCATAATAAAAATGCGGGAAACTACGAGAGCGCAACCGCAGACAAGGTTGAGAAAGCTGCACGCAGCGGCAGCAAAGACAAGACTCAAAAGGCTGGAACCTCTCCTGACGACGGTGAGGAGGACCAGGAGAAGATGGACGAGGACGGCACATCAGAGGATGACGTTCTCATCGACAATAACGAAATGTCGTGGGACAGTGAAGATGAAACTTCGTCTGATGATCTTGTTGCATCGCATGACATTTCGGAGGACGACGCTTCCTCTGAGGAGATGGGTGAAGAAGACGACGATATTTGGGATTTCGAGCCTAGAGGTCTTCAAGATGCTGGACCTATTGACGATCCCGACCTTGGACTTGCTGTCGGGCACATGTGGGAAGACGGACAGCCGGTTCGTTTTGTTGCGGACGAGGAAATTGTTGATAGATCAGATATTGGTAATCTGACGGGGAAAGCTGAAGGAAGTAGTGACGAAGACGAGGAAGACGAACCTCTGGGGTATGACCTAATGGAGGGTAGCAAATATTATATTCCGCCAGCGACGAAGGAGATTCCGCTGTCAACATGGCGGAAGTTGGCGATAAGTGGCACCTCTCGCGAGCTGTTCCATGAGGTGGATTTGCTCAACCTCGGCCTCAAACAAAACCAGGTTACCAGCACGAAAGGTATTGGTCATCGTCTCCACCTATCATTAGCGTTGGTCACAGTGAACAAGAAAACCAAAACTTCCCAATGTTCTTCATGTTTTTCATGCACAGAAGGAAAATCATAATGATGTTGCTCGTGATGGTGATCTAGACCTTCTTCATCCTGAGCTTACTTGACCTTCAACTTCATTCTGAGCTTACTTGACCTTCAGCTTCATCTCTTTCTTTCTTTGAACAACTTATTTTGTGGAAATATAATTTAATCTTTCAAGAATACTTACTTGTTTGTTTGTTTTGATGCGCTCCGGGCGACGCGTACGATCCCGCCGGATTTCTTTGTGCTCTGTGTGTGTAGTGCTATGGTCGTCATTGCGCTCGACTATGGTATGTCTGGTCGCCACAGTCCCCGCCAGCTGCGGCTTTTGTGGCATACCAGGCGCGGCGTGCTGCAGGCGGCGGCGACTGCGCGTAGGTAGCGCCTGGCGGTGAGGCGCGTCCGGGTTTGGTTGACGTTTTTGCGGCCTGCGTGCACTGTTCTTCGCGTTCTCGTTTTGTCTTCGTTCTTTTTTTTTTTTTTTGTCTTCGCGTGCTTCCTTTCTTGTCTCCTCCCTGCTCGTTCTTTGTTCGCCACCACCTATCTCGGCCCCCGTCCTATCGTAGCGGGCAGCGATGGGTTTACCACAGCGGCCGCTACTCGTTTCCCCTTGTCTTCGCTGGAGGTGTGGCGGCTGCGCTCGCAAGAACGCACCGCCGAAGCCGGTCGCTAAGTCGCGAAGGTATGGGATTAGCCGCTTCGGGTTCGACGCAGCCACCCCAACACTCGCCGGAACTCCGTGGGCCTCTACTAGAGCCTGGAGCGCAGGGCACTCTAGTAGGTGCTGCGTGCTTGCCGCAAGGCCAGGGCAAAACGGGCAGCCAACGTCCTCCCCGATGACTCCGCTCGCCAAGCGTCCCAGCCTGAAGGCATAGCATCGCCGCTCGTCTTCCTGCGAGCGCGTTACGCCTCGCAGGAGGTCCTTGCCGCAGCTGCCTGTGTCTGTTACGGTCTTGGCCGTCTTGCTCCCTGTGCGTGCTGCTCCGCTTATCTGGCGCGACTTGGCTACGCGAAGTACCCTCGCGGCCTCCGTGCGGTACTGCCTGTGGCCGATCGCCTGTCCCGTCTCGGCGGGGAAGTCCGAAGAACTTGCTACTCCGGCTAGCTGGTCAGCGATCTCGTTGCCGATGGCGCCCGAGTGCCCGCGGGTAAATCTCAGCTCTAGTCTGCCCGCTGGTCCGAGTCCTGTCAAGGCAGCACGAAGAGCCGAGTGCAGGGCTGTGTCGTTGTCGTTCCTAAGTGCTGGGTTTAGGATCGCGCGCAAGTTGGGCTGGCTATCGGTTACGACGACGACCCTTTGGCCAGGGGTAGCCCTGGCGTCTATCCCCCACAAGGTCGCCTCGATTGCCGATCTCTCCACCTCGAAGGAGTCACACAGCGGCCCGCAGTCCCAGGCGGGGCCGAAGTATCCAGCGCTACTATACCAGAAGGCCGCCGCACCACCGCGAAAATCGGAGGCCGCCCCGTCTGTGTAGACCGTCACGTCTGCTTTGCTCAAAGCGTCGACGAGTGCGGGGGCGCCACCTGCTGCGCTTGGCTCGACGATGAGGCGCCCGTCCTCCTGCGCCACATGTACGCTAGAACAGCCGTCACCTGCATGCGCGGCAACCTCTGGCAGCACAGTCGACTTTGCTGCGTGCGATGCTCCGCACTGGATGATCCTTCTCCCGGTCTGGATCCATCCGACCCCGGGGTGCCTGTCTACTAGTTGCCGGAGGAGGTCTGCCTTGGGGCGCGAGCTTGCCCGAGCGACCACCGACGCCGCGTCGACCGTGTGCTTGTCTTCGAAAGTCGCCAGCCCCGCCAGGGCGAGGGCGCACTCCCGCTGTGCGTTCCCTGGCTGCCCCAAGATCAGGCATGCTGCGCGGTACTGGAAGCCCTCGAGCTCTTTCCTTTGCTCTGCGGTCAGCCTTCCCCAATAGCACACCAACCCATACGCCGCTGCTGCCTCGACAAAAAGCTGATGCATAGCGCGGATTGCTCGAGCGCGGCTCCAAGACTCCCTGGCAAGCTGCCGCACAGCAGCCTCCCGGCGTCGCATCTTAGCGACGAGCGCCTCGAAATGTCTCCCGAACGACCACCGGCTTTCAAGAATACTTATTTTTGATGGAATAATTTTCTTTTTCGTTTTTCACATTCCGTCAGGTGCTCGTCGGCATGATCAGCATGAAGACGATTCGCAAGAGGAAGATTGGCAGTGTGCAGAGTTTCTTGAAGGAATATTTGTGAAGTGCCCACTCGCTTCGAGGAAAACTCGTTCACGCGAAAACAAATCTGAGCCCTTGGCCTGGAAGGGAATGAAGAAGAATGATCAGCACGTCAAAGGTGAGATGGGCAGCTTCTCGACGGGGTCTGGACCTTGTGCTTCGACAGCCCTTACCGCTTCTTCTTCTTCTTCTTCCATCAAACATGAAACTCTATCGGTGAAACAAGAGCCAACGACTCTATTTGTGAAAAAAGAGGCATCTTCCGACAAGCTTTTCAATGGCGAAACTTCCTCTGCTCCGCCTGCCAACAATACGTCGTCTACCTGTCGCAGTAGCAGTTCGTCCAGCTGTCGCTCTTCTATCAGGCCGGTTTTCCCTAGTGCCGAGGACGAATGGGATGATGCCGAATGCACGCAAGGGCAAGGATTTGACAAATTCATGCTAGCAGCATATCAGCGGTTTGAATCGACGCGGAAACGTGGACACCACGGCTTCAAGAAGGAAGTATTGTCCGACAGTGAAGATGACAGTGAAGATGATCTTGCCCAGGCGCTTTTTCAACAAACTGCTTCCTCAGTTTTGATGTCTTCCGCAGGGTACACTTCGTTATCAGAGAACGACCAACAGGGTTTATCACGGCCAATAATGATGAAAACCCAGGCGGAAGATGAAGTAGATTCCAAGCCGACACCGACAGAAGAAAGGTGCGAGGCAACCGCATTGGCACAGGAACGAGAACAGGACACCGAGGTTTATTACTTTGTTAGCTTACTACATCCTTTGAACCTTACCAACTAGTAGATAAGTATTGGAAATCTCATTTCATCTACCTCGGTGTCGCTTCTTGTCAGAAGTCCGTGTAAATACTTACTTTATAATATATATACTTGTTATTTGCAGCCATTTTTAGTGTGATTGCTTCCACACCAGCGGTGTCTTACTAAACTAGGAATATTCTTCCAAAGCCCAAACTCCTGGCTCGAGGTCTCCAGTGCACCTGGTCTCGCAGCATGTTCTGACGCATCAGCGACGGCTCGTCAGCGTCTTGGGCTCGGATCCGTAGACGAGCGCAACCTCCGGACTATCATCACGCAATTTGTGTCCGATCAGACGGACAAATGTTGCGCGTGGCATCGCGACACTCGAAATGTGCACACGCCGGCCCGGTCCTGCTGTCTATCTAATTCGTTCATTTCGGGGACCGACTATAGCCGTGCTGTGGAATTGACGGGGCGGAAAGAGTATCCTGGGTGTTTTGGGCTGTTGCCACTACACAACACGCGAATGCTGAAAGCGGTACCTCTTATTCGCAACCAATTAGTCTTTTTGAGTGTTATTCTATTTACACACTGTCGTTGGTCGATTCATTACAATATAATAGATTCGGTAAGATCGTTGTCCTAGAATCTGGAAGATGAGCATGGGCAACAACAGATTGATATCAACTTCAACAGAGATCGTATCTATCATGATGTGGTAGAGCTCGTTTTCTTATGAAGTGTGATCTTGAGTATGAGTGTAAGTTCCAGTTGCAATACACGATCGCAGTTATTAGTAAGCAAGTAATTATCAATACCACGATCGCCTCTCCTTGTCTTGAACGATTGGCGCATCAATTATCATCTTTTCAGTTTGTGGAGGCTCAACTTGTGGAAGGGATTGGATGCATGCTGCTTGGGCTCGAGCCCGAGAATGAGATGCAGGATACCCTTCTTCGTGTCCGGCAAAAGCTCCTCGTCGATGGCTATTTGTATCCAGAAAATCTGAAGCCGATTTCCCGGGATGAAAGATCAGCTGTTTCTGAAGATATGAGAGAAGACTCAAGTAGGGGAAAGCGCAGGGCTGCACACGAGGATGAAATCGAAGCACCGCGTGACGGCAGTCAGGCCTTATCGTACTGCTTTTCCTTTTACCATTAAAAGCAGAAAATGTGGGTCATAGAAAGTAGGAGGTCGTCAATTCAATGGTCTCTGATTTTCAAAAGCAGACTCTGCTTTTCTTGCTAGAAACATATCCCTTCATTTTATAGTCATGGGCTGTCTTGTAACGATGAACAAAGTTCTCAATGTTTAGACCTCATCGTCCAATGCCTATGCCTATCGCTGTGAAGACCACACAATTAATATGCAGGCAAAAAATTGCGCGTTTTCAGCCAGACGTGAATGATCCGGCTATCCTTCGAAAGGCGTCGGCTTTGTTATTGCGGAAAAAAGCGGGGCACGCGAGTGCGTCACTCCTCTCAAGTATATTGCCTTTAATCTTCGAACTCCTAGACGCAGCAAACCGTCGTAGTAGAAGTAGATGCTCCGTCGTTTATGAAATCTTGAACACAGTGGATCGAAGAGTCTCAGTTGATTGAAAAGACTTTGAATTGTTCCCGACAAAGATCATAATTGCACAGGTGAATCCGATGGATCGCTCTGCTCCGGTGAGGACGGGTTGTCCAGTTCCGATGACGGTCATGACTTTGAGTCACCCGATCCACGTGATGCGCTTCCCAGTGTTCCGGCTGGAGTTGATAGCGATTCAAGTGCCAGTGACAGCGACGACAGCGACATGTCGTTTTCCGAGGATAGTGACGAAGAGATTGCTGAGTCTGGCTGCCAAGGCGTCTCATTTAATGAACGCCTTGAGGAGCGCGATGATGAGCATGAGGTTGATGACGAAAAAGATGATCTGCGCAACGCCGATGACGAAGAAAATGGCGAGGATGCAAACCAGACTGAAGAGGTGAATCCGATGATGGAGGGATCCTCCGAAGAGGGGCATTGGCATGTCACTTACATGTTGAAAAAAAGAACTATGAACGAATATTTCTTTTTCGGTGACTACGAAGAAGACGCACAGCTGCAGAACGACGGAAGGCTTTCCGAGCAGGATGCTCGAGAAGCCGCGCGAATGGACGCTGTTGGTAAGATACTTGGACTACTCATGATTGAGGTAAATTCGCTCTCCATTTCTAATTGTCATTGAGTGAGAATGTTGAGGACGATTGCTAGAATCATTGACTCACGATTCCTCTTACGCTTTTTTGTTGCTAATTTTTGAGATCAGTGTCTGTGTTGTTTTTGAAGACACACTCGGCTCACAGGCAGTGTCTTATTTCTTCATTTTCTTTGACTTTGTATAATCAGATGAGTCAGGAAGTGATGATGATGTACAGTACTAGAGTGCTAGTTGTACTTGTATCTCTACCCCAAAAGCAAAACGTAGTACTATCAAAGTTGACGTGGACGATCATTGCTTCCGCTTCATTTAGATATGAGCTTTTTTTACGATGCTAGTTTGTATTTGTAATTGCATTGGTTCTACAAATTCTTGTCCTCGATCCAGTTTCAGATATACTTACTGGCACCAATTAATAAATATGTTTTTTGCTGGACTTCGTGCGAAGCTCGACTACTTCTTGGATTCAGTCATAAAACTGCTGAAATCTCCTACAACTGGACTTAAGTAGCTCACACTGGAATTGCCCGGAGAGAAGAAGCCAATGAATCTAGACATAAGCGCGACTTTTATTCTTCGTTCGTTGTCTGTCTCTGTGTGCGTTGATTATGTGCGGACCTCAGACGGGTTGTTGGTGGAAAAGTCCGATCATCCTGTAATGCTACGGAATGAGGTCTCATACAGGGGAAATGGTCGTGCCCATTTTCGAATATATCTTTAATAATGCTGAGTTTGTATCAGTATCTAGGGTATTCGTTCATGATCTTGTTGTTAGGTGGCCGATGGCGCACCTTGGCCAACGAGCTTACTCGAATTCGAGACTCCTTCTGCTGATATAAAAAGCCATTGTGTTATTTGCATGTTTTTTCTCACTGTTCCCTGGTCGCTAATTGCCGTATGTATTGTGATGTGATTCGATCATCTTCCATCGTCGATTGTTTCAGCATCAGTTAGAGAATCTGCTTAATAACCACTTCAGCGTTCCGGAAAGCATTGGATCATATGCCGGGTATTGTGTGCGAGGAAGCCAGCAGTGGCGTGGAGAATATCAGTTGGAACAATACAAAGCGACGTTGGGCTGTAGGAAGCGTTCCGGACGAGGCAGAATCTAAGAATGAGACAGTGAACGAATACGTGATTCTATCTGAGTATGGCGACGAAATTCAAGTTGCCCTCGATGCAGCCATCGAGTTGACTGAGGCAGATTTACAGGAAGAAGAACAGGCACTCGCTGAAGAAAACGCGATGGACTACGACAGCGATGACGATGAATCGGACTCGGCAGACGAAGACATGGATCCCTACGAGCGTCAGCTGCATGAACTTGCAGCCCAGAACTGTCGATCCATCGATATTTAAGGAGTAGGCTTTTGGTGTTTCTGTTACCGTTCGTTTTGACTCCCCTAAGGGGGGAGAGCATCACAATAGGGCAACACAAACGCCAAAACCCTACCTTTAAGATATTGCACAGGCAGTAATGCTGCCGAAGGTGTCTCGGTTCGACGAGACTATCGAGAAGGCACTGAAGAAAGGTGGCAGCGCGACTATGACGGCGGCAGCTTCGAAGTAAATGGTTACTTCATGTACAAGTAGGAGGTGCTCATGTTTATGATTGTCACTCACATAACCTCGTATCATGAATGTTGTGTCTATTATGTCCATATGCATATTTAAATGGTAAAGATTGTTTTTGCTACTTAGATCGAACATAGAACTGAATTCTAGTTCTACCTTTGCGTTAAACCTTAAACCAACGCTGACTCTACTTCATCTACATCTACTTGCGCAGATAAGCACGCACGGTTACAGAAGTGCAACAAGAAGTAAAATAGAAGCTGTTCAAATGGTTGATAAAAGTCGGATTACACAACCTTGATGTGCGAACCTCTAAGCTGCGTGGAAGCGGAAGGCGGCTGTTTGCGTGGCGGGTTTGGCAGTTTGCTGTCTTTCCAAGAAACAGATGGCTTACCCTTCTTCGAGTATTAACATGCAGCAAGCATGTCGATTGGCAGAGAAAGTTTCTTGTCCTTCATATTTAGTGTGTTGAAAAAAAGGCCATTTTTTTCATAGTTTTGCCAGGTATGAAAAGTATAAGTAAGCATTTACCAGATAGAACTGATAAGATAGGTATTCTGTTTTTTCTTTGTGAAGAGAGCATACCCATACAAGATGATATATTTTGCTTGACAAAATATGAAAATAGGGCTACAAATTTCATCATCGTAACTAAGACGACACTATCAACGTCTTTACTGAGATGAATTATGGGGAAGATCAGACGAAGGGGAAGTGCCTCTCTTTTCAAGACCCATGGCGGATGAACCTCTGTAGATCCACTGCTTCTCTAAAAGCACCGTCGAAGAAAACGTCGGGACAGCTGATGTTATTTACCGTGTTGTACATAGACCTTGATATGTGATAAGAACAGACTGAGTTTTTTTTTTCGAGCGATCTTCTTTGCGATATGTAAGTAGTATGACACGAACAAAGACACGGACAACTAGGTGATGGTAACATCAGCCATATAGATGACGGAGCCGGACCAGCATCTAGATGTAACTAACTTGTGGCATTTTCTATGCTGAAAGTGACCTCGTTCTCATAGTTTCTTGTCCATCAGCTGCTATTTTTTTCATTTTGCAAAGAATGTAAAAAGCTATAGGTGAAGATCAGGTGTAGTCGTGGGTCCTCATCCCATTACAGCATGTGTTATGCTTCTCAGATTCAATGATCATAAAATACCATAAGATATTGGGTCTTGATATCGTAGTACAACTACAGGTAGTGCATCTATGAAATGAATAGAAGCTAGTACCGATCGTATTTGTAGTGGATTTGAGGATCTTTTCGTAACACATGTTCGGCCTCAGGTGGTAGCAAAACAAGGATTATTTTCAAATTTATTTCTGCTCGTAGAGACATCACTACAGTGAGCTAGATAGATATGTAGATAGACTCCTACATCGTCATCGAGAATCAATTAGAAGTGCTATTTTCAGCCGTTGATGCGAGGTTGGCTCAAGATCAAGAATTGTAGTAAGAATGTCCTTATTTTGTACAATTTCCTTCCAACATTTATGATTCTGCGCATACAACATCAACAAGTACGAGTCAAGTTGTCACAAGCACCTGCCGTGTAGTCAATACGAGATGGCGAGGAGGTAGTGACAACAATCACAATACCAAAGAACACAGAAGTACTCGGCCGCGCCTTCTGGATCCATCACATATGTACAATTACGAGAACGCCTAAATATCAACATACCATAAAACTTTTTATTTTTGCTAATCACTTACAGGTACACTCTCAACGTCAACTGCAATGATAATAGATAATGTAGTTTTTATTTTCCAAACCTTCTCGTGATCTCAGTAGTGCTACATACATAAGCTAGTGAGCGATGAGGAATGGCACTGTTGAAAGGAACGTGCTCGACTATTTCCATATAAACAGGATTCAGAGTTGTATGAAGTTGTTTGAAATTTTTTTCGATTTTCAAATTTGTTTCCTAAGAAAGAGCAGGAAGGCTCACGTAGAGTCATTAACACTTTTCAGTCGTAATCACTATGTTCCACACGTTGTTCAAGCTAGTAGAAGTAAGACAAGAAAAGACAACATGACGAGTTGAACACATAGATATCGAATCAAGACAACAGACACTGATTTTTTCGGGGATCATGTTACCCGCTAAACATATGTGCTTACAGAGAGACCAGATGACTTTAATAAAAAGCAATTCTAAGTTACTACATACGGATTGAGTACTAACTAGAAGAAGAAGTAAAAACTCAACTTTTCCAATCAGGAAGATGCTGGAGATCGAAAACTTTTTTGGTATACTTCAAGATCAACATCATAGTACTACTTTGCTTTTTCACCGAAACTGAAGCCTCCGTGGTTTCGAGAAGCGACTCTCTCGAGGGCAGTGGCAATGACGGACGTGCGTTACGCACTGTTGCTCAGGGAATCTGACATTCCACGGATCCTCATGTGATTTTTTTCTGTGAAGATGGTGGCGTAAAACCTAAGAAGTTGAAGTGATAAAGGAGCATGTTGAGAGAAATGCTCACGAGCTCCGAGTGATAAACACACTTCATGGCATTGGGAACGAGGAGCCGAGTGTGAGTAACCATGAGTGACCAAACGGCATAACAAGCATAAGAAAACGTCTAGATACAAGAGTGAAACGAGATTCTCCACAAAAATTATCAGTTTTTAGCGAGAATATGAAAGTGTTCCTTTTTTGACATGGTTGAGAGGATCACTTTTGTCATTTCACGAAACTTAGAGCGTCTGATAGGTCATTTCTTTCTTAGAAATGGTGTTTTTGTGCCTCGAGCCAGAGTCAGAACGACAATGAAGCTAATTGTGTGCAATGCGACAGGTCCCAACTCTTTGTGTACCAACCCTTCTTCCCCCAGTTCCTTTTTGCGCATCTTCTACGTTCAAGAGCTGTAATTGAGGAGTGCTTAGTTGTTGATGGTTATATGACACGTTGTGATCTTCATCTTTCGACCTCCATTTCACCTTAGGGTTAGCGTTAGGAATAAAGTGGATAACGATGTCTTCATCCTTCGCCCCACGACGCTAACACTGAGCACACATTCTCCGAAATGTCGCTACACACCATTCGTTCTCGTGTCTCGGCATCCGGCACCAGCGAGAAGGATTTCAGACCGTCTACCGACATCACTACCAAGCGCTCGGAGACCGAGACCATGAAAGACGCTGACACGCTATCGACCGCCTCCACCAAAGAAGATGAGGACGAAAGGAACGAGTTCATTTCCGCACACAATCGGATGCTGTGGCGCGAGAAAGAGCCGAAAGATTTCACGCATACGAAAACCCCAGAGCCGCATGCAGTCCGACGACGCCAAATTCTTGAGAAACATCCGGAAATCCTAAAGCTCTATAAACCAGATCCTCTGATTATGGACAGATGATATTCTTGATATTCATTCTCATAAAAACGCCCATTTTCGATATGCTACGATTACTGCTTGTCCTACGGTATGCAACTACGACCACGATGTAACCATTTTTTCATAAGCCTACGGTATGCAACTACGACCACGAGTGATTATAGTAAATGTAACCATTTTTTCATCATCAGTTAAAAATCCGCTCGTTTACGGTTCCATCTCTAATTTGCGTGCACTCTTATGCCTCGGCACGGTTGCGGTGCAGCTGAGCGTGGCCTATGCAGTCTCAACCTTTGATCCGAGCTGGTGGGTGGTTCTGGTCTTATGGCTTACAGCATAGTTTTAGTCATTGTCATAAAGGGCATCGATATCCAGATAGTGTTCATGTTGAAAGCGTGTATTTGTCTGCAAAGCCAAAAACTACATTTAGTACCACATCAGGAGTTGGTTTTGGTAAAAACCAGTAACTCCTAATCATCATACCACCAGGATACAGATATTGATCATGATAGACTTGTAGTTGTAACTCCTCTAATCTCACTCGGCTACGTGATTAGTGGCACGATGAATCACAGTTTGGTTCTGGCGATGCACGAACTGAGCCATGACTTGTGGTTCAAAACGAAGAAGCTCAACCTCCTTTTCGGCTGGTTCATCAACTGTCCCACTTGTGTAGCGTCGGCAAGCACTTTTATTATGGCGGTGAATTTGGACAAGATCAAACTAAGTGTAATTAACAGGCTACATCTTTTTCAGATTGCTCAAGATTACGAAAAGATTTCCTCAATTCTTCTTTTGTCCACGACCCAAAAGTCATGATCATGAAATAGATGATGATGCCACAACAGCAGCGTTGCGGTACTTCTTCTACGAGATGAATATTCATCAATTTCTAAGTCACAGCGGTACCACCTGGAGCACCACACCTACCAGGGGAGCGAAAAGATGGACGCGGACCTTCCTACGAAACTTGAGGGGAAGCTATTTCGGTATACAGCAACAAAAGCTTTGTGGGTCGCTCTCCAACCTTTTTTCTACGGTCTGCGGCCCATTCTCGTGAAACCTAAACCGGTTAGCGTCAACGAAATTTATGGATAGCAGAGCTGTCAATAGAAGGATATATAGTGCAGCTTGTAGTAGTTGTAGTACTACTACAGCAACTTGTACTATTTTTGCCTGTACTAGTATCTGCATATTCTTGAGATAAGAATTGTCTTTGTCAGAGATGAGAAGCTGACCACCTCTTGAGTTAAATACACATTTTTCTAGATTTCTAACGACCTAAAGAACATCTATTTTCTACTCCCACTCGCTCTAAGATCCAATCAATTGGATGGTCGTCGGCACGTTCGACCTCCTGGTTATGAAGTACTTGGGCACCAAAGCATTCGTATACCTCTTCTCTGGGTCGATTCTTGGGCTAGGGGTTCACCCGATGGCCGGCCACTTCATCGCGGAGCATTTCGAGTTCATCGAAGGACAAGAGACCTACTCATACTACGGTCCGTTGAACGTCTTCGCGTACAACGTGGGCTACCACAACGAACATCACGATTTTCCGAAAGTCCCTGGACGTCTCTTGCCGAAGGTCAAGGCCATTGCGCCCGAGTTCTACGACAACCTTCCGTATTATTATGGCAAAGAAGAACAATTGTTTCATCTTTTTAAGTAGAGATTTGCACTTAGTATAAATATAGTTCATCTTCAATTTCTGAGTCAGATTTTCCACGAATAAAGCAGGAAGCATGATATCCTAAAATAATCTGACCACTGGTCACAGATGGGTGTAGAATTTTGTACGCTAGCAACGTGAAAAAAATAATGCTCTTCTGCCGACACCTTAAAGTTAAACTATAGAATAGTATACTCCTTGCTCTAATGTTTCGACTCCTGGACCAGCGTGCTGCTCGGATTCATTTTTGGCCACAACATCAACTGCTTCTGCCGCGTGAAACGATTTCCGTGATGACGGAACGCTTCTTCCAGCCACTCGAAGGAAACCTTCTGTGGCAATTGCTGTGGGCGGATGCAATAGAATCAGTTGTTTAGCAGAACTAGTTCCAGCTGCATCCATGCTTTTGCATGCTTTGATGTTTTAGATTTGCGGACGGGGCGTAAGTGGAGCAGTTTTTTGTTTCAGCCGCTGAGCGTAAAGTGTAATTCCATCGGAGGAGGATGAATTCGTGATGTGCTTGTGCTGAAGCGAGCGCATCATCGACACAAAGAGAAACGCCTATCGTGGAAGACCGCTAGACATCAAGATCAAGGACGATAAGATGGAGTTAGACTCCATTGTTCCTACTCTTTATATCAACACGACCGTAGGACGTCGTTCTAGGAGTAAACGTAGCTTGTAGATGATGGTGTAGTACTAGAAATATAGCGGCGGATTGCGTCCTACTCCGACTTTTTGTCGTTGAGTCGTCGCCTTGCTACGGCAAGACACAATTATATTTTTTTATTAAGTTCCAGTAACGGAGGTGAAATTTAGTTCCAGTTTGTAATTCTAATTGCAAGTACAGAAGTATTAGAGACTCTATGTCTATTTCTAATGTTCAAGCCAACGTCAAGCTCTTACTTTGAGCTCGAATTGGAAAACTCGATTGCAGTCTAATGATCGTATTGGTCGTTGTTTTCCTCATTGTTTCCATGCGTAGATCTATTATCCCCATCAGCCGTTCCACAAGTGAACACTTCTTGCTGAGGGGACCTGGTAAGCTTAACCTTTCCAAGTAAGTAGGTATGTTGTTCCACGTTTAGGTTTAGTAGTTCTAGTTATATTTGGAATAGAGAAAATGAACATCAAAATACTTAGCACGCTAGTGCAGCTTGTACAAACCTTTACACCCTTTACTTGTCACTATTGCAACTCGGGAGATGCATAAGGATATTGGTTACAAGACGTGCAAGTACAGCGAAGTTCATCAGCATTTATTCCTTAAGATGATACTTGATTCCAACAAAAACAGAAACGCAATAACCACCGCTGCATGCATCTACCGAATTTGCGGCTAATTTCATTTTTCTCTTCAATCAATTTGGAGAAGAAAAACACATCCCACTCCTAGGTGGCTCCACGTGTACCTGCACGTTTTGATATCGGCGGAATCTATAGTCTAATTTATGTTCTTCAATTCTGTGATCAAATCAGTCCGTGGGCACAAACGGACGAGAGGTGTAAAAGCAACGAATGAAATGAGAGACAAAAAAATTTATGCGAGATAAGCAGAGCTAGAAAGAGTCTCATTCGTAGGCGTAGCCAAAAGCCATACGATAAATTTGATGTGCAATTGCGGGTCTGCTGCTACTCGTTGCATTGTTTGGCGGAGGCGGTCCGTAAAAAAGAGTGCAAACAAGTTGTTTCAGTTTTTCTTCTTCTTTTGAGAAGTGACTTTCGTACTAGGTTTTGCTTTCGATGACGAAGACGATGGATGTGGATAACGGACGACTCACGACGAAATGCATCTACAACTAACAAGTCCTATCTCAAGCATGTATCCAAGAACAAGATGAAAAGTTTGTAGTCGGCGACACGCGCGCACAATGACTGAAAGATGCTGGAGCTGCGGTCAGAGTCATATCCTGAGTGTGGAGCACGAACATAGCAGGGAGATGACAAGCTATAGGAGCATGGCTGCCGTCCTGTGCGCCGACGTTGAGTTCGCTGAGACTCTCCGATGAAAGTGCACTTGCGACATGAGACGGCCGATTCGTCACGGGAGGCACTGAGCGACACGTCGTACGTAACACTGTCAAGTGTACGCCTGCGTTTGGGAGGCACAGAGCGACACGTCGTACGTAACACTGTCAAGGCTTTCCCGACACACAGCTCCGATTTCGGTCCTAACGCAGCTGCCCCTTCGGTACGCAGCATAGGCTAAGCGTCTATCGCTCGGAGCTTAGTCCGAAGCCGCAATACACATAACCATGGGTCTTTTTTCGAGTGGAGCTCCAGGCGACGACTCTGCTATTGCGTCCCCTCAGCGCGGCAGCGGGTTGAAGTCGCCTATCTCGATTTCAAGCAAAGCCACCGCAAGGACCGGCCTCTTCAGTTATGCTAGAATACTTGTGCTTGTCATGCACTTGTTATCATAGTTCCCACTTTATTTCGATCTGATCCACGTTGGCTTGTGCAGCAGGCCGGTTAGGGAAAACTAGACCGTCAGCTTCGCTCGCTCGGATACTGGTATCATTAATCTAACGCAACTGGACCCTGGGCTTGGCAGAAGCCTACGGTTTTCACCTGATCGTGCTCGTCTTCACTGGACATCATGTCTTGAAATTATGGCTGGAGGGGCATACTCACAAGAATAAATTTGTAAGGGATCGATGTTGGTACTGCTGCTTTCCAAATTATCATGATTACTCTCAGACATGATGCAAATGAATTATGGTTTCCGTTAGCACTAGTTGTACTCATTCGCATCGCTACATCATTTTTTCAGCAGGAAGACGGATCTTTTTCGTAAATGTCGCTAAGATAAGGCTTTGTCGGCGGTGGAGGGTCTGCCGGCGTCGTTGGAGCAGGCATGGAATACCATTTCAGAAATCACAAGGTACAACTTCCTGAACTGCACCACCTGGACACGCAAGAGTATCGGAAAGTATGTAGCAAGTGCTATTCTCCATGAGGACTGAAATTGATGAAGCTGTTTCTACTTGTAGTATTGTCAAATTTCATCTATTTTTCACAACAGGTTTCCGGCGCTTCATTACAGATCTATCAGAGTGTTGCGACTCTTCCTTGGTCCATCAAGGCTTTGATGGGTTTGACCTCCGACTTTTTCCCCTATCGAAGACGATATCATAAGTAAGGCTAAGCGTAAGCGTCGATAACTGTATAATATCATAAGACTACGATTTCTTTGACTTTGTACAACTTCGTAGACAGACTACACAGCTATGCATAGGACGAAAGCGTGGGCACTATTTGTGTCAGAAAGAACGTGGTTTGTTGAAAGCCCTAATCTGAGGCGCCATATGTCTGCATCACGACCCTCATCGCCTGCGGCTGCTACCTCTTTGTCGGACTATTCTTTTATGGTTCGTATTTTTTAGAAGATCAAATGCATCGAGACAAGAACATGGAACATCATACAAACCCAAGCATCATTAGAACATGCTGGAACGACTTACTTACTCAAACCAAAGTATCATTTGTCATTTTCTCCTTTCGATTGTCAATAATTCGACCATAGAGAGAGAGTCGAGGCAGATGTCCTGCAGTCTAACTACAACTGTAAATGTTGATTACCACCCCCCCTTTAAGTCATTCCCCTACACCATCTCTAATCATCCGTCTCCGTCCAGGTTTCCACGGTGTGCTTTTTCTTCTGTTTCTTTCAGATGAGCCTCACGGACTTGATGGTCGAAGCGAAATATGCTGAGAAAGTCAAGTTAAGGGTCCTGACAGTGGGTTTCTCTTTCTTCCAGAGTTTGCCCAAAATCTTTCTTCTTCCACGATAAGAATTGGCGACCTCGTAGAACAATTAACTCAGGGCTGGTTCTTCTTTAGCAATTGCCGGTAGGAAACTCTAACCGAACAATTTCCTGAGAAGGGACCGGATTTGATTTCGTTCGTGTGGGGAGGCATTAGCCTATGGACGCTTTTCATTATGACAAATTCATAAGGACGACCAATCATGGGTAAGGGTATGTCTATCATAGCAGCAGCTGTAGGTGTAGCACACTCGTTTCCGTGCTGCTTTTGCACTTTCTTTGATCTACTACAACTCAATAATGAAACGACCTTCTCTATCATCGCTGACACATCAGAATCCACATATTCCCATGCTTCATTCATCTAATCCCTGCACAATAGTGGTCGGCCAGCTGATCCAAGCCGTTGGCCCGGAAGCATGCTTCGTCCTGGCTATGCCTTTTGCAGCGCTGATCCTAATCCCAACACTCCTGGACTATTTCGAAGAAGGTCCAGCATACGATCATGTTGCGAGCACAGTTAAGGTTTGGTCTCGGATCTGCATGACAAGCGTCGTGCGTCTTTGTTTTTCGAAATTGTACTTCAGAAAACTTCTGCTTTATTTGCTACTCAGCCGTAGATTCTCATTCTTGTTGAAAGAGGGACTCAAGGGCGCTATTACGAAAGACAAGGACGACTTCCCTGCATTCTGATCCGCAATGCTTCTCCTAAGATTCACGAAGAAGCTGCCACGACCGCTGGGGAACTGACGACCTCAACATGTATGCGAGGAATAGAAGGCTATCTTTCTGGTATCTGCACGAATCGTAGTGGTCGTACTAGAACTAGATGATCATAAGAAAGTTGGCAATTTTTCACCTGGGTGTCTCTGTTGTACTTCATTGCAATTAGCATGATACTAACTAAAACTAGGCAGACGAGCAAAACAGATCTTATTTGCATCATTAAAAATTTCATTCCTTCAAGCAGTCGAACCGACACTGGAGTTTCATCCAGGCAGCTTCACGGACGAACAGCCAGCAGCTCCCTAGCAGATCGGCTGAGTGCAAGTCCTGGCACACGCGAACTAGAAGATCCCTTGAAGCTCGAGGATGAGGGGGACTCGGAAATTATGGAAAATATGGAGATGCAAATGCATACTGTTGTTGTTGAGATTTTTCGATGTATGCATAGGCAGTTCACTAGATGAAACAGGTTCACGGCGCTGGAAATGGAATGAATATAAAGAAGAACTTGCGATTGTCAATAACTGATGATTCAAAAATGAAGTTTGGAGCATGGATAATCAAGCGTGCAATTGGCCTTCGAAACTTCATCCTCTAAAACAACAACAAGAAACAACGCTTCTATGCTACTTGCATCTCCAGACCCAGCAGGTGGGTCCGACGAATACAGAAGTGGCGCTGCGGCAGAAGCATCCTTTCAGGCGACAAGAATACCTGGCGCTCCGGTTGCTTCGGCAAATCAGTTAAGACTAAGTGGATATCCTTCATATTGCAAAAGCGCTCGATCTTGATTGCACGCAGATCGACCATCTGTGACTGTGCTAGTACCTTCCTAGATCTGAACAATGTAACGACGCATCGTATCTCTTCCTGATGACACCGCTGCCGCCTCTAACGAAAGCTGGCTCTCAACTCACTAGCAGAGAACGAGAGAGGAGAAGAGCGTTAGAGGCCCAAGAGGAGCTTCATCATAGTGGAGCATCTAGTACCTCCGCACAAGTTGTGGAGCTGCTTGATCCAGGAGCCCGAGAGTCAAGCAGATCGACGTCCGGCCGTTCGCAGGAGCTTCTTCGACAACCAGAAAATCTTATGCTTTTGGAGGATAATATGCATGGTGAAAGCCAAGCAATTTTGAGACATCATCCAATAATGTAATTGATAGATAGTGAGGCATTTCCTTTTCCGTCAAAGAAGATGAACAAGGTACTGTCGCAGCTTGATACTACCTACTGCGGACGACCTCTAAGCTCGGGCCGATACTGTATCTTGCGCTCTTTATGGGTTTCAGCGGAATCACGACAGCAGCCTTCTCCGTTCTTGTGAGCGACATTTTCTGGAACTTCGTCGTTGCCTACACACTCGGCCTCACGGTCCTTGCAGGACTGACGATATGTCTTCGACCATTGGTTGCGAAAATGACTTTGTTCTTCTTCACGCAGAACGTGCTTTCAGTGAGCGTCCATGGAGCAGCTTTTTACTTCTTTACTTAAGACAGTTGTACTTTTTCACTATCCACTATGCTGAGTGGCGCGAGTGGTGCTCCCCTTGATTTAAATAAAGGGAAGTAAAATATCAGGGGAGGCTGCAGCTGCCTAGTTCGTCTAGAAGCATTTTCAGATAACGCCCCTACGGTCATCAGGAAAGTTGGCAACAGGGGCATATGCATGCATGCACCCCGCTCGACTGGGTATGGTGAAAAGCTGCCGCTAATTTACGGACACGAAAGAACAATTTCCCGATGGACCGCACTTCGAGCCGAGCTTTTACATATCTGCAATCGGAATAGTCGCCTCAGTGTTTAGCATTTTCGGCATGGCCTTATACAACATGTACGCCAAGCATTGGAACTACCAAAACATTCTGCTGCTGAGCAATTTGGTGGCGATGGCGCTGCAAGTATTACGGCACCCCAGACTTCTGTATCCTGAGCGTCATCCTTGGTTATTTTTTTACTTGGAAAAGGACTCAAGGATGTCACCACAGATGCTACTAAGATAGCTCTAAAAGTGGTTAGTCTGATCGTTTTTCTGCGGTGGAACGTGAAGTGGGGAATATCCGACGCCTACTTCATGGTAGCCTCGACCGCGATCACAAGCGCCGTTTTGCAGTTTGGGTACCATAACTAGCTCTTCTAACTCTTTATATTTTTAAACGGGCTGCAAGTGCGACCAGATTAGAGTTGTGATGATGATGTATACCATGTACAACATCTGTTTCCAAAGACAAACACTTCGACTTCATCCTTTCGTCCTCTTTCCATATCTCCCTCAGCTGGATGCCTGGCACAGTAATGCTCGCTCAACTGGTTCCGCGTGGTCTCGAAAGCACCATGTACGCGCTGCTTGCTGGTAGTTTTAACATGTCATCAATGATGAGCAATTATAGTGGGGCTTTGCTGTTGAAGATGCTCAAGTGCGAACCCAACGGTAGCAAGAACGAAGGCGCACAGTTCAACAACCTGTGGATCGGCGCGTTGATTATGGGAAGAATTGGTTGAGTTGGGGATTTACAGTACTGACAAAAGATGCTCTTATTATTATTTCTAGTACAAGTACAAGGAATCCTTCTACTTCTACCTCTAACGCAATCGGCGCCTTGCTACCTTGTGTGACGCTAGTTGCGATCCCGTGGCTGATACCCGACTGCAAGCAGACCGACAAGCTCTTAGTGGATAATCCGGAATCACCGACTCTAGACAGTATCTTTATGGCACGGATAGGTTGTGGCAATACAAGAGACCCGGCTGATTGCATGTTGAGGTGGAAAGCGAAAGGAAGGATGACTCTTCGTTTTCGAAAGCTCGAACTGGATCGCCTTGTACTTCTACTCATAGATGATTGGCATCTCTAATACATGGGATCGATTTTTGCGTCGGCGATATGGAAAATTGGACGACGATATCGTAAGCACCGGTTCAGGAGGACGAGTAGAACAGGGAGTTATGGTCTCATCTGTGCAAAAAATGATTTACTTTGTTGTGAATAAATCATGGCGATCTTAATAAACAAGTGATCTTAAGGCCAACGCCAACTTGTTGGGTCAACCACGGGGATCTATGAGAGAGTCCGCCATCTTCGTTGTCGGCGAAAGTCAAAATTCTTGTTCTATTTCTAATTCCAGCACCTCGACCCACCGCGATCTCGCAGACGGTAACTCGATGGTGACAGATGGAGACGAATTCCGAAACCGACCTCAAGAACGCGTTGGACGACACCCGTTTTCACCCGTTAGAGAAATCCAGAGTCCTGTCATCGGCCGAAGCACACCAGGGCATGGACTTTCGAATGCTGTCTAGTTGGGTCGGACACAAACTCATCGATGTGCATTGCGAGGGCATGGACTTTCGAATGCTGTCTAGTTGGGTCGGACACGGACTCATCGATGTGCATTGCGAGGACATGGACTTTCGAATGCTGTCTAGTTGGGTCGGCCACGGACTCATCGATGTGCATTGCGAGGACATGGACTTTCGAATGCTGTTTAGTTGGCCATGTCGGACACGGACGTATTCATGTGTATTGCGACATGCTGAAAGCACGCAGACTGTCATGGTCATGTCTATTGCGACATGCGGCAAGCACGCAGAATGGAGTACGAGCAAGAACGGAGTAAGGCTTATCGATCTCGAAGAGATGAACATGAAATATAGCAACATCTACTCATCATTCGACCACCCCAACAATTCCCTTCTTCCTCCTTTTCAGCACGAAATATGACGACTCACAGACATCTATGCGCACGCCATCAACTCCTGAACCAGAGGGGGTCACCTTCTCGGACTCAATGTCAAGATCGTCTTTTCTCACAAGTAGCATGTTTTGGCTGGTTGCTTGTAGATGACTCCACATTACATTAGACAATGACAGCACTATCATTTTCATTATGAAGCTGGTCTTGATGTGGAAGGCAGGGCTTGTAGCTTGTTGTCGAAGACAGGGCGTTCAAGACTTTTTTGATCGTGATTGGACTGTAGTCACGAATTTGGAAAAGAGCAGGCGAAGATGAACTGCGCATAAGTTGTAGCTTCACCGCAGCATCACCACTTCGTCGAGTGTAACGCCAGAAAGTTGCTTTCAGTAGGCCCCCGTCCCTGGTACAAAGCAAATGGAGCATGACCCTCATCCTGCTTCCACCCTACAAAAATCTGTGGAACAGGAAGTAGACCACTCCTGTGATATTTGAGCACAAACACTCCTTGTTAAAAGTGGAACCCACAATGATGGCAGCGTATTCTCCTATATAAAAACATCACTATAGTGTAAGGAGGACCAACATTTCATTCTCTTGTCATTTCAAATGTAAAAAAAGTTTCAGAAATGGAGGAAAACTTTTTGAAAAAAGACTACCACTCCCTGACGATCGACCACTAGGGACTCTGAAGAGTGCCTTGACCCATTCCAACATCAGGATGTCGCTTTCCCCCAAAATGGAGTGGAAGGCGATCTTGAATGATTCGCCAGCGAAGAAACTTCGCCAAACGACCTACGACGCTTCTCTGAGTCCAACTGCTCGATATCGCAATCCGCGAGTACCGCCAGATGGAGATGCTGGAATGGGAGGATTCAGAGGAGCTGCGGATATGCAACTACATCGCGCCTGTCGATGTAATGACGGTCGACTCCAAATCGACCTCAATCTTCTGGACCCTGCAACCGCTGGCTTCCCTGAAACCGTTCCGCATAGCTGGGACATAGCTGGATGCGTTTTAAGGCTAGATGAAAATTGTAGTATATATGTCAGAGCTTGGATTTGTCTCTGCTTTTGTGCTATTCTTGAACGATTCCCCGCTAGATTGCTTTAGCACGCAATCAACAAGTGTAACAAGGTTAATATTGAGACATCGGCCCCATAACACCGAAGATTCCACCTTCGCTAAGCATAGCTCGTCAACGCGATGTCCGAGAAATCACGCTACGAGCCTCACCGGCACCTGATGAAAAGGACTGTCCACCACCTGATGTGGCTGGACGAGGCAGGATGGCATCAGCCTCGTCTATGCCTAAGACAGTAGGACAGTTGCGTCGCGTACTGTGCTACGATCCAGAGGGAAGCCGTTTGACGTTTGGCGCAGTCTCCGGCGGCAGAAGTCGGAGCAACTCGACGTCGTGCTCACCAAGCAAGAGCAGTCGATACAGCGGAGGTGGCTCTGTTGTTAAGAAAAGATAAGTTCGATGGTCCTCCCGTTCTTCACACGCTGATACAAAAAAAATGAGAAATTCCACGACAGGAATTACTCAGTACCTCCTTCTTGCAGCATCTTCTAACTTCCTCGAAGACGCGGAAGCTCTTGGAAACGTGCTTCCAGACGACGTTGTGATACTTCCGAGCACCAGTTCATCTCCATCCAGCTCTTCCAGGTCACCCTCGAAATCGAACCATGCTTCCTCGAACACAGCTGCTCTTGCATCATGCAAACGAAAGAATAAGCCGCAAAAGGCTCGCTTGCTTGCCATCGCGAGAGCAGCAGAGATGCAACGAGACTTCGCACCGGTACCGACAGCGGGCTTACGGCATTTAATACTGATCAATGGAAGATGGTGTCAATATCAACATGAGGTGTAATAGCAGCATTCTCATTAATGTGTAGCAAGTCGTTGTCGTACTTAATATCGGCTTGCAAGGTAGTACAGACTATCCTTGGTTGCACTTCTGCGGGTACTGCTACTAGGTCGTAGCTCTAATCGATCCAAGTGATTGGAACAGTTTACACGACGAAGAGGGCCAAACAGTGCAAGAGTTCGCCGAGCGGCTCCTGAACCGTCGAGGCCCGCGACCAGCTGCAAGCAGAACTACGCATAGCAGCGAAAGACGAGGTTCAGGTGTGCATGCTGTTAAGACTGAATCTTAGATAGACTACTGACGCAGACGCACGAGTAGTCCGTGCTTATGAGGGTGAGGTTTGCTGGCCATGCTAAAAGAGAAGCAAGAAGGGCTTATACCCTTATACATAGATACTATAGATGTAGATCTATAAAAATGGGATCAGGTGGATGATCTTCCGCTGCTTCTAATGCCAGAATTGGAGCACTTGGAAGCGGGGGCGTGCAGGCATCAGGTGGCAATGGGTATGGCAGTGAACGATATGTACTACTTACAGGACGTAGCTTGTTATCTTTTAGATGATAGATGAAATGACTGAAGAGTCTGAGACGCAGAAGCTTCAATCGCACAATGCCGACAAAAATATGGTACGACCAATGAGATCACCTTCTACACATCCTTTTTCCCCCCATTTGCATTTCGTTTTTCCCAGGAAAAAAAAAAGGTAGTTAGTTCATGGCGACAATGTCATTTACCTTCTGCCCTGCGGCTCTTTGGATGCAGCTGCTCAGATCCGCAAGATAGGAAGTTGGCTCACACCCGCTTCTTGTGCTCAAGCGGCGACCAAGGTTCGACTTCGAGGTGCGACATCAATAGGAGATGCAGGAGGCTTGTCTAGTCGAGGGGTAAACGGCATGAATTCTTCGGCGGGAGCTGGCTTAGAAGGAAGCCCCCAGCGTGGGCGGGCAGGTGGAACAGGTAGTGGCGGATCTTCGTCCTTGAACACGTGTGGCGTGCTCACAACGGATGATCGTGAGCGAGTGGCGTCGACAGTGGCGAATATCATTTATGAAATGCATCTTTACTTCTATTAATTAAATTAGTATAAGCATAAGCAAGGTAGTCGTAGTTGCTATACTATAGATTGAACTCTGAATTGAATTCTTCCATCGATTCACTCTTTTACAACTTGCGTCACCTATAGAGGAGCAGCTCACTTCGGACGCCCGACGTTTCACAGGAATCATGCGTTGCAAATCTAAATCCCGGAGACGTCGAATCGCGCGAGAACGCTCTCTCCGCCCTGCAAACCGTTGAGAAAAAAAGCTATTTCGAGTTCCGTTTCTCCGAAGAAGAAGAACTTGCTCGGGACACCCATGGTCGCATCTGCAGGTAAAGCGGGAAGTCTCGCCAGTAAAATGTCGAGCGCCTTGAGGATGAACCTGCAGCCTCCCAGAGATCAACCGACTCAGAATGGCGGTTTTGGTTCAAGCGTTTCTTCGTCGAGTGCGGTGCGAACCTCATTGTCCATGTCTCCGACGAAATCCTCAGCATTGCAAAACAAGTCTTCACAAGCTGCGGCGAATGAGCAGTTCGAAAGTCTTCTCACCGCACTACGCGACTACTGCGCAGCATTTTTTTATGACGCTCAACAATGCTATTGCTACCTATTGCTAGTTGTACTAGTAAGTGTACGTGTGTGTTCCAACTTCGATCATTTCGTGACTGAGGTTGCTACACGCTCGCATTTTACGTGAGTCTCCAACATCTCGTTTCTCTCAATTTTCGTCTGTTGACCACTCATCTTTTGCCTTAGCATCATTTCTGTAGAAGCTTTAATCCCATGAAGGCTGCGATGTACGACTGCTTCCGTACCAGCGGTTCAAAGACGTCAGCACTCGTCCAGGTTCTGCGTCACATCGTCAGCTGCATGCAGGGGAGCTTTTGAAGCAGTACCTGATTCCACTGAAAAAACGGCAATTCCCGGACTCTTACGCTTTGATGGGCATCACCTTTGAAGATTTGTATCCGTGCGATGACTGTTATGGCATGAGGTCTGATTCATAAAGAAGATCCAGATCCAATTTTTTAGGCACGACTTCTAGAAGCTATGATAGCCATATGGCATGAGGTTCCATTCATGAAGAAGATCCAACTTCTCAGTCACGACTTCTGGAAGCTATGCTAGCCATAATGCTGGCATGCATCACAAGATTTCGGGATGATCATCACCAGATCATTCTCTAAGACAGGCCTTTCGTGTCCGGTCTATCTGACACCCTTAACCGTGTGGGTGTGTGCAGTGGCGGCCGGTACTTCATCGAATGCACAAGTGGCTCTCGCGGTGGCAACATCGCAGCTGGTTGTGGTGCTCTAGAAGAGCTCGACTTGTTTGTGCAGTGCTACGCGTCCGCGAAGCTTTTGAAACGCATGTGCCGCGTTTTGACACACGAACTGTGCCATTGCTTTCAAATGAATTATGGGACGGGACGAGCGTGAGATGAAAAAGAGAATGACTATTCTAGAACCTATAGGGTATACGTAGAAAGGGAACCTATAGCTATAGGGTATACGTAGAAAGGTACCGATATTCGATTTAAAGATCCATCGATTAGTTGAGTCAGAATCCACTCGTGTTACATGCTGATACCTACAGTCTTCAGGGTTTTCGTGCCACACTTTCATACCATGCATTGCGTGGATTTCAACTGCCTGATGCAGGGTTCGAAGAACTTTAGTGAAGCAGAGGCCAAAGCCCTCGATCTTTGTCCTGTTTTTATGGCTTTAGGGTTGACTGTGATGCAAGAGTAAGGCTAAGGGTACTTATGTGTATGTAGAGGCTTTTCATGCGCAAAGCGAATCCTTTTGAGTGGTGAAGGCATTGATGATCTACCTACTTCCATGAACATCAGAGACCAAGTGCAAAACCAACACCACCTTCTAACTTTTGTCTCACGAAACTCTACCTGATGATAGAAATGGACTGCACTGTTCGATACCGGCGGATGCGAGACTGATATGGCTGAGGATGATAGAACTCGACAAGTATGTAAACTGAGTTGAAATAGTGTCAGAGGTGAGGCGACCTTGTTGCAGAGCAGATCGTCTATTATATTACGACCAATAGTACCACGAATTCGAATACTACGCAATCTCTAACCCTTGGGCCTCCACTGGGCATGTGTAGCATGCGGTAGCGGCCGGGCGGTTGGTGCCAAAATGTCGTCAGCCGCTTCAGGAAACATGCATAAAACCTCCACGTCAGCCCTGAAGAGTTCAGCCGCAAGCAGCAAGAGCTACAGTGCTGCACCTGCAACAAACGGAATGATATCGACCGCGATGGAGTACCTGGATACTGCAGATGGAAATGAAGCAAACGATTTCGAAGTAAAGTGTCAACTACTTTCCGAGTACGAGGAACAAAACGGGACGATTGCAGATAGCTGCACGAATCCTTTTCTCCTAGTCCTTGGAAAGTACATCTATTGGTGTCATCGGAGGGTTGCGGCGATTGATGGGGCGGCTGGTGTTTGAAAACAGTCATAAACATAAGTAGGCTACATTCTCGTCTTCCTAGTCTTGGATATCCATCCGGGGATTTGCTCTTCCCGGTAGCTAACCTCAGTTCTGCTACTTCATGTTGAAAGCTAATGTAATATGGAACTGGAGGAAGAATTTTGCCAAAGGAGAAGTGGTCAAGGTCAACTTCAGCGCGTCGCTAAAATCAATTGCCTTCATGGCCTGCAAGAACAATTACCTATCCAAAGACTCTACCTAAATTTCTCATGAATATGCTGCTGTCCGCAGCAGACGTTGTTTTCATGTTCTTGTCGTCACCTGAGCTACATCAGGAACTGATGGACGTGTAAGTGCTGTCTCTGGCACAGAGAAGACGGCCTCTTGAGCTTGGAGCGCAAATAGAGATAGAGAAAAAGGTTCATGTTCCAATATGTCATTTGATGTACTTATGAAAAAGAAAAGGTCCTCTGATGTAACGACACTACTTGTTCTAGAACATCACACTCCACTCTGCCAAAGATGATCGACACATTCTACGGGCGCGCTCGTCGACGGTCTAGCTGCACGGTGCCGCGCTTTCCAAGCGCCGGCGCGAAGAGCCTCCGGAGCGCGTCGCCGTAAAAACCGGTCGCATTTCAGCAGCTTTCCGCAGCACTCGATCTGCATCGAAAATGCCTCCTGCCAGGGGCTATCCCGATTTCCGCGGGCCGCCTGGTCAGTATCATGCAGGAAGGGCACATCATGGAGAGAAGCTGAATATTGTGGGTCACCTCGGCAACGGAAATATCGGATATGCCACTCTGGGAGGCGTTTCGCGGCCTTTGGTTATGGCTGTCCGTTTGAGCACCAGCAAGTAAATCTATTTCTAGTTTGTCTTACATGCAATTCCACCAACTGCAACTCCAACTCGGAAAGTTAGGTAGACGATTAGAAGGTCTTGTTGGAAAATACGTACACGTTTTCACCCGGTCGTTCAGCGCCAGTAGTCGCGAAACCGATTTTCCGCAACTTGCACCTCCTCTAATTTCGAGCCGCTGTCATCGCGTCTTTCGGAGATCAATCGACTCTACCCCGTCATCTTCGTCCTTTGCACCACCATCTACTTTTGGGCGGCATTTCTCTTTTGCTACTTGATACCCTCCTTGAACAGCGGTGGCGTCAGTCCAGGAAGAAAGGAAGAGGCGCAGGTACTTTCTGATGTTCTAGAGAATGTAAAAGTCAATCTAGTAGCTGCGCTAAAACTATTTGTAGCTCTTGTTGTCGATTGTGATCATGTTGATAAAATGCTACTTATACACAACTGTTTTCAACATTCCTTGCCAAAAATCCAACTACAGGCAAATGGACCATGGTTCGTGTTCACCACTGTGCTCTTCCTGTACTGCTACAGAAAAGCGATCTTGACGGATCCAGGCACCATTCCAGATTCTCAAGCTTGGCGGCAAACAGTGACGAATCGTGGTACTAATGATGAGCATATGTTTGATGAGATTTGTCCATTTTTGGATGACACTTCTGAGAGAGAGAGAGCGAGAGTGTGAGTAAGTGTCATAACTTTGATGATGTATTAGGCGGGAATCAACCTTCCTCTAGTAACCTTGGTAAAGTTGCTCTTTCTCCATCTTTATGTCTGTTTTGCTGCAATTGTTTTTCCCCCAAACGCAGAAATTGCATATAGTACTCGGCGAATCTCAACATCCTGATCATTTATATAGTACTAGGCGAATCTGAGATTCTCAACATCACGATTTTTTGAACGGGTGCTTAATCTTCACATCAATTTTCAGCACATCTTCTTCCGTATCCATTCTCAGGTGAATCGCTCGCGGCTTTTCTCGTCGAGAAGAAGAAAGACGGTTACCTACGGTATTGCAAATGGTGCAACAAGTACAAGCCGGACCGTGCACATCACTGTCGTGTTCTTGGCCGCTGCGTACTGAAGATGGATCATCATTTATGAGGAACGGGCGGATTGTCGAATTGTTATACATGAAGCTCAACAAGATCAAGAACAAGCTGTTGTCAGCAAGAACTTAGAGGATAAAGATATAGTTGAGTTGTATGTTGAGATGAAGTGCAGCAGAATACTGCTATCTAACATCGTACTCCTAACAAATTGATTCTGTCTTACAACCCCTCTTTCATACCACTGTCCCTGGGTCTCGAATACGATCGGGTTCCACAATCACAAGTATTTCCTCCTCACTTTGTTCTACGCGACCGCTACGCTATCCATACTCTTCTCCACCCTTTTGCCCTTTGCGATTGGGGTCTTGAAGGGGACCGCTGAGCTAGGTGGCGACCAGAATAAACGAAAGAATAAATACATGATGGTGTCGACGGAACAGCTACCTCCAGGGTCATCAGGAGCGTCTTCAGGTAGTCATGGGAGAGCTGCGAGTCACTACTTCTTAGGAGGGAGACTTCTGCGAACTCTACTTGGAAAGAGTGTCGACGGCTCGTCGAGGACGGCAATCTCTGGTGCATACGTAGATCATCCATTGCCTGGATCCGGTGATGTGCTGCGCCATAACGCTGGCGGTTCCACAGCCGTATCACTGCTTCACTCAGGACATGGACAGGCGTCGACAGATAATTCATGGATGAACCTCTTCATAACGTCGCTTTACCGGTTACGAGAGACCGAGGCGGACAAAGACAAGGCGAGATTGTGGCAACAGCAGCACGCGCTTGGCGTTCGAGTTATGACTGCTGCTCTTGATGATTTTCATTTTGTTCTATTTTTCGTGATGATCATGAGATGATGAATCATGTTTCTGGGCTTTCCTCATCTATACTTCCGATCCAGGGACAATCAACATGGAGGACGAGGTGACAAAATGAATGATAACCTTCTTCGAGGACGAGGAGCTCTAATCGAAGAGACATCAACAGGGACAATCTCTACTACAACGGTAACAAGATCAGTCATCCAGAGGTGGTGGAAGGCATCCAAGTGGGAGATGACGGAGACGCGGAGATCACTCGGACTGCGTCATTTCTCAGCGAGGGAACGGGCTTGTACGCCAAAGTGAACGATCCATTCGAGACGTTCCGCTACGGCGATTTACTGACGGCGTACGGACAGTCGTCGCCTTTTGTCTTTCGCACGGTGGCGCCGGGAGAGCCGTACTTTCCCGCATTTGAGTTGTTTCACCTGATTTTTGCCACGTCATTGTCGGCGCTGCTGGGCACGGTGGTGAGCGGCTTTTTCCTCTTTCATTTGTACCTCGTATCGATCAACTCCACAACCATCGAGTTCTGCGAAAAGAGCAGGACAAAGAGTATGGCGGATCTGCATGTAAGCACTTAGCTTATCTTTTAGTGTAAATGTAAGTACTAGTTCTTGTAGCAGTACCATTGGCCTGGGTGGGCATTCGTTGTGGGAGTTGACCTCGTGTCAGCTGCCATTCTGTCCTAACGCAAAAAAAAAAAAAACTACGGTGATCAAGAATGGTCATAACAGGGACATACACATGACAAGATGCACTTCTAGTTTCAAGATCTGACGCATTTTTCTCTCCCCCTCTAAACCAAGTTCGCATGACCATGATAAGGGGGAAGGACATCACGATGACGAAGTCATGCCTGGCGATCGAGACTGGAGCAACCGAACCCCTACTAGCATCGAGCAGGAGCGCGGAACCGAAGGTGGACGCGGCGGCGGTGCGGGTTCAAATACTGCCCAAGAAAGAAGCGGAGACGGGCAGCATGCGCATCATCGCCATGATCACGAGCCTGGATTGCTCACGGCCTGCGTCGCAGGGATGATGGCGCCAGGAGGCAGTCAATACGATGTCGGATGCTGCGGAAACTTTCTTACGGTCTCAAGTTAAATGTGACTGGCTCTTGCTCAAAAAAGTAAAAAGTTCATCTTGACTTTTCTAACGTCCGAGCAGCCTTAGGACCGTATTTTCTTTGCTGGCCGTTTCCAGCGACAGCAGCTGAGGGTGACGGCGTCATCTTTTTAGATGAGGAGACAATCGCCTCAAGGCTAGACGCGATAGCAAAAATGAACGATCACGAAGAACTCCTCGACAGCGAGGATCTTGGTGGAGCTGTTGTCGTGGCGGGTCAGATCGTAGATCCCGCTGACGATGATGTGCAGTCACCACCAGGAGACCAGAAAGCATCAGGAGATTCTTCAACAGCACAACTGCCCAGAAGGCGGAGTAAAGAATCTGATAGCGGCACTGCGCCGGGTGGAGCAAATGCAACGGCAACAGATGCAACAGCGCAGGCAGTAGACGACGCAAAGGGCAAGGAGTTCTTGTACTATGCATACCAAGATGAAGGAGCAGGGGTTCAAGATGATGCATCGTCGTCCCTTCCCGAAGAACATCTTCTTTGGGGGAGCGACAGCCCGGGCGCGCAGCCAGCGTCCCGCAGAGCTCCGGAATCAGGAGGTAACAAGAAGAGTCGAAAATACTACCTTCAAAAGCCTCCAACGACTGCTGCATCGTCATCTTCAAGTAGAGCAACAAGCAAAGATGACGGAGAGAACGTAGCAGTCGTGCGTGGGCGCATCGTAGAACCTTGTGGACAGGACGTGACAGAGGCAGGTGGAAAGGACGTGAAGATAGAGGCAGGTGGTGGACTTGGGCTCGGTCAGGATGACGATGAACTAGTACTGGAAAGTCTCCTCGAAGATACTGCAGAACCTTCGCAACAGCGTGCGGGCACTAGCAGCGCGACCCATGCGGCGGGAGCAGCAGAAACAGCAGGATCGCAAAAACATATGCACCAGTTAACATCAGCATCCAGTGCGCAATTGCCGAAGCCTCTGGATGAGGATCCGTTCTTTCCAAAACCGCCATCAAGACAATGGGCCAAGAAGAACGCGACGAGCGGCAATTGGCAAGCAGCGGCGTCGAGGAGCAAAAGTAGTAGGAGGATTGCAGGCAATTCTGAATGTGATGAGAAACGAATAGGCGCAGCGGCAGCAAGAGGAGTTGCTGGAAGAAAAGCTGGATCTTCCGCAAAGCCAGACAAAGAGGGTCTAGCAGCTTCTTCATCATCCTCGAGATCGAGTACTAGTACGTCAAGACTTGTAGAAAATAGAAATGACGGAATGGATGTGTTGAAGGCACCTCCGGCAATAGAGGCTGTTTCGTTATCATCGTCCCCCGAGTGCGAACACTCTGATAACAACTTCCAACATGGAGACAACAGAACTAGAAGTAGAACAGCTCCAGTGGACAGCACTGACAATTCCGAGCAAGAATCTTCGTTTGAACAGAATAGGCCTCTCCCTTCCGAGCATGCTGCAGACAGTGACGTCGCGCTGCGATCGAATATTCATACACCGCTAGACGAATTCGACGAGACCCGATCGAACTCGAATCCACCGCTACTGGCTCTCCTCGAGAACCAGGAAAGGCAGTGGAAACGGAGTAGCACGTCAACGTCGTCTTCCCCGGTTGGTGGGGAGCAGAGAGAAGATGATATCTGTGCTGGAGAGTCTGCTGTAGTAGAAGTGCAAGCTCCTGCTCCTCCTGCTCCTAGTGAAAAATTGGAAGAGTCTTCTGTGTTACCTCAAGTACAAGAACCTAGTAGTGCAACCGAAGTAGATTTATATCCAGATGATGCAGGAAAGTCTGCTGTAGTCGCACTAGAAGTAGAAGAGCGAGATGACCCTCCTAGGGCAGAAATTGAAGAGCAGCTTCCTCCTGTATCGTCTTCGATACAAGAACCCAGTAGTGCAGCGGAAGCAGATCTCCCAGATGCTGCAGAGGAGGTGTTCAAGAGTCCTGAAGACAACAAAGAGGGGTGCGGTGGACACGAGGAGTTGCCGCTGCCACAGGATATGACAGTTGTAGATACTTCAGTATTGGAAGGTGCAGGAGAAGATTTTGTAGAGGAGTCCGCTTTTAGCACGCCAAAGCAGCTGCAAGGACCGAAACTCCTATCAGATGACGAAGATGAAGAAGGTGCGGCTGTGAACCCGGCGAATCACGATGCTCCTCTTAGTGCTAGAACACCAACTGGCACTGGACGAACAGGAAAGCGTGTAGTCGAATAACAAAAATATAGTGAATGATATACATTCTTCAGCTAACTCTAAGAGAAAGACTAAGACTTCAGTGAGCGACCTACTTGAACTTGATGTTAATATAAATGAAAACTTCACCGCTCTTTGACCGATCAATATGTCTGGTATTAACGTAAACGTCAATAAACGTAACAACTAGGACACCTGATTCTATCGACAGCTATCAACTATCAAATATAAAGCCAAAATGAATGTAAGTAATGCCAAACAGATGACCGATATTTTTCTTAGCGAGCTCCTGTTATTCTATGTTAATAAGGCTAATGTAAGTTTGAGAATAGAGCTAAAAAGTAGACTGATGAAGAAGAAAAATGTTGAAAGAAATCAGTAGTTTCACCACTGTAAGATGAAGATTCTCACTAGTTGTAGACAACAATAAACCCTCATGATGACCATTTAATCCTCGCGTCACATGTATAGTGGGGTGTCGATGTTCCCGCTCGCAGTCGTTTTAGTCTAAATCATTCCTTTCGCATTGTAGAACTATCAGTTTAACTGTTACATAATGTAGACGGAAATTGTGCACATTCCTCTTTAATCGCATTTATTTGTACATAGAACACATTTTTCAATTGCATGACAGGTGGAAGTTCAAGAAATTCTCTTTCATCTCATGATCCGTCCATGATGATTTCCAGTGCCACGCACAAGCTGATGGAAGATAGAAGATGCGTAAGAAACACGGGCATAGATGAAGGCATACGCATACCTACGAAGAGATACTTGTGGATTCAGTTTTTGGCGTCCAGTGTCAACATTTGTCGGACCACTCAGCGACAGATCACTCTCAGCCATTGTTGAGGCAAGTTCTTCAAAGATGACATGACGATGACCATTGCTAGGAGACGATCAACGCGAAGTTTTTGTAGATCAGGTGATACTTCTAACTCTAAGTTGTGTTTGAGTTTGTGTATCTAACAGTGAGAGGTTTTTATCTTGCTCCGTGTCACCAGGAAAACAAAGTAATTTTCAACATCAGGATGGCACGAATGGCTGCCGATACGTCTCCAGCGCCTTTTCCTTCGCCTTCTCGGGGTCTATCCATCACGGCAGGAGGCTCATCTGCATTGATGCCACAGCAGACTCGATCTTCGTCTTCGACGTCGTCGACGTCAACGTTTCGTCCACGACAGACGGTTCTAGCGCCTTACAAGCTGCTCTCTTCGGGAGATGATAGAGGGAGCTACTTTCGTGCTACGATCCAGGAGATCGACGACGGCAGTCAAATGGCGATGATAACGTGGCTGCGCCCGAGTCCCCTAGATCCAGCGGCGTCGGAGCAACCGAACACTTTCCTCTGCTCCACGGGCGCGGACGAGACACTCGATATGCTAAAACACGTGTCGGAGTTGCGGTGCCTTGAGGAAGGACAGAGCGGCAACACGGGTTCCACACCTGATCCGATCCAGAGTTCATCGATCCCAACATCGTCCAACGCACCAGATATACTAGTTGTGAGTAGGCCAGCGCCGTCAGCGCCTGCTTCAGAGCGGTCCACCTTTGACATTGGTGGTAAGGTTGATATCGACACACCGTTGATAGATCTAGGATAAGTTGTACGAATTTCAGTGGAAGTGGCGATTCTACTTGAACCGTTGTCCAAAAGCAAAGAAGTCAAACAAAAATGATAATGAACATGAAGAACATAATGTAAAACTACATGGTCGCGGTGGTCGGTCGACGCGTGTAGAAAAGTGTTGTAGATTGAAATGCTACAAGGTCGAGGTCCGAAGACGAAAGATGAGACCGCAGACTGAGTTAGAGTTCTTGAAAATCACATCAAGACGATGTGCTGAGAAATGAGAAAGGAGTCATCGTGTTCATAGTCTTGTTCAAAAAAGCGACGAGTGATCTAAACATGGCTGTGGCAAATTCAGCTTTTCTAATATGGATCATGATGCGCATGTCATTTCTTTGCACTTTGTTCTAATGCAACGAACTCCAAAACTCTTCCGGAGTCAAATTTTGTCGTTGTTATTGAATGAAATGGAATCAAAAAAGACGAGGAAACTTTGAATCCGTTACAACTCCACCTCGTTCTCCTGATTTTGATGATCCTTCTGACGTTATTCTCTCATCATCCACGAATCCGGATGCCAGACATCACTAATCTTCAATCAATTCGAAGATAATGCTCTCGTCCTCCCTGTTCAACATCATGATGCACCGAATGTTGTGCACAAAATGCGACAAGAATCTTGATGTGCAAAATCCCTCTATGCCGAATAGATTCCAATTCAATCTACCTTGTGAAGAAATCATAATACGAATACCATAATTTGCGTTTCTAAAGATGTGAAAATGTGAAAATGAGAATCTCTATTGGTAGCATAAGTACTTATATCAGTCGAAATACGCTCTCCTGGAGGTTGGGACCTTTGTCGCGGTCGATATCAGAAATGTTTTTGTGCAGCACCTATAGCAACTTCATCTATCGACAAACTACAGATTGATTCTGTAACAGCGAGCATAATCATGAAACTACATTCCATGCGGGTTTCATGATGTTGTTTGAGATAATGGTTATTGACAAAACGGCATCAAAATCCTTGTCGCTCCTTGATGTTATGGAAATCTGAAAAAAAAAACAATCTTAGATATAAATTTCCTAGTAGGTCTCTGGAGGAATTCTAGTGTCGTTTCTTAGAATCCTTTGTATGACCAACTGCTTCAAGTTCAAACAGCTACCCGAGTAGTTTTTAACACAGTCAAGAAAATCTACTCCAACATATAAACTTTTACATGGTGTAACTGTAACACTCATAATATCACTAAACAACAACAACAAGAACAACAACAAATTATGTTCCATTGTTTTGTTTCTGGTAACCCCACCCTATTGAACTATTCATGGATCTAATACCATCTGAACCGAGCAAGAGGATAAATATGACGATCATGAACGACCGAGAGCATGCCTTAACGTCAACCACATTCTGATACGATTACTCGCGTGGACGGAGATACGTGTATGGAAACGAATTGGCCACGGACAATTGGGTAGAATGCTATGTTGGGAAACTTCTGTTCTAGCTTTACCTTTACTTCTATTCAAACGAAGATGAGTAACGAGTAACAATAGTCATCTCATTTTTCTCGTTTTCCGTGCGAAAACGTTTTGATAAAAGACTCTTGTCGCTGTATGGATCAACATCAAGTCTGCATTAACGACAAGTAAGTACAACTATCATGATCTTGTCACTCAGAAGAATTGAAAACTAATGCTTTCCCTGTTCCGAAGTTGCAAAGAACCTTCACTCAGGCCCTGGCAGAACAACTTCCCCAAGTTGTTACGGTGCTGAACGTCACCCCGTCTCCGAGTTAGTGCGGAACGCAGACATTACGGAAGGAGGCAAAATTTAGAGTGCTGTTGGTTTCATCACTTAGAAGAAGCGTGCTATCCAAGTACAAGTAGATCTCCCATCTACCCAGGACCTCCTCGATCTTCAAGATGACTAAACCCGAGCAAAAGAGCAGCAGTGCAACTGGCACTGCTGCGAAGACAGCAGCGGCGAAGCCTGCTACCTCATCCAATAAAAGTGCCGCGGAGCAGAAATCCGGTGACAAGGTCGTTCTACGTCCAAATCCGAACAAGACCACTACAGCCTCAACCAGTGGTGCTGCAAAGCCAGCAAGCGGTGCTGCCACGAAGCCGGCAAGTGGTACTGCGACGAAAACAGCAGCAAGTGGTGCTGCAAAACCAGCAACCGGTACGGCTACAAGCAACAATGGTTTATCTCTGAAACCCGGACCGCGAGCAGCGAGCTCATCTCCGCAGTCCTCTCAGGCAGGTGCTGCAAAGACATCAACTACTGCGAACAAAACATCTTCTACTACAGCCACTAAAACCACCACAGCAGCTCAAAAGACAACAACTTCTAGCACGACCAACAAGACCACTACTGCAGCTAAGCCAAATACTACTGCTACAAAATCTTCCCCGACTGGTGGCCCGGCCAAGACACCCAACCAACCCGGTGCTGCGAAGACAGCAACAACCGATGCTGCGAAGAAGACGACAACTACTGCAGCCAAGCCGGCTGGAGCCAGTGGCGCGGCGAAGACGGCTGCTACTGCGACCAAGACGGGAGCAGCAGATGCAGCTAAGAAAACAACTACTGGAACAGCAGCTGCCAAGACGACCATTACTACATCTGCCACCAATAAGCCGAAAACTACTTCTAGTACTACAACTGGAACCGCGGCTGCGAACAAGAATACGACAACAGCTGCGAATAAGACTGCAGATGCCAAGAAAAAGCAAGATGTGGACTCTGCTTCTTCATCCAGCAATACTCAACAACCAGAAGACAAGAAGAAGGACAAGAAAGAAGATCCAGCTAAACCGCAAACCGAATCCGAGAAGCGTGCTATTCGCCTGCTCCAATCCAAGGGTGGCATCAAGTTCAACGCTCAATCCGTCTTCGGAATGCGTGGTCGCACCCACTTTTTCCACGACCTCCGCGATACACGCGCTTTTGGCTATTTGTCGCGCGAAAACTACACGCAGATTCCGTCGTCTATCATGAAGATGAACGCGAAACTCACTCCAGGTCTCAATCCGGAGTTCAAGGTGATGAGCAACTCGGCGCTGGCTCCTTTGGCTCAGGCGGAAGAGGAAGAAGAACAGCTGTCTGGTGCAAAACAACTCGCTAAAACGGTCAGCACTACATCGGGACGTGGCGGCCGTCTGATGAGCGCCAAGTCGAAAGCAGCCTATCCGTTGCGCCGCACAGCGCAATTGCTGAACGGTCTCCGTACGCGCAAGCCGAAGTGGGAGAAGGTCGTGCGCTACCAAGAACGCGTCCACAAGAAGATGCAGCCAATGAAGTTCCCGTTCCGCGGTTTCGCTTGCTACTGCCAGAAGCGCAAGACCGATACCGGTCGTGCCAAATCCGTTATGGCTGGCGTCGAAGCCGCTTTGGCACTGCGTCGCAAGATTGGAGGAATGACGGTATCTGGTATCGGTGCCGTGATGGGCGCAACGAGCATGGAAAAGTTCGCGGAACAAGGCTTGATGAACGCTGGCGGACTAGGCAACGTCGGGCAGAGCGCGATCTCGAAAGCGCAAGGCGAAATGGACCCCATGGAGATGCTGCATAAGCATTCCGGTGGCCGCATGCTGTCGAACACGCACAACCTGCTAAGCATGTACAAAAACCGCTTGTTGCGGGGCGAAGAGAACATCGAGCGTCGCATCGGTCTCCTGGATGATCCGGATCAGGCAGCTAAGCGCGAACGTCTCGAGATCCAGATCAAGCGCCGCAAGCGTGGAGAAGACCCGTACGCGCAAGAGCGCAAAGAAGAGCGCAAGAAGAAGCGTGCCGAAAAACAGAAGGCTCGTGAAGATCGGCGTGAAAAGCGTCGTCAGGAGAAGGAGATGCTCGGCCAGAGCGACAACTCGGATTCTAGCAGTTCGTCGACGGACAGTGACAGCGACTCGTTGTCCGATTCGAAGAGCAGCTCTCGAAGTTCCTCTCGTTCTAGTCGATCCGGAGTCCGTCAACGTGCTGGGGATTCGTCCGACGATGAGGCACCGTGGGATCCGATCGAACGTATGCGTCGTATGCAGGCAGCAGACGAGATCCGTCGGAAACAAGAAGAAGACAAGGAACGCAAGCACAAGGAGGAGTTGGCGAAACTGCAAGCGGAACTCGAAAAAGAGGCTGCTCGTCTCGGCATCACGGTTCCGGAGCTCAAGATCAAGCAGGCTCAAGAAGCCGAGAAGGAGCGTCAGCGCAAGGCAGAGGAGATGCAACGTCAAGCTGAGGAAGAAGAAGAAAAGCGTCGTCAGATCTGCGAAGAGAAGGGCTGGACCATGGAAGAACTGCTGGAACGGGAGATCTTGGCTGCCGAACACAAGATGACTCTGGAAGAGTTGGAGGAGGAGATGAAAAAAGCTTCCTTTTGGAAGAAGGAGAAGAAGAAGGGCAACAAGAAGCCGTCGTTCATGCGTGCGGAAGGCGAAGGCAGCGAAGATTCCGAAGCAGAATCTGCTGCGGGAGCTAAGGGCGGAAAGAACAAGCGTGCTGACTCTCGTGGTCGGGGCACGACTGCTGACGGTGCGAAGAACAAAACTGCTGATGGCAAGCCGCGATCGCAATATCGGCCAGGTGCGGAGAAGGAGGATGACAACAACGTCGCAACCACCCTCGATCCAGAAGAAGCCGAGAAGATGCGTCAACGCGCTGGTGTCCCGGAAACTCCTGCAGAACCGGCAGTCCACTTTCCGGGTTGGCAGACCGTCGAAGAAGGTACGGAACGTGGAGCTTCGCATAGTTTCCCGACGGTTGCCGGTATCTTGGGCAAGAACACGATCGATGCGGACGGCAACAAGGTTGAGGAACCTCTCGGTGGCGTGATGGACTCGATGAAGGCTGAAGAAGCAGCTCGCGAGAAGGAAGGCATGTACCAGGATGAGAAGGGAGAGTGGCATCGCGACAAGAACTGGTGGCGCAACAAGAACTCGCGTCGTCCAGCCAAGCCAGACGAAATGCCACTCCCATCAGAAGCTTTGAACAAGGAGAAGAAGCAGGCACCAGCTTGGTTCGGAGAGGACCGTGGCAGTGCGGAAGCCTTCTTGCACGCAGCAGCGAACAAGGCTCGCGAAGAGTTCTTGAAGCGAGCGTTGAAGTCGATCAAGACCGGTTCGAGTGTCAACGACTTGGACTTCTCGGATCTGATGCGCGATTTGGTCGGCGCATTGGGAGGCCAAGTCCCAGGAGCGGCAAAGGACGGCGAAGAAGGCATGTCGGAGGAAGCTGCGGCAAAGGGAGCAGCTGCTGCTTTGGGCGGAGCAGGTGGTCCGCAAGGAAAGGGCAAGATCGAGTTCAACTTGTCGGGTAAAGCGCGTGACTACCAGTACTTCCCGGAGACGCGTGACAACGCTGGTAGCTCAGAACCAGGACAACCTGGAAGCACGTTTGCGCACTTGATGGAACAAGCCCGGTTGGCCCGCGAAGCGCAAGAGGTGCTGCGGGAAAAACAGGAGGCGCTGATGCACCGCTTGAACAACAAGCAGTCGCAGCAGGTTCAGCCAGGCGAGACCGAAGAGGAGGCGTTCCTGAGGCGTCAAATCGAACAACACATCGCGACGCAGGGTGGCATCGCTCCTCCGGTGATGGGCGAGGCACAACCACTGGCTCCGCAGATGGATCCGCACACAGCGGCGATGCTCCAGCAGAACCCAGGCTACATCCCGTTCGCAACCATGACGACGCTTCCGTCTCCTGGGGACGACGCGACCAGCCCAGACCACGTAGGCCGAACTCCAGCGCAAAAGGAGGATCCGAACTCTCTGATGCTGTCCGACATCAACCTCGCATCTCTCGACACAGTTTCTCTGATGAAGCTGCAGAGCATCCTCGCTGGCAACACCGAAGAATTCGGCGACTTAGATCTCGCGGCTCTGTTCGGCAGGAAGAAGAAAAAGGGCGCCGAAAAGAAGAAAAAGAAGAAGCAAGCGTTGGCCGACGCCGCTGCGCGGGCCGTCATGGAGTTGGACACGGTGGATGCTGAAGGCGGTCAAGGCATCAACATGGACGAGTTGGACGAAGAGACACGCAAGTTGATGGAATCCGACTTGGTCATCACATCCAGCGGTCAGGGTTGGCGCCTGAAGGGCATCAAGGGCGAAGTCGAAGAAGCAGGTGGTCAAAATGTGGATATCATTCCTCCGGAAAACGCCGATGAGAACGTCGAGATGGCGGAAGCGTCTGGTCTGGACGACATGGCGGCTGCTGCGGCCGGCGAAGAGACGCGCGCTGAGAAGAAGAAGAAAAAGAAGAAGGAGCGCAAGGAAGCTGCTTTGGCAACGGTACAGGAAGATCCAGCTGAAGACGCCGCTGAGGACGACCAACCCCGTGCAGACCTTCCTCCGCAATCTCCGTCTGAAGATGGCATGGGAGGCAATGCGGAGTTCACTTTGGACGACATCGCCGATGATGCGATGGACAAGAAGCAACTGAAGAAGGAAAAGAAGAAGAAGGACAAGTCTCTCCAAGAACGCATCCAGGCTTTGGACGCCGAACGCAAAGCTCGTCATGAGAAGAAGGAGCAGCAGGAAGAGGAGGACAACCTTCCGCGACCGACGACCGCCGATCCAGTCACTGGCTACAAGCAGGACAAGCCGGCGACGGTCACCCAGTTGTACGCGGAGTCGAAGGGTGTGGTCCATCGTCGCGGTGATAAGAAAGACAAGAAGGACAAGGACAAAGCTGGTGATGATAAATCTTCGGTGTCTCTTGGTCCCATCTCGATTGTGGCCTACGAGCAACGAGGTCCGCGTGATATGGTCTACGTCAACGAAGAGGGAGAAGGCGATGACGATGTGAGTCCAACGCAACACAAGGTCGGTCTCAAGTCTCGCGCAGATGCGTCTTCTTCCAGTAAGAAGGACGTCGCCAAGCCGAAGGACGAGATGGCAGCGATGGTCAGCACAAAGTTGGAACAGATGGCGTCCAAGACGAAGAGTGCTGGAGAAGCGATCATGGGGCTCTTCCGCTCTAAGAAGAAAGAACCAGAACAACCAGCTAAAGCAGATAACACTTCTACCTCTACTTCTTCTAAGCGAAAAGCCGACGAAGCAGAAGAATCTAACAAATCTAAGAAGTCTAAGAAAAAGTCCAAAAAAGATTCTGAATCCGAATCTTCGTCTTCTGACAGTGAGGAAGCAAATCAGTCTACTTCTACATCGAAGCGTGCGCGCTCTCCGGAAGACAAGAAAGCTGTTCCAGCGGATGTCACTATGAAGACCGCAATGCCGCCACCCGCTTTGCCGCTGAAGAAGAAGAAGGTACAATCAACGTTCACAGCTTCCAAGGACGAGCCGACACCAGCAAGCCTGAAATCCGCCAAGTTCGACTCGACCGGCAGCATCAATCGTGCTCCAGTCATCAACCCGAACCCGACGCCGAGGGCTCCTGGGGAGGAACTCACTGAAGAGGAGAAGCGCATCCGCGAGAAGCAGAACGTCTTCTACGACGAGAAGGGCAACCCGGTGTACTTCGGGCAAGTGACAGGTATCACCAGCATGCTGGATCAGGGCGCAAACATCGGTTCCGTGATTATGGCGGAAGACTACGCGGCTGCGACTGAGGAAGGTCAGGTGACTGACGTGTTGCAGGAAAACATGTCTCAAGTCGCCTCAGACATGCTGCAACCGACGCACGACTACGCGCCGTCCGACGACATCGCTAATTCGTGGGCCAGCGCGTTGCCGGAAGAGCGCCAACTGCGCATTGCGCGCGACCAGGCGCCGAAACCGAAGCCGACGTTGGCTCCGGGCCAGAAGGTGGCGAATTTGAAGCCAGCTCAAGTGTTGTACGATCCGGTCGGCTACCAGCTGGCTGAGGAAGCCAAGACCTTGGAACAGCAAGAAGAGGAGGCTTTGGCAGAAATGATGCGTCAACAACAGATGCAAGCTCATGAAGCGATGATGCTGGAACAGGCCGCGTTGGATCAACAGAATGCTGCGGCTGCTGCGGCAGAGGAAGAAGAAGAAGAGGAGGATGAAGAGGCTCTGGCTGCCGATCTTCCAGCCGACATTCCGCAAGAACTGAGGTCCATGATGATTGCGGCGCGGAAGAAGGCGAAGGCGGATGCCAAGCCAAAAGCAAAAGCCAAGGCTACGAAGCAGGAAAAGGAAGAAGGTTCGTCTTCTTCCAGCGCAGGAGAGGACATCAACGAAGTGAAGGCTGCCAAACTCGGCATTGACACAACGAAGAAGAACACCGATGCCGACGTGAAGAAGCCGGCGTACGGTTTCTCCGTTCTGCCGTCTGTCGAACGCGAGTCTTCCTCCGAAGAATCCTCCTCCGAATCCGACTCTGACTCTGCCGATTCAGGCGACGAGAAGAATCCAGAAGAGAAGGCTCGTCTATACCTGATCGCCCAGGTTAAAAAAGCAGCTGCTGCGAAGGCCGCGGCAGCGAAGGCAAAGCCGGCTGCTGCATCGAGTACTGCGAAAGCTGCGGCACCAAGTACTGCCAAGAAGCCACCGCTCGTTGCGCAATCGAAGGCCGCCGCTGGCAAAAAGGTCCCGACGCAGGACAAGAAGAAGCCAGGAGAGCCGCTCACTGAAAAGGAGCTGCGCAAACTGGATCGTGAACGCAAGCGCGAGGAGAAGAAGGAACGCAAAATCGCCAACAAAGCCGCTCTGGATGCCCAGATCGAAGCTTCGATCAACGAGCAGAGTGGTTCCGGAGCTGCCAAGCAAAAGCACCACCCGAAACCGCCACCTTTGGCCAAGACCGCCATCCCCAAGTCTTCTTCGGTGTCTCTACGCCGCCCGGGACTGGATGGACAGTTCGGGCAAGTCGTCCAGACCGAGAAGGAGTTGGGTCGTTACGACGCCCAAGCCGGCTACGATGCGGGAGATCCGAACGAAGGCGAGGCCATGGAATACGCACAATCTTTGCAGTTGCAAAACATGATGATGCAACAGAGCTACGCGACGATGATGGGTACTTACTTACTACAAGTTCTTTATCTAAATTTTATTCAGAAAAATTTGTATTTTCGAAGTAGAACGTTTACGTTTGGATTTGGTTAATGTAGTTCACCTGATGTACAACTACACGAAATTGGACTCTATAATGTACAACACGACGTCAACAAGCTGCACACGTTTCTATTCTACGCAAGAATATACATCATGATCTAAATTATTATCATCTTCCAAATTTATGTTCTACTCATCATCTCAATCTCATCATCAACAACTATAATAAACAGAATCTCTCACTGCGGAGTCGACTGGTCATGGTGGTCCCAGTGCTGCTATTGCGGGTATGGCTGGAATGGGCTTCAAAAAGATGTACAAAACCCGATTCTGCCGTTTCATCGCCGAGAAGGGTTGGTGCCCGCACGCCGACAAGTGTTCCTTTGCGCACAGCGTGGAAGAAATGCCTCCCAGCTACAAACGCGAGCTCTGTCAAGCATTCACCATGCTCGGAGCATGCCAGCACGGAATCAACTGCAAGTTCGCGCATGGTATATTATAAATATATTTTTTCTTTAGGAACTGCTGCTATATCTAGGTCATGATCATCTACAAGGAGCTCTTGATGACGCTCGTGGTCCCTGATAAAGATAGTCCTACGGTCTACACGCCCGAAATATTTAGATATTGGACAAGATCCGCAATCATCGACGAATCCGCAACCGCCGCATGATCTTCTTTCTTCGTTATCCTATCTCATATCCACCTCCCGTTCAGGTACTCATGAATTGCGTCGTGACGCTCAAGCTCCGAGTGATTACCCGGAGGCCCCTGCCGATGTGACTTGTCAACCCGTCGATCAACCTGTCGCTGGCATGCCTCTCCTTCCTGGCCAAGGCAAGATCACGGTCGAGGACGTCTCTGGCTATTCCGGTTTGGCTCCGTCCGCCGCGCGGCCTCAGTCGACGTATCAGCAGATGATGACTGGCGTGACCCCGTCGACCAGCAACATCTTGCAGCGCGCTCCGCCGTCTAGCTCGACTGCAGGTAAGGACTCACTGATCCCCAAAGCAGAACCGACTGTGAAGCCTAGTACAGCACCAGCTGCACCGATCCCAGAAGTGCTGCAGGTTGCGATCAAGAAGGACCTTCCGGTCGCTGAGGACGAGGCAGTCAAGTTGCCTCCAGATCTGTTAGGCGGGAAGTTGGCACTCCAAAAACCGCCGAAATCCACGTCGAAGCCAGGCCCCGAAGTTTACGCCAAACTGTCTGCCCCTGCAGACGGAACCAGCTCCGCTGTGGTTGAAAGTTCTTATGGCGAAAGGAAAATTTGTGTTTTAGAAATAGAAGACGACAAGAACTTGTTGTAATTGTATATTTAGTTTCCTCCAGATCCAGTGCCAGATCGATGTATCTATCTTCTTGCTGTAGAGATAAGAGTCTCTTCTTGTAGTTTGGTTCCCTCAACAAGATGATTTTTGACGACAAGTTCTATCTTGCGTGATGCAGGTGGAAGTTCACATATTGAGTAATTTGGTTACTTACATTTTTGATTTTTCTACCTATCGTCAATTGTTTTTGTTCCGTAAATATTGGAATGTCGATATCCACCTCTAATCTTCGACTACGAGCAATGGTATCGGATTGATGCAGAATATCAACGCTGGTCCGCGTAAGATGAATACCAAGACGCTCAGAGGTCCGGGCGGCGCCTCCTCGTATCGTGGGGACACTAAGTTCCGATGGGAGAATCCCTACTCAAAAGATGAAGCTGGCAAGAACATCGATCCTACCATGTTCGCGAACGCTGAAGAAGTCCTGGGCAGTGCAACAGACTTACCTCCTGCACCGAGAGGAGGCTCGTCCGATGCTGATGACACCGAAATGACACCAGAGGAGGATGCGCGCCGTCGCGTTCTGCAAGCGAAAACGTTCTACGACGCTGGTGGAGTAGACTCTGTAGTGGGAGGAGGTACTTCCTCTTCCGCAGCGCCAACACGCAAGATCGACAAGAGCAAGTACTACGACCGCGACGACGGCGATGCTCCAGCGCGTGGCGGAGGCGCGAAGGGGAAGGGAAAGTCTGGCGCAGGCCATTGGGATCCGGAAGGCTACTGGATCGACGATGCACCAGGTGCCAAGCGATCCGGAGGCGACGACTTCCGAGGGGGAGACAAGTCTCGTCGAACAGATAGAGAACGGGACGACAGAAGAAGAGGTGATGACGATCGTGGAGATCGGGCTAGACGACGCTAATCAAACACCTGGCTAGCACATGAGAACATGAGATTTTGAACCTTTAGAGATGGTGGAGAGGATAGTAGAAAATTTTGATGTGAAACACAAACAAGATGGTGGAAAAAAAGAAGACGTTGATGAAGAAGTCATGAAGAAACTAGTCTTGGACCAAGATTCTTGCTGGTGTTGCAGAAATGAACGCAGAATTTTCTTGTGGACGAGGTAATGCGCGAATATTATGCTGAAAAAATTTAAACTATAACTATGCAAATTGATGTAGGTGTAGGAATTTTTTAATCAAGAACAAGTCAATTTCTTTTTCATTTATCTTCTTTCCACCTATTATCGACCACGACAGACACACATACACGAGAGGAAGTCCTTCTAGAGTAAATTCTTTTCCTGCAGGACTTCTAAGAATTCTGACACATTGATATTGAACGTTTTTTCTAGGTTCATATTCTACGAGGGCGAGAATTGTGAGGATGCGGATGGGATCCACCTAGCCGCAATGCCAGCTTCGATTGCAGATGAGAAAGAAGGGTTGCGAGCATTTTCACGTGCTCGTGCAGCGTAGAAGGGCCCCAAGATTTATGCTGTTTCTACTTGTAGGAGTAGCTCAAAAATTTGAAATCCTATCGTTACTGTGCAGAACGGATCTTGACGTGTTGTTTTCTTCATTATCAGTACTACTAGAACCCATCTTTTTTAATCGGATTTTCTGCATTCCATAATATGTTATTGAAATAGACAGAATAGTTACATGAACATCAAGACTAGTACTAATATTCCATCCTACCCAACTCTATGTTGTCTGTCAACGTACTACCAATATATCAATCACGAGAAAGATGGACGTACCAGTATCTGCAGCAAAACTTTCTAGTACTCGAGAAGATCCAGCACTTATAAATATATCGTTGTTATTGTGGTATTAGTAAAACAAACAATACTGAACAAAGAGAACATCAAGGTCCGCTATAATATCCAACTTGGTGAGAAGATTGAAGATATTTGATGCTTGCGAGACTGCGGTACCTGGGACTATCATCGTGGTCCTCGTTGGAGACACAAGGACAGGTTACGACTGACAATATCGTCACGGAGGCGCTGAAGATCTTAGTTGCAGATTCATCTCTTCGTCTCATATCATATATGAGCTTCTCGAGCAGGAGGATCTTCTCGTCTCTCATTCTGCAAATATGTGATGTCATACCTTGTACTTACTCACGTTGTTGTTGTACCACATCAAATGCGATGCTTGGAGATCATGACCTTAGAATTGTATTAGACTTGGAACGACCAAAAATACTACAATTTCTGATTGTACTACTTCTTCATCATGACAAGAAATAGAGCTGCGATGTCGATGAATATGAGCTGCAGAAACTTACTACCACCATTTATTATCTTGGAAAAATAATTCGACTTGATTGCACAAGATGAACTAAAATGTAATAATTGATTCAACAACTACAACATCTAATTTTCACTTTGTCTTTGCTTATCCTCGTGTCTTTCTATGTTATTTCATGCTTGGCGTTCCTTCTTCGACTTTTGACCATATCTATTGACGATGTTAAAGAATGCAGACCAGTCATCGAGTGAGCATCAGGAATACCCCACGACTCCTGATTCTTGCTTCCTACAACTTACATCCAATGAAAAATTTGAAAATAAGAAATTGCAGTTTGTTACTGCAATATCTTTAACTTCAACATAGGAGCAAATAACCCACTCTTGCGCATGACTGAGTTGTAGATGTGGTATTAAGAGAAAAGAAAATAGAAGTATCTAGTTGTATTGTTCCCTTTCAGACCGGGTAGGAGAATTATCAGCTGCTCGGGATGTTGATCCATACCACTAGCACAGTACCATAATCATCTGAAGCTGTTTCTTCATTAGCGAAACTACAGCCATGTCTGCGCGTCTGACTCTGTTGGGTGAGCACATAGAAGAATACTGTACATGCTCATGCGCGTGTGCTGCTCATTATGTTGATGCTGTACCCTTCTTGATTTAACATTGGTTACTCCAGCATGTACTTATGTTGTACAACGAACAACCGCAACCCCCTAAGCACTACAATAAAAACTAATCAATGTGTTTTTCTTTTGATCATTGCTTTCTAAATTCTTCCCCAGCACACTACAAAATCGAAACATGATGTGAACGATATGTTGACATTTAATATCCCCGCACTATGATTTCTTTAATAGGCCCTCAATTGCCTTCGCCGGGCTTCATCTCAGCTGAGTCCAAGAACACCAGCGGCGCCATGGACGAAGACGAAAATGCTCTTGCTCGTCCTTCACAGCTGACAGATCAGTCCTTTTATTTCCGGTAGGAAGGAGAGACCATCGGAAGAGTCACTAAAAATGAGCTGACTTTTCATAGCGTCAAGACTAATAACACCTGCACCAGCACCAATGTGAGTACGACTGAAAACTGCCCTCTGGAACGACATTTATCCCCTGCGGTGCGCTACAACTGAACAATTGAGAGAGACAAAGAACTTCAACCAAAAAATGTCAATGTCTGATCAAGAACGGTTTCTGTTCATCATTCGCCCAGCACGAACGGCAAAGACAAAGTCCACAGAAACGAAAATTTCAGAACGTTGTTCTAAGTAATCAAAAATATAACTTTCTGCTTACCTCCTCTAGCTCTCCAGGCTTTTGTGAATAATTCTAGGCTATTGTTACAAGTACAACAAAGCATGAGCGTAAAGTACGTGATGTTGAACTAGATAAGGCTTTCACGATGTACTTCTTAGGCTTATGCGCAGTAGAACACTAGGTACAGCTCGAGATTGAGCAAGTAGAGATTGATACAATGTCGCTGTCGTAGAAGTAGTTATTCGCTCAGCATAGAAGTACTACGTCAGTATTACTAGAAAGTGGACTTGTAGAAGATAAGAAGAAGTTATTCTTCCTGCTATCAAGAAAAAGAATAAGAAACACCAAGCCATGTCATCCGAGGTGAGAACGTTGCTGCTCCAGATCGGCAAGGAGCTCGGGAGAACCGACGCCCAAATGGAACCTGCCATCGCAAAACTGGAGGATCAGTGGTACGACTCTCTCGATTCGCTGCGCGCTATCACTGACTGGGCACCGCTTGGCTTGCCACAACGACTCGTCGATGAAATACAGAAGAGGATACGACCTGTAGGCAATGGCGGAGGTTCTCCTCGTGTAGCTAATGCTGCTGGAACAGCGAATGCAGTAGCCGGTGGTCCGAAACCAACGCCAGAAGCAGTGTCGCAACATTCGGGAGGTCACGTTCTAGGTGGAGGCAGTTGTAGTTCATCTTCATCAAGCAAAGGCCCACATGGAGCAACAACAGCGACATCTCCAAACAAATGGGACTTAGCTCCAGAGAACGTCCCTCTTGGAGAGGCTGTTGGCGATCTGGAAGCGCTTGCAGTGAAACTAGTTTCCTCATCATCGAGTAACAACGGAGCAGATGTTTCGACCTGTGTAGCGACAGTCTTCAAGCTGTTACACGCAGTTTTGAAGAATCCGGAGGACGACGCAAAAAGAAGCATCAACTTAGCAAACGAGAACTTTCATCAAAGGGTACTGCACTACAAGAAATTTCTATTTTATTATTTGTAGAAGCGCCGCCGCCGGCGCTGAAATAATTAGTTTTAGCAGATAGGAGGAAGAGGATACTTGATGATGATTACCCTTTTCTCTTTTCTATCTTCCTCCTCGTCTGGTCTTTCATTTTTCTAGTTAGGTCGTCTCACGCAACATTATTAGTAGAACTTAGTGGTAGTCTCGGACGCAGATAGTAGTCGTATTCTAGCAGTAGTCCCTCCTTGATTTTCTGCTTGTGTTCACCATACAGCGAAAGCGAGACGCAAACGTAGGTTCTTTTCATCTGTTCTCGTCGTACCTACCTTCCTCCAAATCATCCACCCTGACCATGAAGGTAGGCCGTTTCGCACCCGCCATTGAGTTTCTTCAAACAAGCGGGTTTCAGAAGCTTCAGACCGAGAATAAACTGGTTATGCGGAAGGCATACATATCGCGATTGACGGACGCCCATAATTTCCTAGCACAAGCCGTTCAGCAGTCGAATATATCTGTGTCAATCATCCCAGCGTTGCCGATGAAATTCAACCCCTTCCAATCCAGTTTCTCAAGCATCGCAGCAAGCCAAACAGGCAGACCTGTCGGGAAAATGGCGGAGAAACGTATCTCTCCAATAATTCTTGAGAGTAACCTCCTTGAGAACCACATCAAGATCCACAGAACATTGTTGAACATTGTTTTCAGTCCTCTGCTAGTATGTTAGTTCAGTATCTTCATGTTCATACGATTCCGACCATGAAGATCATAGTTTCCTATCTTTTCCATTCATTCAAGATCATGAAATCCTAGATCTAGGACTAGATTTAGAACTCAGCTCTACCACAACGTCAAACTAAGGTTCCCAAGAAGCAGCTCAACTGGCAGAAGAACTTGCGCAGAAGAGGCAGCAGCTAGAGGCTATGGAGAGACCCGATCAAGCGATGGACGATAACGTCGCAAGCTTTTTGCTAGGCCCTCCGAAGTTGTGTTGGACGCAAGATCTAGGTATACGAACTTTCTAAGAGGAAATATGACGGTGCTGAAGTTGTTTTGATCCTAGATGATGCTAGAGTTGTGACCACAAGTTCTTGTACCTTGTTAGAATTAAATGTACTCAACGATATTATCAACTGCTCGCTCTGGTGGACGAAGTACATGAGCAGTTGGAGCACAACACCAACAGACCAATTTTCTACTCAAAAATGATGAGAGCAAGCGTTTCTCACGATGGTCTCATGAGGCGAGAGCCGCTGATTCCAATCCGTTTACCCAGCTCACTCTGACATTTGAATTTGGTCTGTGATAAGTGAACAGGCCAACGCCTAAACGACCACTAAGCCAACTGCGCATAGGTGGTTCGGCCGCCTTTCTCGCGATCTCTGTTGGCTTCTCCATTCCACTAGAATGAAGACGTTCTACCTTTACTCTGGTCCCTCACGACCCTGCTGATGAGGTCTATCTTCCTAAGAGAAAATGGTAAAAATGACAATGACAATTTCAATTCTTGTTTTTCTTCCCTTTTAAAAATGTCACAAGAAGATCTTTCCCCACGACTCTGTGAAATAGGTTCTCTCAAAGACGCAATTAAAGCAAGCGCAGAGGAGTTTATGGAAGACGGCGAGACAGACGACGCAATAATCCGAGACCTCGTGAGAGGTATGCAAGGAACTGGCGCGGGAAATTTTAAAGTTAAGATATGAATATGATTCATATTATGAAGAGTAGTACCAATTTTAAGTTATGTTCCAACTGACGAAAGATAAGGAATCAATGTTGATCATGTTGGCTAAAAAACAATGGGGGGGTACTGACATTCTACTCGATCGTCGACCAAGAAGAGCATTATTATCGTTAAATTTTTCAAGTCTTCATGTTCCTCTAAAAAATCACGCGAAAAGTCCGAATTAGCCGATTTCCAGAGAAGAAAAGTATACCAAGTCGTCCTCATCCGTATCCTGTTTCCGAACAAGATGATTTTCGAAGTCAAATGCAGACCGAATGAGACGGTACTTACTTAAATTTTGTATCTTCTTTTCGTATTTGGTATTGCTGATCTTGAACTTGATCTAGTGCGTGGTTGTTGTAAATGAAAATAGGTATCTGTACCGCAGGCTCAGAAAAAGTAGGGAGTATCTGTACCTCAGGCTCTTTAGGAAAAGGGACGAGTCCCACAAACTCATGTTGAAGTTGACTTTTCCAATTCTCGTCGTCACCGTCTCGATTCATAGGTAAAGGCGCTTTACCGCAAAGTGGAAACAATTTTACGGTTGAAAGCGGATACTGACTTTTACCTCTATGACACACCGCCAATACGAAAGTTCAGCCCTTCTTCCCGTAAAACGCTTACGCAAGAGGGGCTTGCTCCCGGCAGCAACCTGCATCTCGGACTAGTCACTGAATCCGCTTTGCTGCAGCAATACGCTCAAACGAAACTAGCTTCAAACGGTGCTTCTAGTAGTTACTCCAACAACACTCGAACAGTGTCCACAGTAGCCCTGCCAATGCAGCCAGAATACTACTTGACTGCGGAGGCGTTAGCTTTACTCCCGCCAGAACCAAAGCCAATGGATATCACTCCAGCCGCTTCTTCATCACACGCGAGCGGCAACTCCCAACAGTCCCGTCTTTTGGGTGAAGCAGCAAGCGCGAGTAATGGCAGAGCACTAGGGAATCCGACAAGTAAACCTTTTCCGAGAGCTGCATAGAAATCACGTCGAACAAAGACGAAGACCAAGGGGATTCATTGCCGAAGTTTTTAGAGGAGAACAAGCTTTAGGGAAGTCGTACTGAAGTAAGCCAACTAAATTTATTTGTCTTTTGATTAGGTCATCGTCATTTGCTGCTGTAGACCAAAGATCGCTTTCTTATTTTCATAGCGACCTCGTCACCAAAGGCAATCTTTTTTGGGCATGTTGTACTTCACCCAGTATTTAGTCAATCTTGACCCAGAGTACGACCCTCAAATTTTTGAAATTATACTCGCGGCCAAGCAGGTGAACCAAAACTACAGACTATGCGTGGTGTCATCAATTGAAAGCCGCATACTGTAGTCCTCTTGTAAAAAAAAGGCTCGCCTCGTCCGCGCATCACAGAGAAGATGAACATTTAATTACATGAAGCTGCTGGCTGCATGTAAAAATTACCAAAAAGATGTCGCAGCGATGTTCGGTGGAGAGTGCACGTCGTATTTTAATCGGTCAAGAACATGTTGAAAGTCCGCCGATCATGTCGAATACACTAGGCTACTCTGTCTTCTCTTAGGCTACTCTGTCTTCTCTTAGGCTACTCTGTCTTCTCTTAGGCTACTCTGTCTTCTCTTAGATTGTTTCGAGTAGTAGAACGAGGTGAGTGTGTGTCTTGAGCTTGACTACTAAGAATCTTATCTGTTGAAGGATGACCATGAACATGATATGGTCTCACGAAATATATCGGTTTATCACACGTCCTGGCCTTCTCGGAAATTCATAGCCCTCAGCAACCAAACTCATACGACGTTCATGTTTTTGGTTATGATCATCATGATGGCGGGACCAAGTACAGGCTTCACCTTGATAAGACTCTTTTTACATGCATCCACATCCTAGTAGCGCATGTCACATACTATTACCAACCCAGAGATGAAGCAAAAGTAGTGGTAGTTCACATTCTTTGTTTAAGAACATATTCAAAATACATCTAAGGTGGATATGCTCCGTTCAGATGAAGAGTCAGGCTAACAGTGACCTTCGGTACTATTATAGACATACATAGGTACCTCGAAGACAACCATGTCGGGTTCCAACCCGAATATGACGCCCACGACGGCTTATTCAGAGGTGCCGCTCGTAACAATGGCCAGTGTTGGCAGCCCTCCCGGAGCTAATGACGACCAGCAAGCGCTATTGTCGATCCCAGGCACAGAATCCTTGGGCAACAGACGCGTTTCCGTATACATTAAGGGTAGAGGTGGATTATAAATGATTGATGAACTATTACGATTTCTGACTCCAGTCGTACCTCCTCAAGTTGTACTTGTCCAGAATACAAGTATGTTCCTCAACTTGTACTTGACGTAGCGCTGCGTTGTACCCATCATATTTATATTTTTCTACATGGTAAGAAGCCTCGACGGTGATTGATCCAAGTATCACCTGAATAGGTTACACACTTCTTCGGCCAGTTTTTTACCGTCGCAGGGAAAGTTTCGTCTTGCTAGAGCAGGTAGTAGAATTGGATCATGATACTTACAGCATCTTCTGATGTGTAATGGGTCTGTGTTGAAGATCTGCATTCGTATATTTCGTTTGTGTCAGATGAGAATGAATCATGCTCTAAATATAGCAAGGCGGAGCAAGACGGCATCGCCAAATGTCTCGAGATCGTTGAAAAAACTGCGGAGAAGCGAAAGAAAGACGGCTTCAATGACCAGACGTTTGCTATTGTTACGGTTCAAAGAGACGCGTCATATTTGTTAGATAGGACGTTCCCTCCACTTCACCGCCACATCAAGACTAAAAAATAAAGTTTTTATCTTGATGTGGCGGTGACGTGGAGGGGACATCCTATCCTTACCCTAATCCGAATCCTAGTCCTAACCCTAACCCTAACCCTAAAAACCCTAACCTATCCTATTTGATCATGTCGTGGGAGAAAGAGAATAACAATAAGGCTGCTTTTCTTATTCTATGACGGACTGAACAGTGTTGCTTTTCTAACTCTGTCTGTTGTACAACCATGCTCAGTGATGATTAAGGCTTCCCCTAATCCATCCCTGTAGACATCCCTCAAACATATGCGTCCCAATACAAGGGAGATACTGACGCATATGCTTGAGGGATTCCCACAGGGATGAATAGGGGAGAGCTCTAAGATGAACATGGTTGAACAACATTCTAGTGACTGAATGAAAGCCAGTGTTCTAGATGAAGAACATTATGGAGGCATTTACCCGACCGAAAAAACTCTAACGCTGGCGTGCTGAACACGCTTTTAGTGACATACATTTTCGCGCGCTACCCGCAGCACTTCTGGATCCTATACATCGCGGAAGGTAGCAAATCTTTACATTCTTGAGATTGAGAATTTTTGAGATTTCCATTTTTCGATCTTTAGATTCAATTTTCAGAAGATCTTAGATGTTTATGTTTTACTATTCTGGAGTACGAGGAGTAGATCTTTTACTATATTCTAGAATACAACAAGTAGGAGGAGGAGTCCTTTTTTATGTTCATTTTCTATTACAACGTGTATCATCTCAAGTAGCTCAAGCTCAACATGAATCATCGAACTCTTTTGTTTTCCCCATTTGCTGTATCTGTTCCTGTTTCCCGTAACCCCTAAACGTTCTTTTTAAGGTCTGGTACTCTTTCCAATTCGATATGTGAACATGGCAAAGGCCAAGCCGAAAGAGATCGCATCCTGGGCAGAATTCTGTTGGGCAATGAACTTTTTGTTAAGGCAAGGAAATTGACATGGAATGTGGGTTGATGTGATAGCTAGCTTGGGTTGAGGTGGATACTACATGAGCATGAGATCTGCGTATGGCAAAGTAATTAGCATTTTTGATGAAGGTAAAAATTGGATTTAGATATTCTATAAATATCTAGTTCCTTCACCCTCTTCATCCTTGAAGTTCAGGAGGTTCTTTCTCATTTAGCGCAGCATGCACCAAATTCTAATCTCTGGCTTCGTGTACTTTCTTTTGCTGGCGGCAGACTTTCACAGTGGAGGCAACAACAAAGACATGTGGTCCCTTGGCGATATCCTCTCTTATGGCTTACCCTTAAATCCATCTTCTGAGGCACCCAGACTGTTGCTTCAAGGGGAAACAGCACCTGCGTCCAGGGTGTACTATCTATGTATACAACCATAGGCATAGATGTTGGAAGATGAAGCATCTATGCAGTATTTATCTTGAGATAGAAGATGAAGATTAGGGCGCGTGAGCTCTAACTCTCGGAAAGGACCCGCGAGGTGCTGTTTGTCACTTCTTGGGGTGTCGGTACTGGCGCTCTGCAACTCGCCACTGTCGCATTGGGAAACGCTCTGGTCTTCCATGATCCAAATAACTTATGAATCATACAGGAAAACAAAAATCGTTACCACGCCCTGGCCCTTCTCAGAACCTGGCAGTCTGCACTGAACCACTTTGCGCGAGATTTATTGTGGTGTTTTTGCATTTCATCCTAGCCTATTTTCTAACCCAGCTATCTCTCTCTCCCTCTCGGATTCTTGGAGCTTGATTCTCTCCCAATAGCCTCCCTTTCTCCTCATCCTTTGTTCTAACAAAATCTTGCGAGTTTTCTACAAGAAGAACTACATCCTAAATGAAAATTCTTCCTCATTCCCGCACCACCCGGACCCCTCTGCCCTTTGTTCATGACATCTCGCGAGCTGCTACATCCATGTTTTTCCGAGTTTGACTTTGTACACCTTGCGGTGGAACAGTGCTGCAGTTCGAGAGTCGTGGCCAACGATGTTCCAATTAAGGCTACCGCTCAAGCATGTCCTTAACATCTTCATAGTCCTTAACATCCTGCTTGGCTTCTTTTTCAAGCTACTTGAAAAAGATGCCAAGGATGCACTCAGGGATGCAAGCGCGGTAGCTCTAATACAACTTGACTACTTTGATCAAGTGGGTGCACAGGAAATCTTCCTAGCCGTTTTGGGATGGTAAGAAATGGAGGCTTTCTCTTTCTTGTTTCTCATGTTCTTGTCCGATATTGACGCGCTTATGCTATGGAATTTCTTCGTGATAATGGTTACTGTGATGTTGTAGGTTGTATGTGAGTATTTTCCGTTGCCATGATTTATTTGGCTCAAGGTAAGTAAGAGGAGCGCAGCCAGTCATCCAGGCAGCTGGTTAGTGACTCCACAACGTAACAACTACGCGAAGGACCCATAAGTGTTCAAGCGAAATAAAACCGAAAGGAAAAGACGAGCCAAAACGAAGGTGGGGATCGTGATCGATCTGCTGATCGCAACCAGCGACACCGCCAGCGAGGAAAGACCGGAGTGCACGATTGCCATGCGGACAGGGAGCGACGAGTGGAACCATTCCCCACCCGTGCCAGCAATGCTATCTGACTGGACGCAAGAGTGTTGTTCGCTGCCGATCAAGAGTGTTGCAGAAGGAGACCGGGGCGCAGCTGGTGTTCAAGTTATTAAGGCCTCAGCTGCGACAAGAAGAGGAAGGGAGAAGGGCAAGGCCAGTTGCGCAGGGTTATAGCAGGGGGCTTTTTGCGCGCAACTGGTTGGCCAGAGGCACACGCTAAAGCCAGCAGCTATCCCTTCGCGTGGTGCGGCTAGCGTTCAGCGAGTTCGATGCGGAGGATCCATAACCTAACATAACCAACGACTGCGAATCTATCACTCCAGACTTCAGAGCAAGAGTTTTTATTACATTCAACAACAACGACCCTCTTTCAGTTATTGCCTGTGGCTCGTACCTTACGCTCTGTGGTTCTATTTCATTGGCCTCGACCTGCCCAAGAAGGGCGTCCACGACACGGTATTTCACGGGACTATGCGCGGTATCCTACATAAGCCGTGGGCCAAAGCCTTCCGCCGCTCCGAAGCCGAAGCAGCTCGTCGTTTCAAAGAACAAGACTGTTATGCTGTTGTTGATTCGAGTTGCTAAGCCTAGTATATTATGCTACCATGATCATGATGTACTTTCGAGTCCCATTGATGCAGAAGTGCTATGTTGATTCGAGTTGCTATAGTGTTTTCCGATCATTTCGATTTATAGACATGGAGATAGAAAATAAGACAAGAATCTAGTAATATCATCGTATCGTGGACCACTGGTCAACATAGACATCAAATAATGAGGTTTTCAGTAGCGACTGCGACCAGACAGAGACCACAGTTCTACTTCTAACATCCGGAATTCGGAAAGGATTTTGCGTTATATCTTGCTGTCCATATGGTCGCAACCAACACCTTCGGAACGGCCATGGGGATCCTTTGTTTTCAAGCAGAATGGCTTCACGGCATTACTCTGTTATGGATGGATGATACACGAGGAACATCAGGATCAGTCAGTGGACGTCAGTCAGTTGGCTAATACTTTTGGGAGATATTTATTTTGCTAAAAATACCTTTGTAGAAGCACGACTCGAGATTTTTCTTTTTGTAACTCGTGAACAACAAGATGAAAGTTAACCCTCTTCTTGTGTCCCCTAGCAGCACATCAGCTCTAATCCGCATTGCTGTCATCACCAGCGTCGTCCTCAATGGTAGCCGCCGTTACGCCTTCTACGTCCTGAAATCGTATGGCGCTGCGATCCGAAAAGAAGCCGGAATCAACACTGTTCCGACGAAGGTGTAAACTTTCTCCTACAAAGGACACCACCTGCTATCATCCTGAAGTAATCGCTATTTCTATGTCATCTGATCATTACTATCTATGTTGAAAAGCTGACATTCTACGGTATGTAGAAGCTTAGTTTATATATAACTTTAAGATATGAATGCAGCCAGCGCCAGCCAGCCAGCACTAGAAGACCTAAAAAAGACCACTAAGTACAATTAATAGATCTAAAATCGATAACCATAACTTCCTTTCGTATCAAATACAAACTAAGCCAATGCCAACACCTTAGTTCCCTCAACAAAGTCAGTTTACTACTAGAACAATTAGATGATATGTTTTTAGAAGATGAATAAGTAGTAGTAGCAGTAGTTGATCTAGTACTAGAAATTCGTAGATCTAGTAGATGAACAACCATAGTGAAAAATCTAAACCTTCTGACAGAACCTTGATCTTCATCCTCGCAGCCAGACGTCGCGAACATAGTTATTTAAGCGTATTACTTACTTTGTCATGATGTATTTCTTTTGGATTATTTCTTTGAGGCAACACTAAATGCACTCCTCCTATTCATCTTGTATATATAACTCTACTTTTTCTGGGGAACAGCAATGATTCCACTAAGTAGCTGATTGGCCACGTAGAGAGGCCAGGTAGAGTGGCCAAAACTGAGATGAGCAAAGTGCCACGTGATGTCGTGGACGGAAAAAGTGCTAAGTGTCGTCGTGAAGCATTTATGAAAAACAAAGATCAAAGGCATCAGGTGGAGAAGCATCCTCTGAATGCTAGTTTTCCTAGTGTGCCCACACCTAACCTAACCTCAAAAGATTGCGAGTGGTCTTCTGTTTCGAAGTTCGTCGACACTCGATTAAGACCAAGTGCGGGAATCAATAGGGGCGAGCGTTCTTTTGTGAGGAGGCTTGTGTGTTCGTCAACACGAATAGAAGGCCCCGCTCAGGTTCACGCGCAGGTCTTTTTGTGCTGCAGGGAAGAAAAAAGGCGTGAAAAGTGTCTAATGAAAGAAACGAATGAGAGGATCAAGTTCTACACTAGGGGTACATCAAAGTGCATCAAGTGTATATGTCCAGCCATTCACGCGTTCGCGTACAAGCAGTACTAGGAACTATGACTTCGACGCAACACCTAGCAGATCCAGATCCTACCTCCGTCTAACTCTTTCTCGGAAAGAACGAACGACATCGCGTGACACCATTTCTTAATTCTCGACGCAAGAGAACACAACGAGGACAGCGCTATGAACAAAATGCGTCTGTTGTACGCCCTTGCTTTTCTACCCCAGGCTCATGTGGCAACGGGGTACCGTCTGCTTGCAAGTAGTCCGACGTCGAAGTCGAACGCAGCCAAAAGGCCAGGACCCTTACTCGCGGGCGGGTCTGGCGATGTCGTCGCAGTAACATGTTCTTCCTCCCCACCAGAAGAGCAACAATTTATGCGAGAGTGAACGTGAATGCGAAACTAATCGAAAGTCACGAAGAAACTAGAAAAAGCCTGAGCATCTTCGTTACCAGCTACGTATCTCAATGTCGATATGAAATAAGTTTGACAGTGGTTAATACAACCTTGTTCTCAACATTGAAAAAGAGAAATCAGCATAGTGGTCACTCTCACTCGCATTTCAGATATTATCTACTTCCCTGTCTAGTGGCTCCCTCCCTTCCTCTAAGCACTCCTTGGTTGACCAAAGCTATCGTTCTGCGTTCTGTGTTGCGTCTATGCAGCAACCTTATGCGGACATGAAACAAATCCCTGCGCAGTCGCTTACTCATTGCCGCGCTGACGCACATTTAGTCTCCACAGCCTTGAAGAATAAACGTTTCCAGACGTGGAAAACTCTTGTCGGCTACTCGCAGACCCGAAATATGAAGGGCAAGGTCGTATCCCGCCCTCCACTGCTCAAGAAGCAGCTTCTTGCGGAATTTGAGGAGTTTAAGAGGAAGGAACTGTAAAAAGAGTATCCTTTTATTTTCAGGAGTAGTAGTTGTAAGTTGGTTCTCATTCTGCGCCGAATTCATTTCTAGATTCTACTGGTATTTCTTCAGGCACCACCCATCTTATATACTTCATGTTCTGGACAAGATTTCCATCCCCTTTCATTCCCTGGCTCGCTGCTGGTGTCGATCAGAAGCGCGCAGTCTTTGTCTTCTTCGCCAGCTGTCACGGCTATTGTGCCCACAACGAAGCCAACGACCGCAAGGGTGCTCTCATAGTAAACAGTGCTCGCAACCCTCTCCTCTCTGAAACAGTGTGTTTTTTCGAACTAACGCGACTCTGGAAAAAACATTTGGACCAGGTTGGAGAGAAGTTTGCTGCAGAGGAAGGAGAAGCAGTAGTGGAAGTGGATGGTGAAGGAGAAGAAGAAGATGGAAAGGAGTGCGAAGAAGTCGTAGCGGAAGTGGATGCTGAGGACGAAGAGGACAAAAAAGTAGAAGCAGAAAATGTAATGAATCTGGAAGATGCAGAAGATGCGCCGGATATGGCCGTTAACGAAGTAGTAGAGGATATTGCGGCTGCGGGTGCTGAATCTGATGAACAAAGACGGAGACAGGGAAAGGAAGATGATGAGTGCAGCAGAAACTCTGTCCCTGACGACGCGCTGGAGGACGACGAGGGAGAAGAAGAAGAGGAAAACAATGACGATGACGAAGTAGAAAACCCGAAGCCATTCGACCACCGCTTAGTCCTGGTTCTTGATAGTTGCTACAGCGGAAAAATTGTGAAGCATTTGAAAGACCTAGTGTCCACTGTTAGGCGGGAATCACGTGCAGGGCGATGGGAGGCCATTGGAGTTGAGGACCTGAACATTGCTGTCCAATCTGCTGGCGATGCGAGACAGGCAGTATACGAAACCGAATCGAACCATGGTGGTCACAAATACAGTGTTAAGGTCTCAAGTACAGTGTTAAGGTCACAAGTAATTACAGTCTTAAGGTCACAAGTACAAGTACATTATTAAGTTTAAGGGCACAGGGTGAAAAGTTCAAGTGTATCATCTTTCTAACACTTAATCTCTTCTTCTAACTTTAGCGGTGCGTTAGCGTCTTGGCTCTCTGCACGGAACTGCCCTGTGTGTGAAGAAGAGCAAGACCATGTGGCTTCTATTCGTACGACAAGAAAAAGACAAAGAGCATCTTCTTCATTTTCATCAGCTGCGTCTGAAACAAGTACAACTAGTGTCTCATGCTCATCGCCTTCTCGCCATCGTCCTCCTATTGGTAAGAACCGAAACAACGAGCAAGCAACAAGCACGAGAGCTACTGCACGGGGAGGTCGCGGGACAACAACGAGGACTAGGAGTGCCTCAACAGCATCTGAAAAGGATGTTTCTCACTCGGCTTCGGAAAGCACAAGCAGTGCGAAGCATCGTAAAATCCATTGGTCGTCGTGTCGTGGCAAGCGGTATCGCCAGTACCCTCAATTCTTCGCCACATGGAACACGGATGACAAGCGACAAGGACCCTTCACCGAGTTGGCCGATTTTGTTCCCGGTGGCATCCAATTTATCCGAAAAAAACGCGTCTACGGCTTGCCGTCTTCAGATGAAGATGAGTAATATTTAAATATTCATATTAAAAATGAGTGAAGGCAGGATATTTGAATATTCATTGTGGTTAGAAATTTTTTGTTGACAAGGCACAACCACAGCTAGAGGTAATCAGATGCTGTACTAGATGTGCATCATGACGTTTAAGTGTATGCGCCGGATCTGATCCTATCAGGGCAGCGCACCTTTGTCTTTCGTTTCTACGTAGCTATCTGTCGTTGTGTGGGCCTTAACACAGTGAAAATGCGTAGCACAACGACAATTGATGATTTTCATTTTCTCTTTCTCTGCTCGTCTCTGAACTGGCCGTGCTACCAGTATGGCTACTTAGAAGTTTGAAAAAATTTTGTAAACCTTTTGACTCAAAACGTTTCTAGACTTTTAATTTTATTTTCTGACAAATACGTAACTGCTCTCTCTTGTTTACCTGGAACTTCTGGACGAAAGTCGATGAAGGGTCAACTTCACGAATCCTCATCAGGCACTTCATACATAAGTATCTGGTGTGAGGACCTGTGGTAGTTGTGATGTAAGCACTTTTCATTTTCTTGTGGGATATTATAACTACTAGAATAGTGTAGCGTTTTTGATCTAGATTACCACCTTTGCCAGGCTCCTCAGAGGCCGCTAAAATCTGCCACATCGGATGGTAGGCCCCAACCTACCCTAAGTAACCTAACCTTGTGGTTGTGCTGTAAGAACCTGTTAGTACTTGATACTGTTTCTTTTAGTATTGACGGGCTTCTGGATCTGGCTCATGTCAAACCCCTTCCTAGCCTGCACACTGCGGCTGCTCTGATGTTCACCCATATTTTTGAACCAGCTTGATCTGATCTGTTTCATAAAGCACGTGGTAGCGGCAAATGTGCTCAGCAGCGAAGTGAAGGATCCACTCTTGATCGGAGCTGATGGATGCATGATCAAGAAGTTACATGATGCGCCGCCGTCGTCGAATCTGTCCTATGTAGAAAAAGAGATCCGTAGTTTTTATTTGATTCTTCACTAAAATGTGGACGACGAGACGTACAAGTTGTACCCTTTGTGCTGCCTCGGACGCATTTAAGCTAAATCAGGTGCTTCTTCTTTCAAAAGCGCTACATTGCCGTGCCAAGGACGCCTACAACAACGACCCGGCAAGCAAAACGCGAGCTGCTAGTACCCTCCATCATCGTCGTGTCGCAACAACAAGTCTTAATCTCTTCTATCTTCAGAACACCAGCAGTAGCTCTTCTCGTCTCCAAAGTAGCAGAAGAACAATGGCAACTTGTGCAACGAATCCTTCGTGCTCCTCCTCGTCGAGTGTGGCCAGCATCAGTTTTCCAGGAGCATCTCCGCCGCCACCTCCAGAAAAACTGATCTCTCGAAATCCGCGTACCAATGAAATCATCCATGAGTACGCAGAGATGTCAGAGATGGACGTTTTGTTATGGCTAGACGTACACGTAGACGTAGACAGCGTTTAAGTTTATCCTTGATGTGAGGTTTCATTTTCTACAGTAGCCGCGGTTGGCATCCCCATGTTTATCTGTATCCTCAATAAGCACTTCTTAAAGTCATATTAGAAGCACGTCTACTTGTCTCTTTGACTACATGCTCAACGACGAACCAACTACAGACTCGAACCAAAAATCCTTTCCATTTCGCTAATTTCCGCAGTTCTCACCGAGTTGCACACCACTTTCCAGAAGACTCCTTGGCGCCGTCCAGAATGGACTTCAAAGAGGTGTGAGGTCATCAGGCGGATTGGTGAACTGCTCACGGACGAAGTAGAAGAGCTAGCAGAGTTGGTGCATTGCGAGATGGGAAAACGAGTAGACGAAGCAAAAGGCGAAGTGTTAAAAACTGCAGGATTATGCAAATACTACGCAGATCACGGTGCAGCGTTTTTGGAGCCGAAAGAAATGCCGCCACCGCCGGGATTGACGAGGACCTACTATGTTATGTTCCCCTTGAGGATGGGTCGTTAAGGAGAACTTGGATGCGATGTTCTAGGATCATGTCAGGACCATCGTGTTGATGTTGAATGAGCTTGAGCGAAGAAAAAGACAGCCATCTCCGTACTACGACATCGAAATCCATCCATTCATATGCATCTTCGCACCTTTGGGTACCATTCTATCGATCATGCCTTGGAATTTTCCGATTTGGCAAGTTTTTCGCATGGCCATTCCGGTAATGCTCGCAGGAAACTGCACCGTCCTGAAGCATGCACCGAATGTTAATTATGGAAGTGGAACGATGTTTTTTAACTTTCGTTAGTTGTATCTTCTATCAATCTTAAGTAACAAGAAGGAACAAGTATTAATTGTAGTAAGAGTAAGTGTAGTTCGTACACGTACTATGAATCAATCAGCCTCCTTCATGTCAACGGATGCGCCCTACTGTGTGAACGCATTGTCCGACAAGCGGTGAAAGACACCATTTCCCTGAGCGAGGAGAGTGCTCCTGCGGGTATTTTTTGGTGAAGTTCGTTTTTTGATTTATTCAAGAGAACGAGATGATCATGATGTTCTCTTCGTATTCTGAGAGAGAGCCGAAAACTCTTGCCCAACTCACAAAAGATCCTTCGCTCTCCAATTACATCACTTAGAAGCAGTCGTTCCTTTTCGGACGCTCCTGATCCAGGCTGCGCAGACGCCTTTCGTCCTCTCCCACCCAACTGTCCATGGTGTCTCCTTGACGGGTTCGGAGCGTGCTGGGCGCGCGGTAGCCGCATTAGCTGGTGGCCTCTTGAAAAAAGCCGTGGTTGAACTTGGAGGCAATGACGGATACGTCCTTTTGGAGGGAAACGGAGAAACAATAGACGCGAAATCTTCAATCCCCGAAGCACTCGAGACCATCGTCAAAGGACGGCTCTTAAACACCGGTCAAAGCTGCATTGGGCCTAAACGCATCATCGTGCAAGGTGGCAGTGCGAGGAAAAAGTTTGTTGAAGATAAACTTGTGGAGATTCTCACGGAAAAGAAGGACGCCGTCGATTTCTCGGTCCTAGTGCATGCAGCGGCGAAAGACGAGGTCCAGAAAAAAGTGGAAACAGCTATACGACACGGAGCAAGGTGTATTTTCGGCGATCCGAGTGGAGGTAAGCAGGCCGCGACCTCCAGTGGTAGCTCCACGCCCACGACAACTGCTTCCGCGTTCTTCAATCCGGTAGTCTTGACCGACATGACCCTCGACAATCCAGCAGCTGACGTAGAAATCTTCGGCCCCGTTTTTTCGATATTCTCTGTCGAAACTGAAGCTGAAGCGGTTGCGCTACACAACTCGTCCTCATTTGGCCTTGGTGGTGCGGTGTTTGGCCCTGATGCTGAGCATGCGCGCCAGCTGGCAGAAAGGGAACTTGATGCAGTTAAGGCAGAGTAGAGTTTCAATTTCCTGAAGATACTTAAATACTATCGTTGTTGTAGTACTCAGCATTAGACTTAGAACAAGTAGGAGTGAATATACTCATAGTACAGTAAGCTGTAAGCGGTTATCCACCAGTATTAAGGAGGTTTGTCGCTAACAAAAGCATGGTTTCGGTGAACGACTTCGTACGCTCAGATGCGTCTCTACCATTCGGCGGTATCAAGTCCTCTGGCCTTGGACGCGAATGTGGATCATTCGGTGTCCATGAATTCACAAATGTGAAAACGATTTCGATACGATAGGGATGGCAGAGGAGGAGGCAGTAGCAGGAGATCAACCACTGTGAAAACGATTTCTATCCGGTAGCGATAGGAATAAGTTTTGGGTAGGAGAGGGCGAGAGGCAGTACTCGCAGATGGCAGCGGAAGCAGATGCTGAACGATTCAGCAGATTGAGATTGAATGCTAAGAAGCAGCTGTAGATCCAATTGTAGTATCTATAAGTAAGTGTACAACGAGTACTGACAGCATACTTCTGATGTTCTTGTTTCCTTGTAACAGTGAGTCGATAATGTCGGAATCTCCGATCAGATCAAATTGTAACCCTCACACGCCATAGTACGCTTCGTATGCGCATCATTAACATAACAACAACACGCACCATTTTTCTCGAAGAGACGCGACATCAACCTAGTAGGCGATGATTATCCATACGATTCCGAGGCAGCTGCAGTTTGATGCTGTGTCTCCATTCACCGTCAACAACCTTCACGAGGGCGCACGTGTGCACCATTCATGATTGTAACAAATTTGACCATGCTTGCAGCTCAAAGTAAAACTGAGCTGCTCGTTAGGAATAGAAGCGCAGTTGGTGTGACGAAAATTTATCGGGAATACGCACAACCATTGGACGAGATGCAGAATCTTGTGACAGTATCCTAAGAGTAAGAGACCGTTTTGGAAAAAAAAATCATATTCTTGATCTCCTTGCATTACAGATCATAAAGATAAATTTTGAATTTGATCCAGATCTGCCCAAACTATGAGGTGATCACAGCAAAGAAGATCTAGACGTGAAAAATCGAAGATGAAGATCACATCTTTCAGAGATGGAAAAGACATGACGCTCAGCAGCACGATCCAAAGTTTATAGAGCAAGATCAAGAAAAAAGTGGTCAAGCTCAAGAAGAATTACAGCAAAAGTTCATCTATGTATCGTAGAAGAAGTACAACTAGGTAGTGGATCTTCATAATATACTAGCACGGGCTCCGTACTACAACTACTACTAGAGATCATGTTCTAGATGTTCTAGTCCTTACTTTACCTCCCATCAGACAGGAAGTAGTCAATTAGACACGAGTATTGTCCTTGGTTATTTCTAAGAGATTTAAGTAGATACTACAACTACATTCTTTCTTCAAAGAAGAACTTCTACTGATTCATTTGCTGTTACTGTTCTTACTGTTTCAACACACCACCAAAACCACAAAAATGAAGGGACCAAGCAGTCTTTCCATCCTTATCGGATGCAACGTCAAGGGTAGCAACAAAGAAAGCACGAAGTTCCACCTCAACGGCGAAGCTGTCGATGCTGCTTTCACTCAATGCACTCTGACCAATGGCAAGAACGCTAAACTTCTTGTCCGCAGCAGAGTCGCGACGAAAATGATGCAGAACAAGACGTCAACAGCAAGTTCGGCCAAAAAGCCGCAGCAAGAATGGTTCGCAGTGTGCTGTTTGGACAAGGAGAAACCCTCTCAGACAATGGAACTCTTCGGCCATTCCGAGGATTTGGAGTTCAAAGTCGAAGGCGACGGCGAAGTTGACTTGATCGGTTTCACCGAGATCGAACATGAAGACTCCGAAGAAGAGGAAGAAGAGCAAGTTGATGTACTACAACTTTGAAGATTATTCGGAGCTTTCCTTGGATAAGTTGCATATGCCACATGGACGTTGGACTTAGAGGACCACATAGACACAATCACACCATCGAATTGACGTTTGAGAAGAACATCAACATCTCGTAGTCGTAGTTGTCGCAGCCTGAAGAACTACGTTCAAAATACAAAAATGAAGAAAGACTTGCAAATGATTTCAAACAATGTCAATTTCTCTTTCTCCTATATCCTTTTCTCAGGCCAAGCGTCGCAAAATCGAGGATGCGTCCCCGAGCGCTAGCTCAGAAACAAAGGATGCTAAGAAAACCGAAGAGGAAAGCGACGAGGAAGAAGAAGTTAAGGAATCTATCTACAAACCTGTCGTGATCTGAGCCATGTTGAACTTGAAGTAACTGTAACTAAATGATTATGATTTAGATTTCCTGCTCGTGCTCTTGCTGAGTATTCATGATCGTGCTAGTATCGACACACTTTTTTCTCTAAGAAAACCAGCGACGAGGAAGAAGAAGCCTCCAGCGAGGAAGCTTCTGATGCTCCGATCGAGCAGAAAACTCTGAAGCCTGCCGTCGAAAAGAAGGAAGAGGAAAAGAAGTCTACTTCCCCAGTTGCGGAACACGCCAAAGACGAGATGGAAGTCGACGAAGAGGATAGCGAGGAAGAAGAGTCATCGGATGAAGAAGACGAGGCACCAACCTCAGCACAAGAAGCTGCAGTGAAAAAGGTACAACGACTGGCAGTAGAATTTATTAGATGAAGATGGAGCAGCTATAATCATTGGTAACTAAGTAGTCTATGTCAGTCTCCAATATCACTCTCTTAATATCGTGATAGTTGTACTAGCTTATATAAGTATTCTATGTCCTCTAATATTTGGGCTCGATGGCTAAGCCTATCTCTATGGCTAGGGTGAGGCAATCAAACACAAGCACAACTGCGTCGATTTTCATTTACTACATTTTCAGGTCTTAGAAGAGGCTCAGAAGCAGCGTGAAGATGAGGATTCCGAAGAAGAAGAAGCTTCCGACGAAGAAGAAGCTTCGGATGAGGAAGATGTTGAAGAGAAGCCAGCCACATCCACCACCAAGGCCGAACAAGTTGAGAAGAAGGCAGAATCCAAGAAGGCAGACTCTGACGCTGAAATGGACGAAAGTGCCGAAATGGATAGCGAAGAGGAGGAAGAAGAAGCTTCAGATAGCGATGCTGAAATGTTATGGGGCAAATATCGAGCAAAGTTGCACTATCTATCTGTGAGTTGTACAAGTAGAGGTACACAGAAGTTCGTATATTGGAGAGAGTGAGTATATTGGAGAGAGTGAATGTGAAAGATAGTGGTCAAATCATGTTGTTGAAGAACAAGGAGACCGTCGTGAATGTTGATCGTGTTTCTGTACCTGTTTCAGGCTCCTCAACATCGATCATCTCTGAGAAGTTTTAAACCACAGAATACGCTCTAATAAGGGAAGTCGCAGACAAGAAGGAATCCGCGAAGGAAGCCGCCAGCAGTGCAGCAACGACGCCGGCTCGCGCGGAGGAGTCTGACGCCGATGATAGTGAGGAAGAGGAATCTGATGGCGAGGCATCTGTCGAGGGCGACTCTGCTGCTGAAGAACAAGAGTCTGCAGAAGATAGTGACGACGATGCTAAGGTCAAACAAGGTAAGGGTAAAAAGGGTGATGGCAAGAAAGGTAGCGGCAAGAAGGGTGATGGCAAGAAAGGCGGAAAGAAGGGCGACGGAAAAAAGGGCGGAAAGAAGGGCGACGGAAAAAAGGGCGGAAAGAAGGGCGATGGAAAAAAGGGAGGCAAGGGTAAGGGTAAGGGAAAAGGTAAGGGAAAGGGAAAGAAGTAAGCTCTGAAGCTGCATGCCTAGATTTTTAATAGGAGAACAACTTCTACAATGAAGAGGTTAGGGTTGACTAATGGCTTCGAGGATTCCATTTCAACTTTTTTTTCTATAGCCCTCATGAGAACAAGAACATGAAAATGTTGAAGACCCGGCCCATTCACCACCAGAACTCTACATTTAGTAGTCAAAAGGACCCTGATACTGAGAACTCATACGCCAGAAACGCACGCGCCGTCATGAATAAGTAAATGCAACAGATAGAACTAGAAGTGTGCTGCTACATGACATCATCTTCATCTCAAAAATTTACAGAAATCTTAGGAAAACGAAAAACAGGAACTAATAGATGGTCATGTATGAAGACGAGACGACAAAGAGCAGCCTACGCCACAGGCTCAGGCCGTAGAACGAGCACAAAGGGCTATTAATGATCAAAGAGGCGGAGAAGGACGCCCGCGCAGCTCTTTTTGATGAGAAAAATGCAACTAAAAGGAACGTCAAAATAATATCGAACCTCTGAATGAGGCAAATGCATCTGATACAACCAAATTCAATACTTCTAGGATTCTCAAATGCTGATCCTTCTCTATGCAGGACACGGCGGAAAAACGTGGTGGCGGTGAATTATGTCGTGTAATTCTACGGTGTCTCAAGAGTAAAACACAATGTCTCAAGAACCAGTGTACTATCGGTCGGTCGCTCAAGAATTCGTGGTGGTGCAAAAAAGATACAGTACAATAAAATCGGTCAGAATCTTTACAACCGTTCAACATCTGGTGGAGTGCGGCGATGTCGGTCTTGTACTTGTTGAGGAGATGAATACTCGCCTAAAAAGGAAAGGAAGGAGAGTTGAAACTTCGCCTAGATATAATTAAAAGTAGCACGTTTCTTTTCTTTTCTAAGTTTCTTAAGTCACGAAAGAAAGCAAGCACCTAATTAAAGGACGTCCAAACAAACGGACACGCTTGTGGAGGAGGTCAAAATTTAGGGAGAATTAGGGGATATTATGGTTCCCTAATTTTCCCTAAAATCCGTATGTGGGTTTAAGCGTGTCAGTTTGTTTCTAATTTGATCTGTGTCATCTCGATCTCTGTCTCTGTCATCAGTTCCCGCAACCGCATGGTTGAGCTTGCAAAAAGTAGCATCAACCTCGTTGTCTCATGATCGGTTGACATGAAAAAAATACATCAAGAATTTGTAGTCGTCATGCATACACCAGATGTCATCGACGTTTTGCATGTCTCCACAACTTACCTGACATCCATATTCTCACAGTATGGGTATGCAGTTTATGTTCATGTGTCCATGTCAGTATTAAGACACACCCGACTCCCCAACACCATGATATGTTGATCTTCGCCTCTAGGTGAATCGTCCCCTTCTTCCTGTCGATCTTCCCCGTCACTTGGTGCGGACACCCAGATTATAGACCAACCTTTTCCTGCTCCTGAACGGGAGAAGCTTCTCCACTTCGCGGCGACTGTACCAGGACCATCAGATGAACAGGTCGCAGTATCTGCACCAGTACCAGAATCACCAGTTCATAAAGATGTGCGAGCTACCAGCCGGGGCCGGCCGAAGGGCTTGGGTACTGGTGCATCACGACGACCAGCAACGGAAAATAGCAACGGAAAATAGCAAGTCTTCCTCTCCGATAAGACATGAAGAAAGAAAAGGAGCAAACAATTCCACTAAAATTGAATTTGTTTTTCAAGATCAGGCTCGCGTGGGCGTGAGTGCTGCCGCCTCAAACCCAGACACACATGGCTAGCATCAACTACAGTTGAATGTGAAACAAGTTGCTGCCAAGGCAAGCTGCAAATTTATGTCTTTAGTGTTGCGTTAGCGTTAGATATTCAGCCACTCAGAAACTGTGGCACGAAGAACCCTCTGGTGCGAGTCGCAGATCTTGTTGGAAAAGGTTTCTTTGACGGTTCTTGTTCTTCTAGCTGGTTCTGACGAGTGAAGGAATGAAAATTAGATAACAGCAATAAATTGATTCTCGTTCATCTATTTTTAGAAACAGCAACACGATCATCGCATGGTCTTCACGATGAGCTACTATACAACTTATTGCGTTAATTTTAATACCCTTGGAGAGTAGAACAAGTTGAAGTTCTAGGTAATATATGTGAAATAGTATACACAAAGACAAAACGCGTTCGAGAAATGAAGAACAAAAAGAAAGCCGGGGTATTAGTTATAGCGTGGTGGACATTACATGGGTCAAGCATGATGCCAGAGTGTACTAGTGTAGCTTCCTGGTAATAATCGGGAGCATGCACCATTCGGCTCCGTATATATCTGGGTTTTATTCTTGTAGCCTCGAAATCAAGTAAGGTTTAACGGTTCCAGGATGATATTGATAATGATAATCATTGGAGTGTCTGTCTCTGTCGTGACTGCGTCCTGTCCTTTGTGTCTCGCGTTATCCTTTCTATTCTTCTATTTGTTGCTTTTCATTAATCTCCCGAAGATTGTCAAAGCGCACTCGCAGACAAATTCAAATTTCTTAATCTAATAATTCCTTCTCCAGGAACAGGATATAAGTAACTATTACTTATTGCGCACAAAGAATTAGAATATGGTGGCTAGATGAAGATGATGAAATTCAGAGCCACAGCACTGCTTTGCTGAAGACTCTCTATTTTGAACTTCGTCTTCCAGCATTGAACCTCAGGTTCCAAAGTCGGCTTGGTGGAGCGAAGCGAGGAGATCATCGTACTCTGTCGATATACATCACGATATCAACTTCATCTTCCGGCTGTCACACGACTGATTCATATATATAAACGGCATCTGTGAGTTCGGATCTGAGCTATGGATCAGCCGCTGGTCCTGGTAACAGCGCTGTGCCTGGAACATTACAGCACCATAGTCAGAATAACAGGACTAGCAACAACAGCAGCACAAAATCTAGTTCCGCCACCTCCAGTAAGAACAGCAGCATCCCACCTCATCTAACAGTAGAGTCACTCTCCAGCGGAAAGGGGAAGAACGCAATCACAACAGTTGGTGGAGCGAAGCGAGGAGATCACCGTGGTGAAAGATGAGATGCGCCGTGAGTACAACTAAGAGACGAAGGTCTGCCTGTTAGCTGTACGAATAAAGGCTTTTCGCCAAGCTGGCGCACCTAGCGTACAGGCTGAAGCGAGACGCTCTGAAGTCTGAAAGGCCGACGTAGTCAAGCTTCATCAAGTGGTCACAGGTCTAGGAACTGGCGTGGGGCGCGCAGACGTTGCCTGTGTGCTTGTGCAGCAGCATTTACATAAAAGATTGGGATTAACCTCGTAGAGTGTATCGACGAGTCTCTGAGCAAGGCCCTACTTAAGCGGAAGGAAGAGGTAAAAAAAATGTCGCAGCCTCCTCGTCCTCAGCAATGGTTTTCACGGCGCAGAAGCAGTGAGCCATGTGCGGCTTGTGGCAAAGGAATTCCCTTTGCAGCTCCGATTCGTCCTCTGGTAAAAATCGAGGAAGATCTGGATCAGATGTTAAGGCAAGATGTTCCGAGTCGCGACTTGCATTCTCTATACATTTAATAGCGTCATCCTCTATCATCTAACGTCCGCATCCTTGATTTTGCTTGTTGAAATTGATAACGTCGAAATAGAGCAACAAGGATGACGCGATTGATCTTAGGTGCGTGAGCAGGAGCGCCCTCGTTACGAGGGCGAACGGAGGTTAGAGAGGGAAAATAAGGGGCGCATCCTTTGTGTTTGATTTTGCTTGTTGAAATTGATAACAAAATAGAGCAAGGATGACGCGATGGTGTATGCATACTTATGCGGTAGCGCTAAAAAGAACCTCAAGCAACTGCAACAGAACGATTTGGGTACATGCAACATGCGCAGAAGTCTGTACCTCTTCGAGACTGATGTCGAAAAAATCGGGAGTTGTGCTTGGTGTTGATGGAAGAACTTTTGAACTTCCTGTGTGCAAGCACTACTTGCAGGATGGTGGCCGTTGTGCGTTTGGCGCCCAGTGTGCATTCAGTCACGACGTGGCTTTACCAGTTTATGGACGTGGATGTAGCCTTTCTCCAGTCCTCTCTTGCTCTTTAGGTCACCTCAGAAGCACAAGCATGGGGAGAATGAGAAAACTACATGCATCCTCTATACATTATCTGAACACGACAATGATTTCGGGAAGCTTCAGCAGCAATCGAGGCGCGCCTGGGGTGGTCGCAGGCGACACGTGAGCAACGACTTCCGCGCGTCCACTTTTCGCTTATGGGCACTGGAAAAATTCAAAAAGCAGCTAACGGCCACGACAGCGGACAAGCGCAAGTGCGACAACAGTTACGGAGAAGTTTTTTACAACTGTTAGTTCATGTAGTATCGATTTTGCTTTAGCTCCAGATTCAATTGTTGTTCAACGGACAAAAATGTGAAAGTGACGTAACTATTTTTAGCTCGTTCTAGTATACCACCAGCATGCCAGGATGAAGAGCCTCCTGGTTGAACAATTATATGCAAATAGCAGAAGCAGAAAGAACACGAGGAAGATGAACAAGACTCACTTTCTGCTCCTAAGAACACCGTCCAGAGATTCTAGACATAGCAGGTGGACGCGGCGAGCTTGGATTCGAGCTAGTAAATCTCAACGGCATCCCAACCACCATTGTGGACCCTCGCGCACCGGATCTGGAGAGATACATCCGGAAATGGGATTTGGGGCTCTACCACCGTCCAAGGAAGACTGGACTTGTTCATGTTCCTCGTGGTCAAGTAGAAGCAAAAAGAGGAGTTCATCATGTTCAGAGAGTGGTAGCAAAACTTCAGAGTGATGTTGTTGTTGAGGAGGGAATCGACGCTAGAAGAGTGGTGGAGGAAGATCATCATGTGGAACAAGAAGATGGTGAAGTGGGACAGATAAAAGCAGAACTACGTCATCTCCGTCTTTTTTTCGACAAAGCCTTGGGTGACATGCTTATGTCTTCATCAAGTGAGGAAGATTTACTACGACGTGGAGCACCAGTACCACCCGGACAAGATGGACGAGACCGAACTGAGAGGTATAAAAATATTGATGAAGATCAACGTCTTCGTTGTGGTGGAGCGTGGTCCCACGTGTGCTTGGCAGAATCAGCTGAACAAGGTGAAACCGTAGCTCTTGAGAATGAAGAAAGGTTTCATCAGTCGATGCGCAAAGCGGAAAGAAGTGCATGGACCAGGAAAGGACTGGAGGAAGAGCACGAAGTGGTAGAAGAATATGCTTTGGGTGAAGACGAACCTGATGAGCTTGAGCATGGTGCCGACGAGGACGGTGCAATTAGTACTGTAGACACCGATACAGGATCACCACGACAGGATGCAAGAAGAAGTGGCTTGTCTGAGTTCCCTGACACTTCATCTAGGTCGCCGGAAGCCGAGCATGGCGACCATGAGAAGTTTTGGGATTCTCAGGGTCAGAAGGATGCGCACATGGTACGACACGGTATAACTAGAAGCCAGGATGCACGTGAGGGTGTTGAGAAGAATGAAGATCAACAACTACTTCAACATGCAATCGCAGAAAAGGCAGAAGGCAGAGCAGATGTTTCGCCAAGGACAGTGAGTGGAGAGGAACAACAAGTCGTGGTAAATGATCAGGCGGGACGAGAGGCAGAAACTGTGGCTGGAAGTGTGGAACAATTGTCCGTCGGAGGCAACACAACTAGCGAACAACTACTGTCTAAGTCAAGATCTTGCGTCGATGAAGTAATGGCGATTCAAGATTTGCAAACAGCGTGCTCTATTTTTCGTCGAACCGCGCTTATTCTCGCGATGCACCCTGATCAGCCGACTGGCTGTATTGTAGACTTCGCGTTGGCGCATGGAATCCCGTTCGCTGTAGTGCCGTGTTGCGTACACGCCACTACTTTTCCAAAGTTATGGAACTAGTCGTAGTAAAAGTAAATTCAAGAAGTCGACGATTGGCTCCACACCCACCACGACCGGTATTTCATTTACTATTTTCAAAACTACTCCTACACCATCATGAATCTAACGAGACGACGGGTTCGCGGAGTGCGTGTGAACAGCTACGAGCTGCTTATCGACTGGCTAGCCGAGAAAGGAAATGGGCTGGAAAATCCCATCAAAGTCGAGACGCTCACCTTCGGGGGTCGAAACAAAGTTGTGTATTGGATGGGTTCGAATGCGTGAAGTAGGATGATGTAGTGAAACATTCTGGTACGCAGAGAAAAAAGGAAGACGGGCTTCCAAAAGAACGCCCCCCAAAACACGACTCCCAAGAGAGCTGAAGCAGTCGGCTGTTCAAGCTTTATTTGCAGACTTTCATTATCAAATACGGCGCGTGAAAGATCGTGTGAGATTCGACGTGCTGAATAGAAATTTAAGGTGCTGCTACAGGCAAGAAGGGAAACTTGTTCCCCTAGTGTTCGCATTTCCATGACTCGGCGACCACAGTCGAAAAGACTTCTGCGTGAAGGAGCGTATGCTTCGGCCGACAGGTTCGTGCCCACCTGCCTTCTCTGAGAGCCAGACTCCTGACTCCCCCACTTTTCTTGAGCTCACTCGCCGCACGGAACAAGTTTAACACTTCCCACGCAAGTCGATTTTCGCTCTGCCTTGTTCTCTTGTACACTGACACGGCTTGACTTTTACTTTTTAAAAGCTCTACGAGCCACAACTGCAAGCGCTTTCACTGTTCTTTGTGCAGTTTTCATCATCCTCCTTCCATCCTTGGTTGTACAACATGGAAAAAACAAAAGAATCCTATTGCCTGTTCACTTTCAGTGCTGTTCGAGACTCGTCTATCCCTATCGTGTTCAGATTTACAGGAGTACCCAGCAACACCAAGACACAGCGAAGTAAAGATGCATGAATAATAAACTGTTTTTTACTAAAAACATTTACTGATACGAAAACTGGAAAAGAAAATACAATATAAGAGTAAGTTATAAGTTATAACTGTGTTCATTTTTATGTAATCCTTGAAGACGTAATATGTGGCATTGACGATCATCATGCGTACAACTACGGAACTGGAAAAAAAATGAGCAACAAGCTTCATGCACCATGGGAGTCTTGACAAAGCTAAATTTTGATGACTGTGCCTTGCGAACACGTAACCGAGAGAAAATTACCATTATGAGATGTTGTACTAAAGCTCGTCAGACGAGTATCTCTATCTCAGTATCCTCTCCTAGTCACAACCTTCTTCTGCGCGTCTGACCTACAACGGCTGATCAGCTTCTCCTCCCGCCTCACCCTATATGCTCATGCTGAGCCAACGGCAGGTGGTGCTGGTGGCGGCACCGCCGCGGTTGGCGGCACGGTCGATTCGGGCATCGTCGGCGGAGGCATAGCGCCACCAGCTGGCATCGGCATCGATCCCGCAGCCCCCATCATCGGGTCGTCGTGACCGGTCATATTGACTGGCGCCAAGACGGAGGAGCCGGCCGCAGTCGGTGGGGGTGCGTCGGGCATCTCCATAGCCTGCGGAGGCTCAAAATCCAACGGAGCGGGCTGAAACAGTGTAGTGTGGTTGGAGGAGGATTTTCTTCGCTTCTTGATTAAAAATGCTCATGGTCATGTCAGTTCCCATTCTTCTTCTTTTGCTGTTGTCAGTACCCCTCAGCTTCTAAGCACGGCTGTACTTCCACCTCTTTGACTTTCTTTGCCCTACGTAAATACTATTTATTACCAATCGGACGACTAAGAGCAAGAAAACATCAAAAACGTACTGAAACGGGCACACCACCTTGTTCTAAAAATAGTACCATCACTGGCGACGCTGGCTGCGTCATCATGTCATGGTGCGCCACTGCGCAGACGTCATAGCATTCCGGAACATCCCCCATCTCGCTCTTGCATGCCTCGCACATCTGCATTTCCTGCGCTGGGTGCTCTGGCCAGTGCGACGGGTCATGCGCGCAGACACCCGCGTCGCAAGAGATTAGAAGACGATGGGGATGTGCCGAGTTTGTGGAATATCATGAGCATACTTTCCTAGTTTGTCTGGTTGTGGTTCGTGGGGTAGAGTATGAGTCAAAGTCCTTTCTTTAGAAAATTTAGAAATAGAAAATCCCACTCACACGGGTACGCCTACGTGCTTTGCCTGTACACCTCCACAGGATGCTACCCTTGTTACGAAGATTCTAAAAACTACAACTACCGATGTCTTAACTGGTGAAAGCAGGTCGACATCTCAGCTTCCATCGAGCATGCTTCGTGCTGTGTATCACACGCTTGACAGCCGTACTCCGGCTCGCTGTAGCACTGCATGTGACAATCCGGACTGTCATACATAAAACCCTCGCAACCTGGATTGTGTAGTTCTTGAGTTGAGGATGGTAGTTTCAATATGTAGGAATTTGGGACAGGAAGAGTTCTGCCAAACAAGAACAATGGAACAAGATGCCACTTCTTGGGCTTAGAAAGGTACCCCCAAGACCCAGGAAGAAGTCTCCATAGTGGCACCGATCGCACTGTTGACAGTCGTCGCTTGCATGTGCATGATCATGGCACCCATAGGCGCGTTCGTGGCACGAGTTCAAGCAAGTGTCACACGGGGTCTCCTCATAAGCCGGTGCTCCAGGGTACGTCGCGTTGGAGTGGTAAACTCCGGTACATTAGAAGATGGAGGTGGAGGCGTTATTCTGCAGCTGCATGTACAACTTATATTTTCGTATTGCTTCATGGATTTGGTTTTGATGGGTGGATTCAGGACCGATTATTTTTATTTTCGTATTGCTTCATTGATTTGGTTTTGCGTGGATTCAGGACCAGAAGATAGTGATAGTCCATCTCCATCATGTACTTATTCCGATTTCCAGTCATAAAGATACGGCTCACAGACCTCGTGCACGAACTGACCGCGAGAGATGCTAGGGGAATGCCAGTATCCGCCCATCTGATGATGCATGCCCTCGCACTCTGGTCCTTGCATAGCTGCCAAATCCAACACTGGCTCTGCCAACAAGCTCATGTTCATACCAGGGGGAAACGCAGGTGGTCCGGTCATGTTGGCACTGTGAGGTTAGTTTCATGGAGGCGGTTTCTGTTTGGCGGATCGAGAGGTAGATTCAGTTGTAAAACATGGTGTTCTTGGAGGTCTATTTAGAGCTTCGAAGTCGAAAGAATCTGCTCATAATCCAAAGGAATTTAGATAATTCTTACTTTATAAAATTTAGATTACTCATCTCAAACCGTACTACTAGTTCATTTTCATGATGTGAACTATCTAATAGCAATAGCAAGTACCTCATTTCCGGCGGGATCATCGGGCCCGCATGTCCAGCCATGGAGTAGCACGCATCAAACGTCGAGAAGCACTGATCAGTTGGGCAGGCGACTGGCGGGAGCATATCCCCACCATCATAGGAGTCTGTGCCGTTCTGATGATGAAACTCCTCCATCTCAGAGGTGTGCTGCATCGCTCCTCGCATGTACTCGACACAGCCAGCCTTGTAGTCTGGCTCGTATAGAGGATCTGAGGAGTGTTTCTTTGGAGGATGAAAGATGACGATAGACGAGAAATCTAAAAAATCTAAATTTCAAAGTTATGTACTTCAAGTACTTGTAGTAACACCAAATCATAGTAGAGGAAGAACGAAGTCAACTGATTCTGATACAAGCATCTGAAACCGACTGTAGATAGTACAGCACATCGTCCAGGATTACTCTCTACTCGGGCTAGTCAATGTCACCTCACGATTATACCTGGAATGACATCAGGTGGCAAGTGCCCAGCCTCAATGGCACCGACAATGCCAGGACACAACGTCGTGGCCGTCTTCTTGGTCACGAAACGTTCCATATGCTGCTCTGCCATCTTCTGCTGCTTTTCTTAGTGCTAGAAGTAATGCGATTTTGCATTGTAGATGTCAGGGCCACGCTCGCTTGTGCTTCCGAAATCACGATTACTTTTTTGACCTGAAAGCGCGTTTTTGACCTGCAAGCGCGTCCTAGAAGAAGCTCGAACTCAAAATTAATCCAAGAACATGAGTTGATCGCCAGCATTTCGATTTCTTGCAAGAAACAAGGTCAGCGGCCATAAATTTCTGTTGACTCCATGGAGTAGCACGTTTCCCACATGGCGTTGCACATCTCGACCGCGCCATCTGGCTGCGGTGGCATTTCACTCATCTCTGGCTTGCCCAGCAAGATCATCTCACAGCCCATACGGTACTCAATCTCCGGAAGGTATTCGGGCAGATCTGCAGGCTGTAGTGTACGTCATGGTCATTGGTGCATCAAATCAAAGGTTCACAAAGAGATTACCAGAATTACTCGCTCAACATAAAATGAATATGAATAAAGGTGGGGTTCTAGTTCTTGTTTTCCACTCTTGTTGATTCCAAAACTGTTCGTAAATGACAGTACGTCCATCAATCCGTGCTCGATGAGCTTGTGGATGTTCGGGCACGTAATCGCCGTTTCACGTGAGATGATCCCCGACATTAAGGACGGGCAGTCGGCGAACGTCGCCGTCATTGGCTCCGGGCAGGCCCTAATCGCGCAATCATGCCAGAAATTGTGACACATTCCCTCTGCTTCGCGCGCATCTAGGACGACGTCTGGTGGCATGAGGAGGTCTCGGGCAGCCTTCAAAAAATCCCCATCTGGCTGCGTCGAGGTATGAAAAAGGAGCAACAAAGTGGGTTTTTGAAAAACTAGTTATTGGAACCACAACAGAAAAGGAAAACTTGATCGACAGCACGATGTTGCTCTTGTGTATCTCTACACAATCAAGAGAGGATGTAGTTCTAGTTGCTGCCGCCCAGCTTTATGAAATTTTTGTCTACTAGCACTAGGCCCAGTCTGGCGAATACTGTAATCCTAATCGATCTAATACTTGATGTTTACTTGTTCTTGTTCGTATTTATTATCACCACCACCGTGCTTTTATCTTTGTAAAAAATCCATCCATAAATGACGCTTTTCTTCTGTATCATGCTCTGCTTCTTCTGCTGGAGATGTGACAGTTTTCCGCCTTTCTTGAAAAAGTCAGCAGCCGTCTTTTTGCTCGGCTTTTCCTTTGGATAGCGAAGCTGCTTGAATAGATGCCTCAACTGGCGCGTCTTTTTTCCCGCGACCAGTGACGAGGCGATGAAACGGTCAGCGGCCATCTGTCCTGCCGTGACACCACTCGTCTTCGGAATGCGGATGCCATCAGCCGTAGAGGCCAGAATAGCAAACTTGGACAAGACGCCCATGACTTTTTTGATATTGTTGCAAGAAGACTCAGACTGGTGTATAAAGAGGTTCAACAGTAGATGATCACGAGATGGACATGGGAAATAAAGGACCTATGACGTGGTGGGTCCGTTGTTGTCTGCAGAAACAACTAATGCTAATCCATCCCGACTGAGCTCGCAACTAATCCATCCCTATGAGAGTCCTTCTCCGCGCAGCGTCTTCGTCAACTCAGCGGTATGGGTATGCTCTACTCAGGTGAAATATTTATATTTTTATGCTCTCCACAAAAGCTTGTCCTGCTCAGGCAAAAAAAGAATCACTCGCAGCTATGAGGGTTCACTTCACAAAATTTCCATCAGAGATCAAAATTCAGCCTCCTGCACAATGTGGCTCTTTCTGCGTCGGTCATAGCAGCAGACAAACAAAGCTACGCTACCTGCATGCCCATCTGAGTTGTTCTGTCCATACCGCTGCGGCTGCCACAGGATCACCTGCTGCAGCTCCTCTGTTCTCCTTCTCGTCAAGCGCAAAAAAATTCTATAATGTACAACAACCAGAAGCAGAACCAGTTTTTCTGTTCGGCATTTTCATGATGTGAGCTATCTAATAGCAATAGCAGCTTAGGCATTTTCAAGTAGGCATATGCACTCACATTCACCTTCAGCTGGTAATCCCAATCACCGAACTACCTCTCGTCACCCGGAACTTCCTGCCAACGCGAAAGCCTCTTTTACGAAGTATACACCCTCGCAAGCGAGCGTTAGAAGGAAATCATCTTCGTGACGTTCTGCACCTGAATTCACGGCAGACTGTGTCTGTAACGGTGTCGTCCTGCAACTACTACGACGTAGCCATGTTGTCTTCCCTATAAAAAACATGTGAGTGATGTAACTACAGTGCATTTGAAATCGTCCATAACAGAAAGAGGATGTAAGGTTCGCTCCCAGCCAAAGGGATTGGGCGATGCAGTTTCGATACCTTCGACTCCACGTACCACTGCAGGCATTGCCAAAGTCCCGGGATTAGTACCGGTCTTAGAATCAAGCTGAACAACGCATCTTCTCAGAATGCAAGACTCGAGTAAATACATAGGTCAGGAGGTGAAAGAATGACATGAACATGATCCGCTCGTCCTCTATCGAAAAATACTAATACTGATTTTGAATCGAAAATACTAATACACGACATTAAATTGAAACCACTGAAAGATATGTTGTTGTACAGGAAGATCAAATCACTAATTATATCAAGTCGTGCACGAGCTCCTGTTGCTGAATCCGTTTTTCATAACGCTGTAGTCCCAAGAAGCCCACACGGAAGCGCTTCATCAAAATACGCTTCCATGGTTTCGACGTCCCGATGGTAATACAAAAAGCTAGGCACGCTAGCAAAGTAGCAATTCAGCACGAAGATCCAAAAAAAGCTACCAAGAATGTAATAATCCATTGCGGTTGAGAGGTGTTAGAAGTACACTAGAAGAAGATCTCTATACTATACATGTTGACGAATGGAAATCATGGTAGAGTGGGTGAAGAATAAAACGTGGACGAGCCAAATAAACACTGAATACTCATGATCAAATTCATGTCCATTTTCAAGGGTTCACTTTTTCTCTATGCTGGCATAATAGTTGATCCGTGGCAGCACGTCGCTGCATACCACCTTGTAGGCAATGGCGGCTAATGCGACCGTCGCAGAAATCGCCAAGCGATCGGCCACAGCACCGGCTTCAATCGAAAAACCCGCGAGCCCGATCAAATTCAGACAGAAAAGAAACAAAACGAAGTTGACGGTGTAGTAGAAGGGATATCTTCGCACGGGAAAGAAGATCGACGTCTCCACCGGCGACTTCCGCAAAATCAACGGTTGGCACAAGTTCCATTCCGGGTCAAGGATTAAAGAAAGGCGTTTACGTACTTAGGTTGGGGTGGGAAGAAACGTAACGTAGGATGAGGAAGTCGACGTGGCGATTGTAGTTTGCTTCTACACAACTTGCTTCGTCTTCAGTAAAATAAATCTTACACACAGACACTTTCATTGTCAGTGAGTGAGAACTGGGACTCATCCGTGGTCCCACCTGGTGCAACTACAACAACTAATACTTAAATTGCCCTTAAAAACATTGCTCGCCGATCGAAGTCCACAGCGTACACGATTATGTTCATTGTTGCCTGATCCCCACTGAAATTGTTGCTTAAATTTGCGCACAAATCGTGTGTATCGAAGGGGAAAAATCGCATGTCATAGTGCTGCTCTAGGACCACCTTTCCGTATACGAAATGATGGATGTCGCCAGTCTCCAGATGAACCTGAATTAGAAATGGGCTTCTACAGGGAAAGACGTTATATATAAATATATACTTTTACGCTCCTCTACTAGGGTTTACTTGGTCACAGGTTACTTATTTTAGATCATAGCGAGTGCTTCTTGTGACCAAAGACCTTGATCTTCAGTCAAGAAGACCGAGAGCTCCAAGAGAAAGAGAACTGAACCTTCCCATAAGAAAGGCCGATCCTCTGACACATCGCGGCCTTCGTCATCAACCCCATTCGAAAAGACTAACTCTTGTGGCAAGGGCACTGCTTCCCAGAACTCTGTTATTAGAGGATTTTTGAAGTCAAAAAATTTTTCTTCGTTCGTGCTACTAGTATGGTTCCAACATCACGACCCAGATAGTTTGGAAGAGCAACTACTTACTTGAGAGATGAACTGTTGATGTGATGATGATAACCCAGAAGGACTGCCATATTGCCAGATCCTCTTCGGTTAGGTAATAGCGTGTCGCGGTTGCTCTCCCACCCGCGATGTTTCTCATTGAATTATCCCAACGTTGTCCTCGTGTTGGGGACGCACTTTTCGGGGCCTTAGGCCTTGGAGAAACAGAACCACCAGACCTCTTTGCTAAAACAAGTCTGCTGGGTGATGTTATACTGCGGAGTGTCCGCTGTCCCTTTCTTTGAGGCGAATATTCGACTTTTTGCCCATCAACAGCGGAAGGTTCGTCGCCTACTTCTGGTTCATCTGCCTGAGGCGCATACAGCTCTTCGCCCTCTGCCTTTCCTCGTCTGTACTTGGCCTTTACTGGCGGTCCACGTCGGGGAGTCTGTGCTTCACGCTTAATGACGAGCCTGCCAGTGCGTTTGCCTCCATGCGTCGCCTTTGACACAGCTTCTACTGCTTCTGCTACTGGTCCTGTACTACTACTAGTCGCACTACTAGTACCGCCTTTTCCTTTTCCATTACCATTTCCGTTTACCCGGTCGTGGCCATCCCCACCGTTGCGAAGAAAGTCATCAGCCTCTCGCACCATCCCTTCTTCGTCATTCTCTGGTGTTTTCTGCTCCGTCATACGCGATGCACTTATGGGAGTCTGCAAACGGACTTCGATCCTTTCTGGAGCAGCGGCATCACTAGAAAAACCAGTGTTAAAGTCTCTTGTGCCTCCTCCAGCTTGGACTTGATCATGTCTACTCATACTCCTACTTCCACTACTCTGTGCAGAAGATGAAAACCTCCTCTCACGCGCCTCCTCTCGCTCCCTGTTTCTTGCTGCTGACTTAACAATGTTGTTGCTTCTGCTTGTCGCTTAGGAATTAGTGGAGAATTCTTCACATGAGTTTCTTTATGATTCGTCAGATGAAATAGAAATTTCCATTCTGATGTTTCTGGTCAAGTGAAAATCAAAATCGCATATCCAAAAAGGATCGTGGTAGTCATCAGCGAAGATTTTCATGACAGCTCGCTTTTCCTCAAGAAGAACTGCTCGCTATAAAAATAGCCTCGTGCCATCCTGATGATGCGAATCTATTCGACAATCTCCTGCTTCAGATTTCCCTTGCTACTACTGCCATACTAATAACGCTTCCATTGCTCATTCGACTGTCGCGGCCTGCTCTCGCGAGTACTGCACTTCCGGATCGGCTACCATCTCTTGAGACCCGCTTCTTTCCTGCATTTTGCGCAGCCTCTGCTCTTTCCCGTAATATCGGAAGGATGTCATCCATGGCTGGGGGTCTTCTGATCGTCCTCAACTGTCGAAAAGACAATTCAAACGTTCCTTCTTTGCAGTCAACGTGCCTGATGTAGTACACACGCAAAGCAATGTAGACCTGTAATCGATCTTCCACAGAATTAGACATAGACCCTACCTATATGCATCTTGTTTCTTGAGAAGCATCTTTGACCTGTTTCCCTCTACTTAGAAAAGGGGTCAGAGATGCTTCTGAAGATGAATTCTTGTAAGTCTTAACAGCAGTGCTGCTTTTCGCCAGCCCATAGTAGCCTTGCTTTCCAAACAAAAGCCCGCCAATCAAATTCGTATCGGGGATGTGTCTTGGTAGGGGGAGGTGCTGCAAGCGTATGAAGAAGGAAGCAGTGGAACTGGAAAGACGGGGGAGCGAAAGGGTGTTAATGAGCAGGCTTTCGGATGTTTTGGTCCTGTGGTCCTCCTGCGGTGATGTACTACACTAACACTTCTTACTCCTTTGTTTGAGTCTGATATATCTCTCTCTCACGCGAAAACTTATACCGCAGCCACTAAAAAAAGTAACAAATTCGTCACTCATGTCATGTCATGTTACCTCAGGCACTACATGGTCAAGTAGTAATGAGGTCCTTCAGCCTCTTTGTACCTTCTGAAAAGAAGAGCAAATACACCGAGGAGCGATGGACTAGCAAGTATATTAAACAAAAGTTCTTCGTGTTGTTAGTTTACTTTCTGTTTCTCAACATAAACGTTTCTTCCTGTCCCACGTCGACGTTGCTTGGTTGCAACGCCGAGTCCAATTCTCGCGAGGTCCGTTCTGCATTCGCTCTCAAAATCTGCTCTTCCAGAGACGCCACCGGCATAGCCGCGTGCGACGCTCCATCCATATGAGTCTCATCTTCCGAACTAGGATCTCCAGTGTCCGACGAAGAAGAAGCAACCTGCTCTCCCTCTCTTCTACCCCGTCTAGCACCACGGCCACTACCACGAGTACGAACAGAGGGATCGTTGTAAAATAGTACTCCAGGATCGGAAGCCGAGCTCAAAAGAGATGAACAAAGTAGACGGACAGTCCTCGCAGAAGGGGCTGGATATACATTGATAAGTGAACAGGCCAACGCCTAAACCACTAAGCCAACTGCGCAGATGGCTTACTGGTTTAGGCATTGGCTCGTACCTAACAACTAATTTTGATTTAGTTTTAGTACTTGCCCAAACTGGAGGTACTAATCACATTCAAGTACAAGAACGCCCTATTTCATTACTGTAAGTAGATGAAGAAAGTCAAACGACACCCGAACCTCAACGTAGTCGTAATTATCAACATTGAGGAGCTTGAGCACTTCTAAACGCTTACTTTCCTCATCTTGTGACCATACGTATTCTTCTCCCACCCGAGGAACGACTACGGAAGTCGTACTGGCTGCAGCAACCGAGGCAGAGTGCGGCAAGCCGACGGGGAGTGACCCGCCAGCTGGAGGCAGTGCCAGAAACTTGTTACTCGCCGTGCTCCTGGTTTTCTGGATTTCCGTATGCGCTGCAATGTTCTTGTCTCTTGCAGCTTCTGGTTCACGTTAGAGCTCTACATGTCCATATTCATATCGGAATCATCTTTCGCATTCGCTGTTTCTAATTACAGATCTATCTGCGTCCCTTCAGTAGACCACGTAGAACAAGCGTGGTCACTCCACCGTTTACGATCATTCCGTCTCGATGCTTCCTGTGAATAACACCTGAGCCATACCTCCGTTCCCGCGCTCGTGCAAGCATGAATGGCGAATTGAAAATACCGAACTGTGCCGTCCCCTCACCGTCTTCACCGCCGAGTTCATATTGCTCCTCCATTTTTGTCGTACACGCACTCGTTCTTGGAACTCTACTAAGAGTAAGAATGATAGATGTAGATCAGCAAGCTGCTGTAGTTGTTGATTTTGTATAAGGCGAACGAGTTTCTTGAATGAAAAAGCTAGAAAGCTACACCAGAGTTGTCTAAATTGGATATTTTTATAGCCTGCAAATTGTTCGTGCTGTGAAGTACATGCCTTGTTCTTTCCCGTGTCTGCTTTTACTTTACCGTAGATAGTTACAGTAGAACAGCAGCAATCAACTCTCACACCCTCATTCTTTTCCTCAAAGATCCACCTCCTTCTTCAGACAGATGAGGCTGGAAGCATCACTCACCAGAGAGCGCTCTCTGCTAAGTCTTGTCAATGAATGATGGCGCCAACTTCCGCTGTTTTCAAAGGCCAGACTCACATCTCTGACTCCCGTTTGAACAGGAGTGAACAACTCACACCTTCCTCGCCTGATAGGAGAAATTGTTCAGCACTTTCTTCAGTGTTGTTCAACGTGACTAGTTGTTCTTGTTTTGCAGTAATGCGATTACTTCACATGATCTTTAGTCTTTCCAGAACTTGGATCATGAAGTTCTTCTAAAAATACAAGCAACAAAACATGTTTTTCTATTGTTTGTGGTCTCACTTCACACAACGAAAAAATAGGGGTGGGTGGGGTTTTCTCCGATTGCTATTGTATCACGGCTTTCTTCAACATCATGTGCCAACCAAAAGCATCACATACTTACGCAGTGTCAGTGTCATTCGTCATCTGATGGAGGGGCGGCACGATGTTCTTGTCATTTCGTAAAATTGTCGGATGTAACCATAGATACAATATCCTACCCTAAATACTTGCTGTTGTTATGGTGCTGGTAACATTGAACATAAATTGGGATTCTAATCTGCTTAATATGAAGAAGAACAAACCTTTAAGTCTCAACATACGTGCCCACAGGGACATCAGCACCACTAGAAATAGAATACTCAACTCATTACAAGAAATAGGAAAAAACTTTGACAATCATGCAACGGTGTTTGTACAAATGATGAAGATCATTCGAGGGAGGAATCATAGTCAACAATGTAGTTCTAATTGGTTTCTTTATATGCTCGTTCTACTTCGATTTTTTTCATATTTAGGCTTATTATGATGATCACGCGTAACAGTAACAGATTATGAAAAGGAATAGTGCAGACGAATGAGACACATGTAGTAAAACAATGAAACCGAAACATCAAACGCCAAAAATACAACGACAAACTACAGGCACAAAACGCACGGAAAAATTCTATTATCATTACATCATCATCAATCACAACGAGTAATTTTACTAGCGTTTTGTCCTGGAAAAAACCAAGTAGACTGCTGCTTCATTAATGTTAACTTGTTTCTTTGCTATGAGATGAAATTCGAATTATTCAAAACTTATAGTCGCAGCTGCTGGGGCTGCTGCTATCTTGTCTCCTCGAAGGAACGCCAAAACCCTTGCTTCGTTCTGTCATTTTTTTCATTGTTTGTTGGTATTTTTTATTCGTATGATCATGATGTCATGTGTGTATCTAGTAGAACAATTATCGTTTTCTTCTTCCTCCGTGTATACGTATGGCAATGCGAATACCGATTCTTCCCAACTTCTGTACATGATTTTCGATCTCGCCTACAAATTCTTATGATTGATGTGATAACTTCCGATTGCCAGTAATGTTGGGGCATCATAGCTATTCTTAGCAGATCTGCATCAGTTTAACTTAGTGCAACGGGACGACAGAAAATCGTAGGCGCAAACCTTTTACCCTATAATAGTTGACATATTTATTTTCTAGTGGTTCCACCGACAAAAGAGAGCCAAAGCAACACTCTCCAATCTATAACCGCAATAGCTAGTATCTCTTCTTGCAGTCCTTGTTATAGTTGTGGATGAATTGAATCTATTCGGCGAGCTGCCTAAGATTTCCCAGGCGAGTTCTACCCGCTAGTCTAGCTGTTATTAGTATGCTAATGGACTCAAACAAGAATTTGTGCGTAAGTAACTAATTTCAATCTAGCTCTTGCTCTACCTCCGCTCTTACCGTTCTACCTAAGTGCTGTAGTAGAATAATTTATAAACAGGCGTAGCAAAGCATGGACCTGGATGGATCGGATGGACCCGCCTAAGCCTTCGGGACCTACTTCAAATGACCAGCGGACCTGTAAAGACCATCCGTTCCATCCAATCCTGACTCCGCCCATCCTATAAAATTGTCTAGTATAGTAAATCCATTTGAATCGACCACCCAAAATGTAATGCCAGTGGCACAAAGTGTAATCGCAAGACCTCTTTTCTCCAAGTTGTCCTTCTCCTTTATTCTTTCTCGCAAGCGAGTCTAGAATCCACGAATTTGGCCAAACTTCTGAGCAACTTCCGGGTTCGCAGCCATCCATTGCGAAAAGAAAGGCGCTATTAGAGGCATTGGCATGATGTTGCATGTGCTGATGCTAGCAATGCTGCCATTGGATATAAGATAGGAACGAATTGCATCCATGGCTTCCACACCTAGTGGTAATTGGAGTCCTTGAAGACCACTACGAGTACGACAGGATCAAGAGAAAGGTTTTTGACACAAGATGATGTAAATTCGACATATCTCATAAGTTTTGTGTCAGGGTGGCTTCGTAGAGTGCCGCATTATCGCAGATCGTGCACCAACCGCTTATGATCTGCTGCCCAGTTCCTGGCGCCTGCAAGTCCGCAATGGCGCCTCCCTTGTTGGCACTGGACAGGAATGCGACGAGGCGATCGACGTAGCCAGGAATTAGAAGAAGTAGGAACTGTGATCTTGTTCAGTGGGAAGGACTCTGAATTATAAGTGAGTAACCGTGTTGAATAGACCTACTCTACCTCAGAGCGTGAGTGTAGAGCCTAGTGAAATCTGATTCGATGAGAAGATGACATGAGGCGCAATTGGATGATGACTTGACCACAAGAATGTCCATAACTGATGCACCTGCAATTGTTGCGCTTGCGCGATCTGCATCGCGGCAATTTGTTGCTGTTGTTGCTGCTGCATTGGCTGAAACTGTTGGCCATACGCCATACCCTGCGGTGCTGCCATGTAGTACTGCGGCTGTCCATACTGTGCTTGCTGCTGTGCCTGCTGTTGCGGGTAGCCTTTGCCCTGACCGTTAGAGTTTGAGATGATGCAATGAGTATGTGTGCTTGCACGGGAACGAGAAAGAAAGGCCAAAATCCTACTGACTGCTACTTACGTCGTTGTCGTCGCTGAACCTGGAGTCAGTAGGATGATATCTCGTTCCTTCATTCACTACGACGGCCATAAGATATCCATTCTGGTACGACATCTTGTTCTGTAGTTCGTGGTGATGAATGGGTGATCACTCGTACTAAAAGTCGACTTATATATATCTCGGATTATGATTGCTCTGTAAATGAGAATGGCTAAAGTCTTGTATTCTTTGTCCGTCGTTTCTATTCGCTAGTTACTCACGGACATAACGAAAGCCACAGAAATCGGGGTGTTATTCTGAAAAATCGTGCCCACTTTATGTTCTCATCAAAAATACTTGCTATAGCCCTATTTGTCTTCTCTGTTGGTGCTTTAAGATGTGGAGAATGTCCGATATAAGCGCTGGTATGCATGTGCGTCAATGCAGGAGAGAGACCAAGATGGGCGTAGACTAGTCTAAAAATACTGCCACCATTATCTTCAGTGCACATCTTTATGTTCCAGATCTTTGCTGACCGTTCTTCGACTCACAGCTATATTCTCGGGGTTAGATCTGAGGAGAATTCGAAATGCAGCGATCCTTCACAGTTCTCTCATATATTTGCCGGTCGGAGGATTTATGAACTCCTTATCTACAGAGGACTACCGGAAGCTACATGAGGCGTCGCTACATGATGTCTATTAGAATTAGTTTTCTCCTAAGGAGGGGACTCTATCGCAACCAGCGCTGTCGGTATCGAACACGACAGAAAACGACAACAAGAAGAACCAAGGCTGCCGAGGCAGCTCGTCGCGAGCACGACTCCCATCTATGAAGGCAAATTGTAGTCGTAGTTTTCTTCCATGATCAAAAATCTGTCATTAATACCATCGGTTTCTGTCATGCACATCATAGTCGTCCTCAATGGTGCATCAACAACAACATTCATCCGTCATGTGGTTAACCCCCAAAGAAAAAGGAACAGAATAGAAAAATAAATCAACAATTTTCGTCTCTACCTGCTGGAAATTCATTGTTATATTCACTAAGGTATTCTTTGTTTCTCAAAAGCTTTAAGTTCATGGACAATTTTTTCGATCAGTAATATCGTGGTAGTTGTTTTCAATGCTGTGCATCTTGCGTTCTATGTATCATCGATGGCATAATGACCAGAAAAATTCACCAATTGAAATCGTCGTCTCGTCTAGTCGTCACTACTTCCCTGGTACTCCCAAGAACTAACGTAAGCCCGTTCTTTCAGTACCAACACCAAGTTTCACTTCATTAACATCAAACAGAGACAACCTCGAAAGTAGGCATATAGTCGGTCGAACATCAATGTGAGAGCTCATCTGCTTCCTGCGAAGAGCACGCCCACCGCTCGCACTTCAGGGGTACAGAGTCAACACCTTCACCCACATGTCTGCAACTCGTACATCGTTCTCCTACTCCCAGGTGTCGATTACCAGCAGGTCCTTCTCCTCACGGACTGGTGGTGTCCTCCTATATACTTCCAAAACCCTATCTCCTAACGAAGTTTGGGCACAGAAAGAAGAACTGCTAGTGACTTACCAGTAGTCGCCACCGCGACCACCGCCATAGCCACCGCCGCCGCCGAAGCCGCCACCTCCGCCGAAGGATCCCTTTCCTCCCTTGCCGCCGCCCTTACGCGGTTCGCCGTCACCACGTCCGGTCACGTTAGCGGCACTGGACTTCTGCTTGCGGTCATCCCAGACGGTGTCGAAGGAAACGGTCTCGCCTTGAAAATTAGAGCTGGGGTAGACACAAGGTCTGTCAGGTTGGACAACTGCTGGTATAGTTTGGTACTGTTAAAAACAAAGGGGGAAGTCGCTGTAGATGTAGCCAATTGTTGAGATAGTGCTCCAGTCGAGATAATGCAGATCATTGAAGGAAAAGAAAGAAGAAAGATATGTGGATGCACTACATGATTGTTCGTCTTGAGGAAACAGCACAAATAGGCTATAGAAGTTGTGACGTCGGACGATAGAGTCGAATACGCAAGAATGAAAGTGGCTACATCTACAACGACAATGCGATGAGAATATGGAGAAAGATGTGTTACAAGAATGGCGAAAACGACCTAAACTATCTGAGAGAAGATGATGACCTACAAGGAACACTAAGATGACCTACGCACTGTAGAGGAGGACATGACAAGAAAAGTATAAGCCTTAACATTGAGGGACTTGAAACCACCGGTCTGGATGGCGGAGAAGTGAACGAAGACGTCCTCACCACCGTCATGCGGGGTGATGAAACCGAAGCCCTTGTCCGGGTTGAAGAACTTAACGCTGCCAGTTTGCGACATTTTGTGGTTGTTTGGGGGTTGTTGTTAGACAAAGAGTCAACAGAGATGTTGTAGATGCTAGTTGAATCCGATGAATCAGAAACGAAATTATACCTACTTATGTTCAGAGTGAAACGACTTACGTGACTACTCGTGATGCCTTATACCTTTTCCCTGTGGAGAATGTGATTGGAGGTTTTGATGATCAAGGGGTGTGGAGGATGGATAGATTAGTTTGCTGATGGAAGAATCTTCGAAGATTGATAGTCGCAGATATAGATGATGATAATAGCGATGGATAGAGATACTAGGTGCTTCAGCTTGTACGAAGGATCAAGCAGATGAAAGTGGAGATCATGTCCACTTGTGGATCACGACTGGTGTGAAGACTTTGATTCTATTTGAACAACACATCATTTGGAGCTGAGAAATGGATCATTATTTTAATTTTTGGCATTCTGTTCAGCACATGGCGTCGGCAGAAATTCTTGACAACGGCCTTTCTGGATCCATCTACCATCCGACCATGACTACTTGCGTCATTCAGAACATCAGAGGACCCTCTACACGGTCTTGGCCGACCTCGACCTTACTTTACGCGAGGCGTTGCAACTACTGTCGTCCTAGCAGTGACAAGCGGCGCGACAGCCACACATCAGAACCACGTGGAAGCAGCTAGTCGTACTTGTAGTGGAGACTCTGGTCTGGCCGTAAACTCTTAGAGAGCTACAACACATTAACAACAACGTTGGATCGCAGTTACAGAGCACCACCAACACTTTTCCGACACGTTGACAGTATCACACACATATAATAGCGAAAAAGGCCTTCGCCTTACTACTTGTAGGCTCGTAGTTTACGTTTTTTGAAAGCATACTAGGATCAAATATGGTCATCTGTCTCGGCTTTGTCACTTCCATAGAACAAAATCTATGTACAAGCGGTGCGCTCAACCGCTATGTATCTGTCACAATACACGGTGGGGTTGATCTTTCATCATCTTTGTTGCACGTAGTTCATGAGATGCATGCCGCGAAGGCGAATACAGCTGCATCGTTGAAAAAACTGAATTCATGAAAGAGAAAGTTGCTGTTACGTTATAGTAAGATAGACTGTAAAAGCTAAAAACGATGACATCCTTGATCTATCGCATTTCAGAGAAAGGGCTGTCATTCGATAATATGATCCCAGTCGAGTCTATACTTGCTGAATTACGATTACTATCCCGTGGTAGGTTCCCACCTCCTGTCATGTACTTGTATTCAGGAGAAGAAAAGCTGTCTTCGTCGAAGCTCTGACAGGGTCACTGTATCCCTTTGAAAGAATAACAATAGCGGGTACTAGTGCTGAATACGCTACAATTTCCCTTCCAGGCTGTGAACTTCATTTACGACTTCACTGAGAGGACGATGCATCTGCGGAATGTCAGAACCTCGCGTCACTCGGCCCCACAGCTCATTTCCGTTCACGACTACGAGCTCCACCTGAGTGTCGCCGTAGAAGTAAGCTCCATCTCGTTCATCCTGGCTGAAGCCAGACAAGAGAGCAACTGGTGGCTTGACGAGCCACGACCTGAGTAACGGCACCACTCCACTTGGACATGCTGCTGTTGTTGTTGTCATAGTTCGCGTTGTTTCGGTATTGTTGAGTGCTCGAGGTCGAAGCCGTTGCCCTTGCGTTTCTGATGAGACTGAAGAGTTCATGTTCATGTTCGGGTGTCCTGCTTGACGATGCGGCTTCTCGGAACCTCGGCTCTTCTCTTTTCTCACTGCACCTTGACCTTGATGTTGCGACAGTCCGACGACTCCTACTGCCCTCTTGTTACCACCGCTGGACAACTCGGCTGAGGGTGCATGCATAGCCGTAGTGGCTCCTCCAACAGCATGAGGTTGTACAGGTGAACTCCGTTTCATCTTCATGTAGTTCACCACACTGAACCTGCTAGTCCGCGGACCCGGCGCCATCTGTGAACCACCTGTGTTCCGCTGCTTCAGTATCTCCGCAAGCGTGGTAGGCGACGATGTTTTCTTCTTCGACTTTCGAACAGACGACGTGGATGCAGACAAAGAAGCCACGTCCTTGGACAGAGATGCCGCTGGGCCACCTGAGCTGTTTCCAACAAGCTGCTGCTGATGTTGTTCTGTGTTGCCGAGAGACATATCATCAGCTGGCTCACTGACACCTTCTATTCCTACTTCTGCATCTGCCCCACAGGCGCCCGCCTTCATTGTAGTACCACTGCTGGAAGGCTGTTGAGCAGGCAGTCGACCACGTCCACCCACCATAGTCGACGACTTCGATGTCTCCGCGGATGGCGCGGTGCTACTGAAACCGAAGAAAGACACGGCTGCATGGTTCGGTGCGTAGAACATGCTACTCGCATGTTGCATCTCAGGCTCGCTTTCTCGTAGTGAAGGCCCACCAGCTGTGAGGAGCAACTCGTCATCGACTTCTTCTTGCTGCGCTTCTCCTATTTTACTGGCTGCGCCATCAAGCGCCTGTAGCTGCTGCTGTTGTACCAAGTGAGAATTCGGAGATAGTTCCTCACTAACCTTCACTGCCATTGTCTCCAACGCCTGACGCGTGCCTTGAAGATGCATGCTCAGCCCTGACTCAGAATGGGGTACTTCACCACTGTAGTAGAGAGGATAGGGCAATTGTGCAAATGTAGGTCTATCACTCGTCCCACCCGCTTTGGGAAATTGTGCAAATGTCGGTCTACCACTCGTCCCATCCGCTATATTCTCTGAAACTGCAACTATGTTGCTGGTCATCTTCTTCGAAGTCACTTCGGATACGTCGTCATCTGATGCAGATGCAGGAAGGCTAAGAAAGTTTTCGTGTTCGCGAAGAGTTTGCTCTACAACAGCTTGATCTTCTTCTTGCTCTGGTTCCTCTCCTTGCTCTCGTTCCTCTCCTTGCTCTCGTTCCTCTCCTTGCTCCTCTTGAAGATGCGGCACTAACGAAAAGCTTGTTCTTTTGCTCTCCAGCGGTGCTGGTGATACTGGACGTGACGCATTCACTGCTGCTTTCTGTGCGGCCTCACGTAGGGATTGCCGTCTGGCCTTCTCCCTTTCTCTGCCCTCTTCCGCTTCTCGACGCTCCCTTTCTCGTCGTTGGTGCTTAATTCTCGGTGAAGATCCTACTGGAGATCGGTCGCTTCTGGTGCCAGGACTCAAATAACGAGGAGGATCGACTGGAACAAGAGGTGACTCTACTGTTGCAACTTCTGCACTAATGCCGCCTCCAGCTGAATCAGCTTGAAGATTTTTCCTTGCTGATGATAGCACATCCGCACTACTTCTACTACCTGGTGAACCAGTGGGACTCTGCATCTGCTCCTGTGAACTGCTACCTAAAAGACTCGGTCCACTCTCGTCTGGTGACTTATTGAAGTCTACTCCACCTCCATTCTTCGCTGACGACGAAGCGGCCACTACTATCATATCGTCTATTCCGTGGTCGTCTTCCGCACTATTTGGATTCTGCACGATCTCTGCTGGTGCTGTCTTCTTAGAGATCCCTGTGCTATTAAGGCCGTCATTGTCAAGTTGTTTCATCTTGACTATGATATCACTAACGCCCTCCACATCCGCTACCACTGCCTGCAGCGTCTCCATGTTGGCGGTTGCCACCTTTATAGGCGAATCCCCAACTCGCGATTGTAACAACAGTCGCTCTAGACCTCCTGCTTGAGCTTTGATTTGCTGAAGTGAGACTTGCAGAGACTGCATCTTCTTGTTCTTTGTGATCCCGTCTGCAACTTCGCTGCTCAGTGGTTTGCTCTTCTTGTCGTTCACATCTTTCGCACGAATAGCTTCGACCTCCTCGACAAGTGATGCTAGGGCCTTGACACTTCGAATCTGGGCGTCACCTTCATCATCGTCGTTCGCAGCAGACTGCAATGGACCCCCCTTGCCAGGTCCTTTAGCCGAACCGGCATTCGCATTGAAGCCACCAGGACCTTTGCTTGCTTTGCCTGGTTTCCCAGTCGACGGCGTTCCCTCGTCTATCGTCCTTTCAGTCACTCCTTGATCTACTCCTGTTGACGCACCTGCTGTCTGAGCTTGACCTGGTCCCTTCTTGCCGCCAGGTCCCTTCTTGCCGCCAGGTCCCTTCGACGCTCTGGGTAGCACTTTTAGTGGCTCGTCTGTGATCGGAGCCTCCTCAGTTTTTGCGGCTAGTGCAGGTGATTCAGCTTCCGCAACATCTGCTTCTTGTTCAATTTCGTTCGAAGCTGCATCAGCACCACTGATTGACTTCTTTTTCTTCTTGCCTTTCCCTGATTTGCGCATTTTCGGAAGAACGACGGCTTGTTCCTCTGCCGGTGGCATATCCTCTTGTGCCTTGCCAGCATCCGTCTCGGTTTGAACCGTTGCTGGTCCTCCGTCTGCTGCAGGAGAAGCGGCATCCTCTTGTGCTTGTGCATGGCCAGTAGTCGTAATTGTCATGCTTCCAGCAACAAGAGCCGTGGTCTTTTCTTGTTCGGCATGCGTCTTACTAGTTGATGTCGCCCTCGCCGTGGTCTCATTTGGTGCAGCACCCTCTGCGTAAGTCGAAGTTGAGAGTAAGGCTTCTCCCAGCACTAGCTCTTCATCTGTTGACGTTCGCATATCCAAGACGGACGATGATTATTAGAGGAAATAAAGGCATTGATTAATGCTCATCAGTTGAAAAGGTAAAAGGCTTTGAAACATAAACTGACATTTCACCATTGATTTGGAATGTGCCCCTGCATATTGATTCATATGCTCCTATCTCAAAAAAAAAATCTATAACTGATCCTTAAATCTTGCTTGACGACGACGATCCGTGATGTTCCCCTATCTCGACAACTGGTTCGAACCCCGCTTCTTCTCCAGCAGCCTCGCCCGCCTCCTTTGAACATTCTTTTTTTCCTCCAAGAACTTGCACGTCAAGTGATGTTTCCCCTTCTGCCAGCTTTTTTACCTTTGCAACCAGCCGATACGGGTCAATATAGTCCTCGACGTGCATTGGAAATTAGAGGTGAAGGGAGTGTCGTTACCGTTACTCTCACATTGATCATGTTGCCGCGACACTAACAGATACGGATCTCGAGAGAGACGAAATGCGGGAGCGGGACCTTCTACACTAGATCTAGAGTATGTACTTAATATCATTATCAGAGCCGTAATTGAAGCGTTCGTAGTCTATCTCCTTCCCCGTTTCAAGGTCGTCAGCTGCTGTGTAAGCCCCGCGATTACGCGCACGACCCGCAGTCGAACTTGAAGATGAGCTCCCATGATAACATGCAGCTGCATCAAAGCTAAACGATGAAGCTGCTTTCTTTGTTGTACTTGTAGTATCAGCCGCACCTCCAACTACTTCGACTTTCTTCTTCTCACCAGTACCGGCAGCACCCATTCGAAGTTTAGCATCTCGCACGACTGAAGAAGCCGCGAGTAAAACTTCCGGTGGAGCGAAGTTCTTGTTGGCTTCTTTTGAAGATGTAGTACTATCCCAGCCATCGAACATCTTTGCTTGATCTTGTTGGCTTTTTCGTCTTGTCGCGGAGAGCAGCTTCGGTGTTCTATTTTTTTGGAGTTCCTCGGAGTTGTTGATAGGATTCCCATTCCGTGTCGAAGAGCCAGGAGCGGATTTCATGGAAGGAGTAAGCAGTCTTTCTCCGGAAGTAACACCCGAAAAGGAGCCGGAGTCTGTGGATTTTTGGTGGTATATTAAAGTCCTGCTCATGAAATAAACAAGGCTCCTGACGAGGATACAAATTAACCAAAATCTTATCCTTATGTTTTCAATATCGATAAGGACCTTATCGATATTGAAAACAAATTTACTTGTCGATATTCATCCCCTCTGGTGCAGTCACAAGCTCCGTTGCTGAAGAAGAAGAAGAAGAGAATCAATGAAGCAGAGGAAGTTGCCACATCAAAAGTCAAAAGTACTAGTGAAGTCGAATAATTACTGGCTTTCTTCATTTTCCGTCGTTCGTTTGCTACACTGTCGCTATCATCTTCCAGCATATCCTCTAGTAGCTCGTGCCCTTCCACTCGCTCGAGCCCTCCTCCAGGAGACCCTACGCCCCTTACTTTGTTCAAATTTCCTTCAGGTGACAGTGAATTCGCTGTCTTGCTCTTGGCAATGCCAGCAGCGGCTTTTTTGAATTTGCTTCCCGCACCGAAAGGGGGAGGCAAGATAGGGATGACGCCGGGGATTAGAAGACGATGGACGAGAGGCTCCTCCAGAGATGAGTACAGTTTCATTTTGATTTTCTAGAAACGCACGTCGGCAGAGCAAAATTCTCGTGCTGCGCAATTGTAGAATTGAGGTTTGATGTCATGGTCACTAATTTCAACTTTCAACTTCTAGTAGTACACTGGGTATATCAATAGCAAGCAACCAGCATCTTTCGTTTATTCACCCATGAAAGAGTCAAAGTGCCTTAACTCAGTCCCTGGCGAGGCTGGCAAAACCTGAGCGTTCGCGACATCGGTTCGAGTCGATTGGCTAGGGAGATCCCCGGCAGTGGTACCAGGTGTCGCAGCCACAGGACCATCGTCTGGGCGAGAAAGATTAAGATGTGGATCGTGTGGCTCCGGAGGTACGCCTCTCGCAACCTCCCCAACAGCATGTACTCGCAAATTCTCAAGCTGCTCTTGCTGCGTCGTCAGCTGTTCGCGTTGATGGAAGCTGTTGTATGATGCGAATGTACCAAATTTCTTACGAGGAAGTATAATTCTTCAATAACCATCAGGTTTTGGTTTTCAAAGTGAAAAACAGGCGGATCTGCAAAGATCATACCTTGACGGAGGAACTCGTGGGGTAAAGGATTTCTGGGTAGTTCTACAGGTGCGTCACAGCCTCGACTCTCTCAATCTCACTTGGCACTCGACGCTTGTTTCAGTGAAAAACGACAACAGCTTTGTCCGCTCGCAACTCCAAGAGTCGCTCCCTTGGATACAGATGTTCGTGATAGTCATGTTCACAACTTCCGGTGTAGATTCCCACACCTCTGGTTGAAGCATCACTAAAATTCGACCGAAAAGAACTAGTGCTAGAATGGTATTTTCGACAATGAATAAGAATAACTACACCGATTCATAGATAGAATTATATAACGACATTGTGAGTACACGATGGAACGACAAGGCGACGAGGTACGCAGCCTCCGAAGATACAGGTGATGAAACGTTGTAAACGAGCGAATCGAAAATTTATCGCAAGTTGTAGTTGCGGAGATTCAGAATCTGCCTTCCTTCAGTAATAGAAAGTTGAGGAGAGCAGTTCGTTGTGGGGTAGGGGTTGGTGGCAACGTCAATGCGAGTTGTGTGACATGTAGTTGTGACGGTAATGTGAACATGATTCTGCAGCTTTCCTCCATGATGATGGATCAGCAGCCACAGCCAGCACAGCGTGACCAACATGTTACAGAATGAAGGATGTCCTCTCCATCACAACTTGAATTCATCATCAGATTCACCTCCCTCTGGTACGACTGGGGGACACTGAAGCCCTCCACCATGCTCTTCGCATTCTCCTCCGTCGCCTTTCGACGGATCTCTGCCACCATAAGGGAGGAATCTATTTTTCGATGAACTACTTGCTCCAGCTGCTTCCAGACCACCTGACGTGATAACTGCTCCACTCTTGGTGTTATTTGGGCGCACGACTTTTTGGTCGCCACTGGCGCATCCTCGGCAACCACAGTGCTGGCACTCGATGACTTTTTCTCTGTTGTGCAACTTGTGCTGTGGAACACGACAAATACAAGTGGTTCCGAAGTTTGAATCCTTGGGCTGAATACACTTCATACAGCACAACCGCTCGTAGCCAGGCTTCCGCCACTTGCTGATCAACGCTTGATTCACGTACTTTTCTTCGCATAGCCAGTCGTAGAGTTCTCGACAGAAATTAGAGGAGGATCGATCCGGCGATAGAGGAATATTCTTCAACTTGGAAACATGTTGCAGCTGAACAAATTATTAAGCTGCAACAAAGTGTCTCCGTCTCGAAATTTGACACGACCGTCACTTGTTTGGTATTTTGCAGATACTACTAGTTCTACACGTTTATCAAACACGTTGCTGCTTTTACTGTTACATCACTCCAAATTTAGAAAGCCATTATTGTTCCGTTTCCATAATAATTTGTTTCTTGCGCCAGAAGAGTTCGTAGATGTATCGGCTCATCTGATGCTCGATTCGAAAAATCGGCCACTGTGCCTCATTCTTCCTCTTGCCTTCGTGACTCTCGTTCACCGCTTCTTTCAGTTTCTCGTTCAATTCGGTTAACACAGGCTCCACATCCTCGAAACCAGCTGGTGCCTTCTTGGTTCTCAACGTGCGGATTTTAGGCATCTTTTTTTTCTTCTCTTCGTCCGCGTCCACTCTTGGTTTTTCTAATTCTACTACTTCTCGTTGGATTCTGACTAGATGGAAACAACTATTGAGATTGCTGAACGTGTTAATAACTCTGTCGATGAATAGATATATCAAGAATATGAGTAGTTGTTGCAGTCTGTTGTTTCTAGAAAGCGAAACTCGAAACGGAAGCCTAGTAGCAAAAAAATCTATAGTTGAGGCCCATTTTTTCCCGTTGCCTAACCCTCGGTTTTTTTTGGATGGTGATTGACGAAGTATATGTTGTAGTAGTAGTTGAAGTTGTGGTACAGAAAAACAAAAAATAAAAAATAAGTATCGGATTCAAGAATTTGAAGATGCTGAACCTAAAATGCGCGGAATGTCATTGATCTATTCCATGGTTTTTTGGTGAATCTAGGGAGAATCTAGGGAAAGCATCATGACGTTGTCCATGCTGTGAAAAATTCAATAACATGATCCTGACAATGATCAGGATTAAAATCACAGAACCAGAAGGACGGACCAGAAATAAATCACGAGAGACAAACTCGTGGAGGATCTGTAAGCACATATATTTGAATGAATATTGGCAGAGGAAATAGCGATCTCTTAAGGAAGATCTGCATTTGCCAGAATTTTTATTTTTCCTCGCAAGCAGGTTATGCCTGAACGCTTTTGAACACGGACGAGAAGCAGATAGAACAACATCCAAAGCATGATAAAGAGTCTCTTTCATTTTCAGCAACATGAACATTTCTTCTTCTCAGTTGCTTGAAAATGAAAGAGCTCGGTGGATGAAGAAGAACAATACAACTGGGAACGAACCGGATTCTGGATAAAAAATCATTTTCATTGAAGACTATAATCATGATCATGTCTACCTTTACGCGTACGGGAACTATAACTCCGAACTGCAAAATCAAAAAATAAATCAGATTTAGAAAATCCAGAAATAAGTACTTTTCCGCCTCCAGCAGGCCAACACGGTTCTCGAAGAATTGCAACAAATTCCGGAAATTACCACCAGTAACTCGTATCCGCGGATAGGTTAATTGGTTGCCGTGCTTCAAGCACGCTTGAAAACAAGCCTCCGGAGTGTTGCTTGGCTGATAGGTGGCCATTGCGAACCAAACATCCGAATTGGCGCCACGCTCTTTCAGAAAATCGGCGGGAAAATAACTGGCGTTGTAGTGGTTGTGGTATGTGGTACGATGAGGTGGCTCTTTGTTCGACTAGGAACGCCTCGTGATCAAATTATGACTCGAAGAAGTTGAACTCCGAACTACACGACGCACAAAAGATGAGCACCAAAACAAAAAATTATGAAGTGAAACCAAGTGGTCGCACTCATGAACTACTTAAGTGGTATAAATAGAAATACAACTTTCGAATAGTACCACTCGTATCCCCCAACGTTCAAGCTCCTTTTCCGAACCATGATGCGAACAAACTGGTTTCGCAAGCTGGGAATGTAAACTGGATCGTCTCCGGTCAGTATCCTTGCGTTCGTATGCTTCTTGACAGTGCCACCAGGTGCCATCCAAGTTATCTCTGAATACCCATCCACTGGCAAGTTATCGTACCCTTCTATGCGTAGAGCAACGGAAGCTGCTTGGTAGGAGAGACTATCTGGATTCGCTGGCAATCCCATAAAGCCGATTTCGAGGTTGGGATTTCGAAGTTGCGTAGCTTCTTCGGAGACTGCGAGGACCTTCTCATAGGGAGTGTACTTCGATACCGCAGTATGTGTTCCTTCTATTTGCTGGTCGTTGGGATCTTGTTTCGCTGGGACTCCTCTCGTGTCGTCATCCACCTTACGTGCTCCAAGATGGTATCTGAAGGGTCCAACGTTCAGTTGATCATATTCGAGAGTATCTTCAGTAACGTGACCTACAGCTGCTGCACCTAGACCCAAGGTCGTACTCTGCTGTAGTCTTCTCTTCTCTGTGTCCTTCTCTATGAACTGTCGCAACTCCTCTTGCTCGCTCATGATTGCACTCGACGGTCCTGGATTGTAGTCCGCTAATTGCCCAGATGATCCTTCCACTGTTTGCTTTGACGACGACTGCTCCAAAATACGATTTGCTGCCTCTTTCGAAGGCGTTTGCTCCTTGTGGACCGTGGCTCCTTGTGGACCTGGATGTTTCTGCTGGTAGTCAATCGTGGAGTAGAGTGGTATCTGTTTCTCACCACCCCTTGGCGTAACCAGGACTTGTGTGGTTCCATCAGCGAGAACAGTGGAAGAAGTAGTCTGGTAGAACAAGTTCGGAGGCAGCCGAATTGGTGTGGGTCCTGCAGCACTCCCATTTTGTGTTCCTCCTAGATACGCGCCACTGCTAGTTGTTACTGGAAGTGATGCTCTCACAACACCTCCAGCCCCATAATCGGTGTAGGAGGTAGTAGAAGTGGAAGATGAGGGATGTTGTTGGACTATGAGAGAGTTGTTCGCGTTCTGTGGTGCCGACAACAAATTTGTTCCTGACGAAGAAAGGGGTCTGATAGAAGTTAGCTGTGCTGGTAGTGACTGCTGTCTCTGTCTAGCTGACGAAGTAGAGGTGCTAGTGAGGAAGTTTTGACTAGTTATTGAAGAGGGATGAACACCTCCTAGAGACCCAAGAAGACCTAGTCCGCCGACAACTCCTCCACCTCCAATAGTACCCCTATTAGATGTAACACTGGATGCACGTGATGCAGACAAGCTCGCTGATTCCGGTTCTTCTTGATAGTAGCTCACTACCATGTTCTTGCTTTTCACGACTGCAATTTCCTTCGAGCCTCTGGGAGTTGAAGCTGCGGATGATATCCGCGAAATCACCGGAGCGATAGAGGGATAGTTGTAAAAACTGCGAGGCAGCTTTAACAATTTCGGTTCACAGGAGAAAGAGCGACCTCCTGAAGGGCGAGCAGTTGTGTTGTGTAAGTGTGCTGGTGTTGCAGTGTAGGAAGTCGTTGGTGTGGTGTTCGTGGCTGCATTCGCTATTCGTGTTGCGGACGTTGTAGACGCAGTTCGTACTGCGGCGCCTACTACTCCTAGCGGAGGTGCCGTACTTGTGCCAGAACCCTGCTGAAGATTCGGAGTTGCAAAGCCAGATGCTGGTCGTGGTTCTTGACCCGGACCTCGTGTAGTTCTTCCAACATTTCCTCCTGGATTTGCACCTGTTGTACTAGACGACGATCCTCCAGCACCAGAAGAAGCCCGTATCTGCGGTTGCAAAGAAGCCGATCGCACACCACTAGTCGATGATGATGGAAAGTATGCTCCAACAGGTATCATTGGTGTGTAACCTCTAGTACCAAGTCCATGTCCAGAACCTGCCCAACCATTGCCCATCAAAGCCTGTCTCGCAGCTTGACAGCGTTGTGTTTCGGCTAGCTCTTTCGCGCTTGCCGCTCGACGCGGCTCGGCGGATGCGGCTCTTGTCATGGTAGTGTAGAGTACTTTGCCCGCCCCTGTAGACTCTGGTCCGCTAGTACTACCTGGTCCACCTGTACTCCCGCTATACATCGGCTGTGGTTGAAACGGCGCAACAAATGAGCCCATCAAAGTCGCGCCATTGTTGGCTCCACCTGTCGCTGTCCTTACCGTTCTACTTCCACTGGCATTATACTGAGCAGGCAAAATGAGCTGATTTACGTAGACATCCGGCGGAGGCGATCCTAAGGTTCGAACAGAGCAGGAGTCTTTACTTGTAACTGTGCCCTTGCTGAACGGATCAGGATTTTCGATCCTTTCCACAGCCTCGGCTACCGAAACTCGTCCCGTCCCACTCGTACCTTCAGCTCGTACCCCTGCTCGTAGTATCCCTTCGGAGGTCGTAGAAGAAGTACAAGCGATTGCGAGAGGACGGATACCTTTTCCGATGTCAGCGCCGCCACACAAATCTTCCAAGCGAATCGATTTGATAGCTGGCTTCTCAAATTAGATATAGATGGATTTTTGGCGGACAACGTCAACGACTACGACAACTTGTCGATGCAGTGTCCTGAATGATCTCTTCCTTGTAGAAGTAACTAAAGCTTGCCTTCATTAAAAGAAAGGAAAGATTTGACTTTGACATAGACACAACAGGAACAGCCTTAACTCCCGAGTAAGTCAGACGGCAGTGAGGCTCGGAGTTTTTCTCGCAGTTTCTCAACTTCTTCCGGTAATGGCACAATTGGTCCGATCTTTTCTGGCGAAATATCGATCTCGTCTTCTGCCAGAGGTGGTGCATACAAGAAAGCTGAGGTCGTGGTGCTGGTTGGTGGAGAAAAGGGGGCTTTGTTTGCTTTCATCGCGCCAGCAGCAGTATCCTGGTCGCCACCTCCCTGTTGAGCCAACAATATCTTTTGTATTTGCTGTCGATAATGTTCGTCATAGTTGTTTGGAATTACTCCTTCTCTCGATCCTCCTCCAGACGAGGATGAACTGGCTAAAAGTCCCCCTTCTTGTATGAGGAGGTGTTGCAAAGTCGCGGTCGAAGTCTTGACAGCGGATGATGATGAAGCATTTGCCGAAGCTGAAGCACTTGCACTCGCCGAAGCAGAAGATGAAGCTGAATTCTCATTCATCGTGTAGTCGTCGACATCCACTGAGCGTTCTGCTGACGTAGATGCGCAGGAGAAAGAAACCGCGAAGGGAGCAAAAGAAGTGCCTTTGATGCTATCCTTGTTCGTTGTACCTGGGTCGACAGACTCGCTTGAAGACGCAGAGGACCTAGAAACATTTTGAAGTTAAAAAATGGCATGCTGAGCAGCTATCCTCAATCTTAGCGAGGGAACAACTACGGCCACTAGGAGAAAGATGAGAGTGAGATGTTCATCATGTGTTACAAAATTATTCATGCAAATTCACACGATTTAGTTGTACCCAAAGAGTTTCCCCTCAGTGAATTTTGCGAACGACGTTTCACTTCCAGCTGTCTTCGCCGAATTAGTCGGCATGGCCATTTCTTTATCAACTCCTGCACCTGGCTTGTCCGTCGTTGAAGCTCCTCTTTTAGCGTATGCTTTCGTTATCAGGCCTCTTGGGAAGCTCAGAGTTGATGGACTCTGCGGACTAGCTTTGGCGGAGGACATCACGTCTGTCGGTGAACTCTTCACTGACGAACCCGGAGGCGACATCACAGGTGTACTTCGCCTTTTGTCGCTCATCGACAAAATTTCTCCAAGCTTTGATGAAGGTCTCTGGCTTTGGTCGCTGATGACATCAATCAAGCCTGGACTGCCGCCACGGCTTCTACTCTTGCTTCGCTTGGTGACTTTTTCGACACTTGATGGAGCCTCAACTTCAGGAGACGAAATCGCAACTGCAGCACCCTTCCCTTTGGAGGAAGGTGGAGATCTGCCACCTGGCCGTCTGGATGAATACGTGTTCTTCTTCGACGTGCTTGGGTTGTTCGCGTCTGCATTTATTGCGGCTGTGGTATTCTTTCCATTCGCTCCTGCGTTTGGTCTGGACATTAGAGGTGGGCAGTGAGATGACGATCTTAATCAATTTGAGTATAGCTCTTAAACACTGCCATGCATCGGATTTTAATATTATATAACAATAGATGTTAATAATCATATTTTTATGGAAAACTACTCGAATTCAAAACGTATGCATAAAGATGGTAGCACAACAGGCGTTCGAGGTGCACGTGTTGCAGCTGGAGCCCTGCGTCTAGGTTGCTCAAGAGCGTCCGCAAGTGGATCTACGAATGGAGCGTTCTTGTTGCCTTCTGACAATGAGGAGGATACTCCTGCAGCAAGTTGATGTCTAATATTGTTCGTTGTATTTGATTTATGTCTGTCGAAGATGTTGATGTTCTTGCTCTGTTTTTGGTTCGACGCCTTTTTCTGGTCTGGTTCGCTATCTCCACTTGCGGCAGAGGACGACGATTCCCGTCCAAATCGGGGCGACGTGACCATCCTCGCGGAAGTCCACGAAGAGCCGGTTGAGCGATGTGGTGCAGAAGAAGATGTAGCTGCACTTGTACCCGTAAGTACACCTCCTCCTCGTGCAGACGTTGAAGACGCTCTCGATGTAGGTCCATCTCCTCGATGTACACTAGCAGAAGTTGTAATGCTGTTTGATGTTCTATTGTCTGGTGGTTCATCAAGTTCATTTGCAGGAGCACTCCTGTTCCGCATGTTGAACTTCGACGTCAACCTCGAACTCAGAAGGGCGGATCGCTCGGCGAGTCTCGAGTAAGTCATAGCGGATGAACTGCTCTCGGGCAGGGCAACGCCAGCAGTAACCGCGCCGAATGACCGCCGAGTTGCCGCAGCCTGGACATACGGATTCTGGCCTTGTTTCATCATTCTTCGTTGTGGCGCTTCGTTTTGTTACATCACAGTGCGCCTCTACTTCACTTTATGATCTGACTAAAGAGTTGTACCTTGTCCAATATTCGAGCAGGACTCATGTTGATTTTCAACATTTTGGAATAGAGCATGCCTTCGTTCAGTCCGATCAACCAATACACAGGAAATCTGCATGGCCATTTCGAACAATCGCTCGACCGAAATACAAGCTCACTCCGATACTTGAGTTGTCGTTGTGTGTTGATGACAGTGCGACAGAAACAATTCAAACTCCTGGCTTCAACTCACGTGTAATCCTAATCAGTGAAGTCGCTCGATGCGTCGCACATAATCACGACTCATGATTGTCAAGATTTTCGTGATGTGCCTTGCATACGCTACGACCGAGAAGGAGAACAGATCGGCATGTAGAGGTACGAGATTTCACTCACATGTACTATTTTGCGATAGCGATAGAGACGAAGATGATAGTTGCAAGCATTTGAAGACGACAGATACCATCTACAAAACGCGGCCGCTGAAAACGACCGAAACAACAGACCGGACTTTGGTTGCTTCCTGCCGTTGCGAAAAGTCATCGATCCGTTCCAAGGAAAGGCTTCCGTCTTTTATCAATGACAAAAGATTATTAGCATAGTTTCGTCTCTAAATTTCATGTACTGGGCTTGTTCAGTCGAAAGGCATGTTCGCTTGACGAGATGTTGTTGCACAAGAACCAAATTGTTTGGCACTACCCCTTGCCTATGCATCGCCTTGAGATCTGTGAGCAAGGTTGTAAAGAGAACTACCAGCTGCAACGACAAGGTAGACACTGACTTAACGAGAAGACCGAGCATGGTCTAGTACCTGATGCTAACTGTAGGTGTTACCACAGGAGCGAGAGGAGGTAATTGTATGCAATTGCAAACGCAATAAAGGAATTAAACTTCTAACTTGAAATCGGTTATTCAAACTAGAATGAGGAAGCGGAAATTTTTTTGTTCGGATAAGAACTACAATATGCGTGTCTGTAAGATTACGGGAACAGGAGGAAATGGCAACATACGTCCAAATGCCACAAGCGTGCGTCTGAGTCCTCCGACAAGAGTTAAACTCTTTTGCCAGGAGGACCAGAGCCAGGCGCCGGTGTACGATCAGGAGGAAGTGCCGCTAGATGTGGCACTGCCAATCCCCGCCTCTCTGGAGTGGGCACTAGTTCTGTCCCCCCGACGTCGCCTCCTTGCTTGTTCGTGGTACCAGTACTTGCAGCTGCGACGGCAGATGTCGGTACTGGCAACGGCGGAACGACTACAACCTTGGTCTCTCTACCCGTAGAAGCCGTGGTCGTTTGTCTGCCTTGTTTTGAGACCGAAGATGCTGCGCCACCAGAGGTAGGACCTCCCAGAGGTGCTGTCGTTACCGTTCTCGTAGGGGTGTTTTGTTCCGAGGCTGCTGGGTTAGGAGTGTGCTGGAGCGGTGGCGTCACCGCCACAGGCGAAGGCGATGCAAGCGTTGCTCTGTGCTGCTCAGATTAGAAGGTACAGGTACAGGTACTGATTTTTCATTTTTTTGATTTTCCCTATATTAATATACTTTATCAACAACTCATAATTTTGAAATGTTTTATTTGGTGTTGAAACTCACTAGAAGCGAGATGTTTCATCAGACAAATTTCCCAAGTAGTTCAAGAAGGCCCGTAAAGAGTGCAAGTACAAGTTCAACATTTTCCTGTCCTTAATGATGTTCAGCCGCCAACTTGCTTCGTGTCTGCAAAAGCGCTTGCGTCAGCTGTGGTGGGAAATTGCTCGAGGCCATTTGGCTTTGCAAATGCGCATGCGCTGCTCTGTCAGATCTGTCAGCTTGTTGATGTTCTATATAGGTCGCTCTCGCTGCTGCCTGTCTCTGCTTTAATTAGAGCTTACAACCCATTTTAATATTTTAGTATCTTAAACAAAGGTAAAGCGTACTTAGGTAATATCTTCAACTACTTTTTCCTTGATATAAGCATCTCTATGTCAGAGATGCTCGTGTGTACTCAACATGAGTTAAGTTAATTCAATTAATAACGAAGGTAAGCCTTAATTCAACAATATCCCAGCTGATTGATGATGTCCCCCACCGCTGCCCATGTTGGAGCGCATTGTACCTCCTCCGATTGTACTCCCTCCAGCAGAGGATGGTGGCGGTACGTATTCCGCAGGTCCTGTGGAATAAGGAGCTCCTTGTGGCATGCCTGACGTCGCGGACCAGGGTGATGCTTCATGCGAGAAGACGCCGGAACTAGTTGACAAACGACGCTGTCTTGCCATCAGTTGACGCGAGAAGAGTTTCTTCGCCAACGACGTGATCTCCTTGATCCGCTCGACGCGTTTGGCTTTGAAAATGAGCCATCGCAACTGTTCTCGGACGCCGGCTTCTCCAACGCCAGATTCGTCTTTGATGTCCTCTTGAATCAAATTCTCGATGACGTCTTCTAAGGTGACGATGCCAGCGAGAGTTAGAGGAAGTCGAAGACAAGCACGACAAGATCGAGGGAGTCGTTTGTAAAATTTCTGGAGGAGGAGGAGGTTGGATTCCACCATATTTTTGACGCTGAAGATTACAGGTGATGCTAAACACCAATCAGAAACGGCTTGTTCCCTACATCAACTAAGCCTATGGCTAAGCACAACTTGAATCACAAACGGCTTGTTCCCTACATCAACTAAGCCCCCTATGCCTAAGCACAAGAACTTCAGCTACAGGACTAGTACTACTAGGAGACATTGCCGTAACATGTGCACATTCACAGGTATCTGCTTGTCGGTCGCCCACGCTCGCTTGACTAGGTCTGGTCGATTCGTAACCAAAGCCATGTGAGATTTGCCCTTCTGGAATTCCGTGAGCAAATCCAGCAACGGATCATCGAGGGTGACCACAAGGGGTTTCCGTAGACCAAAGCCTTCGACCTTCCGCTTGTCCTGTTGTGGATGAGTCGTTTCTGTCATCAGGAGGAGGGGGAAGATCGTTGGTGGGAAGAAGAAGGGGAGGGGGAACAGGAGGCTATCGTCGTTGGGGATCTGGAAGATGGAGAGGGAAAGCGGACACGCGTCGTGGCCCCACGTTGGGGATGGATCTGGAAGATGGAGGGAAAGCGGACACGCGTCCCACGAGGACACAGCCTTCGACATTCCGCTAGGAGGGGGAACGTCCGCTTTCCCTCCATCTTCCAGATCCATCGTTGGGGATGGATCTGGAAGATGGAGGGAAAGCGGACACGCGTCGTGGCCCCACGGCACAGCCTTCCGAAGTTGCGGCCTTCGGCGCGGCCCAGGAAATAGCGACTCCGGCGGGAATCGAACCCGCGGCATCCCGACTGTTTTTCCTGGTTTCAGAGAGCTGAAATCCTAGACGGTGGTCTGCTGCCTCTAGGGCGAGCGACCGATTGTGGTTGGGTGCTCTTCCGACTGAGCTACAGAGACGCTGACATACAGCACGAGGGAAAAGCGAATCACCTAGAAAAAGCCTCATAAATATTGATTACGGGGGTTAAAAGCACGAAGTTCCCTGTTCTAGCCTACTTAATTTTAACGTTCTAGCGAAATTAAGTCCCGTAAAATGAACAACATATCAAGTTTACTCTTCCTGTTAGAGGGTAAGCACGCGGTGACGATACACTTTCATCTATCCAAGAAAAAAACTATACCTCAGGATTCACGACGATCAGGTTCTTGACCATGAGGAAGCCCCTAATGTCATGGGGATGACTGTTGTAAATCGGTAGACGTGAGTGTCCCTTTCCGACTATTGTCGCCATCGTTTCCATGTTCAGCTCGGTTGATTGACACAACATATACACATCCGAGAGGGGAACCATTACCTGTGGAAGAGATATTGTTTTTTTAGAACTACAATGGGCACTGTATGTAGTATCTCAGGTCCATCTAAGTTATAATCTCAAACAGAAAGTAGTAACTAAGTAGATAACTGGATGTGGATCTGGATGACATGGAGTTTCTAAAAGCAACACAAGTTCTTGACGAAGTAGTTGTACGTCCATGACAGTTTTTTTGCTAAGTTCCATGGCTCCCGTCATCATCCGGATTTCGTCTTGTACAAGACCTGTTCCAGCCGCCGCATCTCCTCCTCTAGGGTTTTCTCGGAGTTGTAAGTTTCCTTTAGAAGAGGATACACCGTTGCCCTTCCTGCAACATGGCATGCACAGACACGACGGAGTACTAGTCACAGGAGTCTTCACATATTGCTGTTAGTTAACCACTGGATGTTGGTATAAAAACAAGTACTAGATGAAGTACTATTGAAATCATCACCATCAAGTAGTAGTAGAGCCCTAATGATCAATGCTTTGAGTTCGCCTTTGTTGTATCGGCCTTTGTGCTCCTTACCGAGTATGGCGTCTAAGAGTCTGGCAATTGGTATCACCAATAACCCCAATAGAGTCTCCAGTGCCTCGACCATCGAACCGAATAAAGCAGCGATCTCAAGCTGACGGGGACCGGTGGAGATTAGATAAAGGAGATCATCTGAATCTGACAAAGTACTAACTACATTAATCTTCGTGACTGCTGTTTTTACCACGACATCTACGCTTGCTCGCGCTGCTGTGGATATTCTAATTCTTTTTTCGTACTAGCAGCTACCTTGACTTTTAGTGCGAACATGTTGTCACAGTGTCACAGTCACACACACTTTGTTCCATAAAAAAAGTGCCGACGGCAAAATTTCCCCAAAGACCAACACGCCGAACACCGATATCGCAATCGTCACGTATTTCGGCAATCCCAGCTTATCCAACACTAGTGGTAAGCTCTCTGCCGCCATAGCATTTACTAGCAGTAAAGTGACCAACAAGCGATGATGGTCGCTGACCAGCGGCAAGATCGCTGTCGCCGCTTTCTTCTCCTTCAGCAATTCCTCTCGCTCTTCATCGTCTTCGATATCCTCCGGATCTGTCTGCATGAGGAGCTCCATGTCAAACGGATCTAGGGAAACGAGACCCATAGTAAGCCCACTCATCATGCCCGCTGTGGCCACGCACACGACGGCCATGAAAACGAAGAGCCACCAGGTGCCGGCATTGAGAGGGATGTCAGAAGGATCGTCATTTTCATCTTCTTCTGCGTGCAATGCAATATCCTCTGCTGTAGAGGTAGATGCGTCATCAGCGGTGGAACGCGCTAACGGATATGGGTCCTCATCGAGGACTTGGGCAGCGTCTAGGAGGGAGCTCTTGGCAGGTGCTGCAAGTTCTGACACGGCATTCGCTGCATCTATCTCCTGGCGATCTTCGCTACTCCTGATTTCGGAGGGTTCTCCGTGTACGTCTACGCCTGAAGGAACGGAGTTCGAGTCTACCACTCTAGTGCTCGAAGGAACGGAGTTAGAGTCTACTTCTCGCGTTGATGTTGCCGGGAGGAATACGCGATCGCGATCCGCTTGCTCGAGTTGTGTAGCAGCAGCTCTTCCTGCCACGTCCGCATTCTGCCGACTAGAAGCAACACCATTCCCCGCTGCAACCAGGAGGAGGAAGAGCCGCCAATGAGCGAAGCGTCGAAAAACGGATCCAGTGTCGCGCGGCACCGGCATTTTCTTGTTCTTAAGATAGAGAAAGATGTTAGAGTTGGGGGTAATGCAAAGACAGAGGAGTTGTATCAATGAGAATGATACAGACACATCGGCATTAATTAGGTACTGAGGCGACGAATTTTCTTCATCTTGTTCGCTCACCCTCTCCTACCGGAAAGATCCGGCTCCTGCTCATGTTTATTCATAATTATTGCGTGCCAGTGTTATAAAATACTGATTTACTACTTACATGTTTTGTCGCTATTGTTGTCCTTGTGCGTGGTTGTGTTGTACATCTGTCGGGTACTGAAAGTAGGTTTTCTAGGAAAATGATGAGGATCTTTTTTCATTTTCAGGAACAAGTACTAGACCTCCTCGGCGACGCGCTGTACGTCTAAGGCAAGCTTGAGAACACAATGTCGACCACACGCAGATCAAACGAAAGAAGCAATATGCATCTTCAGGAGAACAATGAATAGCGTCTTTTCATCATATATGCGAAAAAGGGATCGCGTCAGATCGTAGTCAGTGATGATTCCCGATAAGCGATGTTGATAAGATGTGAGGAGGAGCAGGAGGCTGTGGAGCATTTATTGGCGAGTAGTACTATGGCTGTGCAATAATGACAAGAGTTTTCTCTGAGCTGCAGTGCATGCTGAAAGGAGTGATATTTGTTCCATCATGGAAGGTGGTGGTTTTTTCATTTTCTGTGCAGCTGATTTCTGGCTCGAATCATGTTTGTTGACTGTGCAGTAGATCTTCCTGCTTCTTCTGCTTTTTCATTAGCACACCGTGGCATAACTATCCGCGTCGAATCAAGAAGAGCAGGTAGAAGTTTGCGTTCATTCAGTGCTCCGATGGTTCGTTTTAATATGCATTTACTTATGCAGATGAAGAAGTGGAAGTAGGAGAAAAACTCAATATTACAAGCAATGAGGCTAGAGCCACACAACAATTTCATCCTCCTCTGGTTCCTGTGCATACTGCGGTTGGTCCGCAACGTCCTCTTCCTCTTCAACGTCCTTGTCTCCTTTCTTACCCTTCTTTTTCGTGTCCCCTTTCTTTTTGGGGAGGTTAGAAGAAGAGCTTTATGATGATGATGATGATGATGATGATGATGATGATGATGATGTTGATGACGATGATGCACCCAGTCAGTTCGACGGATATGCACTGTTTTTAATCATATTTGTTCTCCTTTTCATCTTAGTAGGTCGTTCACTTTAACAAGAAGAACAGCTACAGCAACAGCTCCTGTGCCTATTGTAGATAGGAAAGAAGAAGTAGTACTAGTTGTACAAGTGAGTAGATGTAGATCATCATTGTTTTCGGCCATAGTACTAGTTGTACAAGTAATTAGATGTAGATCATCATTGTTTTCGGCCATATTAGTACTAGTTGTAAAAGTAAGTAGATGTAGATCATCAGTTTTCGGCCATATTAGTACTAGTTGTAAAAGTAAGTAGATGTAGATCATCATTTTCGGCCATAAGACCAGGACTGTCTTTACCAGTAACTGATCCACGCCGTTTACCTTTTGCTGCCTTGCTTTTCGCTCCTTTCACGTCTTCTGACTCTGTTGCTCCTGCAGTGGTAGCTCCGTCTTCTGTAGCAGAGGCTCTGATGTCGCCTGTGTTAGTATTATCTGATGAAGTCTTGTTTTCCACCTTATCTCCAGCACCTCCAGCTCCACCTGGCTGCGCTCCTTCAGAACCACCTGCACCATTTTTCTCTTCCGCTGAAGTTGCTGTTGCTTCCTCTGCCGTGGCAGAGGTGGGGTCGTCTTTTGGCGTTTCCTCCTCCACCTCACTTGCCTCCAGCGGTTGCAAAGACGCAATAATAGCCTCGTCGCGAAGTTCGTCGTAGGTCTTGATCACTTGAAGAGATTAGAGGTTCTTCAAGTGCATCACTAGGACTTCCTTGGTGAAGCTCCAACACAACCACGACATCGTAGTAACCAACACTGCAACATGTACTTAACTTATATATAAAGTTAAATCATCTCAAATATGCCATGATATTTCGGATCTGCAAATTCCAAAGCATTGTTCCGCAAACCCAGTCTGCGAACGTCCACATCCCACACCTTGGGATGGCCAGCGTCCATCAAAAGCTTTTCGCTCTCCGCCGCCCACTTTCTCCACTCTGTGCCGCGCGTGCCCCAATGACGGACCGGGAATTAGAGAACGAGAAGTCGTTCAGGTTCAGCGTAACTCATGATCGGTACTGCAACCAGTACCAGTCTCTTCAAGAGATACTTACTACCAGTAGCAACACTAGGGAAAGTACGTGAAAAAAGACTTATAGATACCGTATGAAGAAAGAACAACTCATAGTATAATGTACTGGTTGACGAGTATAATATACCGCATGAAAAAACATGAGCAAGTAGTCACCACGATGAAGACTCAACTTTCTAGAAGCTAGAAGCTCTTCGCTTGGATTGGTTCATCACCTACGGTGATGATTGGGCTATTACCTACAGCGCTAAGACGATACATTGTTCGGCCTTAACACTCAATGCAGTTTTTGCCAATGTCGTCGCCTCTTAAGAGTTCAGCTTTTTCGGCCTCAGTCTCGGTCGATATGGTGGACAACACTGCTCGAATAACTGTGACAGGATATCTCAGTTTGCACACCATCAGAATCCCGTTCAATTCATGAATATCCCGCACTCTCGTTGCATGCAAACCGTTCTCGAGGAGGTAGAGGATTACCTGGTGGGTGGCGTGGTGGTAGTTGTGATGGATAACTAAGGCGGAATTAATGTGCTTGAAAGAATGTGAAATCAATTGAACTAAGGCGGAATTAATGTGCTTGAAAGAATGTGAAATCAACTGGCATCGATTTACAAATTCAAGGATGAACTACAAGTTGTAACGAGTAAGTAAAAGCATCATGCAGAGACAGTTGTGAGGGTGATTGTGATAATGTTGATATTAAAACATAAGGAAGTAGAAGTACCTCAATCAAGCTTTTGTGGTCCTTGCAGTTTACGTTGTTTACCAAGAGGTGATGCAAGACTGTCTGTCTATTCTTATCACGCACGCCCAAGATGTCTTCGGGAGTAAGTGGCCCTCGACATCCAGACTCCACCACTTTTTGCACGTCCTTCAAGAATTCTGGCCCTGGTACTACATGTCGACACTGATTAGAGCTCACCGTGAAAATCCATCTTGAGTAGAAGCATGATCCTGCCATCCTTGTTCCCTTGAAAAAGCTATTCAGGAGGATATTTCTGGAGATGAATCGAGTAGGGTAAGCCTTAAAATAGAGCATCAAGGGTGTCCTGCCTCCTTTATCCCGGATATTAACCAGCTGCGAGACATTGCGCTCTTTGTATTTGGTTGTTGCGCAAAATCGTTCAAGGGATTTGCCATCTCGTCGCTCGCACACGAGATGTAGAGCACTCTTGCCATCTAAGGCTTGCGCTGCAGCGTCGGTGTCGACATAGAGAAATTCTTCGACGAGGTCGGAGTACCTAAAGAAGAAGAGGCGAGTCAACCTTTTGTGGAAGTGAGTCATATAACAGAGTAATTTATATATAAGGTTTGCCGGCTCGCATGGTATGGAGTGCATGGATCGCATGGAGTTGCATGGAGCTAAAGGGGGCTCTTCTTGCACTCCATGCTACTTTATGCTTATGCACCATGCGTGCTATAAACTGCTCTGATATAATATAAATAGAGGAACCGCAGCGGTACTAGCTTTCTAGAAAACAGTATGGCCCGTCCCTGAAGCCTACGTGGAGGAGGTTCTCATTCTTAGATATTGGTACCCCCTTTTGCAAACGGCGATGAGCGGCGTGACTCGTGTGTGCGGATCACTGAGGTTCGGATTCACCGGATGTTAGAAAGTGTTCTCAAGGAGAGAATGATGTGGGTATGGATACACATACAACTACCTTTGAATAAAACATTTTCATTTTTGACAAGATCATGAGGCAGGAGGTGGTCTTTTACACGAAGAAGATCGCAACCATAATGATCGAGGACGACACGACTTCCGAACATGATAAACAAGCCCACATTTTTCCGCTAGTCCTGTTATTTCTTACCACCATAAAAACAGTCCTCAAGGCATTGGCATACGCGGGAAGCCATCTCCTTTGAATAAGGCTGGCAACAGAGGTCCAGGAACCATTTATGATACGTTTTGTATTGCCGCAATTGCAGCACCTTCTTTTCGTGCAGAATAGACGCCAAACCGAGGAGGGTATCTGGCGGTTGTTGAGGGCAGTCGAGAGTTTGTTGAGTAGTTTGAGAGGTTGTTGAGTGGAGGGCGGAGGTGGAGATTCAGTACTGAACATACTATTACTACTTAATTCATCATAGCCGAGCACTCCAAGAAATTAAGGTAGCATCTTCACTTTCAATTTCATTTGAAATAGAAATTCAATTTCTTTTTACCATTTTTCTGTTCGCTTGTTTGCGGATCGTCCGGTATGTATTGATAATTCTTTTGAATGAAGTCCACTGCCCTCCCTATCCGCGGAACATCTTGTCGCTCTACCCTAGTCTTAGAGCTCAGCCACCTACTCCATCTTGAGACTCATCTCGGGTCTGTTTTCCGTGTAGGCAGCAGCTGTCGGATGCTTTTGGAGATGGATTAGGGGAAGCCTTAACAGTAGCCAGCTCGAAATCAGCGAAACGCAATAGGACTTGTTCTGAAGGTCTTAACGTATCGCGGTCCGAGTCAAGTTTCCGGCAAACGTCATACTGTTCCCAGACGCGCCAACACATCTCCATTCGATCCTTGGAAGCGTCTCCGAGGTTGTCGGCGGCGCATCTGGTCAATGAAATTTGTGTTTTTTACGTAGGTGTACCAACGCACTGGTAAATAAACTAAAACGCCACTAACACTTAGACACAGCTATTACTAATACTAGCGAAAAAAGAAAACGTCTCCAAGTCGAAATCAGGTGCGTTCTTGACATACAAGAAAACTGACTGACGAGAATATGACTTAGTACCTCGTCGTCAGCAACTGCAACACGTGCTCCGCTTTCTCCTTGACAATAGCCGACAACCGCCTTTCAAGCACGGCTGCATCTTTTTCGATTTGGGTGGTTTTTTGAGTTTGCTCGGTAAGCCTTCGAAGTTCTTGACTTGCATCTTTGGGCAGTTGTTGTTCTCGCAGTTTTCTTCTCAGGTCCGCTATTCCGCTTAGTTTTTCCTGCAGCTCGAAAGGTGCTTGGACCGTGGTGAGAATCGAACCGAGAGAGCGAATGGCTGGATTGGTGGGAGTATAAAACGACCGAGTTAAGTACTTTAACTTTTCTTTGGATGGTATCAATAAACTAGCGTGTGAGATGAAATTGTCGAAATCATCAAAGAGCAAGTGGTAGAGTAAGAATTTTTAAGTGCTGCTGGGAACCTCAGCTTCACCTACTTTTCTACAAAGCAATCGAGTACGTTCGTCCACAATGCATTCTGCCAGATGCGCTTCTAGATGCTGCGCTTGACCTTTCCATCCGCACACATTTGGACACGTCAACGGACGACACGGACATTCGTATTTGTAGCGTTAGAGCTTCCCTCAATTCCTCTCTACTGTGCTGGGGATTTCGATTTCTCAAGCCTAAATTATATCCCTTGTAAGTATGCGGTACGTAGGTAGAGCAGGGATCCCTACCGAAAGAGATAGAGATTGAGATAGTAGATAAGAGTAGTAGATAAGAAAGCGATACCGAAAGAGATAGTATTAGTAGATAAGAGGAAGCCTTAATAGTGTTTACCGATACCGAAAGAGATTGAGATAGTAGATAAGAGGAAGTAGATAAGTAAGAGGAAGCCTTAATAGTGTTAGGGAAAGAGATAGTAGATAAGTAAGAGGAAGCCTTAATAGTGTTAGGGAAAGAGATAGTAGATAAGAGGAAGCCTTAATAGTGTTGGGTTAGTTCCTTGATTCCCAAAATCAGCTTCCCGCAATGCAGCTCACACCGGACGGCCTGAAAGTTCGTGAACTCGCGGTTCTTCTGCAAATTCGACGTAAAATTGTTCATCACGACTTCAAGAACTTGCAGTCGGAGCCAACATAAATTCTTGTTTTTCAAGATGCCAATCGTCCTCGTATTTGTAGCTATTGGTGGGGAGGCAGCAGGAATTTTCGTGCTGCTATTCTCGTTTCCCAGCTGAAGAAGGGGCCATTGTTTTGTTTTTACAGGTTCGTAGTCGGAGTGATTAGGGACTGACGTCGGTTAGGATATTGAGCTGTCTTTTCACCTTCGGAAGTGATAAGTAACCGCGATGTCACACGAGAAACCACCTTTCAACTTTCAAGTCCCAATGGATGCGCAGCGGTGTCGACCAGAGGACGAATGAGATGGCAAGCAAAAGGGGCGCGGTTCTAGTTCAACACACGTTTACACTCACCGTAGCCATGATCTTATCTGATTATAATATAGCTTTCTCAATTTCTGAAAATACTGTTGCATGTATAGCGATTCATGAGTATGTCGAAAATGTAAGAGGGTGACAATCACAATCGTTATAATGTACATTTTTTTCTAGCATGCACACGGATACTGGTTGGGAAACAATTGTCGCATTACAAGTCTAATCTCGACGAACTTAAACAACTAGTCAATACTAACAGTGTGTGTCCTGCGCACAAGGACGAACTGCCACAAACATCTCAACCATCGTGATATTAAGCATAGTTCTGGGATCTGGAGTGGGAGTCGCAACTGGATCCTGGACGGATGGTATGCAGTACATCGACTCGGATAGCTTGTATGATCACAGACCTTGGGAGGGTCCTCTCGAAAACTCTTGCTCTCTCGACCACGCTCCGTTACTCACACTGCCCCCTCTCACTCAGGGTTTTGTAGCTCTACTCTCTGTTTTTATCTCGGAAGAACAACCCAATGTTGAGTAATTCTGATAGAGAACAATGGAAACAGTTCTTCACATGAAGCTGTTTCGACAGGAAAAGAGTGCAGTTCATCCAGGTCAAAGATCAGGAAGTTTTCCTAGGACTCTTAGATTTTCTTTTTGTCTCTTCCATTGTTCATGTTCTCGTCCATGAATATATCAATATCTATCATGATGAGTTGCACTTATTCATCTTATGGTGCTCCTTCATCGAATGGTTGCACTTGAAAAAAACATGATCATCATGATGAAGTTGATGATTTTCAAAAGATCAATCGATGTTTACTTCGTTTGGCAGGAGATATCTACTACTTAACGTAAGTTACGCGGCGTTGACAATCAAGAAGTCAAGAAAGAATAGAATTTCTAGGAGCGAGCACTAGCAGCGAACCCAGATTCACCGCAGTATAGTCCTCGTCAGGGAGTAGTACATAAATATAATCGTAACGAACAAAACGTTAGCAAGACAAGTAATCTGAAGCGTTCCGACAAAGTGTGAAGATATTGATAAAATTTAGCAGCCATGACGCGGACAGACCTCTACCACGCGATTCAATTTCAATGTCTGCTAGTTGCTCACCCGGTAAGGATAGGATAGGGCGCCTCCTCTTTAGGAGGATAGGATAGTCATGTTGAACTTGAACACCTCATAAAACGCATTTCAAACAGATTTTTCAGATTACCTTTACCTATGAATGTTTAATGCATATGCACGTTTCATTTGAAATATTTTTTTGGAGGCAACCACGGAACCGCGATCGATCCTAGGAGCTACATTTTTGACATTGATTGTCGCAGGCAAAACATCAGATACAGGAACACTAACACAAAACAATAGGATTAGCAGTTGTACATGTACTGGTAGTACCACTATCTTCGACTTCGTGATCTTATGATCTGGCTGCATACCTTCACCTTCGATTCGTTTTGTCTCCTACCTAGTTCTATCACTATCGATATCTAGAAAAACATCAATTTTGCTTCTGCAGTCCTCACATAGCCTCGTACCCGAGGATCGATGAGTAACGATGTAGAATGGCAAATAATAACGCAGCGGTCAAATTTTGATGGCGTGGATGATGATGCGCTTAGTCAAGTATACACTAATCAACACATGCTTTGGCTTTGGATTTGGAGATTGCAGATTTTTTTTTTGTATCCTGGCGCTACTGAAAGAGCGGCCTCAGCTTTATCCAGTTCGCAAACCGGCGGCAGGCGGAACTTAGTAGGCCACCAAATGGGTCGCAGTGCGTTTCACAAGCGACAGACAAGTGGAGTACTAAGCAAAGAGTAGCCACAAAGAAGGAAGAGGAACTATACATCTAGCTCCGCAGTGCTTCTATCGCCCAACTCAAACTTGCTACCACAGACGAGCCTTACTCATTCGCTAACACTGCAATAAAAGACGAGCGAGCGCCACCTTCGAAGTATGAGTAGACAAGACGAAAGCTAAAGTTTAAAACAAACAACCCAGCAGGGCGGAAGCTCAAGAAAGAAAGGGATAGGAGTCAGCTCAAAATAACAGTAAGACGTTACCCAGCACTAAGGACGAACCATAGTCATGCACAGAGAGAAAAACTATGAGAGTAAGGGGTCAAGACAAGACAATAATAGCAGCTGCGTACTTCGACTTACACAAAACAACACCGCGCACTAGCTTTTGGAATTAAACTATCTGAATCTTCCATCGATGGCATCGTGAGTTTTCCTCCGACGAGCGGAAAGCCACCGCGTCGATCTCTGTAATATTGATCTTAGGCACATAATTAATTGAATCAACAAGAATGGCCCGACTACATCTAGTCGTCGGACTGCAAGCGTGTGTGCCTCACAGATGACTAAAGTAATCGTGTGGCACAGATGCAAAGGCAAATGCAGCATGAAAATGAATTCTTGGAAAAAAAAATGAATCACAGGTATCCCCATTCAATTAATGCTATATTCGCATAAAATACAGGTAGCATCTTCTTCCTTTGGTATTTTTTCTGATCCTCCTGAGTTCAGTTCAGTCCAGTTTGGGTCTCCCTGTACTTCGCCCTGGTCCTCAGTCCAGCGCTCTTCTCGGGGAGGAATTAGTTAGGTGGCTACCGCTGTTTGGTAGAGTTAGCCTGCGTGCTGCGAAGCTTTTCGACGACCTCGGATCCGCGACTGAGTTCCTGTCCACAGCAGAAGCAAAAGTGGTTCCCTCTAAAATGCTTGCGCCTAATTCTTTATCAATAAAATTGGGGCAGTGGGGGCTGGGTACTTATAGGCTCAGCGCCAGGAACAGCATCAAGTTGCTGCAACGACGGTTGGCAGAGTGCCCGCGGTCTATGTAATGTTATATATTGGCAAACCTCCGGAAGAAAAAGAATCTGGATTTAGTTACTTTTCTTCGGACACAAAAAAAATGTTGATTATCGAAGGACGACGGACTGCCTCGTTCTTCAAAAAAATCTTATTTAGATTTTTCAAACGATTTCAATCGATTAACCTTTCGTTTTGCGGGAAAGAGCTGCTGCGTGATCACTGGAACTGTGTTGGTCGCCGGTGGTTGCGTATTAAACTTGTAGTGGTAGTATGCATGAAGATTTTACTTACGTAAAAGTACTGGTGGCATTTGTCATTTTAATCGATTTCGGACATCTATATCAAAATTGTCCTTGTTCTTATACATTGACTCTGTAGCTATTTGATAAGTTTACAGGTCAACGCCTAAACCACTAAAACAACTGCGCATTTCGCCTTTCCTTAAACTAGAAGTAGAACGTGTCGGAATATGCTTATCAAATCATTATCGTTGTAAGTCTTTCACTTTTTACTCGCTTCCCCCGCGTGATGCTGCAATTTCAATGGCACACGGTGAAGTCAGTCGTGTAAGTAGTGCAGGCGTTTGGGCTTGGAGTGATGATCTTAATCATTGTTGATGCGATAGACATTCATAAGTAATACGGACACTTGCTAAAATCCAATTGCATCAAGCAAATCTTCGTCTTCTGTATTCAAGGTCGACACTGGTTCTGGCTGCTTTCTTCGCCCCCGTGCGCCTGGTAGCATTCCCGAAACAGCACCTCTGAAGCTAGAAAAGAGGCCACGCCGTTGTTGCAAACTACTCTGCTGCGGAGACCGAAGAGGTCCTCCAGAAGATGATGACGCAGACTGCGGATTTCCTGGAGCAGCACGTCTGCGTGGATCCTGTTGGTTCGACGTCGGACCACCATCCACACGGGTCATTGGACCCGCAGCAGGTGGCAGAACGAGTGGGTCTGCATAATACACGGACGTCGCATTAGCATGTTGGGGAAGATGCTGGAAAGCCGCGTAAACACCGGTTGACAGCTGCTGCATGTTGGGATCATATTGTTGATTCGTTGGGTGATGAGTAACTGAACCAGGTGGAAGAATCATGTCAGGATTGTAGTAAGCGTTTGGGGGCGGCGATCCGCTGCCACAGGCACGACCACTCGGCGAATAGTGCTGTGGGTGTGGGTGTGGGGGTGGGTTGTAGTATTAAAGCTCAGCATTCAAGGGTCACTGACTCTGAACGAAAGGGACCCCTTTCAAAGCTCTCCCCTTTCCCTTCGTTTTCCCCTGTTCTCTCAAGGGGTCGCCTCTTCGATCTCAGTGACCAACCCCAATGACCATTGAAAGTTGAGCCTTAATAGTAGGACATATAACCTTGATGTTGTCCGCGGCCTGGTCCAGGATGCTGTTGTTGTTGTTGATATTGATGATACTCTTGCTGATACATCATTCCTCCATTTCCCCCTCCTCCTCCATGCTGATGCAGATGAAGAGGTCCTGGTGGTCCGCTTGTACCTGGGACAGCATAATTGTGAATTCCACTAGCTCCTGGCCAGTTGGGTGCGTGGTAAGTAGTGTGCACATGCTGTCCAGGTGCTCCACTTGCTGGAAGAGCAATTCCACCATGCTGGGCCTGAGTTTGCGCAGAGTGCGAGACAAAGGTGCTTTGGTCGTACACCAAACAGGTCTGCGTCTGTTCCGCGGTTGCTTCGTAAAAGTCGGACAACTGCTGCAGATGACAAAGCACGCCTAACCGCTCGTGCAAGTAGGAAAGCTGGGGCTGCGTCCATTCGTGGACATCATCGAATAGATGTGGCTGACCAGGAGGGGCAGCACTGAACACCGAATGTTCCCCAGTGGTTCGGTCATTACTCGAATCCCTTGCCCCAAGAGACGAAGAGGACGACTCAGAGATTAGCGCTCACAGCTGTAATTCATCAGTACCTAAACGACCCTCAGTCTCAGATTCCAAGAAGAAAAGGAGGCCAAGTGACATCATGTGCAGAGATGACACTATATGTGAGCCTTAACAAGAGGCTCTGAGCGTCTTCTTGTTCGCTGTCGCTCATCATGGTCGCGCATCTCCTTGGCGTGCTCATACGCGGAGGCGCGATAAGGTTGTTCACATGCTGCAGCACCGCAGCAGATGCGTTTGGGTTTGTAGCCAGTAATTCGCGCAACCTTTCAGCATGCTGCTCAGCACATTCCGAAGGAGCCATGCTTCCTGACTGCTCGGAGTACCGTTAGAGGATGATCTTCACTTGTTGGCAACTTTCTCACATTTTCTCGACGTAGCTACTCTGACATGATACTGATCTGCATTTACTACAAAATGAAAATGATCTATATCAAGAAAGACTTGCCAAATGCCAATCAAATATCAACTTGTTCGATATTAAGTGGCTTTCTTGGTACTTAATTACTAATTTTGTCGATGAAGCCTTAACAATAAGAGAAGTAACCCGCTGAAGACTGACCATCATCTTCTGGCACCCCATCGCCTTCAGTCATGAAGATAGGGAAAGATATGCGCTCTTTCGCATATTGTCTGTCGCTATCCTCGCAGCCGGAAGATGACGTCATAGACTCCGACGGCCCACTCTGACTCTGGCTCGTTCCGGTCCCGCACCCACTCGCGCTCTCTTGTCCGGAGTCATAGGAATTAAACACAGGGTGCTGGTTCTGCTCGCCTACTGGCGGTGTGCTGGCTGAGGCGGTGTTCTTGTGTTGATGTGCCGCCCCCTCTACTCCCGTTTCAGTGGTCCCTTCCAGAGCTGCAGGTCCAGAGCTGCAGCCCAGAGCTGCTGTAGCAGGTGCAGCGACATCCTCCTGCACTTGTCCTTCTTGTTCGACACAAGAAAATTAGCGCGAGTTGTTTTTCGCTATCCGTGGTTGAGTGGGTTGTCCTTTTTCGCCTTGGTTTTGTTCCCCTTAAGTCAAGGAGGACTCCACGAGGCATAGTCCACGACATGGGATGGTGAAAAACTAGCCTTAAGAAAAAGATGTCGCGCGAAGATGTAGATCTTCAGACCCATGATGAGCCCGTAAATGTACATCTTCGTTTTTGCACAACCCCTGTTGATCCAGCACCTGTGTGTGTTCTTCTTGGTCACGACCCTCAATTCTCTCCTGCAGTACTAGCCCAATGCCTTGATAGTACCCTTCATCATCGTCTAAAAGCGATTCACCTACAGACTCGAGTGGTGGCAAGTGCGGCACTTCCGGCGCACCTTCTCCAGCACGATCCGACACCTCCCCTCGGACGCAAGACGATCCCTCCAGTCGAGTGTCTGCACTTGTAGCTTCTATATCAATAGTTGCTTCTTGCCCGCCTAAGAACGAGAGTGATTGATTATCTTCATCACAGTCGTGGGATCGACGTGTCCGAATAGGTTTTGCGCCTCCGCCCACAGCGTCACGCTCACCCCTCACAAATGCTGCTGCCCCTTCATGGACGTCGGACGACGGAAAAATTAGAGCTCACCTGAATCCATCCTGCGACCGTTTTCGTCCCCTTGAAAACGTCTCTAAGATACTTGCGAAGATGGATTAGGGGAAGCCTTAGAAAAACCTGTACGAGCGACGATGTTGACTCCACAGCAGCTCCTACATGTTCGTAACCAGATTGGAGGTGATGATTAGTGCTGCTGCCTGTGGCTTTATTGGATGAAGATTGCTCAAGATGAACCATATGGTCTTGATGTGCTTTTTTCACATCATTAACTGAGCAGGGTCTCGAGCGCAGGAGGGCAGTCCAAGGTTCAGGAGGTGTCGAGGGAGGAGTAACATGCTTCGGCAGCAGCTCTCCTGTTACCCGAGGCGAAGCAGTATTAGAGGACATGTAGGTGCCTCCCGTAGGTCGGTCATTGTGGTATTGCTCTAAATCTTCGCACGAGGCTGAAAAACTGCTAAGCGTTGCTGCTTTGTTGTTCGGAATACTGACACCTTCAGGACGATCTGCTGCAAAAGAAGAAGTTGAAGGAACACCTCCTCCGGAAATAGCAGAACTCAAAGACGCTCTGTTGACACAATCCTTCTCCTGACTAACCTCAGTTGTAGTGGGAGCTGTAGGATAGAAACCTCTTCGTTGTTCAGACGGCGCATCGGACATAGCAGGAGCACGAATTATGGACCCAAAAGATGATCTAGCATCAGCGTCTTGGATGACGGGGGCAATGATTTTTCGAGGAGCAGACACTTTTTTACCGTGCTGATCAAGATCATCACTCTGTAATATTTCTCGTCCGTGCGCTGTCTCCAGAGCACGTTCAGGAGTCGTTCCATCAACCGGTGCAGCCCTCTCGTTATCGTGCGCCCACAAAATAGCACTATCTTCCTCTGGAGGTGAGTTACTTGCTGTCTTTTGTTCCTGTTTGTCATCATGTAGCAAGGGCGTCAACAGAGCGTCGCAATCGCACTCAGCGCCAGGTGATCCTGCCTTAGTGGCGTTGAAAGAATTCGGAATAATTAGACCTCACATATGTTCATCTTGAGAGGCATCTTTGCAGTCTATTTCCCTTGAAAAAGGGGACAAAGATGCTTCTCAAGATGAACTAATGGAAGCCTTAAAATAAAAATCGATGAGTCCGTAAACGAAACGCATAGTGAACGATACTCCTCACCGCCCTCATTATTCGACAGTCTTGCGGCCAGCCACTCCCTATCGCGGTCGCTCCCGAACGTCATTTGCCCCGACGAAGTAACTGACATACGCCCTGCAATCAGAATCGCCTCAGCACTATCGTTCAGAACTCTCGTTGGATCAGTGGCCGTAGAGGATGCAGCTAGCTGTTGTCGCTTTCGGGCCCGCGAAATGCGGAGAACACCTGCTCGACTCGTGAGGATAGTACGAAGCGCATCTGCTTCTTGATCTCCCGTTTTGGTTTTACCTCCTCCTCTTCCCTTGGACTTTAATCTATTTGAACCACCCAACAAGTCAGAAGAGCAAGAGCCGCTCCTATGTTTTTGATGCTCGTCGCTAGCGTGCTCATCAGAGTATCCACCAGGCGCCTGGTCATCACTATGAAGACAGTCTACTTCATGGACATAAACGCGATAAGGCAAACTCTTCTTGTCAGCATCTCCGTCTGCGTTGTCAGATGAAAGGTCGTGCTCTACAACATGTGCTTCTTCTTGCTTTTTTTTCATCTGACCTCGTTCTTCTGCGACTTGTTCGCGTTCCTCCGGGTCATCGTCATCTGTAACAACGGCTTCTCTTGTTGTGGTAGGAGTAGCTGTAGTGCAGACTAGAGCATATCCACCGAAGTCTGGGACTGCCGTCTGTGGGTTCAAACCGAACATGTTTCGTCCTGGCCCGAGGTATATTACCTTTTGCTTCGGTGTTGCTCCTACTTGTGTGAGCGATGACTTGTCAGTGTCACTGTCACCAGCACCTTGATGTTCTAGTTGCTTTTCCATTTCCACTCGCTCAATCCAAGCAACTACAGTCTTAATCTGTTCGCAACACCGATTCCACACAGTTCGGCCAGTGTCAATGAGGTCACTGACACCGACTTCTTCTTCCTCATTGGTGCCGGTTTCTCCTATAGTCTGCTTGCAGTTCTTGCTTCTAGTGGACGAATTGATATTGCTGGCTGATGAACAAGATGCCGATTCACGTAGCTCTAAACCAAGTCCCTCAGCATGAGCCCTCGTAAGCCGTTCTTGATGATCGGCATGAGCTCTTGCAAACCGTTCTTGGTACGTGGTAAAGGAAACACGATCGCGACCACTTTTCGCTTCTTCAGAGCTCCCTGTGCCTGAAGAACTACGTCGTTTTCCATGTCTTGGGGTAGCTGGGACACGGAGCTCTGTCCCATCGGGTAGGATAACAGTGTCTCTCCTCTTCATCCTGTTAATCCGTCCCGGAAAAGCATTGCTGTTCACGCGGCTAAGGAGTAATTTTGCATTTTCGACATCACACGTCGGAGGTGGTGCATTCGGTGGAAGAAGCTCTGGACTTGTAGTCGCTGCCTTGGAAGGCGGTTCTTGAACGCCCTGAATTGGAACTGATTCTTTCCCAGCGTCATCGGCTTCTAGTACTGCGTCTTCTACTTCTCTTGAACTTTCAGCTGCAGCGGTTGCAGATTCAGCTGGTGGCGGTGTACTCCACCCAAGCCGATTCGGCGCAGCGGTACTATCAGGTTTCAGAAAGTCAGGAGCACCTGTAGCTTTTGCTTTGTAATCCTCTTGAATATCATCCCGATCCCCAGGTAGCACGACCTCTGCAATACCCGTTCTCGGCCAGTGTGTTTCGTTCACCTCAGGTTGCGCATTTTCAGTAGTGTCGCTAGGCGCTGCCGCAGGTGCAATCGCAGCTTCTCCAGCAGCCGCTGAGGCTGTCGAAGAGGATGCTGCTGCTGCAGCATTTCCGCTTTCATCAACACAACTCTCACGAGCAGTGTCCGTGGCTTCCTTGGCACCTCCACTATAGAGGCTTGCTTCTTCGAGAACCTTGAGATTGAGGTTCTTGCCCTTCAGGGATTCTGACTCATTAGGATGTTCTCGATCGACTATTTCCATTCCACCTGCTACCGGGTAGGACTGCGCGTCCTCAATTCGGTGC